ATGGTATGGGTGCACTTAAATGTCTATGAGAGAAAGTTGAATTTAGATCACTAAATGGTGTTCCTCACTTAGGGGATTTCAGGAGGACGATCGTTATCTAGGAGTGTTCTCTTCATGATTGTTCTGAGTATACACTCAAAACATGCTTAGAGAATGGTCTAGTTTCGATCTACTATAAGATTTTGTTATTTTCCCATTTGGTCTTGTAATTGTGTGGCCTTTTACTATTTTTCTACCTTATTAGATTCATAATTTTAGACCATTCTTATAAAGAATAAAGAAAAACTTACAATAAAATTGGCTCTAAAAATTTTATGAAATTTTACCAAATTAAACTAGATTACTTGAATTGTAATGAATGGTCATGAAGATGTTCAAATATTGTTTACAACGTTAAATTAAAATTTTATACATACATAAATTTTCTTCAAATCTCAATATTTCATCCACAAGTTGACTCATTTCCATAAATGAAAACTTAGATAAAATATTTGCCTACTATGTGAGCCCACTTGCTTTTTAGGTCATTTAAGAGATAAGAGTTATTTATTATTCAACTTGTCTCTATAGCTTGTCATTTTTTTCTTACAAAGTAAGTATATCCACTTCTTACAAAGTGAAAAAATAGAATCTTCCAAGCCCAATGGTAACTTTCTCAATCTCAATGTAAAATAGATCTAAGTAGGTGTGTCATCTCATGAGTCATTCTTTTAGAAATTAGAAACACTTCAGGTTATGCAATTATTTTTAAAATCACATGGGACCTTCTTAAGGGTTATACAAAATATTCTATCAATAGCTTTTTTCAAGTTCCTAGGATAAGTTTGATATTATAAAATTAGTATTCTACCCTTGTATTTATTTGTCATCTTCAAAACTATATTGGCTTCAAAACCTCACATCTTTTGCTAGTCTAACTTCAATACTGAGATTTATTTTGAAAACTCTTGTAATGGGCTCTTTATACAGCCCAAATACATTATGCTTCAATTTCAAATCACTAAGAACAAATTGATCAAAGATTATCTTAATCAGCACATAGGTCAATTAATTAGATAGTTTCTATGGTCATCAATAGGACTATTTTTGGCGAAGTCACATTATAGATCAATTAGGAAGAAACCTTCAAGTATTTTGTTGATAATCTAAGGTGTTGAATACATCACCACTATTAGATCTTTTAAATAACATATTTGGTTTGTTAAATTTCTCCAACAAAGTTTCTTTTTTTTCTCACTTAAGGTTAGTTTGACATTTTATAGGTCTACAGTTTACTTGACCCATTTTCTATTATTAGATTTTAGGCTGCACATAGATCTAGAATGAGTGCTTGAATTGATGTATTCTTAATTTCGACCTTGGTCAAGTGTGTTTCTAAGGCTTTCAATCTTCTCCCTCAATCCTAAAAGTCCTACAATATTTCTAGACCTAGAGTATGGGACTAGGGGATTTTTGAAATGGTTTGGGCCCTAGCCTTGTGCACTCTCTAAGAACTACCCTCATTCTTGGGTTCCACTCAGCCAAATGTTCACCACACAACTGATGACTACTGAATTGAGCTCATAAAATTTCATTACGAATTTCTTTTCTAGATTTATGACTCTACGTGACCAATAATTGATTAAAGTATGTTTTCAAGGTGATTGAATCCAAGTGACCAATAACTGATTAAAGGTCTCAACCCTAAGTGATCAACAACTAATTTCAATCCATGATTTAATCTTTGAGAATAAAAGCTAATCTCAAGTTTTTTTCTCAAATATTAAGAAGATTTCACCATGAATTGTTTCTAGATGAATATGTTGACTTACAGTCTATTTGGAAACTTTATGAAGAGGACGGTGGTTGAAGGCTTGATTTTTGTATTCCTCTTCTCATATGAATGTTGGGTGAGGGTGGAAGGTGTAGTCACTTTGATCTGGTTGACGAAGACCTTGAGAAGCTTGAATTTTGTTCCTTATGTTGCATTTTTATCCATTGACTAGTTAAGAAGACCTCTCAATTTTTCACAGAATTTTATGCAAAATAATATCAACCAAGTTCTTGAGATTGTAGATTGATTAGATGTGATCATTTGGAACTCACTAGACGTCGGAGAGATACGGAATTTATAGATAAAATGAAATTCAAATACCTCTCCTATTTTTAGTGTCTCTTGATGTTTGAATTATAAAATTAGTTAGAAATTCAAACAGCTAGAAACCAATATGACATGTTTTCTAAGGGTTTGGATGTCCTCTTGGTAAATGAAAACATATTTTCTTTAAATAGAAAGATCTATATCCAGATAGTGTCTCTTCAATCAAGTTTAATAAAGATATACAAAATAGAACCGATAATATATATCTAGACAAAGTAACAATTTGGTAACCAAAACATTTTCAAATTGCTTCAACCAAAATATGATTGTCGAGAAGATACATTGTATTACAATCTTAATAGATAAAATCGTAACTTTGATGATATTAAATATTTAAATTATTTTTTAAAATATATTTTTTAATATTTTAAAAATCATGTGTGGTAGTTGATCTCTTAAAACTATTGTTGTAATTAAAGTTTAAATGGATCAAATTTAAATTTATAAGCCAGAAATTAATGTAGGAATATCAGATGATATATTGGTAAATATATGGGTCAATCATAGGGACAATTAGAAATTTAAATTAATTGTTGCAAAATGTGTAATTGAGAAGGACAAATGTTAAGGTGAGATGATTAGAGAAAAATACATAGTTCCACTTAGAAATCATGATGAAGGTGTTTTCACAATGAAAACACAGAGAGAATTGCCCAACATATCTGATGTAGGACAAAGAAGCCAGAAGAGATCCCCTTAAAGAGAACTACATGTTGATCTTTAGAGTTAACTTAGATAAAAGTTTTGAGGGTTTAATATCTAAATGATCTTGCAATTTTATGAGAATTATGATCATTAATTACTTGTATTCAAAGAATGAGATAAGGCTTCTCAACCAAGGTTTGAACCATCAATCTTTCATGTGAATGTGGCTATCTTATCAATCTCACAAATTCTAAGAATAAAGATTTAAAAATTATGACTAACTTCATGAAAATTGAAAATCAACACATCTTTGCAATCGAAATTTTTTATCTCTTGAATATTTTTGGTGGCTTGAATTTCACGAGCCTTGTTAGGGATTGGTTTGAACCAAGGAGTGGACTGGTGCGGTTCGAAGGGAATGGGCCGTTTGGGCCGGGCGGCTAGAACCGGTTTTGATTAAAAAAATAAAAAAGGAAACCAAGCCGGTGGGAGAAACGGTCGAATCGAGGGCGTTGGCGGCAGAGAGAGAAAAGGGATTTCGTCGGGACGGGCGGCTAAAAGGCGGACGGCGGCGACAACGGGAGAGAGAAAAGGAGAGGGTTTCGCGACGGACGGACGGCCGGAAGGTGGAGCGGCGGCGACGGGGGGAGAGAGAAAGGGTTTTGCGACGGACGGACGACCGGAAGGTGGAGTGGCGGCGACGGCGGCAGAGAGAAAGGGTTTTGCGATGGACGGGCGGCCGGAAGGCGGAACGGTGGCGACGGCGGGAGTTGGCAATGGTGGAGTCGATCGGGTGGTTCGTCGGGACGACAGCGAATCGAAGGCTTGCGGCGACGGAAGGGGAAAGCGACTACAGGGCGGCGGAAGCAAGGATGGCGAAGGCGATCGACGGCGGCAACGAGTAAGGGTAGAACAGTGAGGGGCGGAGGCTGGAATGGAGGCGGCGGCAGCGACGGATGGCGACGACTTCGACTGATGGGATGGGATGATGGCCGTGGACAGCAGGGACAGCGAGAGGCAGGGACGGAAGTGGCGGGGAGGCAAATGGCGACGACAAGCTGGTGGCTACTGCAGGAGAGAGAACAGGATAAAAGGTTCCCCTAATCCAGGGGGGCAAGAAGAAGAAGATACCCCTAATCCAATAGGCGAGCGAGAGAGAAGAGGAACCCCTAATCCAAGAGGTGAGAGTGATAATAGGGGAAGTCGTTAGACGCGCCCCTTCCCAAATGATGTCAAGGGGTGACGTGGCCTCTTCTCCGGCCTCTTCTTCCTCCTCGTGGGCCCACCAAAGGGGAGGGATCCTCTTGACCAAGATAGATGGCCCTGACTTCATCAATACTCCAGTTCTAACCGACTGTCAGACGGCTACCTGGGGTCGACACCGGGTCTGCCTTTAAGGAGACAGCTGCAGCCGGGGACGTCGACAGTCCGGCGAAGTTGGCAGCAGTCATTTACCAGCTCGTGGGGGGCAGGCGGATACCAACGTGATCTGTCGACCAGCCTATATAAAATAAGGTGGAAAAAATTCTCCTTGATAAGCTCTCCTCAAGATACCGGCCTGCTACGTTAAGAAAATTCGGGTGGTCCTCCCAGACGAGGCCTCCTCCCTCCCTCTCGCTCGCTCGCTCGCTCGCTTGCTCTCTCGTCTCTGGGAATCACCGCGTATCGACAAGAAGAAGAACGCAGAACAACGTCGAGGGAAACGGGCGAACTTGATACGCCGAACTGCGTCTAAATAGGGAAATCCTGGCCCATTCGTAAATAGCACAAACAAGGAAAACCCGGTAGAGAGGAGTGGCGGCAACACTTGGACGGCCAAATCTGGTCGTTTACTTGCTGACCAGTGATGGTGGGTCCAAGTCTCTCTCTATCTCTCTTCCGGGCTTTCGGCCGGACATCTTGTCGGCTTGTGCAGCTGATGGCGGCGGGACCCCCCATCTGTATTCTGAAGCAAGAGGAACGTCCCTCCTCTCTCTTCCTCCCTCTCTCTCGCTCTCTCTCTCTCTCACTCTCATCAAAGAGAAGCTGGAACAAGAAACATGGAACCGGGGCAGAGACGATACTACGATAGGACGAAGGTATAGATGACGAAATTTACTGGAATCTTATGAATAAGACAAAGCCCCTAAAAACAAATCCCCCTCCCCACACCACACAATCCTCCGGCTGACTCTGTAAATTATTCTGCAAAACCTTCCCTCCCTCTCCGATCGTCCTACGCCAACACCTTCTCGGGGGCTTTGTACTTGGAGAAACGAGCCTCGATCTCGTTCCAGGAGTCGAGGTCGATCATCTCGTTGAACTCCTCGAATGTGGCCAGCTTGTCCAGCGCCTTCCGGGTGGTGCCGGCCTCCTTGAGGGTCCTCAGCACCTCGGTCATGCCCCGGGTGGCGGCGTAGAGGGTGGTCAGGCAGTGCTCGACGACATGGAAGCCCATGGCCTGGAGCTCCTGCGGCGTGTGGAGGGGCGTGATGCCCCCCTCAATCATGTTGCAGATCCTGATGCCCTTGGTGCGCCGCCCAATCTCCCTCAGCTCCTCGTCGTTCCTCGGCGCCTCCACAAAGCAGGCGTCCGCCCCCGCGTCGTAGTATAGGTTAGCTCGTGCGATGGCGTCGTCCAGCCCGTTCGGCCCGCGGGCGTCCGTCCGGGCGATGAGGAAGAAGTCCGCGTCTCCGATGGCGTCCCTCGCCGCAGCGATCTTCGCCGCGTGCTCCTCGGCAGGGATCACCTTCACGCCACGAACAGCATCGCGTCATGAATTTTTGTAAGGAAATTTCGCAGGAAGTTCCTCTCAGCGAACCAGCGAGGGGGCAGGGGTGGAGAGAAGGAAGAGAGGATTACCGACTTGCCGCGCATGTGCCCTTGTGGGAAGAAAAAAAAGACCCAGAAACAGAACGAGGAGCATGTCAGCGTCTCTTGGCTTGAAACTAGGAAAGTCGATAAAAAATAAGATATTTAGAACCATACCACACTTCTTCGGCCAGGCCTGGTCCTGTAGGGGAGGGAGAGAGAGAGAGAGAGATGATGGTTCAGGAAGCGACATAAAGAAAGAATAAGAGGAAGAAAGGACGAGGTATTGAGTTCTCAAGGAAGTACCTCGAGGAAGCATCCCGCGACGCCGGCGGCGATGAGATCCTTGACGGTCCTCTGAACATTAAGAGCGTTGCCACCGCCGGTGTCTGAAACTCGCCGCCAAAGTTCCTTAGGTCAGTATTTTTTTCTTAAAAATCATTGCGAAGCATTGAATTATCATTTATTTTATTGCAACCCAGCGAGATATTGCACTAATAAGTTTTATTCATGACTCCATGCAAAGTAGGTATGGTAGGAAAGAGGATCTAATGATTTTTTACTAAGTCCATAAGCCTCCAGATTTGGTGGTTGAGGTGTGGTGGTGAATTAGTACGTATGACGTCCCATTTTCTTAGGGTACAGCCGTCCGGATGCTGCCGTCCCGTGGATGAAACCCTTCGTCAACGAATGTGACGCAGATTTAATGTCGTTATCCAAAGCTGCATCTTTCATGCGGACGGTGGGCCAGAGGAGAGCAGATCATACCGGCGTCGGCGATGATCGGGATGCCGGAGGCGGCGGCGCAGATGAACCGAGCTCGCTCCGCCATCTCCGGCGGCCTGGCCATTTCGTCAAGCACAGACAATCAGAAGACTTGGACAGTGTGGAGAAGAAAGGAGCCACGGGTTATTATATCGGCGGGCCAGGAGCATACGTGAGCAGACCGATGTCCGGCATGCCGAGGTGGGTGGCGGAAACGGCGTAGCCGGAGATGAAGGCGGCGCTGAATCCCGTCTTCTGAATAATGGACGCCGATAGCGCGTCGAAGCAGCCGGGCATCAGCACGATCCCGTCCCTCTCGATCGCCCGGTGGAACCTCGTCCTCCCGCTCCGGCCGTTCTCCAGGCGCCGCCCGGCCCCCACACCGTTGCCGTTGCTGTTGCCGTTGCCGTTGCTCACCGCCACCGTCGCCACGCAGCTCGCCATCTTTTCCTTCTTCCCGGAGGTTCACAGGCGGAGGGAAGCTGCAGAAGTTGCAGAGAGTCCGGGAAGGAAGGAAGGAAGGAAGGAAAGAAGGAGGGCTCCAAGGGACTTGGTGAGCTATGGAGGTTTCAGGCCAATTTATAGCTAACCAGTTGAGGGAATGTTCATAGGCGGAGGGGCTCTCCGAGGCGTTCACATAATTGATCGCGCACATGCCGCACTCTTCGCCGTATGGAGGCACGCCCACCACGTGCTTCCTGTGGCCGCCATCAAAGACTCACGTGCTAATCGGGGCCCCCAAAGGAAGCTGCTTTTGACCGGACGCGAGGCCCCCCATTGCCTGATCTGAGCTGGCTCTCTGGACAATCATCAGCGATCTGCTGATCACATGGGCCCCACAGACCCCCCCCCATCAGCGGGCCACACTAATATAATACTCGAGATCTGATCCGCAATGCTCGGGAGTCCGTGCACCAACTAACGGTGGGTAATCTGCCCGGACACTTCGAGGAGGTTTCATTGGGGGCACGTATGGTACACTCTCAGCCGGTGAGGCGGCGATTCCACGGCCAGAGAATTAAAAAAAGAGTTTTTCGGTACGGAAAAATTAAAAGAAAGTACCACTTTAATGTTCGCCCCCGTACCGCCGATTGTTTTCCGAACATTATCTAATAAAAAAGAAAACAGGGCATGGAGTTATTTCTCAACTCGCAGATGGGTTATTGTGCAATTTTCTTTAGCCACAGAAACACGTGCAGTTCATTCATTGACGAGTGAGGAGAGAAAACTTTCAGCCCACCTTGGGAAAAGGTCCATCAAAAAACGGGGTGGTAGATCTTGCTGACTTTTAACGGAGGTGGGTGATAGTTAGGAATTCAAAAGCCGTCTTTCTTCTTATCGCTTTCTCATCAATGAGGCGACTCACTGGTCATCTATAAAATAATGCATGGGTTCATCAACTGCCCGGAGGGAAGAACGGTGCCATTCTCCACGCTTTCAACATGGGCCTCATTTTCCACCCACTATTCTCTGGATTGAGTTGAGTGTAAGGGGGAGCATTCCGATCTGAAGGTAGTTTTTTTTTTCTTTTTTTTAAGATCTCCGCCAAGTCTTGTGGCCTAGATGTTCGAGCATTCACTTATGTACGGTGGTGTAACATCTCATCGATCACCAACCCAGAAGGAGGCAACATTCACGCAGTTGACTCATGTAACATCTTTATCTTGATCATCGACGACTGTCCAAGGGAGGCAAGATTGGTGTCATAAGCTAACTCTATGGATTGAGGGTCTGAGGCGTTCCCCCAGATGGGTTCTTAAAGCCCTATATGAAGCCTACTTTGTTGCGACCCCTCGTTCATTCACTGCCTAAAGGAAGGAATAGTGGAGTCAATACCTATCCTATTTATACTTAGAAGACATAGAGAGAGCGAAAGAGAGAGCAGGGAGGCCGCCCTGAAGTCCATTTCTAGGTTCAACCCTGTACATTGAGTGTTGAAAGCACTCTTTTCTGACTATCACCCTCGTCTAGCCCTTAATCCCCAAAAAAAATCATGGGGTTGCTCTTGTTCATGCCGCATTTCTTCACCATTTTCTACAACTAACTGCTCATTCTTTTTATATGATGGTAGAATCAATTGGATACGAGCACCTTATTGGGATGTACGTAATCCTATTCTTCATAAGATTTTGGGTCTCATTTTATAAATAAATGCGGACTAAATCACCCCCCGCCCCCCCTTCCCCTTCTCTTCAGTGGCCACTAGCCTCCCCATGCATGGTCATCTACTAGCAATTGGCCGCTGGACCACACAGGCTGCAGCCCAAGACAAAACAATGTTAGCCAGCCCTGTAATCCATGAGACTAGACACGTCGAGCACCATATATAAAGGGTTCTGTGCTGTCTTATAAACCTTCAATTCGGTTAATATATATATGAACACGATTGGTCATAATTTAATGAACAGAGTTCGTCCGAGATCGGATCGGACCCAGTGACCAGTCTAGAATTTGTTCGGCGCGATCCTGTTCGCGCCAGATAAGATCACGTGCCCCCGCCCCCCCTGAGGTTTCTAGTGACAATGAGTGAGGGTGGGAGGTGGGCCGGAGCCGTCTGTCGTGATTGTCGACGAAACAGGCCATTTTCATGTCCTGCTACATCGCCACCGCAACCTTGGCCTACCGGCAGCCGATGTCTCCAGGATATGAATGTTTTGCAGCAGGATACGACCGGAGGCCAATAATTACCCGTCTCTCTCACGATTGATCTAGTGAAAAAATTATGAATTTATCTAATCATGTTGGATCTCCGTATCTTCTGTTGCGTCGTCACATTCTATCGCGACAACCCACACCTCTTGGTAGATTGAAATTACACCGATCATAAACCTTATATATAATCGAAAGTGAGGGGGGGAGAGAGAAGGAGAGAAGCTTCCCATAGCTCCATGGGTACGAACTGATGAATGCCCACCAATAACGGTGGCATTAGCACCACTCGGTTGGTCGATTAGAAGATGGCGTTTGAGTTGAAGGAATCTCTCTCTAATTATAAATTCCTTTTAAGGCCTCACTGTAACATCAGATGTTGAATCGACGTCCGGTTTCTAAGCCGCAACAACTTACCAAACACGGGCAATAAAAAGACACCAAGGGACAGCATAATTTGGTGGGTCCCCCTCACAGTGCCGCAGTTCAAGGGGGAGAGAGAGAGAGGTGCAAGTGGCTCAGCTCGGCCCAGAGAGAGAGAGAGAGAGAGAGAGAACCCATCACTAAGGGACAAATGGGGCAGATTACTTCGAAAGTTTACTCTTTCTGAGAAATAATGTCGAAAGAGAAAGAATAGCCACCGGGACTCATGGTCAGCTCTCTGACGAATGCCACCAATATCTTACAAGGAGCCTGAGAGAATGAGGGTTACCGATGGTTGCTTACCTGGCGAAGAGCCAGCTAATGCTTGACGCAGACAAAACAGAGGCCCACCTCGGCCCTTGCTTGCAGCTCTTCCAGGGCCTGTACGATCTTCTCACGGCTGATGGAGAGCTCGCTGGAGCCTGCGAGCATTCTTCGCAACCTGCCGCATATAGATGCCAGAATTTCCACGTCAAATGAAAGTCACCTTCCATTCCCCTCTCTCTCTCTCTCTCTCTCTCTCTCTCTCTCTCTCTCTCTCTCTCTCTCTCTCTCTCTCGCTCTCTCTCTCTCTCTCTCTCCCTCCCTCTCTCTCTCACACACACACACAGAGTCACTAACTAGACGTCACAGTAGATAATTTGGTTTTCAAACACAAACCAAGATTTTCTAAAAAAGGGTTGACAATAGACGGGAAAATCCTCAATGTACTCAGAGTTGACTCAGGAGTTGACTCAGGAGATACTGTTCTTTATCAAAAGAAGAAAAGGATCTTGTCATTTTTCCCAAAAGGGCTTAATAACCAACCAGACTGTAATTAAAACAGTATAAAAAATATATGTGCACCGTTAAATCTTTAAATAAAAATATGCTCATACTCGAAGCCAGCATGCATATCCCGGCATTCATGTTACTGAATGATAGGTAACTCTCTGTGCGAGTTAGTGGGCTTGCAACAAAACCTTCTACGGATTTCCCAAGAACAAAACTATAATTATGTTGGATTAGTATCATATTAACAGCGAGAGAGCACGAGTATGTGGCAGGTCATGAAAGTCACATTAAAGGCTTAATAAATACGATGAATGCAATCAATTTTCCATACCTTTGGACAATAGCTGTGTCCCCATGTCCGGTGGAAATAATGAGCATAGAATTAACAGCCAGGGCCTCATATAATCTTTCGATCCTCTTGTCCATGCACATGAGCATCCCCTTCAACTCTTGGCTTATGCTGCAAAGAACATCGCTCTGGGAAGAGGATTTGCAGGTCAGAGATGAAATCACCTCTGCAATTCGAGAATTGAGGGCTTCGGCATCTTCTGCTTGCTTCTTAAAGTATGAATTCAACCCTGAAAACTGCGCCCATATAAAGTCGACCTTTTCCTTCTTCACCTGCAGTAGAAAACCAGACTTCTTATTGGTATTCGAGCTCCAAGGGGCTAATCTACAGGGGGAAAACTGGTAGGGAAGGAGGCTCTTTTGCAGACCTCTTTCAAAACTCTTGAGAGGGCCTCATTATCTGACGTAATGGGAATTGCATTGCAGGAGACATCTGAATATCTTTTTACCACCGAGGTGTCATCAATAAGCGAGCAAGTTCTGCCACTCTCATGTAGAACTGTTACTAGTTTCTTCTTCGTAAAGTGGGGAGCTGAGCCAAATTCGGGTCCTATCAAAAGGCAGCTATTAATTTGTAAATAGCGTTCACTGATAAACAACAATTGTATGTATGCACAAATAGGTGATTCACATTTCATATATATTAGCATGCGAAAATAGGAAGAACGGCTTATTGGATTCCTTACCAAAGAGCCTAGATTAATATGGCAACATAAGCATAGCCTCATTTTAATGCTATTCAAGATGATAATCCATTCGTCGAAATTCAAAATAGCTTAGAACTCTTTAGAACTCCACCCTCCACAAACTTCCATAGGAACATTTCTTATGTGACTTCAAGTAAGAGGAATTTCTTGATCTGACATAGATCGGGATCATTTACTGTGTTCATGTCCAAACGATATTGCATCAAATGAGGGAAAAAGACCCAAACTCTGATATTATGATCAATCCTTACCGTGTTTAATTTTCAGAATCGCTAGGTCCATTGCAGCTCTTGCATCTTCAACGCTGTCATGCCCACTTTCGGAATCCTGAATCTGACGAGAAAGATATTTTCTCGATAGTACTCGTAATGCGGTCTTGTGATGTGCTGGACGTATTTTATACAGAACAGCTGTATCAATTACCGACTTGTGAGATATCCTTAATGCTAAAAGGTCATTCTCTAAAGAATGTCCGACGAGGATAGTTTCTTCATGTACAAGCCTGAGGAACTCTTCCTGAAAAAAGGTCCACAATCACTATTAGCTTTGTAAACAAGTGGGGATTTAAATAAAATAAAATAAATAATGGTATCCGCTTAGAATGTCTTCAATCCCATGGCTAAGACAGCTAGACATCTCAGCAAGGATTCATACACTAACACATGATGATCAGCGTATTGGATCAGGAACAACCAAATCAAATCTAATTTTGAGAGTATAGCCGTGAATCAACAAATTAACTAAAAAAGGGTTTCCAAATTGTTACTACTTATCTCTACCGACTTGAGTTGCTCTACTGTAAACAGCTTGCAGAAAAGTCCCCAGACAGTTGTTACGCTATTAGGAAGAGATGGAGAGCAGAAAAAATAGAATTTTGAAATATAGAGGACATGCACAGATATTTTGTCTTCTCTGTTTTCTCTATTCTGCATCTATCTCCGATTTGACTTGAAATTTAGGTAAGCCAACCACGAGTCTATTGAGGGTAACAGAGCCACCATTAACTGCAGGCATGGTACTGGCTGAAGTCATAGGTAGACGATTCGCATGAGTTTAGAATTCTGGGAAAAGGTTGACAGAAAGTTCAAACACCTGAATATCAGCGAGTGTCGTCGTCACACTTTCCAACATCTCACTTGTGATCCCACTGAATCTGCATTTAAAAAATTATAATCAAGCAGTCAATTCTTCCAAAAGAGTTCATGATGTTTCACAAACGCTAACATTAATGAGGAAGATTCTTGTATGTATCCCAACTAGGAATTGCAACACAGACCTTCAAAAAATATTACACTGTTTAACAGGGTTTCCATTAATAGGCGTAATCATATTCTCCTAGTAAGCTGCGGATAGATCATCCATCTTCCCATGGTGACAACAATCTAGCCTGGCCAGCCTATCTGAGTGAGACCAGCTGATTTCCAGCGTCTTTTTTAATTATAAGAGGGGTGTGAGGGAGAGGGAGAGAGAGAGCGAGAGAGAGAGAGAGAGAGAGAGAGAGAGAGAATAAGGGGAGGGAGGGAGGGAGGGAGGAAATCCAATCCCCTTTGCTCGGTCTCCCTCGGATCTGAAACTTCGCTCCTCAGTAAGTAAGGAAGCCCATAACGACATTTCCATGCCTTTCCTGTGAAGAAAAATCCACTAAAATCTTATTCTGTCAGTTCACCTCCATACCCGGGCAGGTGAACCAAATGTTTGAAGTCAGCGATCACCCAGTTGTTCCAAATCAGCTGCAATGACAACATTGATGGGATATATAATACATCCCACTGCCTTCGTATTTACATTTTACTTTTATTTTAATCATTCTGATGTGCTTTAGATGTTTTGGAATGTAAGCTGGTGTCTAAATTTAATAATTCTGAATGAATATGTTCCTGGGGTTCACAATACGAACATATTCATTATTACTTGAAACGAAAAAAGGCATTTCTTGAAGCAACTCACAACATATATAGACAATCCATTTTAGAAAAAGTGGATTGTTGTAAATGTCCAATTGTTGTAAAAGATTATGATACAATACTTTTTACATAAGGAAAATCTTGAAAATTAATATTGACTTTTACCATGCATATGCACAATTGACCTTATACATTCCAATATATAAATGATTCTTGTTCATTCACAAATTTAGAGCGACTTGCCAAAATACCCGTAATAATAATGCACGGAACCAAATGTGGGAGATATGAATGGTACCTAGTATTATAGTCAAGGATTGGATTGGAAGGTCTGACCAGTTTGTCTAGCACAATCTACAGTCAGCAAAGAGATTATGCCCGCATTAGCTTTTTGAGTAAAAAACAGATAAATATTGAGAAATTTCAGTCCTCTTGTGCAAAATAAATCAAGAAAAAAATGGGGAATACCTCTCCTTTGATGTCAACCAATGTAATCCTAGCAAGCTCAAAACCTTCTTTTGTTACACACTGATAATAGAAGAAAATGTCAAATCAGACGAACAATTCGATAATTTAGAACAATCACCACGAAAATTTCCACATAATCCTCATAATCTATCAGTAAAGGTTACAGAAATAAGTGACATATGGGGTTATTTCCCAGTAAATGAATACAAATCATTTTCACACAACGCCACAGTGGCAAGAAGAAATAGATATACAGCAGACTATAGTTAAATAATTTCATTCTAGGCCTGAGTAAGATCTATTTTATCTGCAACTCACTTCCCCAAGAATTGAACCCAAGGCCCCTGTACCCTCTATCCACCCAACTGCTCCTATGGTAGTATTTGGAATACCTGAGGAAATAAAGTCGGGACATCGTCTTCTGGTCATCCTTCTTTCAGAAATTCAGGAGTCCCTAATAAATCATGAATAATTTGATGGGATGACACGTGATTTTTGATTGAGTGATTTATATGAAATTTACCATCATCCATCAATTACCTACAAATCTAAACCATCAAAGTAACTATCCCGTATGCTTATGCACCAACAGAAGTATGAAGAAATCATGACATGTGCTCTGTGTAATACCCAATTGGTGGTATATCTATGCGCCAAGTTGAAAAAAAATCTGAGACATAGAAAAGATGTATGATATTACTGACTCTTATGATAAAGTTTCTCATCCATTGTGATTAAATTGAATGATTATTTTAAGGTTTAAAAAAAGAGAGTTATTTATACTCACCATTTCACAATCAACAGCCAGAATCTGGTAGATTGGGCGTCCTGCAGGAGCAGGTGTAGTTGAGACAACACCTACATCTAGACTGTTAAAAAAAAGCAATGGATAACAACCAAGGGAACGACGAGGACAGAGGATTCGATCAATTCACAAACCTGGCAACGTGAAGCAATATCCATTCACTTCTAACTCCTCCTTGGTCAAAGTATAATAGGAAATTGGAAAAGGTACGTCTTTCAGATTCACCACAGAGGTTAACTTTCTTGAGTGAGAATTTCGTCCTGAAAGTAGTCACATTTCTTTTTGTCAAATTGGCAACAACAATACTCGAAAATGTTCAACGATAATGGTTTTTAAACCCCTTATATCATGCCTACTTTTCCCGGTAAAAAAGTTATTTTTATGCTATGGTAGATTTTCTGATGAGGAACACGTGTAAAATAATTAACAATTTTCTGACGCGTAAAATGTAAAGAGTAGCCACAAGAGGCAATTTCAATTGGCTCCAAAAATGGCCAACACTGAATGTAGAAGCCTAAAACCAAGAGCAGATACACAAATAAAAATAAACCAAAAGGCTTCTAAAAAACACTAGACGCATGAAAATAAAAGCATGAATATGAGACTAATGAATTTTGATAAACGAAATTAAACACTAGAGAAGACTACAGTTTGCTTTTCAGAAATCCCTCTAATTTTCAACAAAAGTTTTGGATATTGATCTTAACACCAATAATTTAAAACCCAAAAGCGCCCGAAAACCATGCCATCAAATCCTTGGTGCGATATTTCAGCAATCAAACACAACATGGTTAAACCAAATAAACGAGAGATATACAGATTAGAGCGGAGATACCCAATGGGCAGACAATCACCTCCTAAAAACGTCCAAAATGCTGCTGATCACCGTGATAAACATTGAATGTTATTCAGGGCAAGGAGTTATATTCATGTAAATTAGGGGAACCCAAATAAAGACCTTTTTTTTCCTGGAACACCCAAATGAATGCAGACTGTTCACGTAAACATGTTCCCTGCATTGCTCGATATTCTTAAGCATTCGTCAGAAAACAAATAACCAGAATATTAGAAATATTTTCGTATATATTAATTGCATTTTCCAAGTGTTCAACTAAGTTGTTCTGATGGGTGAAATTGATTTTTCATAAAAAAAAAATTCTAATAAAGTTAAGAAAATGCCATTTGACTAACCTTTCTCAGGGTCTTCATCAAGTTTCACAACTGAATCAGCGTCACGCTTTCTTTTTGTTCTGCAGGTTAGCAGCGTGTCTACCGTCTGCATTCCATCTGACACACAACTGAGACAACGCATATCAAGAAAACGAGTAAAGACAAGAAAAGTGGGCACTAGCTAGTCTTCAAGTCTCATGTAGGTTTCACACATAGATGTATTGCAATTCATAAAATAATCCAGTGGTATTGACCAGAAAACGAAGTTTATTCAATAAAAAAAATATAAATACAAAACGGACCTTAGAGCCAAAACTGGCATTGGATTACCACAGATTTTCTTGAGACCAGAAAGGAGTTTCGACTGTGACATATACAAGGCTGCATCAAGGCCTGGGACATGGAGTAGTATGACTTTTGATATAAGTGGTTTGTTCTGCAGGCCAAACAAGTAGAAGTTAGAAAAAGATAAACTAATGTTCCACATTCAGTTCAAAAATAAATTCTACCTAAATCATATAGATATATACATATGTTCAGACCCATTGAAAGGATTGTCCATTCCTTCAATTAAAAGCAACACCCTTCAACTTTTCTTCCTCATAAATAAACAACAGTCCAAAAGAATGGACATGGAGAACAATTTACGGGTAACTTAGGAAATTTTATTTATATCTTTACAACAATCAAGCCACTTCCTAAGAGATGCAAGAATCTTCATAGAAAATGGCTAACAGAAGGATTTCAACATATGTCGTCTTTCAGAAAACTTATCACAATATGCAAGCAATTGTACATTATTTCTACGTAGATTGAGTCATTATGCACCAATCCTGGAAATACATTCTTCAGGCTATGAATTCATTCATTGCAGAGGAATGTCAGCGGCATAATATCCTGCTACATGACTAACAGATCGAACAATTACTATGTTTTTGTTTTTTTCTTTTTTAAGTTAAAAAATAAACTACAGAAAAATAGAAAGAGTACAATTCGGAAATGAAATAGAGAAAATACAGAAACTTCTTCAACCATCCCAATAAGGACAGGAAAGGGAACACAATATTTTCCTATCCTAGGTACTTGACAATGTGGTTGAGTAGAGAACGTCACTGATCTCTATTCCGTGGGATCACTGATCAGCACATATGGCCATCTTCCTGATGTATGGCATGAACCGTTGAATTCATTTTGAAACATTATTTTGTTTATCTCCAAAATGCTGTCTACAGTTTGATTAAAGAACCTTCCATCAATAAATATCATTGGACAGAGGGAATGTGCCATGTTACTGCATCAACAAACTCTTGAATCCAGTGTACTCACCAACATACATTTGAAGAGATCCAAATTTTATTTTTCACGAAGCATTCACAATTCCACAATATACTTGTTTCGAACAGTCAAAATGATAGAAATTCTCTGAAACATTTTTGCCAGAGTCTAACTTGCGGATGATGCTCATAACTCCCGCATGGAATCAAGTGAGGAAGAAATAGGAGGGCCTACTCTGCCATCTTTGTGGAAAAATAAATGGAGTTAAATGCTTTTGAAAGAAGTTATGATTCATCTTAAACTTGCATATCTTTCATCATAATTAGTCAAGGCTGCAGATGCATTTTTCTTTTAGGATGGATATGTATTTTAATATGCATACAATTACAAAAAAAAGGGAGCAATAATCATATGGGAATGGTTTTTTAATCACTTCTATGTATTACCAACAGCACTTTAATGAAAAATGAAACTTCCCTCTTCACAGAGAACCCTGAATACGTTGAATAATAATTTTTCCAAAGAAAAAAGGAAACAATATCAAACATGATATCTTGTCCAAATATATCAGATTCTGGACTTCCGGATCTAATAAGGTACTGATGAAGATAAACCAATTCCTTACGAAAATGTCAAGGAAAGGATTTACATGTTTCTCTTGGCATCTGGCTATGATCCTTTTTGTTACAAGACAGCCTGGCTTGATATCTAATCTGTAGAGGGAGTGAGTGCTAGAGAGAGAGAGGCAATAACATGGTTTGAAAATTTTGTCTAGTAGCAAGAAATATTCAAGAAAAGGGCGTTGAATCAAAAGGTTCTAAATGAGAGTACGATGGGCTTTTCCATAAGCACAGTTTTTTGGTCAGCAGCAAATGATTGGCTTTAAGGAAACTTTACATTAAATCTCCAAAACTTATTTTCCTTAAAGAAAAGTAGAGCTCGCTGATGTTCAAGCTGATGCAGATTAGATTTGGAGGAAAAAGAAGAGTGCAGTCCAAAAGGCTCTAATAAGTAAACGGAGGAAGAGCCCAATAATATTGTTTAATCGGCCGATAAGGCCCAAACTCGTTTTCTTTTCTTAAGCCTAGTAACTGTCTGCTATTATCCAGAAAAGTTTAACTGCTAGAGAGTATTTTATCAGATCCTATTGTGTAGTGGATCTACGACTACTTTTTACATGTTTAAGGAGGCACACATTTTAGATCGAGATGGTTTTTCTCCAACACAGAAAAAGTATTTGCCAATCTTTCTGCTTGAAGATTCAAGAAAACCCTTGTAATTCAATGGACCCGATTTCTTTTCTGATCCTTGTAGATTCAAGGATCAACCCTTGTGCATTCAAGGGCCTTGTTTTTCAATCCTTGTGAACACGAGGATCAACTCTATCAATCTTCATTGATTCACAAGTTCTGGAGTTTGCCCCTTGTGGATTCAAGTTACACTTTCCTCCCTGACTTCCGCTGTGTCACAGATTCACTCCAGAGTTCAGTAAGATGAGTAAATTCAGGATTGCACATCAATTGTAATAAAAATAAGATCAAAGCCTTCATACTTTGATAAAAATCCAAGTTGGCATTACACCTTCTCCAAGGACCCATGTGACGAGCTGCTGGATGTCCTGTTCACAACAGAGAACATAATATTTAATGATACTTAGAACAATAAAGGTATTATTGGCGTGGTTTTACTCAGAAGGTGGATGGTACAGCGGTCCATAAACAAAAATAAAAGATCCCTCGTATTGGCGGTTTCAAAAAATTTACCTGGATATTTAACGTTGAATTTGATACTGGAGAATTGAAAAGAACGGCTGCTTTTCCCTTCAAGAGACATAGCAAAAAAATAAAAACATACATTTTTCAAATTTTAAGCAGAAAACACAACTTAGAGATAAAATAAAAGTCAACATCCGACAACATTTCGTAACAAGAAAACACAATTAATAAGCAGTAGTTGTGGTAGCTACAGCTTCTGCCACTAGAAAATAAGAAGCCAACTTCTTCTCCCAACAGGCTTTAGGGATTTTTGGGAAGGCGCGGACAATAGAAAATCACAGCTGAAAAGAGGAGAATGTGAGGGTTTTTGCAGACAATAATGGCTTTCAGTCAGTGAGCGATGGATTAAGAAAAAAGACCCACAGAGGATCCAGGATCAGTAAGGCACAATGTACAGGATACCAAGAAGGATGTTATTTGGTCAAGAGTTCCTGGAGTGCAATATAATGCATACAACGTATTATGAGCTGCGGAAAAAAATTGTGCTAAGAAGATTTACATGCAATTACTTCCTTATAAGATTTAGTTTGATAAAAAAAATATTGTTAGATATCGAAGAGGCATTCGTCACATATGGATATGTTTTGCCTTTGTGAGCTTTTTCAGACGTAATATTGAAAGTAAATATCGATGAACCCACAGTATGTTTTAACAAACCCAGAAGCAATGTTTGTATGCTTAGAATTGGCGTTCACCACCTAGAATTTATAGGAATGAGGCAAGAAAATATCCACCTTGTAATCGAGAACAATTGGCATAGATTGCCAAGAAAATATCAGAACACTGTTTATCAGCAGAAGTTTATTGCCTGGGACCGACTACCAGGATTTTTTCCTCTATATCTTATTCCCTGAGTTGAGAAAAGGGGATGATTAGTCGACTACTGACTCGAAAGCCAAATCCTTGAAACAGAGAAAGTTGAATTTTGAACATAGTTATACGCAGACGAGACGATATTGAGCCGGAACAGAGATAATTACTACTGAGCGGATGTGCATTTGATGCAATCGAAATTCTCTTTATCCTTGGCTATGTTGAGGCCTTCACTGGTACGTCTCCACTGTTCTCTATGAATGACATGATTTAGAACACTGACCGGGTAATCATATACGGAAGTATAAATTTTCGGTCAATACGTCACTTCTAAGAACATGGGTTAGTGCCTCTTCGGCCAGTCCCTTGTAGGCCATTAGTACCGCCACACGGCACAGAAGATACCACCCAAAAACTAACGCACACACCGAGCAGAAGCATAGGAGATATGTTAATCTGTCGAGGTTGGAGGTTAGGGGACGCAAGAGAGAGAGATAGGAGAGCTACCTCCGGCCCGTACACGTCGTAAAAGGCGGAACCCGAACGATTGCCACCTTTGTTGTCCGCCTGGAAGTTAGGGCTTTGAGGCCCATCCCGCTGCCGGCCGGAGGAACCCATCCTCTCCCAGCCCGACGCCTCTCCCGAACGACTGTACCTGCCTCTACATATTAGAGCGCAAGCTACCGGGCCTAGAAACCACCCAGCAGACGAAGTCGGTCATGACAGGGGAGGAGGATTTACAGTAGCACGCGGAAGGCCAGGGTTTAGATGGCCACCCAGTTTGTTTCTAGGTGAAGGAATATTCTTACTCCTGTCCCTTAAAAGCTGCGAATTTTATGATAATGCCCTTTAATTGTGAGGGCTAATGGCCGATGTCATGGAGTAAAAATTCCGCTTGCTCTCAATAGCTCAATACGTCCGCTATTTATTGATGAGAATCCATATTTGGAAGAGGAACATTTACCTCATTGGACAGATGGGTATGAAAGAATGTGAACTCGGTTTGTGCTGCTACACACTGCATGGATCCCTTATTAGTCTCATGGCAACAATGTTAATCCACTCGTGAATCCAAGATTGTAAATCCATTCCCAAATCTAAGATCCACTAAGTTAGGGGGTTTACATATTGATCAGGGAGTTTTAGTTGAGATATTTGTTCATGAGCATCTCAAACTAAAATAGATGTATATTGTGTTCTCACACTTCATTCTTTGTAAGATTTCTCTTTTAGTTCACTAAGAAGGAGATGTGACAATTTTTGTGAAATCATCTTTCATGGTTGACTTTTTTACGTCTATAAATGACCTCATATTTGGTAATGAAGTTGTTACACACTATTAGTGGTGCTCATTGAGGATGATTTTACTATTGGTCCACCTCATCAGCCTAGTACGCTTTAAAACATTGAGATGTAAAAGATTTAGTAGATCATCAATGTTTTTATTCGGTAGAGGGAAGATGTCATGCAAGCTCATAGTGTCAGCAATGTTCTCATGACATTTTTGTATAACTCAATACTGAATCACAACAAGATAATCACTAGTATTAAATTTCACTGTGTTGATATCAATTACATTTTTGTACAACCCAATATTAAATCACAGCAAAATAGTCACTAACATTAAATTTCACTGTGTTGACATCAATTCTCATAGTGGATCATCAATGTTTTTATTAGGTTGAAATAAGATGTCATTCAGCCTCATAGTATCACTTGGTCCTCATGACATTTTTGTACAACCCAACATTGAATCACAACAAGATAGTCACTAACATTAAATTTCACTTTGTGTTGATAGCAATTCTCATAATAGATTGGAATATTAGAGTATTGAGGATCTTACAAGAGTTATACAAGGAGTATTTGAGCACAAAAGAATTACTTAAAATAGGGAGAGAGATCTACAACCTTGAGAAAGGAAGATTATGTTATGTTAGATGGTTAACTTAATATTGAAACTAATATGTAAACTTTCACAAGTGCAATAACATGTTGCCAAAAAGAACATTGAAAAACAAGATCAAGGAGATAGAAAATGCATACGTAAAGTTTCACAAGGACACAAGATCGAGAAACATGGAAGTGTCAAAAGAAGACCACGATCATGAGGAATTTAGGAGGAATGAGACACAAAATTAATTGCTAAAACTCAGTTGATGTCAAAATACATATTAAAGAGACTGATGAGACGAGAAATATTGATCATGAAACGAAAATAAGAGTTTCAATGGATTAACTATCAATGTTGAGAGGATAGCAAAAAAGGATCACAAAGAAAGAGTCACAAAAAATAAAATAAGAGAAAGAACAACCACAAATGCAAGCAAACAGCATATCAGATATTGTAGTAGAAAGAATGAGTAAGAATTATACAAGCCTAAATTTATCACATACCTCTTAATGGGGGAAAGTCTAAGGTAGGAGGTGATGGTATTTAATAGTATCATCATTACTTAGATTAATTTGATTATTTTCATTGTCTATGGTTGAGAATAATTAACGCCCAAGAACTTAGAGGAAAGAGTGGTTCTTGATGCAGGGTTAACAAGATAAGATCAGGGTAGAGACAAAAGCATCATGTTGGAACACCATAGAACCAAGGTCAAATAAAGAATGAAAAGTTCTTAAGAAAAGGAATCCAAGAGGGTGCTTGCAAAGCATCAATTATCTAGACAAAAGGAGGAAACGAGACTTCAAAGTACCAAAAATTGTCTAACAAGAGAAGGATGATTGTCAATCCAAAATGGAGAACTTCTCAGCATCATGGACATACTCCCACTTTAAATGCATGATGCCTTAAATGCAATGTATCCCACTAGATAATTAAGGTTAGGTCTAATACCTCTAAGTAGTAGATGTGTTGTAGTTAGAGAGAAGGAAGGTTAGGCACCATATGTAACCTTTCTAGTATTATTAAATATTTATTATTTATGAAAAAATATTAAATTTCACTACGTTGACAATAATTCTCATAGTAGATCATCAATGTTTTGATTTGGCTGAAATAGTATATCATTCAACCTTATAGTGTCACTTTGTCCTCATGACATTTTTGTACAACCTGATAGTGAATCACAACAAGATAATCCTTGACATTAAATTTCACTTTGTGTTGATAAGAATTCTCATAGTGGATCATCAATGTTTTTATTATGTTGAATTAATATGTCATTTAACCTTATAGTCTGACTCTATCCTTATTGATTTACAATAAAATAGTCATTAACATTAAATTTCACTACATTGACAGCAATTCTCATAGTAGATCATCAATATTTTTCTTAGGTTAAGTTAATATGTCATTCAACCTCATAATAGAACATCAATATTTTTTTATATTCACTATGGAGGTTGTTAGTCAAACGAGTGGCAATAGTAAATGTAATGGAGATTATGGAGGTGATTAAGAGAGATGAATCATTAATTCTAAAATCTTAAATATAATACTAAATTGAGAAGAATATATACCCTCTTGGTCAAGAAGAGTCTTATATGAATAGAGATAACACACATAAATGACCAAGGCTCATGCAAGGTGAAGGAATCAAGTGAGCTCTATCTTAATCTCATAATAAATGAGTTTGAGAAGTCCATTTTTTGTCACAAAATTACGGCTCAATTAAATTTTGATAGGCCTATGAAGCTGAAGAATGGTGGTGCATATGGGTCAAAAGTGATAAATGGGCAAATATCTTTCTTTGCATTCATTATGGGCCTAAACATGACTAATGGGTCGTGTGAAGCCCATAAAGAAGGAAATGTGTATTATGTCGGTCCTAGCTTGAGGTAGACATCGATAGGAGGGAATCGCTCAATTCCAAGTTGCTGCATGCGAAATGAAAAAAACACAAATTAGAATGAAAAGAAAACCCTTGATTTGTTTCATACAAAAGTGAGTGTTTATACACTAGTTGACATGTGTTCCCACTCATGTGTGAAGTAACTTTAAGACCTAAGACTCCCCCTTAAGATGTGCTATAAATATTTTTAACAATCATCTTAGACATCAAGAAGGATAAATGAGGATAGGAAAGATGTTTAGTAAAAGCATATGCCAACTAATAATTAGAATGAACATAAAGTAGTTTGATGATGCCATCAACCACTTTCTCATAGATGAAATGGCAATCTATTTAGATATGCATGGTGCACTCATGGAAGGTAGAATTTGAGGCAATATGTATAGTTGTTTGATTATCACAAAATATAAAAGTGACGAAATATGCACTTGGATGCAAAGATCACATAACAGTTGTTGGATCCATCTGATCTCGACAATTATTATAGCTAATTAATGGTACTCAACTTCAATAGATGATTGGAAAGTGTTGTTTGTTTCTTTACCTTTCATAAGACAAAAGAATCTCCAAGTACAAAAGCCAATAATTGATTTTTGAGGGTCAAGACATACTACCCAATTTGCATAAATAAGCTTGAATTTGTAGATATGATAAAGTTGAAAAGAATATCTCTTGACCTAGAGCTGACTTCAAATAATGAAGAACATGGTATACAACATATATGTGAGGAATTCGAGGTTGAGCCATAAATTGACTTAATTTGTGTACTGCAAATGTAATATCCAAACGTGAAAGAGTTAGATATGAAAAATAGTCAATCAATCAATAGTTTTAAGTAACATCATCAAGTAATTGTCTGAAGTAGCAATGAGTTTTAAGCGATGATCTATAGGAGTCAATGTCGATTTCCATCTAAAACTTTTAATAATTATACAGTATAATGTCGCTGAAATATTATAATGTTTGTGGTGGAGCCTGTAATTTCTAATCTCAAAAGATACCTCAATGTGTCAAGATCTTAGAGCTTAAATTGTGAATGTAAGAAATTTTCAAATCATCAATGATAAAAACAGATGGTCCTACTAATATGAATCATCAACATAAACTAGTAAAGTAATAAATGTAAGTCCTTACCTTTTAGTGAAGATAAAATAATCAAATTTATATTGTGAAAATCTATATTGAAGCAATAAAATAGATAATTTAGAGTATCATTGCCTAAAAGTTTGCTGAAGTCCATAAATAGATTTATGTAATTTGTAAATGAACTTACCATTTTGAGAATGAGACTCTCCCTCACGAGAAGGACCCAAAGCAAGATCCATATAAACTTCTTCCTAACAGATCACCATGTAGAAAAGCATTATTAATATCTAATTGAACAAGATATCATTTATTACATGTAGCAAAAACTAATAATAGTTTGATGGTAACAACCTTTGCAATATGAGAGTAAGTTTCAAGGAAACTCACTCTCTCTTATTGTGTATATCATTTTACAATAATGTGAGATTTGTGTCATTCAATGGAATTATTAGAATTATATTTAATCTTATAGATCAATCTACATCTAATTGTGTGTTTCCCTACTAGTAACTAGGCAAGTGATTATGTATTGTTTTCTATCATGGTATTGCCTCTTGCCATTAAGGAAATTTAATATCTTCGTAATAAAAGCGAGGCTTATAATTAGAGGAGATTTTTAGTGCAAGATGTTTGTATGATAATGATAATAAATCATATGAAAGGTAATTAGATAGAGAATATGGATGAATCTAATAGGATAGGTTATTGTGGGAGAAAATATGGGTTGTGTCATTACAATTGAAAATTTTGGAGATAAGAAGATGGTTTGTTGATACAACTGGATTTTTGAGTTAGTAAAAGTAAAGACGATTAGGGTGACATAGGGTTTGTAGGTTGAATATTGTATTCTTCAAGTATAATTTCATGTTCAATCTGTGAAATAATTAGATGTGAAAACTAATCATTAGTATTGTCCAAAGAACAAATGATTGGAATGAAATGTATATTCATAAAAAATAATATATCGTAAGATTAAAATATCTTTGTTTTATGATTATATGACTTTTAATTCTTATTAGATATCTAATGAGTACATATTTTGTTGCATGACGAAAAAAATTATGTCGGTGTGATGATAGAGTAGATGCAGATGAAAAGGCTAAATAGCCTAATACACGAAAAAAAAAATCAATAGACCTCATATGTAATAATTCATTTTGAACTTTTATTGTGTAACATTGGAGTAGGAATGAGATTAATAATAAATGTGATTGAGAGTATACAATTAAACCAAAGTTATGTTGGAATTTGAGGCTGAAATAATAAGCCCTTGACACATTCAATAAATGTTAATACTTTCATTCAACTACTAAATTATGTTAATGAAATTCCACGTGAGAAAATTAATGTAATACCACATGTTTATTGAAAATTTTAGTGGATTAAAGTTATTTTGTGTTATATGATATAATTTTTTTAATATTGCATCTATATTGAGTATGAATCATTTTAAAGAATTTGAGATTGATATATCTGACTTATGATTTTTGCTTCATAAGGTGACTCAAATGAAATGGCTATAGTCATCCAGAAGTATAAGTATTGATGTACAAAGTGACTGATAACATGGAAGGAGCCTCAAATATCATAATGTATTTGGTTAAAAGAATTTTCAAAAATATTCTTATGTCTAACAAAAGGCAAATATTTTTGTTTTGAACATTCACAAATATAACATGACTTGGTCTCATGAGGACTAACAAAAGACAAACAAGGTTTTATCACATCAAAAACTCTTGTAGAAAGATGTCACAACCTTTGTGCCACACTTGACTTGAGATGTTGTTTCATTAAAGTTTGATTCATTTTGCTATCAATCAAAGGAACTAAACTTGTTGACTCCAAAATACAAAGATCATCAATTCTTCCATCCTTGTCAATTATTATCTTACAAGAGGCATATTGAATCATAAAATGGTGAGAAAAAAATCAATATAAACTTGTGACTCTATTGTTATCACACTCACAAAAAGTAGATTGAACTTAAATTGAGGCACAAATAAGGTATAGAGCCAATTGTAGATTTAATTTCACATCACCTTGTTAATTGATTGATATGTGGGTACTATTAAGCAATGTGACTTGAATTTTATATTCATCGTAATGAGACGAAAGCATTTATATTCAAACAAATATATCTTGATGCTCTAGGGTCAATTACTTAATGATCATTTGTGGATATAATGAGATCCAATGAAATCAAAAAGTAAGTACCTATGGAATATACTTCTGAGGTAGCTTCTTGTTTGCTAAAAACTATCAGAGAGTAAGCTAAATGTGTAGACAACATAGACATTAGTTGATTTTGAGTAGAGGTTAAATCTTTTAGTAAGCTTCTAATATCTCTAACATTTTGTGGTTGATTATTAAAGTTTAAACTTGAGGAAATTTGATTGGTATTAACCTCACAACATCTGAATTTTAGTTTATACCTTAGCTTTTGGATAATTATGTAACATGTAACATTTGTCCACAATTTATCCTCTAAAATTGTAGTGTAAAGTATGTCTTTTTTCTGTGTCTAATATGGTTTGAAATTTTCTGAAGTCCTAGGATTTGTTTCGCAAACAAATCTCATGATGTTAAATAAATCAACTACATGTTTGACATTAATCTATCGATGACATTCATATTGAGATTCAAGATAAGAGACCTTGTTTGTAGGTGGTAGTGGATCAATGAGTAAAATTTGAGCTTGAATATGAGAAAAATAATGATTTAGTCTATCAAGAATGCCATAACATGGTCTTGTTCTTTTGCCCCCACAAGAATATGTAGACGGTTAGTTATTTAACTCTTCCCAAATTATTTTCAACTTGGTGAAATATACTACAATATTTTGTAGATTCATTAGATCACATCATAATTGAAAAATCTTCGGTCCATTACAATGATGATACCTATCTCTAAGATATTTTCATTTTCATATTTTGTATATGCATAAATGTTGATAACTAATATCTCACAAGAAACAAAATTTAATATCCAAGAAATGACTATATTATCATTCATGTCCCAAGTTGAGAATAATGTAGCATCTTCATTCTTTGGTTTGAGAATTGATCCATCAATAAATCTTATCTTATTTTTCACTAAAAGCACTACAACCATATCACGATACCATGATGCATAATTATCTCATGTTATTTGTTGAGAGAGACTACGATCAATTCAGGACAATCAGAATGATGTAGAAAATAAGTGCCTAACATATTATCTGCAAAGGCTTTATTCAAAGCCGATCTTGATGTATCTATGGGTTGTACTATCATTATAAGATATGAAATTACAATGATTATTTGTGGATCTTGACATATCTTGTTGACGTAAAGACAACATCAACCATGATATGAACTAATCTTAGTCAATTACGATAAAAGAAAATGTAGAGAACTCAACTCATTGTTTCTTAGACTAGTGTGAAGGTACATCACATCAACTAGAAATAGAAATAAGTAGCTCACATGCTCTAATAACATATTACGTCAGTCTTGACTTGAGGTAGACACTAGAGGGAGGGAATTGCTTGATTCCAAGCTAGTTAGTGCCTGTGAAAAGAAAAAGGAGCAAAACATAGTAGAAAGAAAACCCTCAATTCATTTCATACAGACAATGAGTGTTTATACACTAGTTTACACGTGTTCTCACTCACATGGGTAGTAACCTAAGACCAAAGAATGTGGAAGGATTTTATTTTTTACCAGGCCTAAATCAGGCCCACTAATTACCCAATCAGGCCGATTGGGGATTTCTTTTGAAAGCTATTTTCTCCGCCCAGTCCAGAAAACCCATTATTGGGCTAATGGGCCGATTGAGAGCGCCTATAATATTTTAATATTTTGAATAACGAGTGGCTACACTTTCACACGTATGGATTATGGAATGGGCCGTTTGGAAAGCGCGGGATCTGAAGAGAGAGAGAGAGAGAGAGAGAGACCCATCACTTGATCATATCGGCAACAGAGAGGCCCCCGGCGGAGGAGCTCCCACAGATCTCCCGCGCCATCGCCGCACCGCCGGTGGCTACTCTATCGATGGCTTCTCTCAGCTTTTTTCCCTGTACAGGCCTCTCCGACCTTCCCTCCACCAGCGCTGCTCCGTTTCGTCGAAGGACGCTGACGAAGAAATGCCCTTCCCGGTCACGCTGCGTGAGGGCTGCGGCTTCCCCCGCCCAGGAGAACGGAGAAAAGCCTGCTCAGGTCCCTCAGGAAAAGTCGGCCTCGTCTCCTCCCGCCACTCGTTCGAAGAAACCTGTCTACTCGAGTACGTAGGCTGGCTGCATCTCTAGTACCACTTCGGCAGTTAAACCCCAATAATATGTTCTCATTCGGTGAATTCTAAGAATTTTTCATTCACTTGATCCCTTTTTCAAACCTGCTTCTGCGGGTATTTTTTTGAACGGCTCTTTCATTGTTTGATCACAGTGAAGAAGGGACAGATTGTGAGAGTGGACAAGGAGAAATATCTCAACAGTATCAATGTAAGCACGAGAATCAATGAGGAACCTTGTACTTAATATTTTCATGTTACTATAAACGACGATATGCTTGAGTTTTCTTCTTTCCTTTTAGGCGTTTTCGTAAATGTGGGGGACCCGGACTTGTTATTTCATGAAAAACACAACTGACTCGGAAAATTCATTCAGAAATCTTAAAATTTACGCAAAAATTATCTTAGATTTTAGGGAACCAGGTCGGTGAATGGAGTATCCAAATCATTTCTTCAAATTTCTCCCAATTTTGTGAAGTAGAGAACATATAGTTTGAAAATTGAGGGCATATTAGTTTCTCACGTGTGATTCTATGCTTAACACACAGAATAAGTGAATAATCATCAGGGTGAATTCTGAGAATTCTTAGAGTTGGGAATATCTTTTGAGGATGACAGCGCCATGTCTGGCTACCTTTGAAGCATCTGTATGGCCTGTGGTCCTGAAAACCGATATCGTAAAGACTTGGGCTATTTTCTCTGTGACTTTGTCAAACTATCTTTTTTTTCTGTTAGACGCGATTGATTCCCCTCAATGAACGAACCAATTCATGAGAATCATAAAGAGCTCTCAGATGAAGCTAACAAATGTGTCAACCTGAATTTCAAGTGTTGAAGAGTCTGATGTCTTCACAGACTGATAGAGCGTGAATTTTTTCTACAAGGGTTCTGTGTGTTCATGGATTCCCCACATAGTTATAATAAATGGGGGAATGTTAACTTTCAAAGAATCCTTCCTAGGCAAGAAAAACTCACTTCATTCCGAGAAGAGTGGTCAGTATACTCATTACCATAAACCAGTTTTGAGTCACCAAATGACCGGGTGATATGGCAATGCTGGATGCAAACCTCATTATTTCTCCATGGTTGCCACGCTGTCATCGAAAATGTGGTCGATATTGGACAAATCTCACCCCAACGATCAGCCAAGGATCTGAATTGCATATGTTTTCTTTTGCTGCCAGGTTCTGCATCGTCCTAATATCTTGATGCTTCAACCAAAGCATAAACCTTGGATGAAACTGAGTAAATGAGAGCAAAGAGAGAATGAGTTGATATAATAGAGTTGATATCTCATGTTTTATTTATTCTTGTACCCAAGTCTAGAATGATCTGATCACTGATTAACAAGGGTATAAATGTATTCATTTCAGTATTTGTCCGTTGGGCATCCACCATACTTCAAAGGCTTGGATTATATATATGAAGACCGTGGTGAGGTGATCAATTCTAGAGGTCGAATCCGTGAAGTGACATGTGCAGAGATTTAACAGTTATTGTTCTCAAGAAAAAATTATATGCATGCTATATTGGCATTTTCGTGGCAACATTTTCGTCAAGTATCAATCTGTTGTCACATTCTCCGCCTCATGTAGTTTGTCTTCTTGTTGGCAACTAGGTACTGGACCTCAAAATCTTTGAGACAGGGGAGTATGCCCTCGTAAGTCTCCTTATCTCTTTCTTTGTGTGTGTGTGTGTGTGTGTGTGTGTGTGTGTGTGTGTGTGTGTGTGTGTGTGTGTGTGTGTGTGTGTTCTTACCTAATATACGGCTCTGATACGCTTCACCATTGAAGGATCTAGATAACTAGGCATTTTCCATTATTATAGTAATTTTCCGTTGAATAACAGCTGATTGTGCTCAACAGCAAAAAATTAACTGTAACAATGGATAAGGATGAATCTTTGACAACTGGGTTTATACGAACTACTTGGGGTTCACCCTTCAGTAACGACAACATATTTGGAGTATGAGTGACATATTTAAGCTTCACATGTGGTTAATTCGCTTAAGTGATCATTTTTAGAACTATGTGATCTGCTCGAAAATCCTGGGAACAGGCGATTTCTTAATGGTTCTTGTGTGCCTTCGTGGAAAAAGTGATTTAATGATCTAAATAATTGAATACGGAATAATTAAAAAATTTGCAGCACTCAATTATTGTGCTTTTTGGGCATGATCGGACCTCGACAATGCAAAACCCTATGCAGGTAAATATTTTGATCGAGATATTGTGTTTCAATTGTTTCCAATAAGTCAACGTAGTGATGACCGCAAAACTGGGCAAAGTCAACTTGTGGAGAACCAATTTGTCAAAACTAGAAATTCTATGGAATTTAGTGAGATCAATCTATATCAATGTATGGTAATAAACGCATATCATGAATGATCTGAATAATTCCTGACCTTTTTACTGGCTTTCTTGAAGAAAAAAAAATTGAACCATTTTGATAAAACTGTTCCACAAGCGAGTTCCTCAGCAGGCCAAAGAATCTTATCTGTATTTTCTCTCTACAACCAGATTGCGTGGGTTGGAATACCTACTGCACCTGCCTGGCTTCCAACGGACATGCTTATTAAGGTAAGGTGTAAGAAGTAAGCCCTTTTTTGGTTATTTACTTCACCTCTGGACCAGTTCATCATTCTTTGTGAGCACTGTGAGCCCTTTTTCTTGATCTGGGTGTGTATTTTTCCCTTGTGGGGCATCGACATTTAATAGGCGGCCAGAATGGTTGGGTGGGAGCTCCATATCGTTCCTTTTTTAGTATTTTCATGCCACGAAGGAGCTACCACTGTAGGAATCATGACCTGGCCATCTCTTTCCATAGGAGAACTGATGCTACCCTTGAGGATTCTTCACCTTGATCATTTCACCTTTGACCCTCTCTGGCAGCCCACTTCCACCGGCGGCGGCTGCTCTCATAAACAACCCCCCCCCCTTGCTCGACCCCATTTTCTAAAAGTCAACTGTGCATCGTGATGCTCCATCATCTTGGGGTATAATCTGGCTGAAGCTTTCCTGTTTTGGTATGGCCCGTTGCAGTCAGAGAAGCTGAATTATGAAAGAATGTGAAGGAACTGGCTGTTATGGTGCGAAATTATTTCCCCCAGAAGTCAACGCAAGGTGAGATCCAGCTAGCTTGCATTTTTCTCCTTTCTTTCTGTTCAACGATTATATTGAAAATATTCTGGAGAGAGAAAATACGATTCTGGTGCATTCTCGCCCTCAAACGACTAGTTTTTTTTGTCTATTTCCGGCGAATTTAAAGGAGAAAAGGTTGACTTACGGTAGGGCCATGCTTGATGAGCTCCATCGGGAGAGTCTCAGAGTGGACTCCATGGAGCCTGTGTGGAAGATTTTCAAGTGAAGAAATCCGCGTGGAGAAATTTACTCGGTTTTCTTATCAAACTATATTTTTATAATTGTCGACGCACCTAGTGAGCCAGTAACACCAGCTCTCTCTCTCTCTCTCTCTCTCTCTCTCTCTCTCCTTTTCATCAACCTATGGCGGCCACTCGGTCCTCTTCCACCCAGCCGACGCCTTGTGGCGGCCTGGCTGGGCAGGTTGCTGTCATTTTCCCGGCATTTTCTCTTTCCATGTAAGCGCGTGGACAGGAGTCTCTCTCTCTCGCTCTCTCTCTCTCTAGAATAAAGTGGGCAACAGTGACCGGCCAACCAAACTGTACGAAACAGCGGTTCCGTTCTTCTTTCTATGTTACAAAAATAGTATGGAGATTGCCACCTTACATGTACACTGAGAACCCGTCGTCGACCAGAACATGTTACGAGCAGACGAACCGAACGAATAAACAAAAGTCAACCACCTCCACCAAACCCAACCCATCGGCGGCGCAGCTTGCAGCCGCCCAGCCACGTCACCGCCTCGGCGACTCGTAGGGAAACTGGGACCTCCCGCTTGAGACGTCCACCCAGGGGTCCAGGAAGCTCCTACCCGCCCCCACCGGGCTCATCGAGTAGCTGTTGAACCCGCCGCCGCCGCCGCCGCCGCCCATCGCCGCCCCCGGAAACGACGGGTGCGGCGGCGACGGCAGGCAGCTCCAGTTGGCCTGCCGGAAGCTTCTCAGCGGGCTTGAGCAGGGGGAGACCGGCAGCGACAGGTTCATCCTCGAGTTGACCAGATCACTGCAGACGGGAGGGAAGTCAACCGCTGAGCCCCGGCCCGAAGTCAACCTCCCCCAGAAAGGGAGAAAAGAAAAAAAAACCCAACCCGCCCGTACCTGGGGCTCTTCGTTACAGGGAAGCTCCCCAGCGTGTGCCGCAGCGGGCAGGCCCTCTCGCTCAGCGGCGACGCGCTCCTCTGGTAGCAGAACTCCGCCCCCTGCACAAAAGCCCATCTTCTTCATACTCATAAACGAAATCGCGACCTTCTTCTTCGCTGGTTCCAGGGAGAGGCTTACCGGAGGGGTCTGGGTTCCGTCGGAGGGAGAGTGGGGGAGCTCTCGGGCAAGGTTCTTCCTCCCGAACTTGGCAGTCGCCTGGTCCCGCACGAAGGGATGGTCCATCAGCTGGGCGGCGGTGGGGCGGGCGGAGGGGTCCCGCTGCAGGCACAGCCTCAGGAAGTCCTTCCCTTCCCTGGACAGGTGGCTCGGGATCTCCGGGATGTCCTTGCTGTTCACGATCTTGAATATCGCCGCCACCTGAGGAGACCATGGTTAGGCTGCTGATAAATACCATATCATTCAAGCATCTGGGCAGAGGGAGATCCGTACCCCCTCGTATTGGCACCAGGGGGGTTTCGATGTCACCATCTCGATGATGGTGCACCCAAAACTCCATATGTCCACGGAGAGATTGTACCCGCTGGTCGTCATGATAACCTGAGCAGAATGTCCACGCCTCCGGTTTAGACAAGGGAAGAGCATGCACTTCTCATAACAAAATATAGAGAGAGAGAGAGAGAAAGGAGAGAGAGGAGAGAGAGAGAGAGATTGTGGAAGAAGGAACAGCGTACCTCGGGGGCCATCCAGTAAGGGCTTCCTTTAAAGGAGTGGATTGAGTTATGCGAGGATATCTGGTCCAAGAAAGTCAGGCCGAGTTCAGTGATTTCATAAAGTTGAGAGAAGAAAAACTGTAGACTCCAAAAATGTTTCCTTCGTCAGATTGGAAGAAGAAGAAGAAGAAGAAGATGATGATGATGATGATGATGAGAGATGGGTATTATTCTTTTGTGTTGATCTTCTGCCGATAGTAATATAACTGTGACCGCCAATGGAAGTGTTGACTGACTTGTGAAAGATGTTGGGGTGTTCCAAAAAGCTTGGTTTTGACCTAAATAAATAATCTATCTTGCATCTTATCAGGGATTTAATTCACATTCTCTGTTTCTCCCTACAAAATTGGCATGCTCTGTCACAACAACCTGTGAGAAGATATAAACAGCATTCGGTGACATTGATTCAGATCCCACTTCAGGAGACCCAGAATGATTCAGCCCGGGGCCAGATACCCCCAAATGCAGACCTCATTGATTATGTGGGAGGTAAATACTAGGAGAATCAGCTATGAAAAAGAATCATTTTTTTTCCCTTTTTGGAGGAAATACCTGCTATGAAAACCCTTTTACTCAAACCTTTAGTCACCACAGACGTCCATCATACATAGGATGCTACTTTAATTTCTAAGGGATTGAAATATCAACCAAAAGGCCTAACCAGTCTCACTAGAAGTGTTGGGTTGAAATCTTTCTATCGTTGCCAACCAATAATTTTCTCCTTCTTTACAAATACGGTCGGATATTGATGAATTTCAGGCACCAACTCAATCGACTTAAGAAAGAAAAAAGCATCGAAATCCCTGGACACATTAATATTTAAGAATGAGAAAGATAATACAAAAAGTAAACAAAGGCCGCTGAAAATATCTTAACGAATGTACCGATTTTAGGTAAGAGATCAGGGGTAAGTACATGTTTCGCCATGCCAAAATCAGCCAGCTTGACTACTCCATTAGGATCTACGAGTATGTTGGCACCTTTAATATCTCTGTCAGACAAGTCACTTTCAGGACATTGTTTGCCGAAAAATAAAAATAAAAAATTCCATTTAAATGAGAAAAAAAGAAAAAACCTGTGAACTGTATCTCTCCCGTGTAAATATGCCAATCCAGAAAGAATCTGAGCGGCATAACTTCGAATGACAGGCTCACTGAAAGGGCCATACTCTCGAAGCAGTTTATAAATGGAGCCACCAGAAACATACTCAAGATAGACTGAAAGTGTATCTTCATCCTGTACAGGAAGTTTAAAAACGATTACCAAGTAATTCTTGCATGGTCTCTTTATGTTTATCTAGATGAGGAAAATCATCGTCCACGGAGCCAAATTGGAATCAAAGAGCCCTTGTTCCGCTTTTGTATGAATATCTAGGTTATTTATTACGTGGGCGTCAATAAAAAGTAAATAAATGCAAACTTAGGAAGGTTCTCATAAAGTTGAACGGGCCAAGTTTCAGGATAGAAGATATCTAAGATGTGAAACTCACCAGTTCACTTCCATAGTATTGAACAATGTTTGGATGCGAGAGCTGGCTGAGCAAAGATATTTCCTGTTCACAAGAGAGAATTGTGTCTCAACAACATCTCCTTTGTTTGATGAGCATTTGAAAGGCACACTCGTTATTATGAGACGTGCATGCAATCAAGAGGAAACCACACAGAAGCAAGTTTTTTTGGCGAATCCGGATGTAAGCAGACCTGAGATAGTTGTTTCAAACTTTCTTTGGAATCTTTATCGTCAGAAATGACTTTGACCTCTTTTATGGCACACATCTGTCCACCTTCACTGATAAAAAATAAAAATAAAAAGGTCACGGATATGCAAAAAAAATACCTTTAAAAAATAATTCAAGTACATGTTTTCAACTAGTCAACCATTAAATGTATCTGGCAGTTACACATACCCAGATTAACTAATTTAAGCAAATAAAAACCTTTCATAAGCAATATCCAAGAGAAATTCTATACATAGAGTACCCGAGAAATAGGAAGAGCAGATACCTATTGAACCCCAGGAAGACATGTCCAAAAGTTCCCTTTCCTAGAAGCCTTCCCTTCTTCCATTTTGGTTGAAGAGCGCGTGATGATGATGATGATGATGTAGGAGAGCCAGGGGGAAGGGGTAGCGGATGAGAACTCTTCAAATCATCTCGATACCCAGTTGGAGATCCTGGATTTATAGAAAATACAGTTGGGTGCCTTGGAGATGTAGAAATATTGTAGCCTCTTGATCCATTGGTGGGACTTCTTGGTCTAACACTAGATGTCGTCTCCATAGAAGTTCTGCAATAGGAATTCCCGTTTCCATTTGAAGAAGCATGGGGACTGCTCAACTGGAATTGTTTTCTTGGAGAAATAGACAGGTCATTGAATTTTTCAAATTCCGAAACTGGGCAACTTGACGGGAGGCCTCTTTCCTCCACTACATGCTGCTGTCCCTGAGAGTCGGGCATCGAACTTCTCCTCTTTGGTATACTCAAAGGTTCTGAAATCCTACATTATCAAAAACATGAAACCATAAGATCATCCCGTGAAATTCACCTCACAGATTTCCTGCTATAGCATACCATCCACGTGAAAAAATTGTAAAGAAAGACAGAAATATATCCAGATACCGTAAATTGCAGGTAATAGGTCAACGGCAAGTCATGTATCTGTTCACAAATTCACACAAGCACAGAGAAAATACTGAAGATACATCTGCTTTGAGTCCAAAGGCACGATAATTTAAATTCATTTTTCTCAAAAAAAGAAGAAGAAAATAACCGCTCTTCAAGAGGAAGTAGAATGGAATATCAAATGAAACTTAGCTTCTAAAAAATATCCAGGAGTCCCCGAACCACTCCCCTTGGATCGGACCCAATTCACACGTTTTCACAAGACTGAAGGTTAACTTATGTGATCGGGCGCACAATTACAGGGGAGCTGTACCGGCATAAACTAATGATGCGCACAAAATTTGAGAGTTGTCACGACTGTCAAAATTATTCAACAATAATTAGCCATGAACTGGCAAGTGTAGAAGGGACCTTCCACAAGTCAATAATCATAAGGGCACGCATCTACGCAGCGCGAATAGTAATTATAATTCGATCAAGTCAAATAAATACAAAGAAGACAATCACAAACCTAAAAGAGAATTGAAAGAATAATTCCACCCAAGGAAGGGGCCGTACCGGGAAAATCCCACATCCGCGGCATCATCGGTACCCGACGAGCTGACGCTCGAAACAGATGCGGAACCCGAACCCGACCCGGCCGCCGCGCCTGGACCCTGCGGTCGCGAAGGCGAGAGGGAGATCAGCGGCGGAGGGAGAGGGTGCCGCTTCTTTTCGCTGTCCGAATCGAAAGCAAACAGGGATCGATCCCCTAGCCATCTGGAGTTGCCTCTGATTGCGGCCTCGTCGAAGCTCCACGCCTTCTCCTTCTTGTTCGGCGAGCTGCCCGCCCTCTTAACCTCCGGCGGCGGCGCCTCCTCCTCTTTCCTCCTCGCGCTGGAGCTCGAACTCGTGCCGGATTTCAGTTTCCCCCTCCACCAAGCCGGCATGGCGGCGCTCTCTACTTCCCCCTCTTTTCAGAGTGGTTGGAAGAACAGGGGATATAGATAGAGATATAAAACCGCGAGAAAGAGAGAGAGAAGAGACAGAGAAGTGAGAGAGAGGAGAGAGAGAGGCAGGGGTTACACAGAGAGTCACCTAACGGGGCACCTAGGACTTTCTACTGAGAGAAAGGAAGCCCGAGTTGGACTGCGGGTGGTTGACAGCTCCGCTCGCCGGCGGATTGGATCGATCCGAAGGATCGCCAGAATCTTCCTCGTTCATCGTGCCGCCCCTCATGCTTATCGGGTCTCGGATCTTGTGCCATGGCCTCGCTTTCCATCGTGACCGTACGGATCCTACGTGGCAAAAGAAACCTTCTACCTTCCAGCGAGCTTGGGCCGAGTTTAGCCTCCTTAACTGGACCCATAATTACACAACCCATTAGCTCACGATTGGACCAATCATTAGCTGCCATCTTTCGAGATAAGAGAGAGAGGACGGCGGGCATGCCTGGAACGGGCCTGATAATTTAAATTAATGGGCTTTCATTGATTTGGTCCTACCGCCACGTGGAAGAAAAATCAAGCCAGGACTGCCTCTCCGTGGCTAGGTTCAGACGCGGAATTCCGGGCCGGGTTTTAACACGTGCCAAACACACGAGCGGGAGGAGGAGGGGGTAATTATTTTCTTTTTCTTTTTTTGGAAAAGATCTATGGGGATTTTTAAAACGCGTGGCGGACGGGGAGCGCGAATCTGGACCACACGGGAGGCGATCAGCCCACCGCCGCAGAAGCTCCAGTGGGCGTCCACTAGAAATTGCGAGACGATAATCCGAGAAGAGGGAGCTATCCCCAAACCCTAGATTACCGAATTCCTCTGCCACCGGCCGGAGAGAACCAGCGGCGGCCGCAGGGGGGGAAGAAGATCTGCAACGCAATGGCTCTGGAAACCTGCTTTCAGGTGAGCACCGTTGCCCATTCCACCACCGCCGCCGCCGCCGCCAGGAACTGCATCGCGCACCCCCACAAGCTCAGCCTGCCGGCGAGCAGAGCCCGGAGGAGCGCCGCCTTCTCTCTCTCCCCGTCGCTACGGATTTCCGGCTACCGATCGACTGTCCTCGCGCCTCGGAGAGGCCGCGGTGGCCGCGTCGTCTGCCAATCTAACAACGCGGTCGCTGAAGGTGAGTGAGCCTCTCCTGTTCTTAATCCGGTGGTTGTTTGCGGATTCGATCTGATTTTGGAGACGCACCGGATCGTCGATCCAGTTCTGGAAGTGACGGAGGGGACCTGGGACGACCTCGTCATCAACAACAATAAGCTCGTACTGGTCGACTTCTGGGCGCCGTGGTGCGGCCCCTGCCGGATGATCGAACCAGTGATCAGCGAGCTCGCCAAGGAGTATGCGGGGCAGATCGTCTGCGTGAAGCTCAACACCGACGTCTGCCCGAACCTGGCGAACCAGTTCGGCATCCGGAGCATTCCGACGGTGCTTCTCTTCAAGGGCGGGGAGAGGAAGGAGAGCGTCATCGGCGCTGTGCCGAAGCTCACCCTCTCTGCCGCCATCGATAAGTATCTGCTGATGTGATCTCTCTTTTCTCCGTTGTAATCGTCAGTCCAAGGGCGCGCCCCCCAACCGTTTGCTATTATTCCTCTGTATAAACTCTTTTAGTGTTCCTGAGTTATCTTTCCTGTAAAATACCCCCAGATCTGTAAACCGAAAACCTCGAATACCAGATCGGGAGTATCAGATGGCTCCTGCCTCCTTTCTGGGATCATCTCGCCTCTCTCCGATGAAGATACGAAGCAGCTCTGAACCACTCGGCGACGGCGGTGGCGGCGGAGGTACTCCGCGGTGCTCCTACTCCTCGAGCGGGAGATGCAGCAGCACAGCAATAGAACCAGGATCCCCGTTTATTCAAGGATCCGCTGAAATAACCGGCGATATTTTTAGCATTCATGGTAACTTATATTTTCTCCCATGCCCAGAAAATCTAACGTTGACTTAAAGTTGACGGTAACAAATTATTGATTCAGATTACTAATTTGGGGAAAAAACGAAAAACCAGAATGTAAGTGTCGTCACATCTTGCGTTCTAAGTCTCTATTGGTGGAAGAAACCGGGCAGAAATCGGCCCGTTGACCGGAGTCGATCAGGTTGTCTCATCAATATTCCAGATATTAAAAAATTACAAAAAATAAGAAAATGTGAGAGAAATTGTTATCCTATTCTATTAAAGCTCGTTGTACTCGTTTTATGCATACATTAGATTGGATTTATGGTTTCACTGGGGAATTCTGATTCTTGACCCGAATTTGGCGGTTGACTATAATTGACCTCATTTATTGACTTGGTCCATGAGTGACGCGTGGCGTGGAGGCTGTTGGGTTAGTTGTAACCATATTTTTTAGCGCGAGTAATCTTAGTAGAAACTCTCTCTCTCTCTATAATATCTACCAAATATTACAGAAATATGAAAATTAACTTATGAGATAAAAAAATATTATGCAAATTAGCTGACAACGAAAATTATGGTTCCAATCTGTGGCTACATCCATGAGGGAGGGAGATCGAAGATATTTTCAGAAGATATGTTTATAAATAACAGAAGAGTCGGGTCGGCTACACCTCCACCAGTCACACTTCTCCGAGTATATCACGCCCGTACACGTGTTTTCATGCATCAGCATCTCGTATGGTGTGGATTTTGACACGTTTACGATAATGGGCCGACCCGCCGACATGTGAAATGGTCGCCGAGGGGGACGGACACGTGTCAGGTGGCAACTGACCCCCCCGACTATATAACCGGGATGCGGAGGATGCGGAGGATGCGAAGATTTCAAACTGTTGAAAGCGAACGGTGTAGGGCGCCAGATTTGCTCCTTCCCCGTCCATGCAGCCACTGCCAGAGATGAAGATGCCGTCGGGATCGAAGATTGAGAGGAGATCCTCCGTAGAGAGAGAGCCGAAGACGCTCACCACTCAGGAACTCCAGTGTGCCAGGGTAAATGCGTCTCCATTAGCTGTTAATTTCTTTCGATTACACAGATCTGGATGTAAAACCTCCAACGAAAGGTTCTTCTATGTTGCTCATCCTATCCGTTATCGATTGTGTTTTTTCTGAGATCTCGCAATCGGTGTTCGTCTAGCTGTGTCGGCCGTTTGGTTGACATCTGTCTCTGGACATGTCTCTGTTTAAACCTGTTTTCCCTTGGCTGTGAGAGGAAGAACGAATGGTGACGAACTGTTTCGCGTAGGATGTGTGCGGTTATTTGTGAACGTAGTTATCTTGTCATTCTAGCTTCCGCCTGTATTTTCTTTTCTCATATTTTCTCTTGCGGTTACTGCATGCGATTTTAGAATTCCACGCTCGAGTATCCCAGGGCGGGAATATCATATTCACCCCAGAGCGGGAATATCATATTCACCCCAGAGCGGGAATACCGACCCGAATTAGGGCGACTCCCTCGGTTACATTTGGACACTTTACCACTGTCTGTTATCTCCGAAAGGAAACATTCTCTTCTTGTAATACAGAAGCGTACCTGCAGCTGCAAGGTAACGACGAGAAAAAAGAAGAAGAAAAGGGATACTCGAGCGTGTAATTCCAGCTTCGAATCTCAGTCATCGTACATATAACGGGGCTACAGAGTAGCGAAAAGGAAACAGTAGTCAATCTTCATTGCAGAACGTCATATTCACGGTTTCTGACATATTTGGATTACAGTGTGTACTTCCCCAGATCAGATTAGTTTATCGACAGGGATTCAAGGTTTCACTCCCATCGAACGCCAACTTAGACAGTGGAATTGGGCCGGTATAACTGGCGGGAAGATGAGCCTTCAAATCAGAGATTTGAGCGTAGAATAATACCCGAATCCTTCTGTGATGGAGAGTTGGGTGCAAGTGTATTCATACACGATCATCCTCTACGAAAGCACTATGTCGAATATCCGCTTTCTGAGTTGACTTTCAATCCGGAGTGCTTCTGCTTCTGTTGTATAATTAACGCCCAGTTAAAGTCTTTCAAGGAGTATGATTGCTCCGAAGATTTAGAAACCGGGCTAGAGCATCAGGCGACATCTTCTTTGGTGTGCATCGGCAGTATATGTACTCCGTCCGTGTATGGTCGATGAGGTGTGAGATAAAACCTGGCCCCAAATTATTTTTTGCAACTCCCTGGTCGAACTGTCCCTCCTGGAAGAACACGTAGCTCACTCTCTTGCTTCCACAGGAGAGAGAGAGAGAGAGAGAGAGAGAGAGAGAGAGAGAGAGAGAGAGAGAGAGCGAAAGAAGAGAGAGAGATGAACTGCCATATCTAATGAGTTTGGCATCGTGACGAGAAAATGGGCTTTGGGCTTTGGGATTTCTCGACCCATTAACACTTCCACATGTCATGATATTCATCGATCCATGTCAAATAGAATCGATATTTATAACCGTAATGCCTATCATATATCCGTCAGAAGGCGAAATCTGAATCTATGCAGTGATTTGCCTTGTAAAATTCATGCTCAAACCGTTGTTGCAGGAGGGAGCGATTCAGATTCTGAGAACAAATACGCTGGAAGAAGCTGTAAGGATTTTCACGGAGGTACGTTCATCTTGTTTCATCAGTTGTATGGCTTGAACGAGCGGCAAAGGTCTTTTATATTATCGTTTGACTGACTCCTGAACCACGCCTACTGGGCTTTCTTTCTGATCCATGGATTTAATATTTTATTTTCACTGCATTAACGTTTATAGGGAGGGACTTTTTTCTAAATTAGTTGGGCAAATCATAATTTTCCATGATTTTGGTAGACATCGGGATTTTAACGGCGAATGTGAATCGCACTGATATTCAGCCTAGTCATGCTAGATTTCTTTTTAGCCCTCAGATCCATACACCGTCCCCCAAGGAGTTGTTCTCCACTTTTCTCTACCCTTAGCGAGAGAGAGAGAGAAAGAGAGAGAGAGAGAGAGAGAGTCTCACGGGAGAAAGTAAAAAGGGATCCTAGGCCACTTGGCAAGGAAGGGGCGGTGTCACCACGCCCCCGAACATCACCAAAAGTAGTGTACTCATCGTTTGGGAGTAATCGTTGCGGATGGCGCAGGAACCTAACTCAGACTTTCCACTTTCAGGGCCGAAAGCCCGTGCTCAGGCCGGGCCAGCGCGAGAGAACAGTCGCACCGGCGGAAGCGCTGGACGACGTCTTACTGCCAGTGAACAGAAAGCGGTCGCATCCTCTCCTTTCCCGAGCAAAGTACAACGTCTCATCGCCGTTCTGAGCACCACAGATCTGTCCCTCCTCACAATCAAGGTCATGAATAAAAGGCAGCCCGACCAAAGCCGCCGAATTTTACCTTCTTTCCTTATTTGGGTCTGAAAATTAAACGCACCCACCCCCCCGGTTTAGAAACTGTCCCTTGGCCCCTTCCGGCCGGCTTCTTGCCTCCTTCCCCTTCTTCAGGCCCCTGACAAACCATCCCCAAGGACGCACATATATGTATATATATAGAGATGCGATGAAAACATTTATCTCGTTAGGCCCGGTTCCTAAGTCGACAGCCACAAACAGATGTAGATAGAGTACATTTACATAGGGGTTGCTGGTTCCTCAAGACGTCTGCGGGGTCCACTCTTGACAGGTCGCAGCACTCTACTACTGCAGGACAAGACAGCCGTCCTGGAAGAGAGAAGCGGCAGGCGGCGGAACGCTGGTCTGGAGGAGAGAATCGCCGGGGACCTCCTCCGCTTTCTCCTCGCCCGCCGGCGCCAGTCCGGTGGCCTCGAATAGGGAGGCCTTCACCTCCTCGAAGCGCTCTTCGGAGAGGGAGACCTCCGCGAGGAGCCTCCAGGCGTAGGCCTCGGAGGCCTCCTCGTAATCCTCCTTCCTCTTAAGAACTATGTGGCCGCTGATCTCCCACACCGCGGGGTTCACCTGGGTCTCCAGGATCTCCCGGTCCACCTCCCCGAGGGCCTGCTTCTCCGCGTAGCACTGAGGGAAGAGGAAGATCCTCCTGCCCATGTCGGAGATGAGGACGTTGAAGGGGGTGTTGCTCTCCTGAAGGCAGATGCAGGCGCCGGCGACCAAATCAGAGAGCTCCTGCAGGTTGCTCCCGCCCTCGAAGACCAGGCCCCTGACGGGGTAGTTCATCAGGCTGGAGACCTTGACCCCGCTCTTGGACGACAGAGGGATCCTCCTCGTGGGGGCCTTCTCCACCGGGAACGGCACGGCCAAGAAGTAGGCCTGGTTGGAAGGGGGGCGGATCAGGTCAGTTCTCTCTCTGGAAGCGACCAGAAGTCCCGGAAGGTCGGAGGAAGGGGAGCTCACCTGGAAGTGGAGGTGATTGATGGTGGCGAAGGCTCCGAGGCTGTTGTAACCGACCCGGAAGTAAGGACTCCCTGCTTCGGCAGCCATGTGTAGGGCGAGCAGGAAGCTCTCCCGATCGATCCTCTGAGGGAAGCGGTCGAGGACGCGCGGTATCAGCAGCACGTGGCCGTACTCGATGGGGCTCACCTGCGACCATGGCGGAGGGAGAACCTTCAGGAAGACGACGAAGGGGAGGGAGCAAGACGACGAATCTTCACGGTCTGTGGCTTACGTTGATGGCGACGACGTTGGGAGAGGCGTCGGCACCGACGGGGGCTGCCTCGGTATAGCTGGCGGCGCCGCCTTCGGGGCTCGGCTCGAAGCGAAAGAGCACCTCCTCCTGGCCGACCTTGGTGAAGTTGAACTTGCTGGGGTCGAAGGCCTGGAGCACCCGGTCGACGCGGAACTCCGTCGGGCGCTTCTTCAGGTGGCGCCCCTCGTTGAGCTGCGCGATGAAGCCCTGCTTCCCGGGGATCACCTTCGTCTCGCAGGCCGTGACGTCGTACCGGAACAGCCCCCTGCTCATCCGATCCTCCCACTGAAACGGATCGAGCAAATAAGCATCTCGGTGAAGAAGAAGCATGGCAGAGTTGGACGAGATGAGGGAGAGAGCGTAAGGGGAGACCATACCTGGCCGAGCACAAAGTTGTTGAGGAAAACGACTGAAGAATCCTCGTCAGGAGACGCGGGGTGGGATTTCCCGTTGGCAGAAGCCTCTTGGATCTCCGCCTTGAAGGTGTACAGAGGGAGCTTCGCCACTGCGATACGGATCGGCCGTGGTGTGAGAAATCAAGGGAGGAAAGCAGAACAGAACAACGTCGAGGATCAGATCGAGGATCGGGCCGCTCACCAGGGAGGCAGCACTTGCCGAGACAGCTGCGGCCGCATCCGAGCGACTCCTCGGCCTCCTGGAAGTTGGAGACGACGGTGGGAACTCTCTTGATGGTCAGCATCTTTCTCTTTCCAACGGAAGCAGAGGCGACGACGACGAAGAGGTGGAATCAACGACGACGACGACGACGACGACGACGACGACGACAACAACAAGGAGAAGAACCGGTCCAAGAGGTGGAATCAAAAGAGGATTCTAACTACAAGACTACTACTACTACTACCGTCCGAGCCCTGGAAAATAGATCGGGAGCGGAGACGGCGACGTGAGATGCGGAGAAGGAGGAACCGCCGCCGGCCAGGAAGAGGAGATCGGAGGGGCTGCCGCCTTCGGAGGGGAGAGCTCCCCGGCCGCCGTGCGGGGAGGGACTCCTCTTCTCGGTGAGGAGCTGCTTCTGGACGTCTCTCTCCTTACGCTCCACCTCTGCCGGCCTCCTCTCGCGGCGGTGGATCCCCCACCCGCCGGCCTCCTCCGCCGCCGTGATTCCCACGACTCTCTCTCCCGCCCCTTCTCTCCTCTCGCCTCCTCTCCTGCTCAAATCTAGGTGCCACCACCTTCCTCCCCCTCCACACGTCCTTTATATACCGGTAGAGGCCTTGGTGTAGGTCCCACCAAAGCAACCGCCCTTTCCGGGGTACATTTCCTATTCAGCCCCTCAAAACCCCCAGAAATTACAAAGTAAAACTTCCGGGGAGAGTCATTTAGTGGTCGAATCCGGTCCACACCCTCTCCTGGGGAGCTCCGCCACACACGTTGGAAGTTCCTTCGGGTGGTTGAGAAGAGGGACGCTGACGTAGTTGCTGGCGTCATTTTACCGAATTATAAAAAATTTGGGGCCGCATAATTTTTGTGCGGCCGCAAAATCTAGGAGTCACTTCCACGAACGTATGAATAATTATCTCTTATTATTACTATTATTAAATACTATAAATATTGATTGCCCACTTGGCCGCCGACCATCCCCATCCTCGGACAAGAGCATACGTCTTCCAGAACATTCATCTACGGTCTTCATCCATTTACTATTATATTTTATCAAATTAGCAACCGCGAAAGCCACCCGGTAACCTTGGAGCCCAGCTCAACGTGGGCTTTTCTCACCGACTTTTTCCCTGAAAAGTACGTCGATAAATCTCCCTCTCTCTCTCTCTCTCTCGCTTTATCTATTTTTTTTTGTTGGAGATCGATTTATTAATGGTACTGTGTAATAATTTAATGGTACGAAATAAATACGGTTGTCTTTCATGCCTCTTTAAGGATCATTTAGTATGTTACGGTTGACTAATTATTCGTGTCGATCGTAAAACAAAATATATAAAAATGAAATTCGATCCTGCGGAACATTCCTATCTGTAGACCCCACAATACCACGTGACAAACCAATCGCGGGCTATCATGTTATCGTGAAATCTCTACCGTCAATCCGACTGGCAGCATCGTTTTCCACATATGGTAGACTATAGACACACGTCACCCGCTCCGTCTTTCCATAATCGGCGAGGGATTACGGTCGTCGTGTTTTCTTCGTAACGCCACGAAGAAGAGAGATCCGTTTTCGCTGGGACGTCAGTGGAATTATTAGTTTTAATAAAAAAAGTAAAAAAAAAAAGTACCAACGAGGTTATCGTCTCTGTTCAAAGATTGGACGAGAAAAAACGGCACTTTATTTATTTATTTATATAATATGAGTCCCTCCCTCCTACCGTCATTCACGGCCCCATTCATCAACGTGTTAGTAAAAGTACGTGAGTAATTTTACGAAAAAAATATAATATTTATATTAAATTCTCGATCCATTCGTAGATCGTACGGCCCCGAGCTTGTCTGATCGAGGGAAGGCTATGGACGGGGGAGCTCGGTCGTACGGCCGGGTGAGGGGCGCCAGTGGAACACGTGGAATGGCCGTTGACTTGCTGAATCAGGTAGGTCTCCCCGCTAGGTACAGACAACGTGGGGCTCTCGGGGAGAGTAGCCGTTAACAGAGCATATTCTTTCCACTAGTGAAGATGCCCACCGCGTATTCTCCTGCCTTACCTGAAGAAAGAAGTTGGGCACGGAGGAAAGGCCCCCATGATGAAGACTCTACCATATCCTGTACCCAGATTCAGAGCACATAAAATTTGTCAGAAATTATATTATCATCATCAGAGCCCAGAAATTTATAGGGTTTGTGAGACAGAAAAGAAAATAAAAGAAAAGAAAAATTAGATTTACGGCGCCCCAGCATTATCAATATTTTTTTATTGAAAAAAAAAAAGATCCAGTCACCACCTTCAGAACCCAGAAATTTTGGTTAGGGTTTATGCACTGAAACGTACAGATTGAACAACGATATTCAGATCCCAGAAATCTTGATTAGGGTTCGTGCAATGAAAAACTTTCAGATCGAACGACGCCATTCAGAACCCAGGAATTAATTCAGAAAAGGAAAAGAAAATAAGAGAACCGAGGTCTCGGCCCTGAACGATTCATACCATGGAGGGAGAAGAGAAGAGGGTGGTTCCCAATGTCCTCACCTCCGCCATGAGAGTTTGCGCTGCTTGGTCTCAGCTCTCCATGCGGATGATGCACCGGAGGCCGGCCCCCTGGAGCGTGTACTCAAAAGCTTTGTTGATCTCCGAGAAGGGGACTTCGTGGGTGATGAATTTCTCCAGTTCCAGCTCCTGAAACATCCGATCCCATCACTCAGCAGGAAGTGAACACCTAGTCAACCCATCTAACTCAGTCACTCAGCTCGCTCATCGAGCTTCTCATCAATGTGGAAGGAATTATTTCAGCACGCTAATTGGGAATTCGGCCTCAACTTATTTTAAAAAAATAAAATAAAAATCTAGCCAACCACTTTCCTCAGAAGGGAAGAAATCACGATCACCTTGTTCATGTACTCCTCCTGCTCTCGACATCTCTCACTCTCTTCCCCTACTAAACCCGGAATCAAGTCCCACTCACAGGTTAGTCGGAGCGGAGATACCTCCACCGATATCGCACTCTATAAATACGGTACGCCAATACTCTCATCCCTCGACCCTATTTTCCTTAACGGTGTTTCGACAGCAAAGAATTCTGAACCCTTCGGACGTTGTCCCCACTCAGGCTTGTTTATTCAAAGTGTAGGGTAAAACTATGATGAGCCGGAGGCACACTAGCTTCGGCAGCCCGCTTTCCGGTCGCGTACTGCGTCTCCACCGTTGCCAGCGGCGAGGAGTTGGCTGCTTCTACATGGCTTCCTCTTGTCCGATCCAGATCTCAGAGAGGAATTTAGGCGCTGGATGAAGGAAGAATGATGAACGAGGATGGCATCAACTCCCAGCAGCGCCGACGGCCGGAATCTGACTGACTGCAGCAGTCGGTTACTCAGACTCGCCGGAGCAGGCGACTCTTCCATGGCCGCCGCCGTCTCCAGGATACTGAAGTGACCAGAAGGTAGCCGGTCCGCCACCTGGAAGAGACGTGAGGAAAGGGAAATCCAGTCGAGAGATCATCCTCCGATTGTTATCCTTCTTCTTCTTTTTTTCTGCCGGGGTTCACCTGTTTGAAGCTAGCGGATGCAGAGAATGCAGATTCGCCTGCGCTGGAGATCAACGGAGTGAAAGAATGAGATCACATTCCGCGATGGACAATGTTCGATCAGAGGCATAAACATCTGCGAGGAACAAGGTGACGGGAAGGTCAAATTGCTGTAATAAAGTAGCGGCGAGTGTGGGGAAGAGGTGCGTGATGGGCCCGACGGATTGACTGAGAATCCAGGTTCGTGACAGCGCCGCCTAATCTTCTTCCGCGGGATTCTTCCTCCGATCCGGAGAACACAAAGTTCCGTAGGAAGCAGGGGCTCCCCGCCGGGAAGGACGGTTGGAGGGTCACCGACTTCTCACGTGAAGCCGCCTTGACTCGGAAGAATCAGGAGCTCGGAGGAGTTCTCTGTGAGGAAGTTTCGTCCGTCGCATGGCACACGCAGGAACTTGGAAGTCGTAAAGGGGGGAAAAATCACTCTCCCCTCTGAAGCTCCAGCATATTCAACCATGAAATGGTTTCCACCGTGCGCCGCCGCCTTCTTCTCCGGCCTCTTGCGCCGCTGCGCTCCACTGTCTGCGATTGGCCCTGGGAAGCAGGTACACGCGCACATTCTCACCCGGGGGCTCCTCCCTCACGTCACCCTCCAGACCGACCTCGTCCTCGTGTACTGCCGAACCTCAGACCTCCTCAGCGCCCGTCAGGCGTTCGACGAAATGCCCCACAGGAGCTCCCACACCTGGAACATCCTCTTCTCGTCATATGCTCAGAGCTCTCGCCCCTGCGAGGCTCTTCGCCTCCTCCCCCTCTTCTTAACTGCAGGTCTCCGTGCCGACCACTACACTTTCCCGGCTCTCCTCAAGGCGTGCGTCGCCGCCGGCGACCTTCCCCTCGGCTTGTCCCTCCATGGCCGGGTCCTCGAGACAGGCTACGAGGAGGACGCCCTCGTGCGGTGCTCCCTCCTGGACATGTACGCCAAATGCGGTCGCATTGCCAATGCCCACCAGCTGTTCTTGCAGATGCGGGACAGAGACACAGTGGCCTGGAACTCGATGATCTCGGGACTGGCGAGGGCGAAGCTGCTCTCCGAGGCCCTATGCTGCCTCAAGAAGATGCAGTGGAAGGAAGTGGAGGAGGACCCCATGGCCGTGCCGAGCGTGCTAGCCGCCTGCGGGCAAGCCGGAGAACTGCGGAAAGGGAAAGAACTCCACGGGAAGCTGATCAAGAGCAGCCTGTTGACCACCGATTCCGACGCCGCGGTGGGGAACGCGCTGCTGGAGATGTACTCCCGCTGTGGCTGCCTAGCAGATGCCCGTAAGGTCTTCGCGATAATGAGCAACCGGAATGTGGTCACCTGGACGACTCTCATTTCTTCCTGCGGGGCTCATGGCGAAGGGGAGGAATCGCTGATTCTCTTCGAGGAGATGGTAGCCTCGGGGGTCAAGCCCAACGCGGTCACCTTCACCGTGGTCCTCTCCAGCTGCAGCCACTCGGGCCTGGTTGCCCACGGCCGGAGGTTCTTCCAGTCGATGAGCGGCGTCCACGGGGTCGAACCTACGGCGGAGCACTACGCCTGCATGGTGGACCTCCTCGCCCGCGCAGGGCATCTGCAGGAGGCGCTGGAGCTCGTGGAGAGCATGCCGGTGGAGCCGACGGGGAGCGTGTGGGGGGCCCTCCTCGGCGCGTGCGCCGCGCAGGGGGACGCCGCGGTGGCGGAACTCGCCGCGCGCAGGCTCTTCGACATCGAGCCGCGGAACGCTGCGAACTACGCGGCTTTGCGCGGCGTCTACGCCGCCGTCGGCGCCAGAGACGGCGTCCGGCGAATGACGGCGAGGATGAGGGCCCTCCGCCTGCTGAAGGGCCCTGGACGAAGCTGGATACCCGTGGAAGGTGAGAGACCTTGGGAGAGAAAATGTTGATGAAAAAATACAATTTTTTTCTCTTTGGTGGGGCCGGAGCGAACGTGGCCGCGTGTACATATGATATAAATTAAATATATTTTAAAAAGAGAATGAAGATGACTTTAATTAATATAAAACTAGTGCGTTGACGAAGATTAAGAAGTCTTAATTTCGCGCTGAATAATAATTTATTCGCCGTTGACAACTTCTTTTTCAATGTATGACGTCATCCCTTTAGCTCTCTCGTGCTTGTCCACGAGTGGGATCAAAACGAATAATGGAATCCGGCACCTGGGGGACCAGAAAAAGGGGATGGGAGGACCTAGTCAGCTTCGGTGGGGTCCGTATCTGGTACGTGCTGCGGTAGATCCACCCGGTGCGTTCGTTGATTAGAGTCCGAGGTCAAAAATGGCCTCGGGGCAAACGTCCGAGGTTTTGAGGCATAATCTTTCCTCGTCGCACACGTGTAAGGATGCATGACCCTAATCGCAGATGAGACTAGAAGGGAGTTCTCAGAGGTCGGATAATCCTGCGGAGCACAAAGATTAAAGTTATTCTGCTAGCTGGGAGTTGATCGTGACTAATCGGACGGCGTGCACATGATGTAATCAGAACAATCCCTAGTTATTGTACATTCGACGGGACAGCAGACAATGATGCCACGTCACTCTCACGTTAGCCAACTACCCCGATACTGTGGGGTCCGCCATTGGAGCCTAAACAAACGGCAAGGTAGGACATCTTCTTCGCCATCCCCCGCGTCGTTTCTCCGCTCCTTTCCATCGTCTTCTTCCTAGGAAATCCTTGGGTTTCCCCAGGTTCAACTCTCTCGAAAACTTCTACATCCCTCCTTCCTTCCCTCCTCTCCCTCCCTCTCCTTCTCGCTCCGTCCGCTCTCAAAACTCAGGATGCATGGCGGCCAGATGTTGGTGGAAGACTCCGCTCGGATGTCCTCAATTCTTACCGCATCGAAGACCGTAAATGCCTCTCCATGTTCATGCTTTTTGTGTGGTTTGACCGATCCTTTGATATGTGTCCTCTTGTAGTTCTTTCGATGGAGTAACTTTGACTGCAGAATTGGATGTTCCTTTGAGTTAAAGAAGTTTAGATTCTGTTCCGGTCTCTTTCGCCGTTCTCTTCTTCGCTCACGTTAGTTGGCATTCCGTGATTCCCTGACTTCTCTTAAACCCTTTCGCTTACAGTCTGGCGTTTATCTATGATGTTCCATTTTCTTATTTTGTGTTTGCTTTCACCTAAAAGTTTGGGTTAATCTCTCCTTTTTCGTTCATGTGCGCTTTTTCTCTGGTACTCGTTATTTTTAACTTCTTTATTTTCTCTTAGAATTTATGTCCTTTGAACCTTTCCCGTCAATTCCGTTTCTTCATTTTTTTTCTTCTTTTACGTCCGGGGCTTATATTTTAATTTTTCCCTTTTCTATGTCTGGTTTACATCTTTGTTTCATCCTGGTATACTTTTACTTACAGTTTCTAAAATTAGCATCTTTATATTGATCATAGCTCGTGCATGCGAATAATTCCCATTTTTCTTCGATATGACTTATTACAGATCCCGGTCCGTAGTTAATATTTCCATTATGATGTAAAAGGTTTAATGAATCAATTAAATCAGCGATCATGAGTTTTTTTGGTTTCGGTTAAGTTTTCATAATTTTTCATAAAGCAACAGTTCATGAATTATTACGTGTTTCCTTGCATGGTCTAATCACCTGGCTGCAATAAAAGTTCTAGTGCTAATGTGAGAACTGATGGAAAGGTCATTGACCAAGTGCTTGGCAGCAAGTTTTGGTTGAACAAGTATTAATCTAATGCTTCATAATGCAGGGTTCCTTCCCATCGATGACCAAAATTGTTGGAACACTTGGTCCAAAGACGCGTACCATTGAAGTTATTGAGGCATGCTTAATAGGAGGAATGTCAGGTAAGTTCTGTTTCTTGAAGTCGTTTTCAATTTTCAAGTGCTTGCGCCCTCATGAAACGGATACGCCTATTTTACCCTTTTCAGTGGCACGATTTGATTTTTCTTGGTTGGATGTTGAGTACCATCAAGAGACTGTTGATAATCTGAGGAAAGCTACGAAGAATGTGAAAAAGCTGTGTGCAGTAAGTCATGAAAAACCTCATTTTGTCCCTTTTCTTAATATTGCTATAAATTATATTTTTTTTGAATGTCATATTTTATTTGGCGGTGGATAGCTCTGCGACATGATTGATGGGAGATTTTTGAACAATGTGGCCACAAAATAATTAAAATTATTTTTGTATGAGTCTTCTTCTATCATACTGATTTCCGCAGATAGAGGAGAATTCTGGTTTCTACGGTTTTCATCTCTCTAGGCTCATAATAACATCCCCTAAAAATCATTTAAAGATCTTCAATCGCTCCAATTATGTGATTATCCTAATGCCACAGAACCGTAGTTCATTTGGGCCGAAAGATGTGAAAAGAATTTTCCGTTAATATAATGCACAATTTCTAATGGTACGCTTTCAAGTTACTAAGTTGATTTTGACATATACGTTTCCGTGGCAATAACGTAGGAAGAATAGGGCTCTAGGTTTGCATGGAAATTCTACTGTGTCAGGTACAGATTACAAGTTTTGCCCATCCCCTCAACTGGCAAATTCTTCTCATCCCCTCAAACATTGGCCACTATGAAATGGCTTCTATTGTCGATTTATCTTCTATCCTCAAGACAACTCAGTATGTTCTGATTTAATCGATGAATAATTGTTTTTACGGATTTTCATTTCAAACGGTATGGGACAACGCAATAATCATTACTGATTCGAAGTGTTTTTCGTCAAGATATTTTTCCCTCTTTTTGGTGATTTTAAATAAAAAAGTTTGAGCAAAAAAAAAGAACTAAATCTTGAGGTCTATTTATTTATATCAACGATATTCCTGGATTTCCTTCCCTAAAATATGGAAGATGCTGCTGAATTAAGCAATGATTATTAAGAAAATTCAAGTTGGGTCGTACCATTTTGTTTACTTTTCTGTCTCACAGCAGGCACGTGCATGTGTAATTTCTTCCTCGTAATGTTGAAAGTTAAGACCATATGGTTGCCACGTTGTACGGGAATGATTATAATTTCTGACAGTGTTCTGAGACGGAACTGGAGCTTATGTAGATTACTTGTTACAGGATATTCCTGTTAACAAAAATCACATGCATAACGTAGAATAAATTATCCATGTTTATTTATTTTGTCATATCTTGCTTATAGATGATGATATACTCGAGTATTTATACATTCTTCTGCCAGTGAAATGTTCGATACCATATAAGTCCACAAAACGTTAATCCCCAGAGCAGAGATGAGCGGGAACATGTAACGAAATGAACCTGGAAATGGACACAATAGGTTGTATAGGGGAAGGTTAGAGAATGAAGCTTTACTTGACGGAAATAACCGACAGAAAACAGTTAAAATGGTATTCGCAGAAATAATATTTTTCACTACGCCAGATCACTCTTTGATAGACGTTGGTCTCTAATTTTTCAGTTTGAGGTATGATTTTGTAGCCTATTATCTCTACCCGTACCCCGATAAGAAATTGGTATTTGGGAATCTGTCTATCCAACGCACATCAACAGTTTTTATAAATCTGACGAAGTAAAATTTGCAAGGTTTTTCTTGAAGGAAAATTTTTTCGAGTAAAAATTTAAATATGGTGCTCGATAAAGCTTTGTAAAAACTCAGATGAGAGGTAGTAAATTCGAGGGAGTCAGAGAACTGTAACTCAGCGTCACCACCTAACCTCCGGCCCAGTTTACCATGAAATTTGTGCAATTAATGGAAAGGAAAAGGGTGGAGAGGCAGGCCCTTGTAATCCAAGATTTGGGATACTGCGTCAAGAGATATCTGGAATTTAACTATTTACCAGAAATATCCCACACAAAGTATAATGTTATAATTGAACTCTTTATTGCTTTTGCAGTTTATTAATTATGGTTGCAGAACTTGCACCATCCCACGTCGTTGAGGAGACTCTCTTTACCTGAAAATGGAAAAGGAAAAACATTATTTTTTCTGCTGTCTGTTTCGACTTTTTCTTTTTCTATTTCACCCGTACATTTAAGAGGGCTGTGGATTAAGAAAAGGCTAGTGGTTTGTGGTTATCCCTACTTAGCAAATTCATTTGCAGGTAAAAGTTTTATTGTATCTCAATTAAATCCTTTTTTTTTTCTAAGTTTACTTTCTCGCTGGACCTCCCAAATGTTTAATTCTTATGACACATTTTATTCATTATTGTTTTAGGTTATGATGGATACTATGGGTCCCGAGCTTCAAGTATACAATAAAAGTGGAAACCCGATAGAATTGAAAGCTGATGATTACGTTACTATTACTCCAGATACATCTAAAGTTCCATCCCAAGGGATTTTACCTGTTAATTACGCCGAACTTGCAAACGTAAGTTCAAGGTTACTTTCTAGTGATTTTTAGGTCTTTCATAATTGTGCCCTCTGAGAGTCTTTGATCATTGCGTTTGATGATCTGAAACCGTTTTACCAGATCAAGTTTTTGTTTAATTTTAACACCATAACTAATGTTCCAATGCCTTAAAGGCATGAATTATGTGAAATTTGTAACATTTAGAACATAATGTGTAATTTATATTTTCCTCCTGCAAGTATATAAACAAAAGGAAAAAATTACGCTTGATTATTTTCTCTCCTCCCATACACAGCTATTCTGTGCTATTTCTTTATTCTGTATTTTTTTATTTTTTCGTTCTGGGTTTTATTTTGTTTAATACTGGAGTTAATTGGAATTCATTAAAGCCAGAGCTACAGTAGACTCAGACGTCTTGTTCAGCGATGATTTGAACGCCCGAATGCCACAAATATTTCAACGTGTTTGCTTTCTGGGGATTGAAACTCTCCCGAAATTGTCTGTGTATGGCCGTAAAAGATCAGTGTAGACTCTTCTCAGCCATGCTTTACATCGTGGCATTCTGGAAAAAAAATTATTCTCTTCTCCAATGCTTTCAAAGAACTCAAATGAACTCGTGACTGATTCCTTTGGTTTTTACTTTGAGTTATTTTCATGTTTATATCCACCATAATTAATGTCTAGACAGGGAGAATATGAGTATACATACAACGGTAGTTTCTGTAAGATTCAGATGTGCGAACGGTTTTCATATTTACTCAATTTTATTTCGGTTGGATCGTTGACTTTACACAGTATCACCATCAGTATGCTTCGACATGTTTTCTTCCTCTCACCTTGACTTGTGACGAGTTGATCTCATGGAGAAACTGGATTTTCTCTCCAAAATCATGGCTCATGGAGAAGTAAATGATAATTGCATCGCCATATCTATGTCGAGTTATTAAATTTTTCCATATTATTAGCATATGCAATCTCGAGTAATTATTTAGCTCCCTCTTCTCGGCATGATGACATTTTATGCACGAGAAGAAGAACCACCTTATGAGCCGTCAGACCTTTTTATTTCAATCACCAATGATAACTTGTTGTTCTTGTAGACGGTTAAAAAGGGTGATACCATTTTCCTCGGACAGTATCTCTTCACAGGAAGTGAGACAACTTCGGTCTGGCTTGAGGTGAAGATATTATTATTATTATTATTATTATTATTTTCTTCAATGGATGAAAAATGTGGTTAATTTATGATGATTTTTTTATAAACTCATTTACGTAATCAGGTAACTGAAACCCGTGGCCAAGATGTCATCTGCCTAGTGAAAAATAGTGCAACACTTGCGGGCTTTATTTTTACCATGCATGCAGCTCAAGTCCGCATCAATCTCCCAACATTGACTGACATGGATAAACAGGTAATCTATATTCCTTCGGAATCAAGGACCCTTGTCTGTTCATTCAATCTGGTCGCATGAATAATGCAACATAAGTGAGACGATACAGGTCAAATTATGGTTCCGTGTTTATTTCTTTCTGGATGTATCTAGTAGATTCTTTGCATTATTAGCTAATGCGGGAATAGCTTTGTCGCTGTAATCTTGGATCTCATCTGAGGAATATCCCTTCTATGCTTCTTTTGCAGATCTCCTGTTTTCAGTTTCACCATGAAGAACGATACTTTTCTTTATACCTGCTTAGAGATGAACGTAAACCTTCAATAATTGATCAACTTAATAGATTATTTTTCCTTTTTAAGATATTTAACTAAAAATATATTTTCTTATCCATCAATGCAAGATAATTATATAAAGTTTTCTTTAATTATGCGTGCTTTCTCTGTACTCGACCATAGCGAAGGGATATTTTTTCAGAATATATGATGCTTTGATGAACTCCGGTTTCTTGCATATCATAACAAGTTCACATTTCGTTTATGTGTAACCAATTAGGCTATCTCTTCTTGGGGTTGTCGCAACAACATCGACATCATTTCACTCTCTTACACACGCCAGGCTGAGGATGTACGGGAGGTGAGTTCATATTTTCAGTAATGATCGATTCATCGGATCTAAAAGGGATGAGAAAAATGAAAATATGAAAGATTTCCTTGTTTTTCTATCGTCTTTCATGGAATGTACTGCGTGAACGACCTCTGCAAAAATAATTACTCCGGTATATCTCTTATATGCGGACAAAAAAAAAATTAACAGTGAGAGATTATAACATAATCTCTGAGTAGGTACGACGATTTCCACTTCCATTTTATTCATTATTTCTTGCAACTATTCCCGAGGGTGGACATGAAGAATAAGCGATGATAGGTTGACCGAACTAATTCTGTTGGTCAGCAAGAAAAAAAAAAAACCTTCTCAGGGAAACACTCCGATTATATATTTCTTAATAGAAACACCTGCTTTACACATTCAGATTGTGGGGAAAAAAAAAAACCTGTCAAGCAGAGAGAACCCTTTTTTTTTTTTTTTTACTGTGATGATATCTTTGTAGTTGAGATATATAGAAATAAATAGCATTATGGTAGAAACCCTTTTCGTTATTAGGATGTTATATTTTGATGTATGAATTCTAGGGACTTTATATGCCTTTCTCGTATAAAATGGCATATTCAAATTCTTCATGATAACTTTCATCTGTGCTTCACACGATTAAAATTGCACCAAAATTTTAGATTATGCTCAAATGAATGCGTTAATCGTAGGGTATTTGTTTCTTTCCGTGGAATCTGATGCGTGAATTTTTCGATGCAGCTCAGAGCTTTTCTTGCAGCTCATAACCTTCCCGATACTCAAATATTTGCCAAAATTGAAAACGTAGAGGTGAGTAAACAATTTCTAATAATACTATTTTTAACTGCTGATTTCTTCTATCCTTTTAGAGACGGGACAAGGCATGCTGTTCATGCCCTTGAATCCGAGCTCGCTATTTTTTTCACTTCAATATATTTCGGTCTTTGATATTTTCATTGGTATCAGCAAACTTATTACTTCATTTCCACCGCAGGGTTTAAGGCATTTTGATGAGATTCTCAGAGAGGCAGATGGTATCATACTTTCTCGAGGAAATTTAGGCATAGATCTCCCTCCAGAAAAGGTTTGCTCTATACTTTAGAGCCTGAACTCTTTAAACTTTTAAGTTTTACTTTTTTCCGACCATTTAATCAGAATCATTAGTATCATAATCCCAACATTGATAACCACTTACTATTGCTATTATTCCCACTGATTCAGTTGAAGAATAATTGAATTGGGCAGAAGTTTCATAAGATACGAAGATCTCAACGAGTTGACTTCACGTCTTTGTTACTATCTTGCTGGTTTGTACAGGCTGTATTAGTATATACTAATCTGGGAGACGAATTTTAGGAAGTAACTGTTCTACTTTGAGAAAACTTATTTTTATCCAAAATGGGAGTAGTTTCCTGTTTTATTTTTTTTACGAAGTCAACGGGCATTTTTCCTAGAGCACTCTGTTGTTGAATTCCTTTTTTTGCGTCAGAAGAACTAAAAACGGAAAAACAAAGGTGTCTCCGGAAGGAACAAGAGAGGTCAACCACCATCCGTGATCGGTTTTCGTTTGATATCTTTCGGTTTGGTATAGAGTAAATACGGTCGGTCAACTACTAGCCGTCACATGACCCTTGGCAGTAAAAAGAAGCTCATACATGACATGAATATAGCCACTGAGTTGCGCAATTTGATCTTAGCCGTTTTAACTCGTCTTTTTGGTGGGTCAACACGGCTTTACCCGTTACCCCCCGTTTCATGGGGGGTAGTAGGGGGGCTAACTATTTCCATGGGTCAAACCATTTTCAGTAAACCAGGCATGGTTTTCTATCACAATCATCTTCACATGCACATTGCAGGTGTTCTTGTTCCAGAAATCTGCCGTTTACATGTGCAACATGACCGGGAAGCCCGCCATAGTTACCCGAGTGGTGGACAGTATGACCGACAACCTTCGCCCCACCCGCGCAGAGGCCACCGACGTGGCAAATGCCGTGCTCGATGGTACATAACCCGTGCTTCCTAGCCCTTCCATCTACTAAAGTTTCAGAATTATTTCAACTAAGTCCTGCTCTCTCTCTGCTTCCAGGCACCGATGGGATCTTGCTAGGGGCAGAGACGCTCAGGGGTCTGTACCCTGTAGAAGCAATAAAAACAGTTGGAAGAATATGCTTCGAAGTATGAACATAAGAAGAAAATAAATTTATATATATATATATATATATTTGGAGATCTCTCGGTCACTGAAGGCGCTCTGTTTCTGCAGGCGGAGTCTGTCTACAACCAGCCGATTCATTTCAAAGCCATAGTGAAGCATGTCGGAGACCCAATGTCGAATGAGGAATCCGTCGCTTCTTCTGCGGTGAGCCTCTGCTCCATCTCGTCGCTTCAGCTCCCGTTTGTTATAAATTGTCCACGTACCCACCCTCCCTTGGTCAAAAGGTACGCTCGGCGATGAAAGTCAAGGCATCGGTCATCGTGGTGTTCACCTCCTCCGGCAGAGCTGCGAGGTGGGTCCCACCATTTTATTTCCTCTGATTTTCTTAAAGACCGTCGTATAATATTTTTGTGCTTGCAGGATGATTGCCAAATATAGGCCTCCGATGCCCGTACTGGCCGTCGTCATCCCAAAGCTCAAGACGGATTCTCTGAAATGGATATTCTCGGGAGCGCAACAGGTACGAACCAGAGTTTAGAGCCGTTGACCAGCGCATGGATTCTAAAGACACGTGGCGTTTCTTGCAGGCTAGGCAGTGCCTTGTGGTCAGAGGACTTTATCCTATTCTGGCTGACCTTAACGCGGTAATTTTCCGAGATAAGCATTATAGTTAGAAAAATCTATTTATCTGATAAATTGCGCCGTTGCTGTAAATGACCCACAGTTGATCGATTCTCATTGATCCGCCGCATGTTTCCCTGCAGGCGAGCTCGGCCAACACGGGCGAAGACTCCGCCCTGGAGCAAGTGCTGACCCATGCCAAGTCCGTGGGCTTGGTCAGCTCCTGCGACCGGGCCGTGGTCTTCCAGAAGATCGGGGACTCTTGGGTCGTCAAGATCGTCGAGGTCCCTTGACCCTCCAAGCCATTTTAACCAAAAGTGTGCGGTCAACGGAGCTTCCAGTCCGTCCGGAGAAATAAAAAGGTATGCTCTATTGGAAAACACAGGAGATTTTTTTTTTCTGATATGATATTAGAATTAATGGTGGGAGAGGAGAACGGGTCCCGTAAAAGTCTCATTCATTTTCTTTTAATTCATTTACTTGGAGGAAATCTCTTATGCGTGATGACGGCACTTTACTGGTCTATCTGGATGCTTCAGTGAGGTTATCATGTTCTCAGAACGGGACGGTTTTGACCTTTTGGTCAACTGCCTGGCCGAGATCCCTCTCGGTCAGCTGCCTATTTCCAGTCTTATCGGTTTGACTCCTTGTCTTACTTTTGACTTGTTGACTAGGCGTTCTAAACCGTATTTGTCGAACTGTTTTTTTAAAAACAAATTATTATTAACAAATTATGATTAAGTTGTACGTTTGGTTTAATGGACTTTGACTAAAGAGGATTCTCGGGCCATTAGTTTCCAGTGGGTCCCCGAGCAGGGCCTAACTGGATGGAGGAGAGAGAGAGGTAGGGCGAGAGAGAGAGAGAGAGAGAGAGAGAGAGAGAGAGAGAGAGAAGGGCCGTCATATTCAGGAATGAGAAGCCCGAAAAGCTATACTGGGCCTAACTTCTCGGCCCAAGTATAGAAACGTTGGGCCCAACCCATTTACAACGTTCTACCACGTAAGAAATCATTACACAGTCACAAATATAATAAAAATGAGTGTAAAAGTAATATATTTTAAATGTGATTTAAAACAAAAATCACACCGTTATAAGATCTTTTGGCGCTCGAGGATAGAGGGTTTTCACCGCCCATTAATCAGATATCGGAATTCGGCCTTGCGCGCCAGTTCGGTTTTCCCTCTGGAAGGTTTGTGCGGAGGAGATCACCGGGCTGCGCGTACCATCCGCCGAGCACTAAGCATGTTGTCCATCTGCCTGGGGAGTCGTTGATCAAGAGAGGGATGGTAGTTGGGGGTGCTTCTCACCACTGTTGGTCCATGCACGTCCCCTGTCGCTGGCTCTGGAGGTGTCCTCCCAAACTAGGTCCCCGGAGGTTCAGGAAAAAGGTGCGCTGCCTCCCGCCTGTGATGCTCCTCTGCGCTAGCTCGGCCGCAATGTCTGAGATGGTGCGCTTCTCTTGTGTTTTAGATACACGGTAGTTCAGTTTACTTGTATACATTTTTTGGTCTTATTTCGTTTCGTGGAATTGTTGTCAAATGTTCTTCACTTGGGGGTGGGTTCATGAGCTGCTCGGGTCCTTGAGTCACACGTCTGAAGGATAATTACTAATTAAAGTACAAAAGTGTAGTTTATTCTCAGTCAACACGTAGTTGGTGATGCCGGAACAACTTACGTATTGAAAACAAGCATACGGGGATGGTTCCAAGTGCAGTAATACTGGTAGCACGTTTCTGCTGTTGATAAATCATTCACGAATTTACCATCTGTAGTGGTCGTCTTTTTTTCCCTGTCCAATATGTGCATCTTAGATCTTCTCCGTCATCGCCATTCATTCCAAATGAGAAATCTATCCACATTTATAAGAATCATCCTGCGCTGCTTAAAATGGAGAGCAGGATTATTGGTATGTAATGAAGTAATGCGTTTGTGCTTCAGTTAACGACATAGATATATTTGTTCTTTTTGCGGCAAGCAGCTGCTCCTGATTAGAGCTTCTGAAATATATCATTACTTTACTACTTTTTAACGATGTCATGCTACTCATTCTGAAGTCTTACTGAATCATTGCTTATCAGGGAGCTTCTGAGATGTTCATTAGTGCAGCTAAAGGTTCATCAAATGCTTACCAGGACAGATTTCTGAAGAACAGCATGGAAACATCTTCCGAAAGTGTAAGGGCAACTCCTCAAAACATGCTTGTTGATTCTTCAGAGCCCAGAAAGAGTGATGCGAATTGTAATACATCAACTGGTCGAGTAATGCTTATTGATGGAACTTCAATCATGTACAGGTCGTATTACAAGCTCCTGGGTATGCCCTCCTTGCCACCAATTCTATTGTTCTCGTGGCAGTCAAGTGTATTTATCATATTATTTGATATCCGTATTTTTTTCACTATTTCTTGTGAAACATACGGAGTTTTTACTTTATGCTAATTGAACTTTCTAGATTAAGAGAGAAAAATCATCCGCAGAATGGATGTCAAGGGCATGTCAACTCTGATACCTGCACCTGTAATTGTTGATTTTGGATACATGATGAAAAATAAATGAAGAAAAAGGACTGAAAAACCTGCCTCTTTTGGCAGAGGTGTATATCATATTAGATACGAGATTTATTGACTATAGTGAATACTAGATGAGAAACCATCTATTCAGTCAAGAGGGAAAGAGTAGGTTGTTTGATTCAAGTTGAACTCTGAATGTTCACTGACAATGAAATTTACACCATAGAGGATAAATGTATTTGCTTTGCAACTGCAGCATGCATTTTCATTGAGCTCGATGTCTCAACACGTCAAATTGCATATGCAATGCGTCAAATTAAATGTTGATATGCGGCAAATAACATCCGTTCTTGCATCTCCTTATTTATGTAATTTCGACACTTTTGTTCCTTTTTTTGGTTTACAACCAGGGTATCTTTTCGAATTTTTTTACAGCAAAGTTGCATCATGGCATGCTTGAGCATGCTGATGGAAATGGAGACTGGGTTTTGACCATTTTTACTGCATTATCTATTGTAAGCTCTTCTCGTTCTGTCTTGACTTTCTGCTGATCATTTCTCCTGCAAAACATTGCTATGGCTCCTTTTGTTTATTGCCAGTTCTTATATTATGTTTCTCAAGTGATGCATGATGTTCCAATTTTTTTCTTTGAAAAAACATAATCACTGCTCATAGCAGAATGTCACTGACCGAATCAAGATGTTTTGTAATGCGTCACATTGATTTCAGTCTTCCTATGTGATAGACAAATTTCCATATTGAAAGACAACTTGGTTCAGGCCATCACAAACCATCGTGCAAAATACCGTATAAATTTCAATTTTTTAATTAGAAATCTGCTCCCATCCATTACGCTCTCCTCCCATACCCAACACAATTAAAAATCTGCTCCCCCTCTTGGGTAGGTGCATTCCTTTTGGCTGCTCTTCCTTTGTGTTCCTCTGTGAAACATCCCCTTCTTCATTCCACAAGTCTGCTGAAACCCTCCTCTTATCCTGTTGCTTTCCCCAACCCCTGGCTGGCAGGGCATCCCTCAATGATCAATTCCCCTCCCCTGACATTCTACTCTACTTATGCAATATTTATGCTTTTTCATGGACCATCGTGTAATCACTTTAGTCGTTTGCTTGGATCTTATTTATGTTCCCTCTTTGCTGCAAGTTTTCTTAAGTGAAATAACATCACGAATGTGATAAGTTCATGCTACATCGTGCTTATTTTAATTTTAATTTGGAGTTGTTCTTCCTTTTTCCTGCAGCTAATTGATGTGCTAGAATTCATCCCTTCACATGTTGCGGTATGTCCTTTTGTTTCCACATGAGACTACTCCACTTGCTGTGGCTGTTTTAATGATCTATTTCTACCTGTATCCGTAGCTATTGGAATACCTATGAGCATAACAAGGGAACATGATTAAAATGCGGTCATGTGCCCAAGTATAGAATAATTGTTTTTAACTAAAGAATTTGTTCGGTTTTTTCTTGTAAACAGTAAAATAGGTTTTTTTTTTCCTTGTTTGATTACGAGATTTGTCTGAGGGAAAATTTCAGAAAGCAAATTATTTCGAGATTCTTCCTGATGGCTTGTTTTTTATGCCTTTATATGTGCATCTTGTCCTTACTCCGAGCTCATTATGATTTGGACACGAATGCTCCCGTCTTGATCTTAACTCCTTGGTTCAATGTTTTGCGTTTCTTCCACAATTTCCGTTAACTTGTTTCTTGTTTTTCAAACTAATAGCTATTTTTTGATTTCCCTGTCAAAAAGTATGCATTCTCTTTTGTTTGTGCATTATCCATTTTCAACAAGTGATCAATGATTGTTCTTCTAATGCAGGTGGTATTCGACCATGATGGTGAGATGCCATTGATATTCTTCTTTCGGTGACTTTTTTCCTGTTGACATTTCCCTTGTAGAGTTTACTTATGTGGTGCAGAATAATATTTTTCTATGTTCATATTTTGAAACAAAATGATCACATAATTTTGACTTGTGCTTAAACCTTATGTGGTGAGTCTCTGTACAAAACACCGAATCCTTATTGAGGCATAACTTGAGAAATCATATTTTGAGTCATCTCTGAGTGTACGTCGAAGTTTGATTTCATAACGTTTCTGTTTTTATTTCGTTGGACACATTTTTGAAAACCAGTGTGGGATGCAATTTTTTTCTTTTTCTTTTACTTAATTAAGTCTACAACATGTACGAGCCTGGGGGCGTTCTTGACCTAAAATACCTTTTTCGAATTTTGAAGTATTCTTCGACCAATTTTTCCCATCTCTACCTTTGCCTGCTAGTGAGCACCGTTGTCACCTAATAACTAAATTTGAGCCTTTATTCTTTTTTCCACTTATTTGTGCTCTTCTTATAGATTTACGTTGTCAGTTAGTCATTGTACTAATGGCGATGTTCTTTATTTCTTCAACTGATGGTGTTATTCTGAACTGGCGTTATGCTAGCAGGACTCAAGCCAGGCTTAGTGAAACTAACCACTCAATTGGTTTTCTTTTGCTTCTGCTAGAATGCAATCCATGGAAAGATTCTATGCTAACGTTGCCATCTCTTTGGAAAGATCTAATCAACAGAAGATTTGGGTGTTTAGCTTTAAAGCTTTCAGATTTGAGTAACAGTTGAGTGGTCCACCTTTTTTTCAGGAATTCCATTTGGTCAGACAACACATATGCCATCCAAAGAAAATCACATGGCAAAAGGTATGATTTATCCCTTCAGGATATTACGGAGTGTTGGGGACAAAAACTAACCACTCCATAGGTTTGCACTACTATTAGGTGACTTCAGTGGAAGTCTTATTGGGTCACATTATAGTGGAGTGAGCTTAGCAATTTTTTTCTGCCCAAAACCCTGTCCCAAGAGATTATACATTTTCTGTTTTGTTTTTCCACTTCAGCTTCAGTACTGACAATCTTAAGTCCGGGTTCTTAACCCATAAAGTCAGAAAAATGCTTTCAAGGCAGGGCTTATTATCAGTCTCAGACCCGTAGGTTTGAGTAATTGGGGATTTTCATATTTATGGGCCTCTCTACCGTGTCCCAATAGGTTTTTATTTGGATACAGTGTTTGCAGTATATGGGATACAGTGGCATGGAAACCTTGTAGGGATAGACCAGGTGGTTGCTGAACACTAGTTGTGGATTACTCCATGCTACTTGTCATCGCTACGAAACAATCAGTACTTTAGATCCATGCACAGGAGCAGAGATACCTATACTGTTCATCCCCTCATGATCCAGGGAGCATCAACCAACCCTTATTAGATCTTGTATCATTGTTCTCATTGACTCATTATGTAGCCCTACATTCACACAATCAGGATCTCATAAACTGGCTTGGAGCTTGAGCATGTATACTAATTGGATAAGTATGAATTAGTTGGAGGTTTAATAATGGAATGAGCCTGGACATCTGGGTGCAAATATCTAAACATCTATTGGACTGTTTAGACTCATTAATGTAGTTTATTATGGCGCAGTATCCCGTTGTATGCACATGTATATACGAAGATATTTCTTTTCTTCATCATCCGAAGATGCTTGTTGAGAAGATTTGAGTGAAGCTTTGCTGACCAATGATTTTTGGGTTATTCGCTCCATAATTGTTGATCAGGACTAGCTGGGTTATGCTTCATGCTGATGTAACGCGATGTTCGTTGTATTCTTTATTCCATAAGCATGGAAAATAAATTTATACTCTTTGTGGATTTTTAGATTTATTACGGCCGAGAAGAACTCGAGAGAACACCTTTCATGTGGTATTCTAATTTATATATGCGAGTGCAAGCTTCGAAGAATTTAAAAAAGAAATACAGAACATAAAAAAGAGCTATACTGGGAATATACTATCCTTTCTCGACAGAAGAATTTTTTGGAACGGATCAACATTTCAGTTGAAACCATCTCTTAGTAATCACGATCTGTTGCCATAAGATATTGAGAACCCTTTTTTTGCGAAACCAATGTCAAGTGCTGCCAAGGGGATAATCCTCAAACTGTCCATCCCTTGTCATTAGTGATTGGGGTTGATACTTTGGGGTTTGGACTTATGTCACTTGTTGAGATGATGGATTTTAGAATTTGATATTTGTTGTAATGTGGTCTGTTGCCCCTGAGTCCACTACCCAATTATTAGAAATATTTATAGAAGAGGCTCTAACTCCAAGAGGGTGATGAAACATACCGGGCTGAATTGATGAGAACTGTGTCACCGTCAACTTCAGTTTTTTTAACTCAATTCGAAGTCGCTCTATATCCTCAATCTGAGGAGAAGAAGAATGTTGATTGGTTTGGGAATCTGAGGGCTTTCCTGCAATATGTACACCACAGATTATCACGAAAATCAGTTTTCTGATTTCTTCCTTGACCATTGCTGAGACCGTTTAGCTTGATCTGTGGCTTTCTTCATGATTTCTTCCTGTTTAATCATAAATGCAATATTGTCAATTTCAGGCCCCGCCAACATTAATTTCTGACGACTTTCCTCATTGAAAATGATTGAAATGCCTCATCTAAATCACATTTCCTTTCACGACTCAAAATTTGTTGTCTAACCTGATCAAAAAGAGAATTAAGTCCAGCCAAAAATTTAAACACTCTTCTTCGTTCTATAAATTTTTGTAAGACCGCAATTTCTGTATGTTTTTCTTTATCAATATTGAGATAATAATCGATTTCCTGTCATAAAATTTTCAATTCTCCTGCATATTCCATCACAGATTTATTTCCTTGAATTGTGGACATGGATTTTGTCTCAAGTTCATATAAATGTGCCTCATCGTTTCTTTGTGAGAATTTCGTGTGAACTGTTTCCCACAAATCTTTGACTAATTTGGGGAATCATTGTTTCCCATAAGAATAAAAAATCTTGGCTAATTTGGGGAATCATTGTTCCCTAAAGTCAGGTTTTGATTAATACATCTTCTTCTTTCATCTACGAAATTCATGAGACGATGGATCTGGTTTCCCCTCAAGACCTCTCGAACATATTCTGACCATTGAATTAGATTGTATCCAGTCAATTTGAACTCTGCAGGCATTGCAGGACGTTCTATGAGTAATCTTGGGCCACTAGGACCAAGATTAACTTCCTTCGTGGAGGTTAGATCTCTCACAGATAATGAAGAATTGTCTCCCACATTCTCCATTTAAAGAAAAATATCCATATTCACGAAAATTCCAAATTTCATGAACAAATCTCAATAGAGACAAGAAGAAACGGTGCAAGAACTGTAACAGACAAGTAGATCAGTGCGGAAGCAAAATGGAGCGATCGCACCTGGATTCGCTCTGGAAGAGACACAGCAAAGGAAAAGATCCCTTGCCAGAAGTGTACGATGCCAGTAACTCTAGCAGATGATGGAGAAGAACGTCGACAAAGCAACGCCAACCTGTGATGAGACTGGAAAAACAGGGTTTAAAACCCTAGACTCGCTCTGATACCATGTAGTCGGGATAACACACGGTCTGGAGCTCTGATAGACGCCTAACACTTGCGGAAGAAGAACAAATTCTTTGTTGATCAAGAAACTCACATTACAAGGAAAGCAGGATCCAGTATTTATACTAGATCCCTAGGAGGTTCTAGACATACTGAGTTAGACACGAAAAATAAAAGATACAGGAGGACATATCTGTAAACATGTAAAGTATACAGGTTATTAAGTTACATCTCGACAACAGTATTATAGCGGTTGTAGAAGTCAGTATTTTCAACTGTAGGAAAACAAGAGGTTAGAATAGTGAACTCTGTCGGAAATTAGTATTCTTATCTTATATACAAGAATTTAGGTGGTCATATATGGGACTAATAGTGTACCAAATGTCCCAACATGAAATTTTGGGGTTTGTCTTAAACCCTCAGACCTTACCATAAAATCCGTGCTGAAGATCTCACCTAAAATCAATCCTGGTTTTTGGAAATTAGTTCTGGAGAGTTGTATGGATAATAATTTTTGGTGTTGTTCAGATGTTGTGTTGTGAACAGTGGCCCAAACCTAGGAGGATATGCAGAGGAAAAACTCAACTGGTATTCACATCATATACGACTGTTATATACAAGTGCCAGGGCCACAAAATAAGGAAACTACCTAACAACTGAGAAACGACAAACTAGGAGACCAATCAACAAACTGGGAAATGGTCTGACTAAGAACCGAACTCCTAATTATACATTTCTTCCCAGGAAACTATTTCAGTCTCCTTAATACTTTAATCTCAAACAATGACTCAGATATTGTCTCTCTTTATCCTTATTCTCAGTCACTATTATACCATCAACATATGCCAAAAGAGCTGTGAGTCTCCTTAAGGATGAGTATTTAGCGAGCAGTGTGTGATTCTCTTGGCTCTGTCTAAACAACATGGCAATCTTAGCTCTTGCAAATCTATCATACCATGCCTGATGTGATTGCTTAAGTCCATGTTCAATTTGCACGCTGTATGAGCAGCCAAATTATTTCCATAACCTGGTGGAACCTCCATATAAATTTCTTCCTCTAGATTATTGTGGAAAAATACATTTTTTTAACATCAAACTGCTGCAACTCCTAGTCATAGTTAGTTTTTAATAACAACGGAATGCTTGGCAGTATTCATCTTTATAGATGGAGCAAAAGTTTCTAAGTAATCAATGCCATATGTTTAAATACAACAAACCCTTGGTAACTAACTAAGCCTTGTATCTTTTTGTAGATTTGTTTGCTCAATACTTCAGTGTAGCCCATTTGCATCCCACGGGTTTCTTTCCCCCTGGCAGCCTGTCTTACTCTCAAGATTTATTTTTCTCTAATGACTCCATCTCTTTATTTATAGTTTATTTCTATTCCTTGCTGGACAAAGTTTCAGATAAGTTGGTAGGGATGACAATGGTGTGTAACCTAACAAAGAAGATTTCAAGAACGTTCAATGGACAGGAAGTCTGCAAGAATGTTTTAAGGAATTTGTTGTATAGTTTTTCTTGTTATTGCCTTTCAGGTTCATCTAGTAATATGATTTTCTTGATTATTGATTATGCACATACATCGATTTGCAATAGTTTCTCCTCCTAACATTAGTTTCTCTTTGAAGGCTCAACTTTTCGTCACATGTTGTACCCATCTTACAAGAGCAACCGCATTCCCACACCTGATACTGTTGTTCAAGGTCTTCAGTATCTGAAAGCATCTATTAAAGCCATGTCCATCAAAGTAATCGAGGTAGGCATGCATTTACTAACAGGCAGAATAACAATGGTTTATTTTATGATGATTTAATTAAAATTCACAGGTTCCAGGTGTTGAAGCTGATGATGTTATTGGAACTCTTGCTGTAAACAGTGTTGCATCAGGCTTCAAGGTTTTTCTTTAATTTTTTTTCTTTTGCTGTTTTCCGGAACTTGATGTTTAAAACCCTGTAATTTTCTTTCTGTTCCAGTTACCATATTTTTACAATTATAAAAAGGGGATTGTTTTACTTATCGCTAGCTCCTCTTTTTTTTTGCTGCATGGTTTCCCTGTCACATTTTCCTATTGCTTGATCTATTGTTTGTAACATCAAATATCATTGGGATCTGGAATTGAGAATCATTTGAATACTCTATTGTGAAAACCTATGAAAAGACATTAGATAAGATTGAACAAAATGTTGGAAATCCTGTGTGATGTTGACATTAATATTATGTGTTTACTGTCAAGAAACTCTCTTCTTTTTAATATTACCGATTGAGCTTATGACTTTTTTTATTTCTTCATTTTGGACTGTTTCTGTAATGTTGCATTGTGCATGATATAATGTAGAGCTCTTATTTTGTTTCGAAGGTGTTGCTACCTATTTCTTAGTGGTTTAAGATTTTGTTTGTTCTTTACAATTTACATCCATTAGAGCTTGACCGTACCTTTTTCATTTACGTCCATTGGCCTTTGTTAACTACGTATCAGGTATTGCAGTTGCCATCCTTTCTACTGAAGATTAGCACACTTCACCGTCTATGTTCCCAATAAAACGTTGGGTTTCTAATTAACTAGATATGGCTTCTAAATTTTTAAGTTTTACCTTTTCGCTTTTTCTTTGTCAGGTGAGAGTTGTCTCTCCAGACAAAGACTTCTTCCAGATCTTGTCACCCTCATTACGCCTTTTGCGTGTTGCCCCACGTGGACCTGGGTTAGCATTATATCCATCTGAAAATTACTTGATCACAATTAATGGTTTGTTTTGAATATTAATGTCTGCCTATTTATTGAAATTCCTCATTTACTGCATGTAAATAGACGAAATTATTTTGTAAATATTTCTGATTTTATATTTGACAAAGGTTGATGTGGTGTGCAAATACATACATTGGTAGTGGCACAGCTTCATCCTGTTCTCACAGTTGTCATAAATTTATGGAATTGTCAAAGTTTATCTATGATAACATGGTATATCAATGTGTATTTCTCAGCAGAAAGCCACTAATTTATGTAGTCTGTTGAAAAATTTCATCACTGTGTTATTGGAATCAATGACTTGATTTCTCAAATAATAATTTCTTTAAATTTGCTTTAACCTAGTTCGGGGGCAGGCAATAAAATGATACCTCTCTAGAGGATTATTACTAAAACGTTGCAAGGTCAATCAGTCTCTTACCGGAATGTTCTTTTTTATGTGAGTGTGCCACGTGTCCTCTCTGGAGAGAAGGCTTCACAAAGCCACCTATTAAAGGATCTGACATTTTAGTGGATGAGATGGACAAGAACTTTTTTGCCTTAAAATAAAAAAAGTAAAATTTTATTTCTACGGTTGAAGATAATTGGAATGAAGCTCTATTGTTTTTAAGGACGATCTGTTGGTGATTCTCTCTTGTTTTAAGAAGAGACAAAGAACGAATTTTTTAGTCGTGCTGGTTTTTTGAAAAATATTGGATTTACCTCGTGGGTAATGATTAGGATTGATCTTCAGAGGCTGGTTTCCAGGCATCTTATCTTGATGCCTTCTCTCGTTCCTTTTACTCATCTGATCTGTATGTTTCATTCTGTGCAAACTCTCGTTCCTTTTATCTGTTTTCAGTTCCTTCACTTCCTGGTGTCTGGTGTTATGGATGTCACCTCATTGGGGGCTGTTTCACGCTAGTGAATACATTTCTGGTTATAACACGTGCTGAATGTGTCAACAGTAGGTGGAGGGTGTGGTTCACTAGCTGTTAAAAGGTCATTCTTGAGTTGCTGAATCGCTCCCCCTAGAAAGCTGTAGTGCAATTCAAGTCATCTACCTAGTAAAGAGGGGAAGATTTTTCTGTCTTCTCTTGTATGAATGAAATTAATCAAATTGAAGAGCACCTTATGTTTTGAAAGTATCAAACTGCACCATTTGTATGACAGGTCGGGATGAGAAAGCCAGAGTTTTTTCATGTGTTGATCTCAATAGGACTTGAAGTCATCATTACATGTTTCTTCAGAAGGCTGTGGCATTTCCTTGTTCTCTACGACTGGGAACCATGATTTTTGTTTGGTTATTATTGCAGAATGGTTTCATTTGGATTGGAGGATTTTGCTGAAAGATACGGGACCCTGAAGCCCTCCCAATTTGTTGATGTGGTTGCGCTAATGGGAGACCAATCTGATAATATTCCAGGTTTGAGCTGAAGTTCTTATTTTTCATAGTACCTATGTAGCCTCATCTTAGAAATAACCCCAACTGCTAATGCAGGATTCTCCTTAGGCTCCCTATGTATATGAAGGAACTCCACTCATTTTAGGTTTTATTTATTCTTTAATTTGTTGACATTTTAGGAAATATTTTTTGATTTGTTGCAATTCCAGAACCGTCTTATGACACATCGTTGAAGGGAAATTTACTAGAAAAATTCAGTGAACTGACATGCCCGAATTTGATGTAGTTTGATGAAGAAAAGTTTGGGGAAACCTGTGTTTACATCATTTAGACCTTGTTACACTTTATGTTGTAATTTGAAATGTAAACGATTGACTACTCACAGAACAGTGATCGCATTGATGACCTTGTTTATAGAAGGTGATGGATATTAATTATTTTTTTTTCGTGAAACATTCTCTACTGTTGAATAGGATGACGTTTCTCTGTGCGATGTCTACCTTTTAATGGCTATTAATAGACGTTCACATCAAGTAATTATGAGATTATATCACACGATAGTAGCAAGACAGCATATGTTTGGTATCTTCCAAGAATTGTTGTGAATTCTTGTAAATCATAAAGAATTTTTTTCCTGTCTTATGTCTTAATTGAGGGTCAGTCTTCGTTTAGAGTCTCTGCACTCCGAATCAGTTGTTCCTAACCTTGGAGAAAACATGATTTTTTTGGTGGTCTTTTAAAACTTTTGACACGATTTTAATTGCAGGAGTCAATGGTATTGGGAACGTAAATGCAATTAAGCTGATCACTAGGTTTGGTAAGCTCTGTTTCTATGGCTTAATGTTAAGCATGCACGCATTATCTTCCCGTCAATATAGTTTACTTGTTAAGGTTTTTTCTTATTTTGAACCAATGCATATTAATTAGTCGGAAATATCTTGTATTTTAGAACTCATATCGTTTTATTTGATGACAACAACTAGCGTAGACTGCCATATTGTTTTTCAGTAATTGGATGCATCTTAGGTGATTATTGTTCCTATTGAAATCCTTGTTTCCTGAGTAAGATTGTGGATCTTGGACTGCCCTGGAGATGTTAACCTGCGTTGATTTTAAGCGTAATTCACCTAGATGCTTGTAGAAGATGGAATGAATAGAGATTTCAAATCTATATCATATTTACCCTCTCTTTTTCTACGATACGACTCAAATAGCTCCCCTATTTCGACCTTCTGCATTGATGTTTTCCATCGAATAGTCCACGACGGGGTCCATCAATGAGCACCCCATTTATGGGACATCACCTAAACCAGTGGTTACCAACCACCAGAGTGCAGTTGCCTCGTGGGTGTCCACTATCGGATGCCTCGACAGTCATCAGTTGCGTCATGGCATGCAGTCACTTTGTGCCAAACAGCTCACTTCATTTGTGTGACTCCATATTTTAGTATTACGGTAGCTTTCCTTATCGTTAAATCATCAAAAGCTGTGAGTTATGATTGTATATGGATTATTATATGGAGAGTTTACGACAACTTAAATTGATTTGGCTTTCACTTCATCAATTTGTGTAATTATCTCCTCCCTTGACGCCCTATTAATATCTGATTCATCAATTTATGAAAGACAGCAGGTATCTGAAGATCTGCCGAAATATCTGTGTTTTCTGAAACTGTGATTTATATCCTTAGACAAAGGCGATTAGTGTTCGAATACAAATAATCTTACTACGACTTGACAAATAGTGTAGGCAAAATCCATAACTTCACGATGCCTATGAGGCCTTCGGTATCACTGGATTCTACCTAGAGCTTCACAGCTGGGAGAATTAGGGTTTCTCCTGGTTTTTTGCTTCTATGCTAATCGTGCTTCTATATCCGTGGGAGTAACATATTTGCTCATGAGTTGATCCTCTGATATCTCTTGATTCCTACCTCACATTGGTAGCTTAAGGACAAGAATTGCGTCTAAAATTCACTCGGAAAGATAAATGTTTGCCGAAGAATCCAAAATATGGAAATATTTCTTTTATTATCTAGTGATGCTTTGACCTAAATTCAATTTTTTTTATGACCTTGAAAATTGGACAAAACAAGAACCCAGCTTGGCGGATGTTTCTAGAGATGGTAACACATTCCATGAGAATTTAGTGTTTGGGAGAGTTTTTATGGAGCTATGCTGATATATTCTTCCTATTGTTAGTCATGCGCTCATTGGCTTTCTCTTTGCATCAGGAACTCTTGAGAACTTGCTGCATTGTGTTGACCAAGTTGAGGAGGAGCGCATCAAGAAGGTGATGCACATCTATTCAAGTGCATGCACTGGGTGACGATGATCGGACTCTACCAACTTTCTTTATTTTTTGAGATAATATTCCCTTATACTCTATATATATATATATACAGTAAATCTGTAAGACAAAACATCACTAGAATTGGACCCATCTTGGATTCCATCTTCATTCCTAAAATCTCACGTCATTATACCTTACATGCTTCGTGATCACCTTTCTTTGCAGATTTTGGTAACTAATGCCGACCAGGCTCTTCTGTGCAAAAACTTGGTAATTTCTTTCTTTAATGTTTTGGTTACTCTCTCATGCACCAATACATTTTGTGCATTTTATTTTATTATCCTTTACGATTTGGTAGTTGTTTGGGAAACCGTGCGTGAAAAGACGCTCATAGCGCAAATATACTGCACAGAATGACGAAAAAGAAGACAATCAAGGAAAGCTAGTGTACCATTCTTTTATCTGGCATGTATGAAAGGCTAGTGTAACAAGAAGACTCACAATAATTCATCAACATATCATTTTCTTTCACAATTGGGAGGCTTTCTTTCATTGGAAATATGAACTTCAATTCAGAGTTGTGCGCCATGTAAAATTTTCATCTTGGAATTGGGTACCTGATTCAATCCGTACGCTTGAAATCTTCCTGTTCCTTAACCAAAATGCTTTTTAAATGGCTTTTTTTATCAAGAGTGCAATGCAGAATTGGCTACTTGATTCAATCCGTATGCTTGAAATCTTCCTGTTCCTTAACCAAAGTACTCTTAATTTCCAAAAAAAAAAACGTTTTAAATGGCTTTTTATCAAGAGTGCCATGGAGAAATTCTCACGAGGACTATGCTTTATTGCAGGCTACACTACGCTCCGATCTTCCATCGTATATGGTTCCATTCAGCACAGCCGATCTTCTGTTTCAGAAGCCTGAGGTTTGTGGATTTTCCACTGCTGTTGGCAATCCCAGACGCTGGAACCCGGTTAATGGGACCTACCCTCTGCATATTGTGTAGGATAACGGAGAGAAATTCATCAGCCTCCTGAGGGCCATGGGAGCCTACGCGGAGGGTTTTTCTCCAGAGCCCGTCATCGGAAGAGCCTTGTCTCTGTGGAGAAAACTTCAAGCCTGACCATACATAGAAGAGAAAACCACTCAGAGAAGACAGCTCGCAGACATCATCCATCGATGATTGCTTCTTCCACCAGGTTTGCAGCATACGGCATATATAACTGATCATTTTTCTCCAGATATTTTCACAGATAGAATATATATATAATAATATATCATTTTTCCAAATGTTCTTGCGTAGAATATTAAGTGATCATTTTTCTCCAGATATTTTCACAGATAGAATTTATATAATAATATATCATTCTTCCAAATGTTCTTGCGTATAGAATATATAAAGGATCATTTTTCTCCAGATATAATATATATATAATAATATATCTTTTTTCCAAATGTTCTTGCGTATAGGATATAGAAGTGATCATTTTTCTACAGATAGAATATATATAATATATCATTTTCCCAAATGTTATTGCATATGGAATATGCAAGTGATGATTTTCTCAGATGGAACATATACGAGATTTTTAATTTTTTTAATTTTTTGAGTGCTTCCAATTTGATTCAGGTAAATTTCTGACAAGCTAGGGAATATACCTGCATATTCAGTTAATGGGTGCCCCATCCTTCCACTAAGAGGTTCAATGGGCTTCACCATCGTCACTCATGGTAAAGCTCTCCAAAGGATTCAGAAGAACAAGAATGCTCACTCGCCTCCTCCGTAAGAAGCCCATTTTCCATGGCCGTGGAGAGGGGAAGGTCAGGGAGGGTTGAGCAGAAGATCCCCTTCTCAATGGACCATTCCCCTTGACAGAGAGACCTCCAAGCAATGGCTCCTTTGTGTACATTACTGAAACTATATTCCCATTTTGTGCTGGCCTCTAGAGATAATTACTTGGGTTTTAATGGGCTGTCCTAGATGGGCCGCGGGATCACTCTTATTGGGCTGGCCTGCCAAGCCCAGCCCAGCCCAGACAGCATCATTTTAAATCTATATGGGAGCCAGACCTGGTAGGTTTCAGGTTCTAATCTCTCTCATCAGGTGGGTCGCACTGGAGATTTGTGGAATTGAATCTGCGAGAGTAAGCATCTATTCATTTTTATTAATACCAAAATATCAGTTAAAAAATCCGAAAAAGTATCATTATTTCAAAAAACATTTCATTAGTACAATATATCATCACATTTTCGGTTTATTTATCATTTTTAAAAAATTATTTAATATTTATGCAATCTTTTTGAACAAAAAATTGCATTCTTAATTAATCAAATTTCCTAACTTTTCAGATTTCTTTAACGAGTAGGGGACTGGCATGGTTATATCAGAGAAATCAATAAAATGATTACTCAAAATAGCAGATCCGTTGACTTTGTGTGACTTTGTGAGACTTTACTTGGGAGTTCTTGCCGTCCGCCGGCAAGATCCGTTGACCTTTTGTCAGTCAGCTGATGTCTGCATCGCATGGGCATCTATCGTCTTCTAACCATGTGGGGTGCACAACGCACTTGGTGCGAGCTGCTCATGATGGCGTCGTTGCCAGCAGCTACCCATCGATGCTCTGGCTCCCCACAGCAGCAACGCATTGGGTTCACAGCGGCCATAAGATTTCCATACTAATTAAGGCGGTCGTTCTAGACTTACCTACCTTACTAACACCACATTAGAAATGAATTAGGTAATGCACTTATATTACTATTTATGGGTTTTCTTCTGACAAAAACGGAAAATAGGGTTGCCATCTCAAGACACATTCTTTGTTGCCTTCTTCCAGAAATGTACGTATATAGTAATGTTTCCACCTCCATCCCTTCTTCCCATTGTATATAGTAATGAAAATAGGGTTGCTAGCAGCTACTCAAGGATTTTCGATCTCAGAAATGGAAAGGATACGCAGCATCTTGGTTTCATTCCTTCTCCCATTCGTCCAGCTCTGGGAGCAATAAGATATCAGAGGGAACGTTCAGCCTCAAGAAAACCATGAGATGTTTGGTCTCAGAGACGCAAGCAATAGATATTACAGTGGCTGGCCCAGGAGGTGCCCCCACACAACAGCCAAAAACGGAGGGAGAGAGAGAAGAGATGGGCCCAAAGAACCTGGCCTGTTCAGCTGGCCAGATGGCTGGGGGAGCTGTTGAACATGGCGTGCCACATGTACGCCCGGGAGAGGACCATCTCCAGCTCCTGGTGGGTCCAGCCGTGCGTAGGGAGGTGCTGAAGGAACATCACCATCTCCTGGAAATCGTACTTCTGGAGGGCATCCGACCACTGCAACAACACAAGGAACAGCCTCATTTCTCGCTTCCCTCTTCACCTGACCACCCAAGATCAACCCTTTTTTGGAAGGCAAATCGCAGTGATGTTGGGAGGGAAGTGGGCGGGTGGGTTCCATTCGAAAGGCATTTCAGACAAGATCAAGCAAGAAAAGAAGCAAATTTTGCCAGGGAAAAGAAGAGGGAGCCGTCGCCGGCCTTCTGCTCAACACCTGTTTGAGAAAATGACTACCCCCCCTCTTCAAGAAAGGCAGGAAGGCTACTGTCTCGGTGCACACGCGGCACAATCTTGATGGTGACTAAACTCGATGTCAACCCAGTAATGCAGCAAAGCGTAAAGAATTAACCCAGCTAACATGCAAGAAGAGGTCGAGGAAGATCAAACTTACAGTAAGAAGGAAACTGGCAAATATGTACACGAGGAACTCTGGCAGAGCATCCCCTTCCGCCAAGTATGTGTCCCACAGACGAGTAACCAGATGGAAGGGGATCTGATTCAAGATTTAAGTTTATCTAAATTAAGAAAAAAAGCATATATTTTTTATTTTTGGAAAAAACTTAGAAGTTTCTCCAAAAAAGGCTCACCTCACGGATCAGCAAGCAGTTGAACCATCGGAAAGCGAACTGAAGAAACTCTAGCCCTTGTTCTTCCATATGTTTTGAAACTGGTTCTTGTGCCGGACAAAGAGATGAGGTCAGCTAGATCATCTGTGGCCTTATAAAGTAATAAAACTAAAGAGAAAGAGATGATCAAACAAGCCGGTGAGAAATCCCCTTTCTGTTTGGTTCCAAGCTTTTCAATGTCATTGATTATCGCATTCATTAGAGAAAGATCACATTAAGTGAAGGAAGAGCTGTAGAAGAAGGGGAGAGTGGAGGAGAGAAGTACCATCTATCCGACGAACAAGCTCCTTCAGCTTAAAGACAAGACGCTGAATCCCTGGTTGAGCAAATGTGTAGTGATCTTGCATGCCATCGAGCAACTTGGAGAGACACCAATAACAATCTGCTTCCACATTAGATATCTTATCTGGAGAAAGATCTGAAATTGACCAATCCTCTACATTGCCACTGAGATGTTCTGACAAGAAGACTATTAGGAATGGCGTCACGAGATCATTGATCCCCTGAACATATCCACTAGCAGGATGACGAATAGCCCTGAAAATCAACCACGGATGATTTATTTCATGGAAAAATAAACAGATATTGATGCCGTATAAAAATGCACCAGGTATAATGCATTCTATTTCTTCACTCTTCGGGAGGTTCGAGATGATCTACAAGCTACATCAGTGAACAAAAGATACGAGAGACTATATTTGATAAAAAATTTACAATCGAATTATATTTGGTCAATACACCATTATCAATATGAATTATATGAAAACAAATCCCATAAAACAAAAGAAATAAAAACTTGTGTTGGATTGGCACAACATAAAATATATAAGAAATCTGAGATGGAAACAGATAAAATAGACGGCATTTCAATGTGAAAAGATCGTCCTTTTAAGATCTATAATTCCACAATTTCTGTATATCTGTGCCCACAAGTTCTAAATCTAGGACAAGCGCCACCTCTTGAGAAAGTGGCAAGGATGAAGGAAAGCTATCATGCACTCTATTTCTTCACTCTTCAGGAGGTTTGAGATGGTCTACAAGCTACATCAATGAACAAAGATACGAGAGACTATATTTGATAAAAAATGAGATGGAAACAGATAAAATAGACGACATTTCAATGTGAAAAGATCGTCTTTTTAAGGTCTATAACGCATTATTCCACTATTTCTGTATATCTGTGCCCACGAGTTCTGGATCCAGGATAAAGGAAAGCTAAGACATTTCACAAAATGAGGAAAGAAGTAAAATCGCTATGATTAGCTTTGAAATCATTGGAAAACAGCAGCAATGAAATTTTGCACAGCGGCCATCCTGCTGACGAATACAAATTAAACAGAAATAACATCTATTCTATAAATAGAAAACCACGAACAGGCTAGTTGAAAGTTTTTATTTCTGCATCATGCTCATCTATGACACTACTAAATGTAACCAGAACAAAAAAGAAGGGACGGGCTATCTAACCATGTATAAAGGATGCGTTCTAAGGATTTTTGAACCAGTGCGTGCTGAAAGAAGGTGACATCAGGTACTGTTCTTGGACAGTCAACAGCTATCTGAAGGGCCAAGATGAACAATACATTGTAAGCAATACTGACCGTGAGCCTGCTGTAAGGAGAAAAAAATTTCTGAAGCCATCAAAATTAAACCCAAAGCTACCTGACGAAGCATGGTGATCTCATCATCAGATCGTTCAGAATCAGGAATATCATAATACAAAGAAACACATTCAAGATATTCACGCCGCTTTCTCGCCAAAACTCCCTCCCTTCGATCTGAATTAGGTGGTGCATATCCCTGTTGTCAGTTGACATTTAAAAATTCGAACACAGAGAACAACACAGACAATACAAGAGAAAGTACAAAACTAATAATGCTGTTGTCTAACAAAAATGGTGACATAAGTCATGAACACCATTAAATCAAAACGAAGAAAAGTAACTGAAGCAGCCACGGGCAAAGATTACACAGCAGCATTGATTAGAAAATTTGGTATGAAATGGCTTTAAGTGGACACAATGTGAGACGAAATGCTGTTAACCTAGACTGGCGAGGATGCCACTCATCCTATGAATTTTGATACAACAGATTCATGCCAGCCCATTCACTTGAATTAAAAAAAAAACATATAAATATAATTTCAGTATAAGAAAAAATAAAAAATAAAAAGTTTATGTCACAACCATTGGCATAGCATCTGCAAAATCAGAAACTATGGCGAGGGTAAGCTATAACATTTATTCTGTGAAACTTAGATTCAACAGTACTCCAAATGTATTTCCAACTAATGTGATATCTTAACTTTCGTATTCTATAGAACATACCAAAAGAAGTCTCCATATGTTTGGACGCATATATGGAGGAATCCCGCTCCATGCTAACTCACGTAAGTTTTCTGAGGTAAATCATGACGTGATATTATATCAGTAGCTAAAAAATAAAATGGAACATCGAGTTAAACTTCAATTAAATATATACATTACGTTTAGTCTGCCAACAAAGCAAAAAGAAATATGGTGATTAATCCACTCAACCGGAGAGGAATCACAACAGAAGGTTTGAGTGAAGCGCAGAAGGCACAATGAAAAAAGTTTTATTTTGATAATAGTTAGCCGATTTGGGTTAAAATCAGCCTCAGGTTGTCAATTCTCTAGGGTGCAAAATCTGATCCGTTTGAAATGTATATGGGACTAGCTACCATTGACCAATATCGGTCGAATCAGTTTATTCCCAGCCCAAACCATTATAGGGATCACCAAAGAAAGAAAGAACATCCATCATGCTGGAAAAAAGTGGACGGAAAATCTATTTAAATGAGAGGCGAAAAAGAAGAAAAGAAAACAGATTGACCTCTACCAATTTATGCTAATTGACTAGGAAGGCCATGCCACTACCCCAACACTGATGACCAATGGTTGCTTCTCACCGATACTAACTCCAATTAATTGGCATCACCCTTGAATACTGCTGTGAACTATCCCTGCTACCAACAACCAACATCAACATCACTCAGCAAAGGACTTGGTGAGTGCTAGCAAAGTTATATACCTACCATCGTTGCCTCCGACAACTGGTCTCAAACCAATACATTTACTACCGAAGTCAATCACATGCAGCCATGCCACCAACTCCGTCAACAGCTACCATTGGTACCACCTATCGCCAACTACTGTGGTAGTCGTTAAACATTATTAAACAGTTGAACAATTATATATATTTTTATTTATTTATTTTAAAGCAAAGATTTCAGGTCCCTGTGGAAAATTTTAATCTTTCAATTATTAGGTCAATAACAGTCTACTAAAGTTAAAGCATCAGAATTCAAACCTGGGTTTAATGGCATCTAATATCTCCCTAAAGTTGTTGCCAACCAGAACCTTCGAACTCAAATTTTAGGACCTCAAACTTTTATTCAAATGAAGCAGGATCTTTATATTTTCCTTCACGCAGCTATGATCTATCATCTTGGAAAAAAAATAAAATTAGTATTAACATTTGCAAAACCTTATTTATGATTTTTCCTTTATATTTTCAAAGAAATGTCCACTTCCACTACAAACGATGTACAAATTAGGCATGCGTCGTGCAGTGTTAAATTAGACTAGGATATTGGCCCATTAAGTTATTGTGTACTTCGATCATACAACAGACGACCTAATTTGGTGGAGAAAAAAAGACAATCATTAGACTTGGGGCCCATAAATTCCATATTGGGCCGCATGGTGTTCTGCAACAGGGGGTGAGATAGGAAGGCTACGATTAGACAAATCTCCTAATAATCTGACAGATGCATGTGTACACACACACAGACACACAGAGGCAATTTATTAGCTATTGCCTCTGTGTAAAGTAACAAAAAAGAACTAAAGTAACACCATGCGATTTTATGGACACGAATTTGTAAAGTAACAAATTCGTGATAAAATCGCATGGTGTTACAAAAAAAGAACTATTGCTCACGAATTTGTCGATTTGTGTGATAAAATAAATTAATGGACAAGATGGAACCAAAAGCAAATATCTGAGCATGTGATTTTATGAAGGGGAGGAAAAACACATGCAACAGTCAGCTGGTGAGAAACATACCTAAGACAACAGTCTGTCCAGATAGTTCTTTTGTAAATTTAGTAAGTCTTGCGGAGTCTGTTGATCTACCTTCTGAAATAGACCTCTGAACATCTGGCGACGAACCTTCACCGAACGTGATTGATGACTTCGTCTTTTGAAGCTTCGTGTTGTTTATCATATCACCAGACACTTGTGCAGACCCCTAATGTAATTGATGTAATCATTCCTTATTGTGAAGCCAAAATTTATGACTTTAATAGGGACTTCAATTTAAACGTTAGACCCTTGAAGTAGATTACCTCTGAACCGCTGTTGATTGACTCACTTGACCCAAGTTCATTTTCGGAGTAACTCCTTCCCAATTCTGGGGATGGTTCAAGCGAAACAGGGTCATTGTGAGGTTCAGATTTTCGTGTCAACAGAATCTTTCCAGGAAAAGTGCGACCTTTGAGTAACCTGGCTACATAGAAAACAGTTGGTGATAAAAACATTTCCATTTCTTCGTCAAATGAATAATTCAAAATGCATGTCTACCCGACAGACAGATATTTAATCTCTCGTTATCAGATACTTCTTGATTAGAAGACAGCTTTATTGACAAGATGGTAAGAAGATGGCCATCATGTATCGCTAAAAAGATGTAAGCACAAAAAAGACTATGCACAATAAAGTATAAAATTCAAATGCAGTCATAAAATCACTACAGGAGATCAACGAGAATTAGCACAAACAGAGACAAATTCATATTCCTGCCGGAAGTTGTGAAAACATAATGTAAATAAATTTGGTCCAAATAATGTTCCAATCAATAGCAAGGTGAATGGAGACGCATGTTCCTATACCCCGTTTTGGGGGCTCTCCAATGACCCATGACCATGTAGAAACTTGAGAAACACTTTCTTTTTCACTTGAGAATCAGGGCATGTAAAATGAGAAAATAATGTCCTATTTCTTGTATGCTGTCTCTAGATATACTATCTATGATGTTGAAAAAATAACATGTGATTAAAAGCTTAACTTTATTTCGAGTGGATTCTAACTTTTAAATCTATTATAGACTGAGTGCAAAATAATAACTTAATGCAAAAACGTCACTTATTGTAAATTACTTGAAACTCATTTTGAGCTCTATTGACCAGTTTATCAGGTAAAAGTAAACACGAAGAGTTCATTATCTTGATTAGTAATATTAAATAGAAATTTTCAGCTGTTCAGAGAAAAATCAGACATCGGACGTAATTGATTACGAATTAGCTCCGAAAGAAAAATGGCCCACCTGGGAAGAATGATGACATGAAATTATGTAACCGGAATACAAAAAACAAACAAATTATCACCAAGATTCAATCGGACAAAGTGACTGAAATCCAAAATGCACGAGGGAAGTTCCACAATATATACTTTCATACTTTCCAATGTTTCCATGCTTAGACATACAGTAAATATATTCAGCAGATCCATTCAGAATAAAAGTGATTTCTCGAGCTCGGCGGGATTCTGGGAAACGGACGAGCCACGAACATCATCGTGACCCAGCAGACTCAACGAAGTGATCAAAGGCGAGAAATTTTATGCGAAGTGGAATTCATCGATGTATCAAAAAATTCTGCGGCTCGCATGTCGCTCAAGACTACAGACGAACACGTGCAGGTCCTCGCATCAAGAGGCCACCGGAGCAAAACAGATCATAGAAGCAACGGAGATGTGGAGTAACTTTCCACGCACTGTTTAGGAAATGGAGTAGAATAACGCGACGAATTGCCGTCATCGGAGATTCAGAGAAGGGGAAGGGTACCCTTGGACGTTTCTGAGAGTCTGGTTGAATCGCCATTCGAGATTAAGGCTGCTGTTGCCGGCAGGAGTCTCGCCACTTCCCTCGCCGGCCTCCCTTCCCCGGTCCCCTTCTCTGCCGTTCCTCATGGCTCCCCAGTTCCTTCCGCGACCATGGCAAGGCCGCTCGCCCCCCCGCCCCCCCTCCCCCTGCTCCGCCACACCAACCGCCCCCCCTCCCCCACACGGTCTCTCCGGGTACAGTACCCCGTAGGTACCTTATTTCTGAGGACGAAATCAGCACCCTTAGATCGTCATCCGACGCTCAAGAACAGGCGACATGACTCTCCTCCGGACTTTCCTTGCCGCTCGATTACCGTATGGACAGCCAAGATTCCAATAAAGAAACCAATGAGGTAAAAGGTTACAGCGGATGCGGTTTCATCGAAAATTCCCCGCCGCGGGATTAATGGATTAGATCCAAGCCCACGAATTAGACGGTCACGATTGATTTTTGGAAAAAGATCAATCGAAAGAGATGAGAGTTGCCTCCCGATCCGAGACCCTCTGATCCTCATCACGCCTTTGCATCAGAGAGATCGGGCAATCAGGACCCTTGAATTCCCACTCAAAGGACACATAGGATCAATGGGCCGTCTTTCCAGTTCAAGCAAGGCACCATCTTGCATTAATCACCATTCTTAATGATAATTAAGGTAATTAATGCCTCTCTATCTCTCTCTCATAAAAGAGACTGAATAATTGATGCCATTATGGAAAATAATGGTGTTTATTCTGTATGGTCCTTGCTTATGATGACAGTATTTAGGCTGAACACTCCAAAATTCCAAAGTCAGCACAACTACCTTCATAAACTCTAATTATTTAATAAAATGTGGGGAATTTCGATACACAGCACAGCTCATTAAGAGATTCGTTAGGGTCCATCAGTGGATACCATTTAATACTAATGTAATGATCGGGCATTAATGGGCTGGTATAATGAACCCGACTCTAGAGAGAGAGAGAGAGAGAGAGAGAGAGAGAGATGGTCCTAAATCCTTAACGTGGTTAGAAACTTTTAAAGATTCTCTCTCTCTCAACAGATACATGCGTATATAATTTATTATGAAAAATTATATATTTATTCATTTATTTGATCTGACCTATATTTTTTTATATAAATTTTGTATGCATGCAAACCCATATAAATGAATAAACACATGGACCAAAATACCCATCGCCCCTTAAAAAAATATAAAAAAAAAGAAAAAAAAAACGTACCAGAAGCTGAAGAACAAGGCGACGCACGCCAGCCTGCTTGGGGACCTCTTCTAGCCTGGTGCGGAGGCGTAAAGCCCACCCCCGCCTACTTTAGCAGATACATTCCCTTAGGAAAATAACACTCCAGATGCAAAAGAAGAGCACCAGCGCCCTCTTGATTGCTAGTAAAATACAGCCTCCTTCTGGTAATCTACTAAAATGACAGGAAAAAAAAAAAAAAAAAGCCTGGCAAGAGGATTACTACTGAGTTCTACAAAAGTGAAGGCCAAGTTTCCCATGTATTCCAAACGAAGATACTACCCCTGTTGCAAGAACAAGACCAAGATAACTCCGAATCGCTTCCCAAAATCACAGCTCCACTCTCTCCGAATCGCTTACCTCTTGTGAAGCAATCCAAACGGCGAGGGAAGGAACTCAGTACCGATCTCGGCGCCTGCAAAGAAGTGGGTTAAAAAAAAAAAAACTGAAAATTTATACAGCTGATCTGGGAAAGATGTGATAAATGTGAGGGGTGTGAAGGGGGGTTCTCATACCTGTACCGATCATAATCCCGGGCACGGTCCCTCGAGCGGGAGCGCGATCGGTGCCGGGCCCTCGAGTCGTAGTTCCTCGACCGATCGGGCTCGCGGTCCCTCTCTCGATCATAAGCACGATCACGCTCGTGGTGGCGGTCATGTTCTCGACTCCGCCGGTCGTAGTCCCTGTCCCTCTCCCGGTCCCGGTCTCTGCTGGGCCCTCTTTCATCCCTGTCCCTCTCCCGATCCCGGTCCCAGTCCCGGCTGGCGGCCCTCTCAGGTTCCCTTTCTCTAGACCTGATGCAACCATTTCGTCTGTTAGAATCGTTTTTGTTATGAAGAGGATGGCGGAGAAGAAGAAGAGTTACCTCCTGTCATCTGGTTTGCGCACCTTTTTCCTTTCCTCCTGAGAATTTTTAAACAACTCGTAAACATAAAATTTGCCAAATTATATGGGGGGTTTCCAGATGAAGGAAGAGGTCAACGAGCAGAAAAAAAAAAGCAAACACAGAAAAAGTATGCCTTTGAAGCAAGTCAACGCAGTATGAGGGTGACGGCGAGTCAACTGAGCCTTTCTCAAGGGACGCTGCTAGTGATAGTCTAACAATGATGCACCCACAAGGGGAAAATGGAGCTACAGAATAGCTCAAGGATAAAGAACAGCTTCAGAGTAAGCTTACAAGAGGGGTGAAGACTCACGAGGATGCAAGTCAACTCAGATATGAGAACTGTAGTGGGGGTTGACTGAAGAAGAGAAACCTAAACGTAAATGTACAAGATCTTAATGCCTAACCTTTGCGAATGATGTGGAGAGACAAATGACCCCAGAACAATCAGGAACAAAGTGAACTCACCATCTGTTTCACCACTCAGCTTACCATCACTATCTGGCATATACTGGCGAAGGCTCTGCCAGTTATGTTTCAGAAATTGTACATAATAGGACCCACAAACAAATTTGGAAATGAGCATACAAGAATTATTTTTGGTATTAAATTTGGGTCTAAGCATCTTTTTTTCTTATAGAGATTTTCAACTTATTCATAGAGTAGACCCAGAAGAAGAAAATTCTGAACGATTTTTATCGTGGGAATAAAAGATAAGACATAAGTAAAGTATAATGATGTTTTTCCAATGAGATCAGAAAACTCACTGATAGAATTTAACCAGGAAAATCTCTACACGAGAATGTGAAACATTATAACCAGCACCTGACCAACACGTTCAGAGATTGGATTTAAGAGCCACTCAAACAAGAAAACAATAGAGGAAATCAAATCTGAAGCAACAAACAAATATTCATTTTCCTTTCTCTTTAGCATCGCAATTACATGCAAATGTCTCACGAAAAGAGAGGTTATATTAAATCAGCAGAACCACAGTCTAGTCACTCTTTTGGGAAATGAAATTGCACAGACTACCTGAAGCTCTGACAACTTCTCACGGATTTGCATGTAGCCCAAGTGAAGTTTCCCCCCAAAATGATCAGCTAAACGACGATCACTGGAAAAAAAAAAAAAAGTTGGACAAGCTCATATTCAATGTATAATAAAATAGATTTTGAAAGTTGCGTATCTGGAAATAATACACAGAAAGCCTCCTACGTTCAGTAACCATAATCTAACAAAACAGAAAACAGAAAACGCACATTCTTTAGCTGCAAAAGTTTTCCACGTAAAACTGGCCCAAGAGCCTGCTGTTAAGGAGGGATAATGTGTCTGTCAAAAGCTGGAAGTACTACCACTATAGATGGCCTAGAAATTCAGTAATATGATTTTTAGGGATGAGATAGATATTTACTTGTCATAGACACTCAAGAATGCTCCACAAATGTCACATAAACGCAACTTCTGATCGGTCTGCAAAAGAGTTCGAAAACAAATTAACATCTCATCCTTAAGGTGGTCTCAAGAGAAAAACAAGAACCAGCATGTAAAACAATAGAGCATCCATCCTGCATGCCATCAAACGACAATAGAAACAAGTTGGCCATTGCACTTGGAAAACATTTACAAGTAAAATTATAAGTACCGTTAAGTATATTTATCATGGCGATAAATGCAGTTTAACAAACAAAGACAAGCATGATGATATCTTCAAAATGTCATCTAAAAATAAATTGATTCATCCTCCATTCAAAACGACCACCTTCCTAGCTGATACCGCGTTTATGACCGATAACGACAGGCAAAGATGACTATGAAGAAGATAAGTAGACAAAAAACCTCCTCTTTTCCTATTCTTACTCCAGCTGCAGACAGTGGCATTAACAATGCTGATAATTTTTAATTTGTTTCACAGAGTCAGGTCAAAACATATTCTGAAGTCTGATCATAAACATATTTATGGAATGAGAGCCAGTTACATGTAAGTTGAGTCACTTCACAAGGACGTGAGCCCTCCATGCACTAACACCCTTGCATAGATGTGTTGACCAGATGGCACAGACCATATGGATCACAAGTGGATTATAGGTTGTAAGGCACTCCAAGTTTTGCTTGCTGGACACAATTTGGAGCCAATTGGCAAACCTTAATTCCTCATAGTTCTAAACCACAGGCTTAAGAAAACCAACTTCATCTTCCAATCTAAGCAAACATCAGGATTCTAGTTCAAAAATGTTGCATACTCCAAGTAAAAGCTGCATTTCAACCAACAACACGATTGCTTTCTTTGTTATCAAACAAGATCTTTCATTCAAAAAGAAAACCAAAAACCAGTATAACCAACTCTAATCAAGGGCTGGGAAGTCCAAGGCAGCAGTAATCAGCTGATAGCTGTTCTCAAATTAGACAAACAATGTAGCAGGCCATGTTTGCATATCAAATGTATAAGCTACAACAAAGTGTATTAATAATAGTGTATCAAACCAAAAAGCAACAGGAATAAAAAGATTAAGATCCCGAATTATCAGGTCGATGCTTGAGAACAATCTATTAACGTAAAGAAATAGGTCATTTCACTCCCAGATGATCTTTGTGCAGCATTAGCCTTATTAAAAAAAAGGCAGATAATCGCATGTCATAAAAAGAATATTTTATAACAAGAGATTGAGATCTAACTCACAATCCGCACATCGGCAGCAGTGTATTTTGAAGCGTCGGCAGCTGGCTCCTGCCTTGAAGCTGACTGTAGGGAAGGGCAGAAAAGAATGGTAACTGGAAGGGTTTACAATGGCACTATTATCTAATAGATCAGCAAATATTATACTATTAACAGGTATGGATAGATAAGTAACATTGGCATTTGCACGACAACATCAAAAACTTCATGGATGATTCCTAAAATTAAAAAATAGTAAAAGAATCGAACCTTTCTTAAAGCCTCTGCTTCTTCTAATGCTTTCTGAGCTTCATCTATCATTCCCTGTTCACCTAGAGAAAAGGGAAACAGCCAAGTAATTGAAAATACACATTCAGATTATTATGCAACACCTTTTCCTCCAAGAAAATATGAGCTGAACTTTCTAAAAGTATTTCCAAGCTGAACGTAATTTCTATGGTAAATGTGCTAGTGCAGCTTCTCAGGTAAACCATGATTTCTATGAAAAATCATGGTGCACAGGGTAAAGTTTAGCCAATGAAGTAAACAACATGCTTCGATAGAATGGTGTGCGATGGGATCAAAGACTGGGGGAGACCTCATCTGTTGGAAAGAGAGGATTCGATTATTTTGGAGAGGTTGGTCCACCAGTTCATTCTTAGTTTACGCCTTTTTGGCACAAAAAGAGCGATGAATAGGGGAGTTCTCTGACAAATCTTTTGAACCAGACTTGCATAAGCATTTCCTGATATTCATGATCATGTTATCCAACTAATATTTTTAAAAAGGGCAGACCAAGAGAAAAAAGCTGCCATTTCGATCAACTACAGAATGGATCATACTAGTATGATAAAACTGTTGATAGGATCGAAAAAAGTTTACAGCGGCAAATGCAACAGAAATATATGAATAGTTAGATATTCAAGACCTATGTATTCCGTGTGAACGAGATAGCCTTGATTGCATAACTAAATAGGGAACACAAACACATTTATTAATTGTAAAAAGAAACAGAGAAGGTTGTTAAAAAAAAAGAAGCTAAGACCACAAACAGTTCACTATCGTTGACTCTTGATATGTTGCCTAAGTGCATTACCCAGAGCCTCTGCCCTTCTCAGTTTCTCATTTATCATTTCCTGTGTGTGAGGATCTGGAGGTGGTGGTGCAGGAACAGGAGCCAAGGCAGGTGGATTTTGAAGAGGCTGTGGTAAAGAGGCTCTGTCCTTGTTGAAGGCATCCAAAAGAAGTACCGACTGCATGGACATAGAAACAAAAACGATCAAATCAGATAACAGAACTAAAAGACGAACGCCAAATATTAAAATACTGGCAAGCTAAAAGAAAAAAAAGGTCTACATGAGACTATTTCTCTCTATCTTTATTCATCTCTTCATTTGAGAATCACCTGTTTGGAAGAAAAAACGCATCACATAGTCGTTTAAAAATTACCTGTTTGTCAGCTCTTCTGGTTCTAAGCTCATCCACAACTTCCATGGCCCTTATTTTGTCATCACTTCTGCCCTCTAGATCTGAGGATCCATATTTATGAAAAAAGTAGTTACAAATGATGAATCTCCACGACAATTTTCACATAGATAAAATTCAGCATCAAGTCTATAAAACAATTAAAATCAAATTTTTATATGCATTACAAGATGCCCAACTGCAGACTTCCCACTTTCCCTATTTGAATGAACCCCATCAACTTTTGGCAAAAAAAGGTAATTAGATTGCATACAAATCCAAACCTGAGATTGTACTTTTCCCGCCACATAAAGCATTCCATCTAACAGTTAGCTTCCCCGTTCTATTCTTTATTGAATCAACTGTGTTTTGGGGCAAATGACTTATGATAAAAACAGTGCAGATGAGATGGTTCAACACATAAATCATCAGAAATAAATAGTAAAAACATACAAATAAACAACAGAAACGATGATAACAACATTGTTCCCCTGAAGGTATGACCATAGAAATTGGACCATTATTTTATAAAAATGACCAGTCATCTCTATTTAGTGTAATAAAGTCATCCAAAATGCTGGATCCTTCCACATAAAAAAGGAATCACGAACCCACAACATTGAAAAAATTGAACATCTGTATATTGTGACATAGGTCATGATCAGGATGCTGGACAAATCAATATGACTGACCCTAGCACACGCCTTCACTGTCAAACAGCGAGAAACGACCATATGTCTGACTAGGACTGGGATACATGGTAAAATTATATTTTTGATAAGATACTGATTAAAGTTGATACAGGGCAGGATGTGACTAGCGGGCAGAGATATACCGGGCAGCAGGATGAAGGATCCCTCATCGATTCATAGGAAGTTTTCCTAGGAAAATGGCATCGTGCATTAAAAGGAAAACAGGGTGCAGAAATGACGGAAGGTAGTTTGCCATTCGAGAAAGGAATTTTTTTCATCAGGAGGCTTTTGAGAACCTAATGTTTATCACATTTGACAAATAACAAAATATTTTTAGCCATATGACCCGTCCATCTAGAGCAGATTCTTAAAGAAACAATATAATGGAAGACAGGTAGGTGGGACTATTGTGTACTCTGAATAAGTATAGCAGAACAAAAGAAAGGTGGGCGGCCGTAAAAAATGAGGACATCAATACGGCCATCTACATTAATGACTTTAAAAGTTGGTGCTAACTAAGGGTAAGTTCTGGCCTATGAAGTAGGAGATGTCACTTGTGAGATCTTCAGTCTTTTTCGTAACCTTTGTAAAGTATGTATGAAAAGGAATTCTGCAATCTACTGACGTTTTTCAGTCAATATATAGCCCATCATAAGTGATAGTCAAACCAATTTTTGGCATGTCAGATGGCAACGGCTGCCATCTTCATTTCTCCATTCAGCATTGTCATTACTCATGGGGGATGAAAGTTGGAGCCTACATTGGGTGAAATAACTCTAGATTCAAGAATATATTTTAAGAAGACGAGGAAACTAGGATAAATAGGTAGAAAACATTCATATGACGTGACATCAAAGATCAAAAATCTAAAAGCCAATGCAACGGAAATGAGACGAACTTTTGCAAAACAGTAAATTTCAATCACAAGAACTAAATAATATTACCAAGGGCATCGACCTCTTTCAGTTTCTCCTTAATTTGCTTGGACAACTCCAAAACCTCAGGCGACTCCAATATCAAAAGAAAAATTTCTCAGAACAGGCGAATAAATATTGTTTGGATGTGATAAAAAAGGCATAATTTATCAAATAAATACAAAAGATGTCTACCTGGGTAACCTCTGACACAGATATTGCAACCGCAGCCTTGGCATCTTCGTCGGACAAACGTTTTAGGGCTCTTTGAATTTTCCTTTCACATTCAACAATTAGCTTCTCTATTAAATCCTCTAGTTCCCGGTCAAAATTGTGAGTACCTTTCAACTTGGCTTCCTCATACCTACGGAAAATTAAGGAACACTACCGGACGAAAGATACCATGATGCCAACGTCATTATGCGTTTCATCTAACCACTCATGGGTCATCTCTACCCAAGGGTCAGTATAAAACGATCGATAGATGAAGCAGTATGTTCGGAGATTAAACGAAAACAGAAATCAAACATTACAAGCATGAAGGATACTCTTTCCTCAATGTAAGCGAGTGCACCTTTGGACAAGGACCAAGATCCATCTTCTGAATTATATCAAAGACAAAAAGAAGTTTGTTAGTATATACATTCAAGACTCAAAAAAGAGCAATACAATGAACGCAGAGTGAGCGGAAAGTAATCCATGAGGCAGAAATGAAGACAATAGCTAGAGGGGCAGCTCTCAGCAGATGAAGCCTAGTACAAGCTCCAACACATGCCGTCAAGCGGAACCCTAAAATCTGCCTAACAAGTCGAAAAACAAGCGAAACAAAGATCAAATCCCTCACCGTGAGCTGGAAGAGGTCGTGCGGGCAGAGACCCGTCAGGAAGAGCCGGCAGACGTCCCTATCGTAGTACTTCCGATTCACCTCTCGTACATCCCCGTTCCTGTTAGCCCCCATGAGGGCGTCAAGCTGCTTCCTGATGGCATCCATTTCAAGGATGGCAATTCCCCCACCCACCGGTGGTACCGAGAGAAGGGCCTCGCAAGTTAGGCGAGAGAAGGGTTTTAGGCTGTCTGCCGGAGAGGTGGGAGCATGGAGCACACCGAGTACATCCACTAGGGCAAGCTCCTAATCAAACCTAGATCTTGTGCTACTCCCGGTTTATAGCTACGCGCAGTAGACCTCAGTGAGAACCCCCTACACGGCCATCTTACTTGGGAAAGAAACCAATGGCTGGCCGTCCGATCAATGAGCCATCATGATCTTCATCATTCCTTCCTGGACCACCTCAGAGGTTGTGGCCAGGCTCACTTTTCCGTTGGGCCTACAAACCAACTATTGGGTCAGTGATATTAACGAGCTGGGCCGGACATGGCAAAGGAGAGCAAGAGGGTGGGGGGCCTGGGCTTTTCGTTGGGCCTATGGGAGTTTTAAAATCGGCCTGGGCCCATATTTTTCAGTTGGCCTGTAAACTTACTATTGGGTCTGGGATGTTAACGGACCGGTCCGGGCCGTCCTTCGGAGAGCACGGGGATGACGGGCCTGGGCTTTTGCGAGAGGAGCTACGAAAGCCCGATAGGGATTGCACCGGACCTGCCAGGCTTTTCTATTGGGCTAGCCCCACTTTTCATCGGGCCTGTAACTAACCATTGGGCTTGGGTTGTTAACGGGCCGAGCCGGAGTTGGCTAGGATAGCGCGGGGGGGGACGGGTCTCGGCTTTTCCGAGAGAAACCACGAAAGCCCGATAGACAATGCACGGGACCTAGCGGGCTTTTTTCATTGGTCCAGGCCCGACATTTTCTTTGGGCCTGTAAAGTAACTATTGGGTTTAGGATGTTACCTGGCCGGGCTGGACTTCGCAAGGAGAGTGCGAGGGAGACGGGCCTGGGCTTTTTCTGAGAGAAGGCACGAAAGCCCGATAGACGACTGGACCTGACGGGCTTTTTCCATTTTGGGCTTTGTAAATGGGCCGTATCCCTCGCATCGGGAACCCTAACTGGGTAGAAGCTTGACCGTGTTACCCGGCCCGGTTTAATAAGCTTGACCGTATAAAACATTCAAGCTCAGATGAATCTCTCTCTCTCTCTCTCTCTCTCTCTCTCTCTCTCTCTCTCTCTGTGGCTGTTTGAGTAGGGAGCCGGCGATGAGGAGAAGCAGGGGGTCTCCGGCCGTCGGTCGCCGCCTGGCCTTGCTGGTGGTTCTCTCTCTTCACCTGATGTTATCCTCCGCATTCCAATCCGATGAGCTTATCCAGGACGACGAGGAATTTGGATTGGAAGGCGGACGAATTCCTGATCGCGAGATTTCAACCCCAGTCCGGGCCGCTCCTCGGGTAAAAACTAGTGGAGATGTTTCTTCCCCAACGGACGCGAAGTCCGTTCAGATCACCCTCGAGCATGCCTTCGGGGACTCGGATTTTTCTCCTGCAGGGATCTTTACTGCCCGGCTCAAGTCCTCCAACCACGGCGGGCAGGTCAAATTGCTGTCGAAATTGATGCCCACCACGTTTTTTTCATGCAATAATTTTTAAAATACTTGGGAGCATTGGTTTTTCTTGTTGTCTTAATAGAAGCAATTGGATACTCTCCTGTCTGGCTTTCTGTGAACCGGAGGTGGTCAAGTGCTTGCACTTCTTCTCGCCAGTTGCTCCGTGTTACCGTAGTTTTCAGGGAAATTTGTTTCCTATTTTTCTGATCTTATTTATCCATAGTTGTTTGTTAGCTTTGATCTCACCCCCTGCATATGATTCCGTCGAGCTCTTTTGCCTAGCTACCTCTGTCTATTGTTTTCTCTATTCAATTGGGTTTTTTTATTTATTTTTTCAGACACTGACTAAGCTTCGCTTTAGGAGGGATGCATTGACGGACTTAGAGAAGAAAGCTTTTGAAGTATCTTCTTCATTTTACCCTTTACATCATTTTATTGGCATCTGTTTTTGTGCTGTGGAATAGAAACTTGAAGATCTTAGTCTCTTTTTTGCAGAGGATTTTGAGAAACGATGATTTCTACACGATCCGATTGCCTTCGAATGTGTTGAATCCTCCTGGGAGAGAATATGTCATTTCTTCTGTCAGAGCTGTAAGCAATTCATCACGTTTGGCGGTTTTTATTTTTTCCTTCTTTCATCATCATATTTTTGCTAAAGTCATGGTGTTATTCTTGGTGAAGGTCAACTCAGTAAACAAAGAACATTTCTATAAATAGCTCTTATGAGTTGAGGAGACTGATTTTAAACCGTCAATGCATCACTTACAATATGGTTTACAGTATTTGTGTGTCCTAACTGCTATTTCATTTTTTATTTTCATTTCAGAGGTGCCTTCCAAGGGAGAGTCTTGATGAACATTTTGTAATTAACATGGTAATGCCTAGCTAAGCTTTTTAAGGTTTTCATTTTCGCTTTGAGTAGTATATCTGGCTCGTAGAATGTCGTCCTTTCGGTTAAGACATCCACCATTTACAGAACCACTGTGGAAAAATAATCAAAAGCATCCATGTGGCAATGTTTTTTTTTAGTGTATAACAGAGACTCCCTCGACTTATTTTGGAAATGCGAAACATGTGTTAGTCTTCCTACTATAGTTAAAAATATTTTTTCCTATAATAACATTTTTGTGGCAATTTTTTAATTGAAACTAGTTGTACTCTCTTTTAATTACCACTTTATTTTCAGGAAGGTGTAAATATTTTGTCTGTGACTTATGGTTCTACTCGAATGTGCCAATATCCAAGGTTGTTAGAATATGTAAGTTGTTCTTAACTTCTCTTTTTTGTTGTGAACTGGAAACAATTTAGTTCAAACTATTTTGATTATTTTATTCTCCCTTTTTTGTTTCTGCTATTTTTATGTCATGATGTCGATTTCCAGGCTGCAATATTCTTGTGTTATGTTCTCAAAGCGCTCACACATTTATATGTTAATGTACATATAACTACGAAAGTGCTAAAATTCATCTTGATTTCAGCCAACAAAGTGGGTTTTCAACTCTCGCACGGTTCTAAAGAGTGGTGAACTTGCGCAAAGGTGAAATAATGTTTCCAGATATTTAGTTTCTTGGTTATTGTGTATTTGAGCATATAGTTATTATCAAATAAATGCTCTTCCCTTCTTTTCAACACATACAATCTGATGCAGATATTATACATATTTAAATTTCCCTGGCCTATGTGCAGTATTGACAGACATTTAGTTCTTTTGTATGCAGAAGACCAACATTTGCCGAAGAAGTGCTTGCTGCTGAGAGTGCAGAAGGCGAAGGTGTGAAGCCTCCAGAGAAATCCTTCTGGGCTAAATATGTAAGCAATTCTAGTTATCATCTATATGACACTGTTTTATTACGCTGGATGGTGACTTTCATGCAATCATTCTTTATGAAAAGAATGTTATGATACAAGCTTACTTATTCTAAATTCGCGGACCGTTGGTATTTCTCAAAAAATCCATATTAAGTTGATGGTTCTTTGTTATGCATTTTTTGAAGCCCAACTATATAGAGTTAGGGGATTATTCATCAATTTTTTCCCTAAAAAACAACTTCTTTGGTGTTAACTTTAAGGTAAAAACGTACATCCTTAAAATTTGCCTCTTAAGAACCAGGAATCCTGATGGTGTTTGCCGCAGATCTCTGTCTAAAATTGAATATTGTCTATGAAAACCAAATTAGGTCCTACCTCTCTTAAGCCCACCCTCGCCCAAAGTCTGGCCACTGTTGGTACTTCTGATGAGCCACTGCTGGTTGTGGTCATGTTTCGTATGCTTAGATCTGGTGAGGAAAAGATGAAATATGAGGTAGAAGGGGAGAAAATGAGCGAAGGGTTTCAGTGTCTAGAGGAGCGGTTCAGAAGTCCAAAAGTCAGTAGCGGTTTTTCTCATTGCATAAGCTATCAGAGAGGAGGAAGAGGAACAATGAGAAAGAAGGAAATTCCAAATTCCTTGAATATTAGGTGACTAAAAGAATGTTGTGGATACATGGTAGAAATTTGACTATTGCCTGTTTAATTCATATTTTTGAATTTTTTAGGACATAAACCCTTAAAATAATTAAAAAAATGTCCTCATTAGTTCTCTTAAAGTAAGCATCTTCTATCTTGAAACTGGAATACTGATGGTGTTTGCTTAACTGCCTCTGAAAATGTTGAAACTTCTATCTCTGTTTACTTCAAAGCTTTTGCCGCTTCCCACTGGTAATTGGTGGCTGTGTTTTGGGATTCATAGTACCTTGTGTTGTTTTGTGTTTTTTCTGCTGTTTAATATGATAACTTACAGACCTTGACATCTGACATTGTTTTCCTTCTCCAGTGGATGTATCTGATACCTCTTGGACTCATTGTCATGAATGCCATTACACAAGCTATGAATCTGCCTGAGGAGCCAGCTGCTGGGCAGACAGCTTCTCAGACGCAACAGCAGGGTGCACAGAGGGCTCCTAGCGCAGCGACAAGAAGAAGATAAATGTATGATTCTTGGATTACTTATAATCTATGTCCATTTTTGGTTTTTTTTTTTTCCTATTACTTTTCTCTACTTGAACTTACCTTTGTATTAAAATAATGTATCCATACAATATCATGAATCGTTTACTGATTTACCACTTAATTTCATTGATATTTTGCATGAAGAAAATAACAAAAACTTTAGGATAGTAGTGTTGTAAATCTGATGAAGGCCTAAAGATCTATAAATCTGTTTACCGGGGAAACTAATTTTTTTTCTCCCTCTCAAAACTAATCGATCTCAGTTGACTTGTGTGAACAAAAACTCCATAGACTGTAAATGTCTCAACAGATATTAGAATTAGGCGATGATGGTCCTGTGCATCATCTTGCGCGATGAAAGGCCTGTCTAATGAGCTCTGGCCTTACAATCTATGTATAGATATATGGAGAGAGAGAGCGAGAGGAAAGCCTTTCAATTGTTAGCATGCATGCTCTTTTATCCATTTATTCACAAAATTCGGTCAGGAGTTTCAAGCTCCAGGTCTGGTAGTAGAGATGCTGGGCTGGCCCGGGCTTCTTTGGTCACTTGAGACTCATCAAGATGGATCCCGAAAACGAGAGAGAGAGAGAGAGAGAGAGAGAGAGAGAGAGAGAGAGAGATAGCCTTGAAATCAGTGTTCTATCCTGAAGCTTTTGCAAACTTGGTGAGGTCCCTTCCCTCGAGCTAACACCTCCAGCTGCCGTTCTCTACACAGGACTCCAAAAGTCGAAGCTTCCACCTCGGTTGAGCACAGCAGCGGCTGAGAAATCTCTTCCTCGTCCGTAGATCAATCCTGTTGGGAGCCTCTTCCTTTCTGATCATCAAACTCTCGGAGGACTCGTACCAAGAATCTTAGCTTTCAGTGGTTTCCTAAATCTCCACCACCATCATCACCAGCAGCAGCAGCGGCGGCGGCGGCAGTGGTTTCCTCCTGTTCATGTGACAAGAAGAACCGTGGCTCCGACCCCAGCTTTTGTATTGCATTCGTTGCATCACCTTCATCGCCACGCCTCCAAATGGTTTTCCTGGGACTGGACGGCCAAACAACACTACCTCCGCCGCCATTACTCCTCCTGGCGCCGCTGACTTCCATTTTTATCCGAATTCGAACTGATATCAGTCTTCAGGCTGCAATCCATGGACCCAAATCAGACCCAGAACCCCTCTCTCTCTCTCTCTTTCTCTCTCTCTCTCTCTCTCTCTCTCTCTCTCTCTCTCTCTCTCTCTCTCTCTCTCTCTCTCTCTCTCTCTCTCTCTCTCTCTCTCTCTCGCTGTGTTGCCTATGTGAAGACACCCACATTCCTAAAAAGGAAAAAAAAAAGGAACTAAGAACACATGCTAATACCTCTCAAACAACAGCCGTTCTGTTCCCCCTTCAGTTCTTGGTGTAAAAAAGCCGCAATCCTCATCGCCTTTCATAAACATAAGCTCGCCATCATTCTTCAATCATCTATTTACAAACCTCGGGGTAGTGAGAGAAGAGAAGAGCCGTCAGTGGCAGAGAAAAACCCGAGATCCCCTCCTCACTTCTGGGAGCATAATAGACTCAAAGCCTCAGATAGAAGAGACCACATAAGAGGTCTCGGAGGAGGAATCGATGGCTCGGCCTTTGAAGCCGCCCCACCCCCCAACTTGCCAGGGGCCCCGGCAGACACGATACTCTCTCTTGCTGCCTGCGTGATCTCAGCCACAGTACCTGTCAGGGAAGAATCACAGGTCATCACCTGACTTGCAGAGGCACAGTCGCTTGTATCGGCATTCAATGAGAGATACATCAACAACTACATATATATATATATATATGTATTTATACGTATATATATATATGTATATGTATATGTATCTATATGTATCTATATGTATGTATATATGTGGATGTGGATGAGGATGTGCATGTGGATGTATGTATGTTTGAGAAAAAGATATACCCGAACCTCGGTCAGCTTTGAATTGAATAAAAAGTTTGGATTATATGGAATCATGAAGCATAGTTTCTTCGAGTTGACTCTACTCTTCCAATAAAATGAGTATGAGTTAAGGGATCCATGGATGGATATAAAAAGTCTGTTTAAAATCATCAATTTTTATATTAAAAAAGGGATTGAAGCCAAATAGCTAGAACGTCGTGGCTTTAGTTTACTAGATCCATCAGCATATATATATGTGTATGAATGTATGTATGTATGTATGTCTAGAAGTCAGATCCAAAGTTTCTTGATGACAGGAGAGATTTAGTATATAAAGGGTAAAGAAGCTCCAGCACCCACATCAAGTATGGTAAAAATCCGATGACGCAGAAGAGAGAGATTAGGAGCAGCAAGCATGATATGGAAGGGGGTCAACGCTGGTGTTGTTCTTGAGGTTATATAACACATGGAGCTCAGATAAAGAGGATTCTAGCTCAAATCATCTTCCCAGAGGGCATTGTCACATCTAATCCCTCAGGGCAGATCTCAGAATCCACTCAGAGACCTTGTCTCGCATCTGCTTGACCATTTGTGAATGTTATCTGATCATAATAACCTACAATGGATGACTTTTCCTCGGCATCCAACGATGAGCAGAAAGTCAAAAACCCTCCCTCCCTCCCTACTTCACGCGTTTATTAATATTATGAAAAGTCAAAGTGAGAAGATGGATAAAGTAAAGATGCAGCCACGTTTGCTAATCTCAATGGGATATTTCTGGCTATTTCCAACTATGGGAAGAAGCTTCATGCATCATATATGATAGGTCTTCAACGATCGGATCGTCCAGTTGCATCGAGGATTCAACAGAATGTTTAGCAATAAACGGAAAGAAACAACGTACAAGAGGTTGGAAATCCCAAACCCTAAACCTCAGAACAAGATGATTAGAGAGCAAGGATTTTAGAGATCAAGTCCACAATCTGTGCAAGCAGTTGACGTGACGAGTTTAAAATTAAAAAAAACCATATTTATACAGTGCTAGAATAAGAAATGGAACAGATTAGTGGATTTGATGCGCAAACTTACTTGGTAAGTTGAGCTCCGTCATTGATGGCCGCCAGAGCCATGCACGGATTGAGAATTTGCTTGCTGCTGTATCTGTAAGAGCAGGTTGGCAGCCAGCTGCAGTGTTGACTGATATCGCTGATTCTTGTCGGCGTCAGCCTCTGAAGGAGCTTGAGTGGCGGAACTCGGGATATTATTCTGTAACTGTTGCACCTGAGCAGGGAAATCTGTATTTACTTTGTCTTCTGTTGAAGAAGAAGCAATCCAATGTTGGAGCATGTTCCCGCTTTGAACCTGGGAAGATGCAGCAGCAGAGTTGGGCTGCAGAGGTCCCGCTGCACCAGCTAAGCCTGCTGCCTCAGCTGGTCGAGATATCCCATGACTCCTGCTAGAGCTAAACTCAGCATCCGCCTGACTCTGTATGCTGGGCTGGGCCCCTGTGAACTGCCCACCTTGTTGCGCGACCACATAGCTATTGAACGGCAGCACAGAGATAGATGGAGCCTGTTGAATGCCAGATAGATTTTCTTGAGCAATAGTTGCAGTGTTTGTGTATGAACGAATCTGATCATTCTGGTTTGCAAACTGTTGCCCAGCCAGAAGAGAAGGAAGGCTAGGCTGCTCGTGATGGGCACCACTAGAAACTGGAGTCTGAGGCTGCTGGCTCCACAGCTGCGGCAGCATTTCATTTCCAGGAACCAATGGAACAGAGACAGAGGGCGCCCTCACAGTGGAGCTCAAGGGCGGCTGAACAGGGCCAGTAGAGGTGGCCAATGCACTCGTGGGTATCACAGCAGCTAAGGTAGCGATAAGCTCCGGCGTCAGGGAAACCTCGACTGGCTGAGAAGTCATGGGATTGCTGCCATAGCTGATGGGAAGAGATTGTGCTGAGAACGGTCTCCCAGCCGTGGAGCGAGGCAACAACTCCTCTTGCAATGGCCGGCTATATTCCAAGCTTGGTACCCGATCCTCACTCAGACGGGAAGCAGCATATCCAGACTGGGCAGGAGGTGTCTGCTGTCTTTCAGTGTAATGAGAAGTCGGGGCACCCAATTGCTGTGGGATCTTCAGAACAACGCCGTAGAGACGTTCAGGACCGGACACCTTTAGAACCTGGGTCAGGAAATCTGAAGGAGGAACCAAGAACAACGTGGTTCCATCGTCAAGCTTGGCAACACCAGCCCGGTTCTTCAGACGAAGGTACTGTAGAAACTCCGTGTAAGAGGCGAAGTCATCTTCGCTGTCTGGGAGGAAGAAAACTATGTCGAAACCGTCTGCTTCTTCATAGTGTTTTGAGAGCATATCCAATCCGGTTCTGGCTGAGCAGTTGACGACTTCAGGGCTGTTCATAGAATTGATTCCGTTAGATGGGTACTAGAAGAGAAGAAGGAAAGTAAAGGACTGTGATCTCAGAGAAGCTTACAGCGGAGAATCTACGCCCTTTCCCACAGGTACACATCGAGCATGGCAAACAGGGGTTCCACCTTTGGCAATGATTCCACGCCAACAATGATCTCGAATTGGAAAGCCTGCGGCTGACCTCTTTGCACCCATTGGGCTACTCGGACCTGCCGCAACTCTATCAGGGCCATTCAGCGCATATGGGTTCCTGAGTATCTGGCTGTCCATCCTCCTCCCGCGCAGAGAAGCTTCATCAAATGGGGAGCCATCAATCCTTGACCTCTTTGCATCCCTCGCATCAAATCCATCCCACATGCCTGGCAAGCTAATGGTGGGAGATTGCCGACCAGGTACAGGGGATAACCTTGAAAAATTCACACCTTCACGGAAATGATAGGCAGAGTCGTCCAAGAACTCTGAGCCCCCATCAAAGAATCCTCGAGGAGGGAAGGGCCTCCCCATTCCAGGCATGTTGTTGGGAGGTAGTGACCCTGGAAAATTGTTTGGATAGCCACCACGATGAAAATACTTTGTGCGCCCAAATGGATGATCACCGTAGATCATATCTTGTCTGGGTCCTCCTCCTCCTCCCTGTCCTGAACCAAACAGGAAGTCGTCTTTAGGCTGAGCAAACTCACTGTTTGAGTACAGTATCTGTATCCTGGGGTCATTGAAGAGACGACCCTGTAATCCCTCCTTAGCACGCCGAGCTTCGTCTACGCTTCTAAATTCTACGAATGAAGAACTCCTTGAGGGGAAGCTTTTGACATGCTCAATTTCACCGAAGAGAATCATGGCGTTATGAAGCATTTGCTCATCGATCCGAACAGATGGAGGGTAACGTATCAACAGAACTTTGCTCAGAGGACTCTCATAAGGCCCGCCTAATGGCTGAAATCAGTTCACAAGTATAAGATTGAAGTGACAGTTTCAATCGCGTGAAAAGGATGGATAATGGAAGACGCAATATGCAAAGAAACTTGAGGAGAAATTTTGAAACGGATGTGTACATGCCGAGAAGCTTCTGGAATAAATCTTGCAGACTCTGGTCCAAAGCTCCTCCTCGTTTCATGATGATCCGACCAATCCTGAAATCACAAGGATTACCGAATCTCATTCAATTGTGAACAACTGCATATGCAAACAACTGGACAAATTGCTTAAATTACACACCCTTTTTGAAGGTTGTGAGCTGGTGCGTAGATAATCTACACGTATTTGTTCACCCCCTAAATCTTTTCCGTCCATGCTCTTCAAAGCGGCAGTTGCATCATCTATTTTATAATAATCGATCAATGCAGAGTTTCTGTCTCTATGGAACTTGTGGTCTTCAAGTTTCCCAAACTTCGAAAATTCTTCTTCGAGTTGCTCCTTCGTAAGAGATGAACTTATTCCACTAATCCACAGCTGCTTACATGGTTTAGCCTGCAGATCAAATGATAATAAAGCCTTATTATACAAGCGCAAAGGTTTCAGATAAAAAGGATTGAAAACTTTGTACATGCTCATATCATGACAAGTTTATTTAGTGTTGAGAAAGAGACTAGCGGAACAGATACAGATGAAGAATATTGGATCTCGAAATTAAGCAAAGGCAACCTAAGAAAAATGACAAGGCTGCCTCAGAACATCTTGCTGAGAACCCTCTGAGAAACAAAAAGGTCATAAACATTCGCAATACAAGTAAATTACCCAACATGTTTTCTTCACAACAGAAAACTATTTTCAATGTTCCAGTTATACTAATATGCGCTTCGCCTAATTCCTGGGATTTAGATCTACGAAAACCAAAAAAATAAATGGTTTCAACATGTCCATCTGCGAAATGCAAAGGCATCTTTAAAAAGTCATAAGGAATTTTAGGCAACGTGAATAAATCAGTCATTTAAAAGAAAACAAAAGACCACAGCAAAAAAGGACTCTCGTAGTTTTGTTGTTATCAGATATGAAAATCTAAAAAAAAACACGCTTCCCACAGTATTTATCAAGATCGCATATCCAGATTTCAGAAATGTTAAAGGAATCACTCACATCCATCCGTTTATCCGATTAGAGTAAAATTAAATTCTGAACTCAAAACCAGAACGCATGTCCTACACTTGTTTACACTTTCCGAACAGGAATCAGGCTGCGGGTTTAAAGCGTCCACTGCAAAAAGTGACTATCCAAACCAGTTGACAAGGAATGAAGAAAAAACACCATATATCATTGTATTCACATAATGAAGAAGATTATCCACAAAATCTACATCTACAGATTTATAAACTAAATTAATGTTTCAATTTGAGGAGTTTAACAAACAAAGAGAAAACCTACAGCTTGCTTCACAAATCAGCCCCATAGTAACATCAGATGAGAAGAGAGTCTCCATCCACTGAGACAACAGCAAGACATGGAAAAGAGCGCTAACCCACTCAACATTTATCCACAGTAAAAATACCCTGCCCCAATCGCATGTGCTTCGGGTAACTTCCAAGTAAGATATAAAAGTCAGAGAACCTGTGCATAAACCATTTCAAACCAGACAACCAGCACAACCCCACGCACTATTGATCTATGCACATGTGTTCAGACAACCAGACAGTTTACACGGTCTCATCAGAGGTATTCATTGGCAAGTCTGCAATACTCTCACCATTATATGTTGTTCTTCACCTTTCTGGTCAAATAGATTTAAAGATAACGAACAAAATGCACAAGCCATGTGCAACTGATCAGCGGAAAATAACTCTTGTATCTTTCTCGTGACAATTTTCTTGGAATGCTTTTGTGGAATATTAAGATATGTGAGGATGCAATACTCCAACTTTGGGAACCTTTGTTTTTTTATGCCCTGCCCATGCATGGCTTCGTCTCCAAGGCATGCACATGCCGGAAGTTGTGTCATTAAGGACGAATTTGTCAGGGAATCGATTGGAAACAGGCCAAAGACGAGAAAATCAATTCATAACTTAATGCAGTAATAGTCTATACATTTAGAAGTGAATGAGTTACAGTGCACAACTATGTTCGTTACACAATCTATGAAAGGAAAGAAGATAGAGGAGCACCAGTAACAGGGTTAAGCACCCTCGATCCACCTCCAGTCAGCATTGACATTCCCACTAGAATAACTATTGCTCATTACAGTGCCAAACAAGCTGCAGCATTGTTACATAGGAAAAAAAACGCCATGCTATTAGGTAGCTGCTATATTGTAGTCAGCCCATAAAATAAAGGGGATTGGTAGTGTGTTGTGATATGGGCAGCAGTAAGTGTACTGGATAATCAATTACCTTTGCACGCCTATCCCACATACCCCAGCCCAACCTAAGCCTTCCACCGAAAAGTGTCACTGAGCCCTTTCTGCCTACTCGTTCCCTCACCATAGTCACAACACAACAAACCCAATGTGCCCACAAGATGTGCCGAAATTTTGGAAAAAGAGGAGTGTGCGCAACTGTGTGGCTTATGGGATGCTCATTACATGTAGATAGTCCGTGTTTATACTTTATATGTGTTCCCATCACACAAAGATAAGCCTGGTAGCATTCCTGAAGAACTCCACACAGTTACATTTCCACAAGTTGTTCACAAAAAAATTGCTAAAAATCAGAACATCCATTCAACTTGTTATAAATTTTTCAACGGTATGATCGTAGTGAAACTTCTCGGATTTAACGATCTAGAAGAAGAGGCCATTGAAAAAGGGTCGAAACTACAATTCACAAGTCGATACCTGCATGGAATTTTCATTCGATTTATGCAGCACCGAGTGATATGGTTCCATTCCTCCCTATAAACTTGTTATGAAGTTACCATGGAGTAAGTTTCTATGATATGGTTGGCATAACGTTGACTGGGTGGAGATGATATCGACCTCTTCTGGTGACAAAGGATAATCGCATTCTCATGGATACAGATTGGATCATCCAATGATGGAAGGGACGTGAAAGGAATTTTCTAGGAAAACACGGTTTTCCCTCCTCAGATGCGCCACTCAAACAGTAATAAACGCATGGCAATTTAAGCTACAATTGCAGCGCTATACAAATAAATGTCTTTAGATGCACCAATTGCGTAGAATCACATGTTTTTCTTCACTGTCTGAAACAATATCTTGAATAAAACTGGATCTCCGAGAGTCAGACAACGTAAAAAGTACCTCAACTTCTGTCATCGTCATTATGCAGCATCCCAATTAATATAGGGTAGTTGGGATATATATCAGAATGGTTGTCAGCGCACACATCTATCCACTAATGCACTAGGATTTTAGAATCGTTGGGAATCGGAAAATTAATACTTTTCACCGCTAATTACAGGAATAATCACTACCGCCCAAAACTAGGCCCTTTATGAACTGTAGTAAATAAAGTTATCAAGTCGGATGGCATACAAGTGACAAATTCCTTTGAACTAAACGAATCGTTACTAAAAATGAAGAAAAACGATAACGTCTCTCCACTCCTCTAACTCCATAAGTCATAAATGACCTCACTGGGGACGCAGCACCCATAACATACCATAGGAGAGAGTTTATAAAAAAATTCAATCCTACTTTGACCGAACTGACACGCGCTAAGGTCACTCCATCATCCAATATTCATTGTATAAGCATTTTTTGGATACAAGCCAAGCGTGTATAATCATCAGGTTAAAACAGAAAGAGAACAATGCTCGCTGGAATTTGTTGATATGCAAATGTACTTGGGATATTGACCAGTTTCGACATTTTGATTAAATCTTAGAATGAGATATTTGGAACCAAGTTCATACCGGGTGAGGAATACTGATCAATAATGAACGAAAAAAATTTCCCCTAAAACGCACGATTATCCAAAGGCAGTGTGAGGCTTCATTGGATCATAGTAAACACGCACATCCGTTACGCGAAAGTTGATGATGGAAGGTGGTTTAGAATATAATCGAACGTCATTTCTTGCACAGTCATCTATGCATTAAGAGATCTTCAATGCATAGTGACAAATCTTCCCCGAATGACGTGCAAACAGGCGAAAGTAAACATACAACCATGCTCAAACGAAGGAATAGTTACATTCAAAGAAAGCGCCGGTAACACTAGCAAAAAGTAAAAATCTATCATCGCAGGTATAGTGAGACTAGAACTTCTCATCAACGAGCATTAATCGCAATGGAGTTCGTGCCACGATCAGAATAATCCAGACGCGTAAAACGTAAGAGTACGGTCTAAATTGAAGACTTTTTTATATGCTTTACTCAACCAGGATGCCTAAGCACCAACGGTAGGTTAACGGATTCGAACAGTGCAGTTCAAGAATGGCCAGACTGCAGTTTTAAAGCTACCGAATGAAATTGATTACCTCATCGATTTATCAGATGTGTAATTAGGCTACGTCGGTACAGGGGAGAAAAAAAGATAAATAAATTGCATAAACAACGGGATATCATCGCAGAAGAGAACCAGCACTCGATGAGGGAGTGCTCTTATGATAACCACGAGATCTTCAGTCGTACACATGTTACAAAAACAGAACCTAAACAAACTACACGTGAAGGGAAAACGAACCGGTCGAGCAAACTCAATTTTGATGGAGTTTCCACGGACAAGGGCACCCTGTAGATCATCCTTGGCAGCCTTGGCATCATCCGGGCTCTTGAAGTACAAAAAGGCAAAATTCCTCGAAGAGAACGTCATCACACAGTCGAGAACGCCATGCTTGGCGAAGAGCGTCATCAGATCGGAATCGATAGTATCCATGGAGAGATTTCCCACCCAGAGGTTCGTCGATGGCCCGTCATCGCCATCCGATTCCCTTCCCGACAACCGACTATCGCGATAGTCGCCGTCGTCGGCCTCCTTGCTCGGTGACGGCATAGCAACCAACGGATTCTCGAGACGGACAACTGAAGCAAATGCCACGAAAAAAGCTGGAGAAATGTAGATTGGACTCGAGATCTCCCGCAGAGGAAGCTACCAACGAAACCTGGAGACCAAGGAGGAAGATCGCAGAAGAAACAGAGATGGAAACGCGAATCAATTCGCTTAGGGTTTGGGGCCACAGAGAGAGAAGGACGTTATGAACTGGGAAACTTGCCGAGGGCTGAGCAAATTTACCAGCGTCTTTTTGCCGCGATAATGTTTTGACTTGCTGATATTAGATCCGGACCGTCCATACCATGTAACCTCTCCAGGACCTCACCAGATGTCTAAGGGCTCACTCATTGGACGGCTCTTCGACAGTTTCGAATCGTCTCTTCATATATGAATCGTCCGATCAGTGGGCTCCATCAAGGGCGCCGCGCTCTAGAGTCATTTTCGCCGCCATCTTTAATCTTTTCATGTTTATTGTTATCAATAAATAGGCCTCCAATCTGTATTGATTTCCTTTTACGCCATCAGCCCGTATACCAGTGCTCCGGACTTGTCCTCCGTCGGCAGCCTCGGGCCCGTCCACCTTCCAGGCTTTCTCTCAAACACGGGCCCGGGCCATCCCTCACAAAGCCCGTTCGGGGATCACTCAACATCCTATTAACATGGGCCCCACACTCAAGCGGACCCCCGTATACCAGGGCTCCGGGTTTGTCCTACGTCGGGAGTCTCGAGCCCATCCACCTTTCCACGTTTTTTTCAAACACGGGCCCGGGCCATTCCTAGAAAAGCCCATTCGGGATGATTCGACAGGCTAATTAATGTGGGCCCCACACTGAAGCAAGAAACGGAAGCTTCGAGATCACGGGGGCAGATCGGAAGATTCCAGAGCTCTGGGCACACGCCTTCCAAAAATGGAAAGAAAAAGGAGGACGGAGGAGGAAGGTGTGGGAATCAGTTGAGAGGGGTGGAGTTGAGGGAGAGGGTGTACTTGTGCTTGAGATAGGCCTTGACGAAGGACTCGAGGTCGCCGTCCATGACGGAGGCGATGTCGGAGGTCTCGAGGCCGGTGCGGACGTCCTTCACGAGCTTGTAGGGGTGGAAGACGTAGTTGCGGATCTGCTGGCCCCATTCGGCCTTCACCGCGTCTCCTCTGATCTGCTTGATCTCGGAGGCCCTCTGCTCCTCGGCGATCACCAGTAGCTTCGCCTTCAAGCGGCTGAGCGCTTTGATCCTGTTAGCCAGCTGCGACCGCTCCTCTGCAATGGAACGAGGGTTTTTGTGTCAGAGAGGGATTCACGGTGGGAAAAGAATGACGAAGAAGGGGCATGGATATTCTCCCCATCCCCCGCTCCTTTTTTTTTCTTTTTTTAGAAATCAGATGAAGAGATACTTCACAAGACAGAGCTGTCCAATGAGAGAGAGAGAGAGAGAGGGCGTGGATGATTGCAGGACACCCAGGAGCCATTAAATTTTCCAGGTCATGTTATATGTAAAGTTCAGCTACGCTTTTTTGTTCGAAGAACAGAGCTAACAATTAAGAAAACCCACCACCTGGGTTTGCTTTCTCAAAACAATGGAAGCATTTTGATGATGAATTTATACATACCCATTTTGAAAAACCACATTTTTAGTTTCATTCAATGGCTGAAGAGAGATAGAGAGAGAGACCGGAGAGGAGGGCACAGAATAAGAGAGAGAGAGAGAGAGAGAGAGAGAGAGAGAGAGAGGGACCAGAAAAGGGGGGGGGCAGAATAAGAGAGAGAGGACCGGAAAGGGGGGGGCCAGAATAAGAGAGAGAGAGAGAGGGGTATGGATGATTGCAGGACACCGAGGAGCCATTAAATTTTCCAGGTCATGTTACATGTAAATTTCAGCTTCGTTTTTTTGTCGAAGAACAGAGCTAGCAATTAAGAAAAGTCACTATCTGGGTTCGCTTTCTCAAAACAATGTAAGTAGTTTAATGATGAATTTATGCGTTACCCATTTAAAAAAAAACACATCTTTAGTTTCATTCAATGGTAGAAGAGAGAGAGAGAGAGAGAGTCCGAGAGGAGGGCCCAGAATAAAAGAGAGAAAGAAGAGAGAGAGAGAGACCGGAGATGAGAGCCCAGAATAAGAGAGAGAAAGAAGAGAGAGAGAGAGACCGAAGATGAGGGCCCAGAATAAGAGAGAAAGGGGAGAGAGAGAGAAGGGGTGAATGTAGGTAGGATGGGGGTGGCTAACCTGTGCAGCGAACAGTAACCCCAGTGGGGACGTGGACGATGCGAACGGCCGTTTCCACCTTGTTCACGTTCTGGCCTCCTTTGCCCCCAGCCCTCGAATAGCTAATCTCCAGGTCTTCTTCCGGGATCTCAACGTCCAATGACTCCTCGGGGAGAAGAGGCATCACCTCAACCCCAGCAAAACTCGTCTGCATATCCCACAGAGACCACATTACTTTCCACGATCTCCCATCATTTTACCAGAAAACTCTTGCCAAGAGCTCCCGCAACCATTTTCCACAGTGAATAACTCGTTCTTTGGAGGTGATTCCTTTTTTCTAGAGGTGCATGGGCAATAGCAGACATATATAGGCTATTTAAATGTGATTAAATAGCCTAATTATTTCTGAATGGTGATTAAAATAAATAAATAATAAATGGGTCATGAGAGAAAATAGCTTAATCTAGATCTGAAGTACGTGTCTCTGAAAGTGCTATAATTTAGAACAAACAGCAGCAGTTTCCATTGGTATTTAATTAATTTAAGCATATTTTTTTGAAAAATAGGGCTATAAATAAGGCCAACGGATCCCTAGAGAACTGGAAGATATAGAACCTCATTGGTTGTTCTTGAGATTTCAAGAGCAAAAGGATGTGAAAAAAATGTCTTTTTTTGTTCAAAAATATTGGAAAAATTAAAAGCACGAGGAAATGAATTACCTGGCGGAGACCTTTGGCATTGAATGGTGACTGCCGAACAATACGATGTGTCCCTTTTTCTCCAGATAGATACCCATAAGCAAAGCGACCTTCGAGTTCTATGGTTGCCGACTTGATACCGGCCTCTTCTCCCATGGATTTCTCGACCACTTTCGTCCTGTAACGCTGTTTTTCTCCCCATCTCACATACATCCGGAGAAGCATGTCAGCCCAATCCTGCACTGGACACACTGCAACAATTTATGCAAGATTGACGACCTAAGCATCATGAAATGCGAAATATGGTGCAACCCATGCTGAAAAAGGGAAAAGTTTGGTAAAAAATTCACGGTTTGACCATCAGAGTTAATTAGACAGGCACCTGTGCATCGGTTCCCCCGGCACCGGCAGTGATGGTTACTACTGCTCCATCCTTGTCATAAGGACCAGAAAGAAGCTGTGTTAGCTCGAAACGGTCCATTGCTTTGGTCAACTCTCTGACTATCTTAGAGGCTTCTTCAAGAAGGCTGGCATCTACGGATTCCATCTCTTCAGTCAACTTGATAATGGTATCCGCCTCTTCCACCTAAATAATTTGACACGCATAGTCGGCAATTGATGACATCAGGATGATTACTAAAAATATACGAGTGTTGGTAAGGAGAAGAGCCCAATGAATGTTGCCTTTGCGTTATATCGACGTTCTACCAACGCCTCTCACCTACTCACACCTGTTTCATGATGAAAAGAAAACATGTGCTATGTTGAACACACACTGTAAGTACCCTTGCCAAAACTATGAGGCTTCTCACCTACCCACACCTGTTTCATGGATCAACTGCCCCATGAGTGACACCCAATAGAAGTTGATCATCCAAACTTTGCAGATAGAAAATTCATCCATATTTTTCAGAACGAGATCAATGCAATTGTCTGTGATTTTCTCCCAAAATACTAACGTCGGAACCAGAAATTCAGGTTGAACATTATTCCTGTCATAAATAATTAGAAATTTGAAGAGATGGGCAATGATATCCAATATGGCACCTGGGACTTAAATTCAGCGAGCTGCTTGATCTTTTCTTTCACGTCAGTTAAGGCTGAAAGTATCTCTTGTGCAGAACGTGGATCATCCCATAAGGAGCTCTCTGCAGCCTTCTCCTCCAAATCTGCAAGATCTGCTTGTAGACGCTCCAGACCGGCAGAGGCCCTAATCTCTTCTACACGTCCCATAGCAGTTTCTACATCTTTTCTCAGTGCATAAAAATCTATCCACCAATGAAGAGAATTTGCAAGTGAATTCGGTTGTCTTAAGCACAGACATCCTCAATCAAGAATCACTTCATCGGAAACTGATTTTGGAATACTGAGAAGGAAGAAAATAGTGAGATATTATTACCCTGCATTGCCCATTCGACGGATTCATCAATTCCAGTGCTGGATTGAGACTCTGATGCTGCAATGTGAACTGAAATGATGAAATCAGTATCAAAATGTACAAGAGGGAAATAAACAGGGACACTAATTCCCCAGCCAATGTGAAGATCAACCAAAACCCTGGCACGTAAAGAAATAGGTCCATAAACCCCACGGTTCAATTATTTACCAGAGGCAGGATATGAAGCCCGTCGAAACATTTGTCCAGTATAAAATCCCACAGAACTCCGCCGGGTGACCAGAAAAGTAGTAACACAAGAGGTCATGCAATTCAGATGACTATTTTTCTAAGTAAAGTAATTCCACTGAAGCTATCATGCCCAACACACTTTATATTATCTAGGTAATGCTTCATCTTGGATGAGGTAATTTCTCATGTGGTTCTCCATCCTGTTCTCTACACTTGAAACTCTGTCATGCAGCACCGGAACCAATTGAAATGAAGCCAGAGCATTTTTTTCCTTCTCCGCCAAGCCGAAAACATTGCAGACAAGCTTGACAGTGCGGGTCATCCAATCCGGTCCTCGCACAATATTCGATGTCATTATCTGCCGCACTCTCAACCCAAGTATAATAATATGGCCGCAATTCTGTCAGCGTGATTTTGATCGCATCTCTTTTTCTGAGGACAGCAGACCGTTGTCAAGTTATGAAATTCATCACTTCTAACGACTCTCTAAATTTGCCTTCTCTGTGGCCACTAGCATCTGGCTAAGCGCATCCCCCGCCGGCTTAACGTCACCGGTTTCTCACTCTCGCCAAGCCATCATATCACCTTTGACGAGACGAATCCGGGCATATCTAAAGGATATGATCGCTCCGGCACGCTCAAAGTCGGTGACGAAAGAGTAATGAAATTTCTCACACGGCTTTGTCCATCATCCCCTATCCTAGACGTTTTTTTCTCTTGATCACTCTGGATTGATAAAACCGCACAAAATTTGGATATTATCGACGGGAAATACTTCACGATTTCATCCAATGTTCCACAGTCATCTTCAGTCACGACCAAGCCAAGCCGCCTATTCGACAAGCAAACGAGTAGAAACCGACCAAGCAAGGGAAAACAAGGCGAAAAAATCATCAATAAATTCTGTACACCTTCGGAGGGAGATTCTTGGTGTGGTGGGGTTGAGCATAGATATCTCACCAGGCCGGCAGAGAAGCGAGGGATCATGCTGGTGCCTCACGAAGAGAAGATGAGGAGGTGTCGACCGTCTTGTCCTCCTCGTCGTGGTCGCCGCCTTGTGGAGGAGCCGGGCGTTGGCGCCGGAGGATATGCCGGAGGAGGCGACGCTGCCGCCGAGGCCGCTGCAGCTTATCCGAACAAGGCTATCCATGGCGGGGACCGGGGGAGGACGGAGACTGAGCCGTTAAAACTAGAAGGAGGTGTAAACTTTCGCGTGCCGTTACCCCGTCGTTTGCTGATGGCCCTGGCCGATGATACTTAACGGAAACCTAAGGTCCGTCTTTTTCGTACGCCATAATTGGTAAGAGCTTCTGAACACGAACCTCTTATCAAAATTTATCACCATACTATTTTACGTCAAATGCATTTATTTACACATTAAATTAAATTTTATGTAAATTTATTTATTTAAAAATTATATCGAATTTATTGCATTAACGTAAAAATAATTTATACAGTAAATTAAATCAGGTTAAAACTAACATATTTGACGAAAAAGTACATAAAAAAATTTTAAAAACGTATCAACATATTTTAAATGAAAAATTATATTCGATTAAAGCTTCCTAAAATTACGATTTAATTGATAAAATATAATAAAAATAAGCTACACTCTTATTATTTTTTGTAAAATTATGCCTCTTTTATAAAATGAGAATATTATGTGATCGTTTTTTATTAGCAATTTTCAATTTCATGGATAACATCACTATTACCAAAAAAAATATTTTATTCTTATTCCCAATTGAAGTCAATGAAATTATAAATAATATAACGTTTATTTATTTTAAAATTATTTATCATTAATAAAGTTGGAGGGACTAATTTCCAACTTCGAGATACTCCGAGGATTAATAATTGAATGCATTAATTTGCATGGGTCTAAACGTAATTAATCCTTAAGTCCACTGAAAAATTAACACAATATATTTGGTCTTATATTACTATTTGGGTAGAACTATAGATGAGATGTAACAAGAAGAGTTTACAGGTGTTCCGAGACCGGTTTGGGCCGGTCGTATGACAGGAGAAAAGGCCCATAGTGACCCTGGGAGGAGCCGCTCGCTCGGCCCCACTGTTGTTAAACCATCGTTATTACCCAATCATTTCCCGCCACGTGGCAACATGCAAACGTTCCTCCCTCCCTCGTACCCGTCACCCTGTCTCTCTTTCTCTCTCCACTTTCTTGCTCGCTGTCTTCTGGCCGCCGTAGTGGATCTTCCCGAAGTCGGCCAGTGTTATCAATGCCATTGCTGGCTCAGAGCCTGATCGAGGCATGGAGGACGCCGATCAAAGGAAACCACTCCTCTCTCTCTCTCTCTGCTGTGTTATCAGTGCCCTTCATGCACCGGATACTCCCTTCGCCAAATAATCTTCCCATCCCCATTAGTGGCAGTCACCAGTTCCTTCATGCGCCGGCAAGCAAGAGATCATGGAAAATTCCAACACGGCAGTGACGGCCCACGGACGAAACGTCATCCCCAAGACGGGAAACCTGTCCGAATCGGGATTTGCGGCTTCCAACAGGTGTCCCCATCGTATGCTCCGCCCCCCACGGCTGGCACCTCTTCAAATCTCCCTCTCTACCTCCTCCCCTCAAGATCACCCCCCCTCTCTCTCTCTATCTCTATAGACGGACCATGGTGTGGTGGTCACCAGGCCTGCTGCTGGCTCTGCTGGTGGGGAGCTCATGGGGGAAGCTGGAGGTGGGCTTCTACAGGAAGAGTTGCCCGGGGGCGGAGGAGATAGTGAGGTCGGTGGTGGGGGAAGCCGCCGCCAGCGACCCCACCACGGCCGCGGCGCTGCTACGGCTCCACTTCCACGACTGTATCATCCAGGTCGGCATCCGCCGCCGCCGCCTTCCCGTTGACGAATGTGGGAACAGCTGACGGTGCGAGAATTCTCACAGGGCTGCGAGGGGTCGGTGCTGATATTTCGGCCTGATGGGAAGCAGGAGAACATGGCCTTCGGCAACGAGGGCCTTCGGGGATTCGACGTCATCGAAAAGGCCAAATCCCAGCTGGAGGCGGCCTGCCCTGGAGTCGTCTCCTGTTCCGACATTCTTTCGCTGGCGGCGCGGGACTCAATCCTCCTTGTCAGTGACTTCTCTACCTTCTCTCTCTCTATCTCCATCTCTCTAGGAAGGTGACGTTGTGTGAGCAGAGCAACGGACCGAGATACGATGTACCCACGGGGAGGCGAGACGGCCGGGTCTCCAACATCTCTGATGGGGATAATTTGCCCGACGTGAACGATTCCGCCGCCGTCCTCCGGGCCAAGTTTGCCCAGAAGGGCCTCTCCGACAGAGACCTAGTCCTCCTCTCCGGTCTCTCTCTCTCTCTCTCTCTCTCTCTCTCTCTCTCTCTCTCTCTCTCTCTCTCTCTCTCTCTCTCTCTCTCTCTCTCTTTCTCTCTCTCTCTCTCTTCTTTCTCCCTCTTATTCTGGGTTTTCCTCTCCGGTCTCTCTCTCTCTCTCTCTCTCTCTCTCTTTCTCTCTCTTCTTTCTCCCTCTTGTTCTGGGTTCTCCTCTATGGTCTCTCTCTCTCTCTCTCTCTCTCTCTCTCTCTCTCTCTCTCTCTTTCTTATTCTCGTGAAATTCCCGCAGCTGCGCACACGATCGGAACGGCGGCGTGCTTCTTCATGAATGACCGCCTCTACAACTTCCGGGGGAGCGGCGCCCCCGATCCGTCCATCAGCTTCCTCTTCCTCCCAGCGCTCATGGCGACCTGCCCCCGCGGCGGCGACCCCGACGCCCGCCTCCCCATCGACGGCAGCGCTGCCAGCGAGTTCACCTTCGACGACCACATCCTCTGGAACATCGCCGGCGGCGCCGCCGTGCTCCAGTCGGACGCCGCCCTCTACGGCGACCCCTCCACCAGGGCCATTATCGACTCCTACCTCCGCCACCGAGGGTTCGCCGTCGACGGGGGATTCGCCGGAGACTTCGCGGCGGCGATGGTGAGGATGGGCCAGATCGGCGCACTCACGGGATCCCAGGGGGAGATCAGGCGCGTCTGCTCCTCCTTCAACTGAGGAAGAGTCGTGATCCATGCATTTAGCGTTGCGTCCTTATCATCCATTCATGGGAAATAATCTGTCGACTCAATTTACCTCATATGTTCCATTATTCAGATAATAACTAATTTTCCACAAGTTACCTAAAATGCATTAAAAAAATAATATTGCAAATATTAACCCAAGTTTAGGAAAAGGTAAAATGACCTTCACTGCTTGATTAATTCATCTAATAAACTAACTTTGCAAGATCAATTAATCCAAAAAAATCATTTGTGATAATAAAAATAATTATGAATTATGGGAAATAAATAGAAAATCCATAATTGAAAGATAATGATGAAAAATGGTAAATTATCCCAACTCGCTTAGAAGAGGTGAAAGATGGCAATTTGGGAAGGAAAGTGAGAAAATCGTGTCTAATGCTTTTCCTTAATGAATAATATATATATATATGGGTAAAATCCAGATCATTTTCTCCCGAATATTTATAGAATTCAATGGCGCAAATCTTCAGTGGGACCCACAAAAGCCGAAATACTGTCTTGTTAGCGTACTATGGGACCCAATAGTCAAAGGGGGATAAATTAGGTCAACATTATGCGTGGTCAAATCGTACGGCTAATAGCATGAATTTGGGCTTAGAAGTGGAAAGGGGCATAAATTGGATTTTTATTTATTAATAGGATGTCGAATAAATACTTTTTTTTAGACGGATGCAAGATTAAATAGTGGGACAAAAATAGGGATTAATTTTGCTAGCTGGCAATTAGCTTTGAAACTCAAGGTCCCAGTCAACGACTCAAAATGGAAAGCGTATTTGGGCTTTCAGGAGGACTTTGGTGGGGCCTATTCGAGCAGAGATCCTCTCCGGGGAGCTGGAAAGATGGGAGCCTTGAGACCCTCTCGGAGAACATAAAACCCGGACAGCTTTTCCCGCGACTCTGCGCCTGCCGACTTTAACACCTCACTGTGTGAAAATCCGAAGCCTTCTCACCGAAGGAAGGGCTGCAGGGTGAGGCAACGGCGCCACCGTCCCACACGGCAGCGCTCCGTTGGGGCCCGGTGGCGGAGCACAGCCTGGGTTGGGCTGGCATTCCGGTGGCTCCCCGGCGGAGCACAGCCTGTGCGCGCAGGGTTGGGACACCGGTGGCCCTCCAATGATAACCCAGAAGCCCTATTGCTTCTTCCTCTTCCTCTTCTTTCTCTTTTCAGTTTCTACAGAGATGTGGAGCAGTCTTTGAACTCTTTCGGCGACCTTGAGGGATGTGTAATCGAGAGAGAGAGAGAGAGAGATCGAGGGGCCACTTTCAGCGCTTGAAGCGTGTAGGGCTCTGCCAAGTGATGCCTTTCGTACTGCCCAGTGCGCAGCCAAGAGCTATCCATGCGACCAGCCATAAAAGTTAGTATATTTAAATATGTTCAACGTACAATAATGTAGATTTCTGTATATATTCAACACGATGGATACCCCAAGATGGAGTCTGAATCTCGCGAGTTCTAAGTAGACGTACGACTGGTGTACATAACGCCTTGAGTCATATCTCCCTTAGAGAAGCCATGCATTGAACTATCATCGTGCGTGGACCCATCTCTCTCTCTCTCTCTCTCTCTCTAGGGGGTTCCAAACATCTGAACGCAATGCTCTCCCTCTCTCTCTCTCTCTCCTCGAGTTCTCATACTTGATCCCACAAACTCTCGTAAGAGGGTGATATAACAGCGAAACATATCACCAAAGTTGATATCTTGTCGTGAATTATTGACTCATAATAATGTACTGGTGGGCGCATAAAACCCCTGTAAAAATCTCTCCCTTTTTGCTTTTTTTCGTGGGTGCATGTTGTGTGGGGCCTCAACACGTCCAAAAGATGCTTCCCATGCAAGCCACGCTACTCCCATAGATCCTCTTTATAGCCTCTGAAAAAGGTCTCGGAAGGGGCTAACCCGTTAACAGGGATGGAAGCACAGACAGCCCACATGCGGCGTTATCCGCAGCTAATTAGGAGATTGGCTAGTCACATTGACTTCATGAGTTTCTATCTCACGCCAATAAGTTCACATGCCACATAGTTTTTGTTCATTAATCCATCACGGTAATATGGGTACATTTTTACTTTCTTAATTACCAATTACGAGATTGGATCGAATGAAGTTGCCCGAGTTAGCAAATAAATACATATGGGTCCGAATACCATGGTTTTTATTCATATTATCTAGGGGATTGGATTGGGTTATGCTGCCTTAGTAAGTACCACGGTTGGGTTTTGGCCAGTAAGTTCATATGCCACATAGTTTTTGTTCATTAATCCATCAGGGTAATATGGGTACATTAATTTTTTTACGACCAATTAGGAGATTGGATCGAATGAAGTTGCCCGAATCAGCAAGTAAATACACATGGGGTCTGAATACCATGGTTTTGATTCATTTTATCTAGGGGATTGGATTGGGTGATGTTGCCTTATTAAGTACCACTGGTGGATTTTGGCCAGTAAGGCTGCTTAGTCTGCTTGGTCAGAGGAGATGGTTTTTATGTTCGTGCTTCTGGTAGATGCTTGGACTGCTGGAAAATGACGGAAACAAATGAATTTCCCAATGTATTTACCAGAGAGTTCAGTAGTTTACGGCAGCCCAAACGACTCCTAGGTCAGAAGGAAGCCTTGGCATCGACTCCCATGTGTGAACTGGTTCGGTTCAGCGTGGTCCCCTGGAAGTGGAGTTGACAAGATGCGATGATGTTCACATCAAATCAAGACTTACCCGAGTTTCCTATATGCATAAGATGATGGTGATGATGATGATGACGATCACTGGGTAGAATCACAAAGCCTTTTACAAGATCGAGCTTTACGGCTTCCTGTATCTCTCTCTCTCTCTGTCTATCTAGCTATCTATCTATCTTCCTCTTTAAGAACAGGAACCCTTGTCTCATGGATATCACCCATCCACAGACCAGCATGCAGAGCCTTTGGCAGCTGAAGCGCCGGGAAGAAGAGGACGGGGGAGATGGCGACGGCGGAGGAAAATGGGCCGGGAGGCTACTCCGCGAGAGCGCCGCCGCCATCTCCGAGAAGGACTCCGGCAGGATCCACCACTTGCTGTGGATGGTCAACGAGCTCGCCTCACCATATGGAGACAGAGAGCAGAAGCTGGCGGCGTACTTCCTCCAGGCTCTCTTCTGCCGCGCCACCGACTCCGGCGGTCGCTGCCTCCGCACGTTGACCGCCGCCGCCGACCGGATGCGCTCCTTCGAGTCAACCAGGAGGGTCATGCTCCGGTTCCAGGAGTTGACTCCCTGGTCGACCTTCGGGCACGTGGCGTCCAATGGAGCCATCCTGGAGGCGATGGACGGCGAGACCAGGCTCCACGTCGTTGACCTCAGCTGCACCTACTGCACCCAGTGGCCTACTCTCCTGGAGACCCTCGCCTCCCGCAGTGACCAGCCCCCGCACCTCCGCCTCACCGTGGTCAACCCCTCCGACGGCGGCGGCGTCGGAGGGGTTGACCCCGTGGTCTCGGAGATCGGGCGGCGGATGGAGAAGTTCGCCCGCCTGATGGGCGTCCCCTTCGAATTCCACGTGGCAGCGGGGTTGCACCAGCTGCGCCTCCGCGACGGCGAGGCGGTGGCGGTCAACTGCATGGGCGCCCTCCGACGAGTCGTCGTTGATCAGCGGGAGGCCTTCCAGGGCCTGCTCCGAGACCTGCACCCCAAAGTCGTCACCGTCGTCGAAGAAGAAGCTGACTTTTCCTCCACCAGAGACGACTTCCTCAGGTGCTTCGACGAGTGCTGGAGATTCTACTCCCTCTTCTTCGAGATCTTGGAGGAGAGCTTCCCGCCGACCAGCCAGGAGCGGCTGCTGCTAGAGAGAGAGTGCTCGAAGGGGATTGTCGGGGCTCTGGCCGGCGGCGACGGTGGCGGCGGCCGGAGGGAGACGGCGGCGCTGTGGTGCGAGAGGCTGCGGAAGGGCTTCTCGCCGGTGGGTTTCAGCGGCGACGTGCTCGACGACGTGGGGGGCCTGCTGAAGAGGTACCCTGCCGGCTGGTCGATCTCACCGGCGGCGGGAGCGGCGGCGGCGGCGCCGGGGCTCTTCCTCGCTTGGAAGGGCCACCCCGTCGTGTGGGCTTCCGCATGGAGGCCGTAGGAAGGAAGGAGCTCTCTTCTCCCTTTCTTGCTCATCGTCTGCCTTGTAATTCTCATTGAAGAATATTACAGCAAAATATTGTTGACCGTGAGAAAATTATCTTTTCTTCTCCGTGCTTCCTCCTTGCTTTCCTTCTCCAGGTGGAAGGAAGGAGCCCCGCTTCTCCCCCGCTCTCTCATTGGTTGACTTCGCCGAGTCTTCTAATTGTGAGAACCCCGATGGTCAAACGTATGAACGAGTCGCCAGTGAAAGTAAATAGAGGTCAACGTGGACGAAAAGGGGTCAACTTTTCTCGGCGTAATAAATTTGAATCGTACTGTTGAATAAAGTCGTCGCCTATTATTAACTACTTTGGATTTTTACATGGGACCCACCATGTGGTGGGCCCGCTTTTTTTTCCTCCAAAAGGCTGTTTGCGCCTAACGGTACGAAGGGTGGTGGTCATGTCGGTCAGTTCTTCCTCCTCTCGGCAGGAAGTGGGGCGGGGGAGAGAATCTTTCTGCTTTTGCCGCGATTCCAGAAGGAGGGGTTCCTTCCTCCCCCTTCCAATGGAGATGGTATGCGTCTTGTCCACCTCTCTGATCTGATCGTTTTCGCTTTTTTTTTGGCCTCGGCTGCGGAAGACGGAGATGTGTGTGACGAGGCATTTCGAGCACCTGCTTTTTTGATGAGATGATCTGGTTTTCTTCATCCCTCGAACCTTCATTGCTCAGTATTATGAATCACGTTTTCTCGGATCGAAGCTTGTTCTTCTCACCTCATCCAGCGGAAGAACGCCGAATGAAGCTCCTCATCCTCGTTTGCCGAGTTGGTTTCTCTCTTCATCCGGTAGAAGAACACCAAAGGAATCCCTGACTCTCAGCATTGTCTGCGTTTCTTGATGATCTTGGCTAATTATTTGGAATTCTATCTATCCTTTCGACTAGATTCCATCCGCTCGGGATAGCCGGTGGCACGATAACCTAGCCACTGTAATCGTGTTTCTACGTTTTAGTGTTGACGACGCTTTCCAATGAAAAAACAATATGCGAGCTTACGCCGTCGACTTTCGGCTTCGGATTTTAATCTGACGCTCTTTGCTAGAATGAAAAATCGTGGATCTACGAGGCAACAAACAACGTCATGATAATCGTAATTTTCTGAAACAAAGTTCTCTGAACGCAGTTTCATTCACATTGAATGCAAGGTTTATAAGGAGATTAAGGCGTCCTTTTCTTCTAAATATATTAAAAATAATTTAAATGACAGTATTTTGTGAAGACGAATTCTGTGAATTTTTACTGAACAGCAAGATCAGTCAAATGGGAGTGTGATACAAAATACAAAATGATATGTTTTTAAAAGCACTTATTCACATAAATATTCACTGTGACATTTATCTGTTCGTGTCTTGTTGGCAGATTCCTATTTGAGGATCTCCCATTCCTCATCTTGATTCGGCTACACAAACGCTCAACTGAGATTCGATATGTTTTGTTTCTCTCTGCATTCTGTAGAATATGAAGAATTCTTTTTTTGTCGTGTATACAACTGTAAAAAAAAATTGCATACAAAAAAAATTGTTGAAGGAAGAGGAATACAAGAGGATGATAGTTGCCATGGAGAGGGACTGCCTCCATCATCCAGGTCTCCGTCTCGTGGGTATCTGTCAGGTATTTATTTTCTTGCTATAGAAGTGACTAAATAATTTCTTGAGCTTTTTACCGATCTAGGTCCTAACGCTCTGGTCTACACTTCCGGCAAGGACGCCATCTGCTCGGCGCCCGCCTCCGGTCTGCTCTCATACTGCTTCGCTGGACTGGGGTTCTCTGTTGGGTGATGAACCACTTCGGAGGATCGGTGGCGGCGGTGGTGGCCGGCGATGGCCGCCCAGGAGAGAACCAGCAATGAAGCCATTGCTGACAGCACTGCCATGGCGGTCCACGCCATCCGCGCCCATCTCTTCATCGGCCTGCATTCCTCGTGAAGGATCTCAGCGAAGGCGTCCTTCACCATTCGGCAGTTCACCAGGTTCTCCACGGCCTGGAAGGAGTTGAGGATGTTCTGGAGCGAGGTGGTGTAGACCAGCACCCCGCGGTATTCCTTGGCAGATATGAACTCCCCTTCCCCGCAGGACCCGCCGTCTCCTCCAGAGCAGGCGTATCTCTTCAGGATCTGCAGGGGACATGACTCCTATTAGCTTGACCTCAGATGAAGACTGGAAAAGAGGCAGTGGCCCATGGAGAAGAAGGGTTTCCTCACCTGGGGAATGTCGCCTATTCTTATCTCGGCGGCGGAGCAGTTCTCCGGCTGGTAGGTGAACTCCGGCGGAGCCGAGAAGGGATTGCAGACGTCCGCTAGGCCTGGAAAGGCGGAAGAGCGCACCTCTGATATATTTTTATTGATCTGGTCTATGAGACCACTAATTCCAGCTCTGGTGTCCCGCAGCGCCCACTTCGCTGTGAGCTTGTCGTCGCAGGGGAGAAGGGTGGCCAGGCTGCTGTTGCCGGGATCCCGCTGGAACTCTTCGAGGGCGGCGCACGTATCTCCGGCGAACCTGGAGGCCGGAATGGGTCATCATCTCCGGTACCGCAAAGGTCTATCATATCAACCCCAATTCGTAATGGTGGTCACCTGTCGACGAAGAAGTAGAGCCCGGCGTCCGCCCAGCAGAGGGAGGTTACCACCCAGGTGAGGCACAGAATCCTGTGGGCGGCGATGAAAACCACTCGAGATTAGTGACCAAAATGGCATATTTTTGCAGAAACAGTCATCGAAGCGCGCTCGAGTTTTGCTACTTACAGGACGAAAGTTCGTCGGAGCTTGAAGAATCCCGACCCTGCATTAGATGTGGAAGACGGAGATGTGGGATGTTAGTTAGTTAAATGGTGGGTGGGACCCCAAAATCTGAGAAGAAATGGATTCTTTCACTTACCCAGCAGACCAAGAGCCAACACCAGACCGAGACAAACAATGGCGATGGTGGTCGCATGCCTGAGAAGGAAGGAAACCAGCCCACACAAGTTCAGCTTCACAGGAATAGCCGAAGAAAGGGACGCCGAAGAACTTACAATATCTGGAGACCTTTGCCGATCATCCGCACGTTCTTCTCCGCTTTCCTCTGCAGCCCCGAGGCGTCGCCGTCCAGCCTGTCCGACGCGGCGGCGAGGACCGCCGACACGTGGAGGCCGCTGGCGAGCTCCCCTTCTTCCCGGATCTCCTTTACAGACCTAGTCACGTTGAAGATGGTCTCAGAGGCCCCCCGCGCCGTCTCTTCAATCTTGCTCTTGACGGCGCCGGCGCGGGAGTGGAACCCCGCGCTTCCTGCCAGCGCCACTCCGGAGGAAGCTCTGAGCAGCAAAACCAGAGTACAAGCTAGAGCTTCAGTGGGACTTCCATGGCGGGCAACCAGCGGCAGGTAAACGGTTTCTTCTTACATTAGTAGGAGAGTGAGAAGGACCGGGAGCATGAGCAACCAGAGGCAGCGCTTGTTCTCGCAGGGACGATGGCGGTTTCCGGGCTTCTCACCGTCGCCGGTGAAGCAGCTGCAGAGGAGGAGGACGGTGGCGTAGACCAGGCCGGCCAGGAGCCAGAAGACCGCCATGCCGTAGCCATAGACGCCGGTGAAGACGGCGGACTTGAAGAAGGAGAAGAAGAGGAAGCGTCAGAGGAGAAAGGCTTGTGAACCCATCTACCCAAAGTTGAAAGCTAGGGAGGAAAGCGGGCGATGGCATACACTCCAGTAATGCAGGTTGGTGATGTTGTATCCTCCTCTGTATTTCCTGAACCCGTCCAAGGGATCGGTTCTCGAGGGCCGCAGCTCGCCTTCCGCTGCTGCCGAAGATCAGACAGATAACAGGTTATGCCCTCTTCTCTCTCTCTCTCTAGTGCGCATACTTCTCTCTCTATAATGGAAAGGCGTGGATTCTGTCTCACCTGGTGCAGCGTCGGAAGCGTGAGCCAGCAGGAGCGTCACCAGGCAGCCGAGCAGGAGGATACCCCTCATCAGTCCTCTGGAGCCCATCTCTCTCTCTCTCTCTCCCGCTGGTGAATCCGCTCTGCCTTTCTAGGTGAGTTCTTCCTGCCAGTCTCCGCTCTTGTGTGTCTCGTAGAAGCTGCGTGCCGCTCAAGCTGATAGAAATTCATAACTCTCTCTCTCGCTCCTCTGGACTTTTGACCGCCGGCAGAAAAGGGGAAGAAGCTGCGGCTCTGTGGGATTCTCCCCCTCATACTACGGGTACGTGGTGAGAAAGAAGACCACGACTCCCTCCTTCCGCTTCCTTTTTATCTGTTTCCACGCGGTCTCCGCCGCCGCCGTCGTGATTCCTCTTCTGCCGGCAGCAACTGGGGTTGAAAACGTGTTCTCCCCCCTCCCCCCTACTCCCCTGGGCCGTTTCTGCTACGCCGGCGAAGAAGAATAGATCCCCACGAGGGGGGGGGGGGACATTTAACCACGTGGGGCCTACGAACCTTGACCGTTTCAGCTGCCGGGGACTGATTCTACGTCTGACTTCTTGCCGGCAGTCCGGTCCCTTCGGGAGGTGTTCACTTGCTATACGCCGTTGACTTCTTTGGGGTAAAAAAATGACATCTTATTTCGAAGGCACATTATATTTACATATTTACATTTATGCATTTTATATTTTATATTTCAGGTCCAAGTGGAGGGGATGCTTCGATCCACGCCGTTGAATGTTTAACGGAAAATCTCAAGATCCCTATTTTAAGGTATATATAAAATAGAAAAAAATGAAGAAAAATAAACCAAAGATAGAAGAAACATTGAATCGTACACGTGGCGGTGATCAGATCCAGGTGGAGGGATGCCCTGTTTTCCGTGCTCTTATATGTACAACACGGATATTATTAAAAAGCTACAGGGATCCGTCAAAATTTCCAGATACGTGGCTCTTCTTTCCCACAGATACGTTGACGACTGCATCGTAAGTCCGCTCTTCGGTCTTCGGTCAAACCGATCTCTAAAGAGCAGGATCCCGATCTTCGGTCGGTCAAACCGCCGTCACGACTGCATCGGCATGGAACTCCCGGTGTGCATGATGGAATTGGCGAGCTCCTCGTTGACCTTGGGCAGGGCCGGCATCTGATCCATCACTCCGCTCTCGTTCATGCTGCATCGTGATCAAATCTGGTCAACTATTCGTCCCATGGAATGCGCACCACGCCTAGGGTTCTTGAGTAGATGATGGATGTGGAAGATGAATGAGCATCGATGGATGGGAATTGGCATCGTAAGTCAACGGAAGCTCACCATTCAAGGGAGAGAACAGGGCACAAATATGAGCTTAGTCACGAAAATTCTCCCCTCTCTCTCTCTCTCTCTCTCTCTCTCTCTCTCCCTCTTAGATGGGGCAATTCCATTGATGGGCATCACAGAGGGGAGAGAATGGGCGATGGATGGCAAAATAAGAAGAGAGAGGGGAGAGGAGCGTACTCATTTATGATGGTTTGGATATTATCCCGTATTTGGCAAAAAAGATTAATGTTTTCCTGTACCTGCAGCAGAGAGAAATAGAGTGAGATTGATCTATGAGCGGATACTCATATAGATTCTTGGAAAAACTCAATTTTTTTTTCTATCAATAATAAGAGAAAATACAAATAATAATAATGATAGCAATAAAATATGAACTACAAGGGCAGATCTATCTATGTTTTATTTTCCTAAGTAACCTATAAGTAGTCCGGCAATATTTAATGCATTAAGTTGATCTTTGTTCAGCAATAAAATAAATAAATAAATAAATAAATAACTCTAAGAGCCTGGAAAACAGACCCTTTTGGATCTAATCCACACACTTTACCTGATAAGAAACAAAATTTGCGGATATTTGGTTGAAAAACTGAGCGTTCCGCTCTAGAAGTTCCCCGGTCGCCCCTCCGATTGCTGCAAAAATATAATAACATTGTCTCTTTTTCTATTTTTTTATTTTTTTAAAAATTCCATCCAAATTTATCTATAAAAAGGGACGCAGAGGAGAAAACAGGGATTTATCTCATGAATCTAGACGGCTATGCAAGCCAATTCATTTGGCACAGACTTTGAAAGAAGCTATTGAGACCCAAGTCAAGACAGCCTCAGACGAAGAAACTGATCAGGGAAAAAGGGTATGAATTTGATTTCTTAACCAAAAAAGGAAAAAAAACAGCAACGTCATATTCATGTTCCAATGCCCTCTCTCTCTCTCTCTCTCTCTCTCTAAAATTCTCAAAATTCTCCTTTGATGGCATAATAGAAGAGAGCATAGATGGAATACCCTTGGATGAAACTTCATCATCATTGTCCATCGGGAGTAGGAGTGGATATGGGGGGACACCAGGTCGCGTTGCCATCTGAGATGCCTTTGCTGAAGTATCTGATACCCCCTGAAAAGCAGACTCAACACACTCAGTCTCTCTCTCTCTCTCTCGGATTTCTTTAGCAGGAAAACAGTAAAAATATAATATATATATATATATATATATAAAAGAGCGATCCCCTCACCTTTTTGGTCGTCTTTCTTCCTCTTGCCATTTTCCTCTCTCTCTCTCTCTCTCTCTCTCTCTCTCTCTCTCTCTCTCTCTCTCTCTCTCTCTCTCTCTCTCTCTTCCTATCTCTCAGATTTCTTTAGCAGGAAAATAAATAAATAAAGAAAGAAAGAAATAATATATATATATATATATATACACATGTACAAGAGCGATCTCCTCACCTTTTTATTGTTCTTTTTGAAACTATTATGATCGTCTTTCTTCCTCTTGCTATCCCCCCCCTCTCTCTCTCTCTCTCTCTCTCTCTCAGATTTCTTTAGCAGGAAAATAATTATATATATATATATATACATGTACAAGAGCGATCCCCTCACCTTTTTATTGTTCTTTTTGGAACTGTTATGGTCGTCTTTCTTCCTCTTGCCATTTTCCTTTCTCTGCACAGAAACAGGCAGATCATGAGACGGATCACATGCCTCTCCATTAAAAAACTCAGATTCCCATCACATGCAAAGCACATAGCTCAGACCCATCGTTATACTTCCCATTTAAGGGAATAAACTTGGGAGAATGTGACAGTTTCAGCATATGCTTTAAAGAAGCCATGCTTGTAGACTATGTGCATGAATGGTCAATCTTGGCAAAGAACCAGAGCAAATCTCAAATGCATGATTATATCCATCTCATAGAGCATAATATAGTTCAATCGATCCGACATTAAATCGGTTAATTATCATAGTATAGTTCAGGAATCTGGGTAGGGAACAAAGGCAGTATACGAGATAAATCAAAGCAGATCAAGTCATTTTTCTAGGGTTTATGGCTTCAACAATCAAATAAAATGGAGATCTGAACTCAAATGATAATAAAAAAATTTGGCAAAATAATGTGCTCCTGATACCCAAAAAAAAAACCTGCAACTGAACTACTTCGGAAATATAAAAATATAAATAGATATAAATAAATATAAATATAAGATTCTGAAGTGAACAATATTTAATATCTGAATGGTAAACCTCGGTTAATCTATGAAGGGGGCTCTAAAGAATCTTGTATGAGAAGATAAGCAGAATAAATGTAAAAATACGGCCGCTCATAAAAGCTTCAAAGATTCGATGAGCCTTGATAAGTCACGCTATAGAATCAGCATTTATTCCACTTCAATTTCAGAAAAAAAATAAATTCATAGAACAAAGCTCTTCTAATCAAAACCCATCACGAAATTATTTTCCTTTTTTTTGGTTCCTACTTCTTGCCATGATTTTTCCTTAAATCCATTTAATTAAAACCAATAAAATAATGGGCGGAAAAACTCCAGGCAACGAACATAGAGTGCCCATCAGTATTTTATGAAAAAAATTTCAATCAAAGATAAAAGAGGCTCATAAAAAGAGAGGAGTCTGCAGTGGTCGATGTAGATATCATCCTCCAAATAGCTCAAATGAAAATTACCGGCAAAGGGAAACATCCAAAACAGGTATTATTATTATTATTATTATTATTATTATTATTATTATTCCTTTTTATTGGTTTATCGGCAGAGGAAATTCGATTATAACTCCACCATGAGCAACCTACCAATGGCACAGAACTACTCACAGTCATCCATCTGGATCTCAAGGCCACATCTCGGACGGTCTTCTCGCTCAACAACATGGCAATCTTTGCAAAACGGATGATGCTCGGCTCCGAAGCATACCTGAAATGCATTAGCTATCAAAAATCATAGAAAGCTAGAAATCATAAGAGAAGAAGACGAAGAAGAAGAAAAAGGGAGAATATCAATAAAATTATTCCACCAATACAAGCATAAATTCTGCGGCCTGCTGTTTTAATGATAACATGTTCATCGATTGGAAACAGGTATTTGATCTCTCGAGCATTTCTTCCAAATCCCAACTTGTGACAGATAAATAAAGGTAGTAATTTATGATAACGGAAACATAATAGGAAATATTTTTAAGATAAGGGTACGCATTAGAAGATTTTCAAATGGGTTTTCCAGTATATAAATAAAACCTGACTATAGACAGTACCACTAAATAATCCAGAAAATATAGTAGAAAGTATATGATGGAAAAATAGCTCATGTTCATGAGATTCAAAGGGGCGTGCTCTGTCTGATGAATGGTGGGTTGCTCACGGGCGGATTTGTCCTCACTAGGGTTTGTCCGGCGCGGATTGACATCATCCTCAACATCCAGAAGGCGTCTATCTTACGAGGAACACAGCTACATGACTTCGTTTAAACAGAGAGTGAACAGACGCCAGTGGGCAATGCTTCGTGGGTAGGAGGGAGGACCTGAAAACCAGGTGAAGAAGAGACAACAAACCCTGCTAAAAGTAAGCTAAATCACAGAATAAAGGTTACATTATTCACTTGTGCAAAAGGGGAGGACGACCCTGAGTTGGATTGCACGGAAAGAACATCAATCCGACGAATCAGCGAGACAAAAAAGAAAGATTGAGAGGGTAATTTTAAATTATTCGGCCGTAAAAAGAATTACTTGGTGAGGCCGTCTTCTAAGATGGACTGCTCCTCCGGCGTCCACTCCGCCGCCAAACCTGGGTTGTGCTTCAGGACCTGAGTCGGCGCCGAATTGTCGGACGCCGCCACCGCCGCCGCCGGATTGGAGTCAGTAGAGTTCCCGCCGGCGGCGCCGTCGCCGGCGGTCTGGTGAGAGGGAGGGCCCGATGGGTTCGCGCTCACCGCCATCCGCTAGCGAGGGAATTGGGTCCAATTCCCGGGGTTCTTCGCCGGAATCTCAGAACCAGCCGCTGCCTCCCATTAAAGGAAAGAAAAAACAGAGAAGGCAGGAAAGAGGTCCCCAGGCGAAGAGGGATCCCAGAAAGGAATAAACGGTACTAGGAATAGTGGGGGTATCAGAGGAGAGAAGCCCTCCCTGCTCTGGGTCTTATGAAAAAGATCCCACCGAGATTGACCTCCGCCCCCCCCTCCCCCCCTCCTTCTTCTTCCTACTCGAGAACAGTGCAGAAAATCTTCCCGCGCGTCAAAAGAAAACGGCGATGGCCCGTTCAGCTTCCCTCTCCGCCCACTTTATTTTAGATCTCTTCTTCTTCTTCCTCTTCCCGTTCTTCTGCTGGTTACAAAATAGAACACCACAGATTCTCTCTCTCTCTCACTCTTTCTCTCTCTCTCTCTCTCTGTATGGCGTATTCTAGCAGCTGTCTGAAAATGACGGAATTTTTCGCATTACCCCTCCAATAAGTTTCTTACTGAGATGGTACCCAAAAACTGATTTTCTTTATTTGTAGTCCGCTGGGACCACTCCCGCTCCAACCGGTGACACATCGTGTTTTATTAAAGCAGCTTAGGAAATCAAGCAAACATTAATTATTATAAAAAATGGATATTTTCATTAAAAAAAAGTTGAGAAAATTTACCCGAGTGCCATTGCGAATGAGATGTTTTTTTATGCACCAACCCTCAGGAATAATATAAAATACAAAAACCCCGACATTAATAATTATTTAATATAAAATGGGAAGCATATTTTATATTAAATATATTATTCTGATGCTGTGGTATTATCCTTTTCCTCGGACCGACACCTGGCAGTCGCAAAGCGTCAGTCCAAACGGATAACTGATGGTTTTATTCTCATACGAGGTGTGCCACCTACAGTAGTTCATTTTGAACCTTCGATCTAAATTATTTGACAATCTACCCCTAAGTTGCTCAACTACACGGCGATTAACAGGGTGCTTTCATAAGGGGGAGACCCCCCAAGGGGGTATCTGCAAACCTCGTTGTGAGATAAGCAATGACGGAGACGACGCCGGACCCGTGCGCCTTGATGGCCCCACTCTCCGTTGATTATGCCAGTTCCCCCTCCGGCAATATTCCAAGAGAGCCCATTCTTATCTATTTGCAGCTCCATTAAATATATATAATATATATATATATATAAATAGTGAGTGAGAGAGAGAGAGAGGAGAGAGAGAGAGAGAGAGAGAGAGAGAGAGAGAGAGAGAGAGAGAGAGAGATGTACATCTATAGATAGTTCGAGAGAGATGCATATAAATAGATTGTTAGACAGAGAATGAGGGATAGATAATTAGATATATATATATAGATAGTTAGGGAGATATATATACATAGATAGTTGGAGAGAGAGAGAGAGAGAGAGAGAGAGAGAGAGAGAGAGACCCGGCCCATTGGAAAGTGCAGAGTAAAGAGGCCATACTTGTCCAAGAAATTCTAGATAACTGGCCAATAAATTCCTAAAAAATAAGAAAATAAATATATCATGAGACTATGTACCAACGGTGGGCCTCAAATAAATCTACATAACTGGGCCCGAGGAATTCTCCCCAGAACAGGCAAAAAAAGGGGACAATCTTGAACGTGAAAGGTGGGAAAACTTTCCTTAAAAGGGGGGCTGCATGTATTACATACGTAAATAAATATAAAAATAAATATATCATGAGACTATGTGAGATGAAGGAAACACACCACCAATTCTCTCGCAAGAAGGCTGGGTGCTACACAGGCAGACTGGTAGGTACGTCACTGGCACTAGCACAGAGAGAGAAAGAGAGAGAGAGAGAGAGAGAGAGAGAGAGAGAACCGTTGTGGATCATTAGGCGCTGGTGGGGGGGACGCTGGTGGCGGCGGTGGTGGTGGTGGCGGCGGCGGTGGTGGCGGCGGCGGCGGCGGCGGTGGTGGTGGTGGTGGTGGTTGGTTCTTCGGGGGGGGGAGAGTTGGCCTTGAGGAGGTACGCCTTGGCCACCTCCAGCATCAGCTCCACCTCTTTCTTGTACTGCGTGGTCGATGAGAACACAGCATTAAGGAAACCCCCCAAATAAGAAAATGGGCTCCAGCGTGTGTGCGTGTATCAATGGGTGTAGAGAGAGAGAGAGAGAGAGAGAGAGAGAGAGAGAGAGAGAGAGAGAGAGAGAGGTAGATGGATAGCCCTACGAATGAATGAATGAATGAATGAATGAGTGAATAATATCAGATATACTTTCCAACCCTCCATCATGAATTCTAAAAGTTTAGGAGACGTACCTCATCCACAGCTCCAGATCTTATCTTAGACTGCATGACGCACCATTTCTTGAAATGGGCACCTGCACAGCACCCAACACATTTCTCCAGAGGGGAAGAGCAAAGTGCTACTTCAACAGCAGCCAAACTCGACAAACGAGAACGACAGCCTTACCGACTTTTATGTCTAGATCACACGAAGACTCCGAGTTCTTCTTCAGATGCCATTTGCAGTGGATCTGGACAAGATAACGGCAGCTCTATCATGGGCCCCACTCGTGAAATCAGAGGAAGAACAGAGAAAACTTTCCGCCTTCCGAAATGGGAAATCTATGCCACTAGAAGATGCCTGATCTTCCTATTATCGTGGAGAGATAAAGCGCTAAAGTCAACCACGACACTCTCTTGCGGCTCTAACCACCTCAGAGAGCAAAAATCGGCAGTAATCTCCATGACGGGCCCCCACCGGTGAAATGAGAGATAAAGCACTAAAGTCAACCACCTCAGATAGATGTCAGCAGCTTTTTTTCCAAAAATAAGTAGGATTCAGCAATTGTGTTGGCAACTAGCAGCTAAATCTGTATATAAACATGATGTACAAAAGAAGAAATCCCAGAATATATATACATACTACAGCCTACTCCACTAGAGAGAGAATTAGCCGCCATTAAAGTCAATCATCCCCAGGGTCAACAGAAGGCCCAAGGTTGGGGAGTTGAGAATAGAAATGATAAGGCAGGCAATCAATGGACCAGATGCTCGCTCACCTCAAAGTAAGAGCCAAATGGAACATCATGGGCTTGCTGCACAGTTTCAAACACCTGCAGAAGGGAAGACAGAGGACCCATAAACCTACATTGGGATGCATGAAACAGTGTCAGAAGACAAGCTGACTGCCGCCATTAGCTCACCAGAGAGTTCTTGTCGGCTGACAGCACGGCATGCTGCCATTCAGTCATGGCCGTGTCTGGAGGGCACATCGGGCTGTGACACACAGACCTGAAATTTATTTCTCTCACTTGGCCATCATACTCATCAGCAACATGCCACTGACCCATCTGAAATCAAGGCAGGAATGGCAGGTTAACAGATGGGTATTGGATTCTAGGCGCATAAAACTGCACTAGTGTAGAGAGAGAAAGCAGGTTCTTCTCAATTATAGTATGATTTCAGGGGATGAGTTTCAAATGCTATCATATAAATGGTAACTTACACCGAGAACAGAATCTTTTCGTGCTGTTCGGTACTCATAGATATACTTCGAATCATCACTCAATAAAACAGTGAAGAACTGCTCTGCAGTGCATGGGAAGACGTCCTGTAGATGGTGGGACGAAGTTAGCACAAGAATAATGACACGAGGGGCTGTAAGCTGCCAGAAGACACCAGAGACATACGTTAACGATGCCCACTAAAACTTCTTCTTTGATGAATGGTTGGAAGTTTCCGATCTCAAGGACGTCCTCAGGTATCTTGATCTCCCGTTGACTGCCTTTCATGGAGCTACTATGAGCGCGTAATGCGGACTGTGCCTTCTCCTGCATATTACATCAATCAGAAATGCATCAGAAATAAAAAAAAGGCTGATATTTTCAGGCAGGTGTATGCGATTTGCTCAAGGCGAGAGGATTTTTCATAGGATGATAATCAGAAGTAAGAGATTGGAAAGATGTATTATTGAACTAGGTAGGAAATACTGGAAAGCATCTAAATAGAAAACCTGAAAAATGTCAACCACCACAGTAAAAAGTTAAGATAATAATCATTCACCTCAAACATGGTTCATAATCGAAAATGTTTACAACTTTTTAGATACATTAGTTCGATTCCATTCTATTTCAAGAAACTCAAATTCAAGTTTGGAAGCATATTTACTTAAATTTAAGGGGCCCAAGAGAGGAAGGCATCAAAAAACATGTACACAACAAAAAAACCTCAGATCTAATCGACCAATGCAGAAGAATATACCTGCTTTTCTGCCTCTAACATAGTTTGGAAATTCTTTGCTGCACGTTGCATAGTTCTCAATGCATGATTTCTGTTCCAAAATGAAGCAAATTTATATCGGACTCTTCCTGCATGACGAAGATAGCGCATCCATTGATGTAAGTACAGCTTCAGTATAGCAAAAAAAATGTTCAAGTTATAATGCTCACGCAATGTAGGTTACTAAGCCAAAGAAAGGCGAGAAATTAAGAGAATAAGTAAGAGACATGGTTGATATTGTGCTGTTTTAATGACAATGGGTACTGAATGATGATTGACCAATTATAAAAAAGAAAACATATCTCTAGATTTTTCACAAAACGACGTGACCTTTATAAGTTTCCCTTATCCATATGATCTGGGCCCTACCTAGATTTTTACATACGGCCTAAGAAGACTCAAAATCTTCTGAGTCTGGAACTTAATGGCAGAAAGCAAGTAGGGAACACAGCAGGGCGGAGAAGGAACGGAACCTGGGTTTATTCAGGAGAGTATAGTTATTTGTGGGAAATGAAATGAAGTCAAGAAGACAATACATAGAATCTTGATAGCAACCAATTAATTTATTACGGAGACCCAAGGAAAAAAAAACAAATAATTAGGAAAAAAGGCTGGTGAGCAGGTTATGATCCACTAAAGAAAGTGCAGGATGGAGAAGATCCAAGCATTCAGTGATATGAAAATTGGTGATTGTAGAGCATGCCGACTTAATGAACACATTAATGTGCTGGACTTTGGCCTTTTATCTTCCATGTGGGCTTGATAATCCTTCTTGTTTTGTCTTTTAGCAGTCACGTAAATAGCATGCGAGCCGGCCAGAAAGCATCCATCTTTTTGTCGTTAAATAGCCTTGTAATTAGCACGTTAATTGACCATGTTCTTTTCAGTTTAAACCTAGGGCTGAGATTCAATGATTAAAAGAGATTTAAGGAATATAGTTCTTCATGTTTCTATAATAAGGTATTTAAAACCTTTTGGAAGTTGCTGGAAGTGACTCTCCATTCCCACAAATTTATCATGGATCTGAGTAACTATTTTGAGTTCCAATTATTATAATAAAGACACTTTCCTCCACTATTCTTTATAACTCACTAATGGATATATATATTTTTTTCCCTCAATTCTTCCTCCCACAAGCTAGGTACTACCATACCATGTGAAACATGGCTTTTCGCATCATGTTCTTTTGACTTTACTGATCTACTGCATTGATGGAATGCATTTATTTCTTTCAAGAAAAAAGCGCAAGTAGTTCCACAAAAAAATATCATCTAATTATATGAAGCATGGTCTCATGAGGTTTTATGATCCACATGGTCTAAAGAAATGTAATAATTACAAGGAAACAAGTCATACTGATAGATAGCATGTTAAAGAGAGTGACATTATAACTTGATGAAAGACAAGCTAAAATAAGAGAACTTATGAACAGAACAATCGCTGTTGTTCCGGTTTAAATTGATTCTTCGAATGCATCTATAAATGAGATGACACAGAACATAAAGCATAACCTGTGAGAACTCTTATCAATTTGCGACGGCAAGTGAAATCAGGATGATTGGGCAGACTACTTCAGGCCAGATTCGCTATCACATAATTTAGGACCAATACAAAGCTAAAAGCATGAGTTGCTTTCATTAAACTATAATCCCTCGCTATTTGTTGTAGTTTCTAAGGGAAGTAACCAACCATTATGTTACATTGGGCAAGCTATACAGGAAGCGCGTGCTTAGATTTCATAGGCCTGAAGTGCAAAAGATGATGCTCACCATCAGGATTTCCCAAAGGAGGAACACCGTGACCACCAGAACCCATGCGAAGAATTATTGTAATTGCTGGATTTATAAATGCATGCTGGCTTCTTCTTATCTGCAGAGCTAAACTAAGTCAATTTGACCCTATGTATCGTAGATATTAAGAGATTATTGAACGCAACATACCTCATCAATGTCACCAAATGGTATAACCACCTGAAAACCACAATCAAAATAAACTTGATAAGCATTATATAAAAAAAAATCACACATCAAGAAAAAAAAAAAGCTGGTTTGAAAAGGACATTACTTTCCATATGACTAGTTAAAGTTAATAAATTAATTTTTCAGACGTACGAATTTAAAAACATGTAAAAATATCCTGTCTAGAACAAGTGATCATCCCTAAAACTCCACAGTTATACATTCGGCTAAAATGACAGACTGTCACCGTAATCCCAATCAGATAGGAAAACCGGATTGACTAGGTGAGACCATCCTCAGAAGCGAGTCACGTGCGGTTTTGAAAACTCTGATGCACACAGGCCTGGGATTGCCCTTGCAAAAGGATCTCACCCTCAGCTATGAAGATGAATTATTCTCTACATAAGCATAAGGTATTTACTCTTTGACGACATATTGAAGAGTACAGCTATTTTCTTCCCAGTAAAACTTCAGTATTGCTTTTAACTTACATCTGTCAATAAGAGTCGAAATACGAAAATTGAGGTTTTACAGCCAAAATAATAAGCTTATATCACAGCGAATATTTTATTAATCAATTTACTTTTGGCATTAAAGTGTCTCATCATGTCTCTAAACGCAACGGCTTCAATAGATCCTAGAAAAATCCGGTAAAATTTTCTCATGTTTGGAAAAAACAAAGACAAAGTACGAGGAAGGCAACTCTTGTGGTAGGGACTTGACATCTCAGGAACACAAAAAAATTAACAGTAGACTGAAGCCTGGACACCTTAAACTAAGGCACGATTGACTTCCTAGTTCTTTACTACAACAGTCCAAAAATACCAGAAATTTATTAAACTTAGAGAATAAGAAGTAAAGTTAATTTGCACACGATCCTAACCTAAAATCTATGGGCCTCAATTTTTTTTTTCTTCCAACGTCACCGGAGAATAGAATTCGGTGTCTCAGATACAAATTGTATGAAGGATGAATCAGCAGAAACCACTTGCAGTAAAACAATTGGCAACAAAAACCTGACAAATTGAAATAGTAACAGTGCTTCTGATAAGTATGGAATTCAGAAATCAAAACAAGGTTCTTATGATCTTATTTTTAACACAAATCAATGAAAGGCAGATCTACAGTCTCGAAATTATATAGTTTTTCAGGATTACACACAACAAAGTGGACGTTAACAAGCACAAGAATGTAAGAAGGATAAGCCAACCTTCATTTGCTTAGAAAATACGTTAGAATGGAAGCAAATGTGCCAAGCAGAGACATACATGCGCCCATGGTACAGGAATGACCTCTCGAGAGCACATGAATAGCTATGGTCAACAACCTAAATTACAAGTAGGCATTGATTAGACAAACAGTTGCAATATTTTAATGACTATCCAGAAGCCTGTATTCAAAATGATATACAATTTTAACCTAACAATGTTTCAAATCGAGTAAACAAGGGACTAGCCTCGTATGGAAGAAGATCAAAAATAGTCTGCAAAGGCCCAGGTTTCTGATGAACCACCGTGGGACCTTGCTTATCTGTTATCCGTTTTCTAGCATCGGCTCCCGCAAAGCCATTCAAAACCCTGCAGATAATCATTATTCTCAACAGCAGGGATGAAATATTAACAGGACTTTTAATCGTCACAGAACTAGATATTCAACAAAAAATCTGTGCACAGTTATAAACATCTTTATGAACAAGGATACGAAAGCCTCTTCCAACAGTAAATTTCAAATGGTCTCAAAAAATAAGCACAAGCATAAATCATCCAATTCTTCACTGGATTTTTTTATATATATATATATATTTTAAGGCAAAAATTATAGTGGATCCCATCAGAAATTTGGAGCAATGTCCAGGACCTGTGCAACATTTTATGTTTCTTCCTCTGGAGGAAATCATAAAAGCTTAGGAGACCTCCACCTGCTAGACATCATGATGGGTAAAACTGTCTACAATGAACTACAATCCTCCAGCTTATATAAAAGGAACTGGATAGGGAGTTGGACATAGGGAATCAGTCGAACTTAACAACGTTGTGATTTTGACTGTAAAACCGGACTTGAGAAACCACTCTAATCAACCCTTTTTATGCAAATGGAAAGTCCCATTTACTCTTTAAATTGTAGAATCATCTCCCTTCTTATTAGTTAACAATGATGCTCACTCTTAAAATTATCAAAAAGAAAAGAAAAAACCTACACCACTCAACTTCTTTGTATGTCTCCTATTGCTACCAAAAGGTAGCAACCACAATGTATGGCGGGAGAATCTCCAACCTAGCATGCATCCCCACCATTAACGGCCATTCAATCAAGAGAATTACCAATGGATTCCCAAATCACAGGAGGAAGAAAATATCAGGATGGATAGCCATTGGTCGCCCAGAAAACCAAGGAAATATGTAAGGAACCTTTTTCAATCTCACTTTTCAATGTTTTTAGTACAATTTCATATTTTTCATTGGAAACTAGAGACATGAGACATGTTCACCATTCGATCAGCCTATCTTGCCATTTCAGATGGAGTAGTCAAGCGTGAGATATCACATCAAGCTTGGGAGATCCCCCATCTATTCTGATAGTGTTGATTTAAACTAAGGAGAATTTCACACAGGTGTCTCCTACTCGTGATCACCTAATACCTAGTCTGGTATTCGGATAACACTGACAACTCTGTCGATGATGTTGAGAGGGGGAGGACATACTATTTCGTTCACTCTTTCTAGTGCCAGATTTGAGAAGCACTGTCTTTTATAATAGATACTATTAAGCAAACTCCAATAGTAACTAAGTAGATGTGGGGAGAAGAATTGAGAATTTTCTATGGGACGAGAAAATATGGTAGATTATGTGACTCTTTAGGTCCTTTGAAACAATTGCAAATTTATACACATCAATTATTCAATTGGTATTTCTCGTTATTTTTTAAAGGATAAAAGATTGGGCAGGAGTATTTTGTAGTAAAGAGACGGGTAATTACTCTAATTTGAGAGTACTGGTAACGTGGTTGTGTCTTCCTGGTATTTACTGCTTTTGTATATGGAGTTTCTAACACGTGTACATTCATTTATCTGCGTTTTACGCATAATAAATTTACAGTACCAATCCACTTTAAAAGAGAGAGGGAGAAAGGGGGTAGGTGGAAGAGAGAGCGAATCATGTATTGGCAATCAAAGGGCATCAAAAGTTTTGATTAGTGCAAAAGAGAAATGAAATGCCAAATATATCAATCTGAACTCAGAAGGTTACCTAGGGGAATCCGAAGGAAGTCTCACTGATTTAATATGAAGACAAACCTGGGAAAGGTAATTTTGTTAGGATAAGAGATAAATGTATGGTAGATGCATATAATGGTTTGGTCAAATTACCTGTCCAGAAGGGCTATTCAATGTATACCAGATGGCTCCTGTTTGCCCTTCGGTTTTAACTGGTACAGTCACAGATCCAAGAACTGTGCTTTTCCATATTATATCCCAATCGTATATAGTCACATTAACCTAAATAAAATGGTAAAACCTCAATTAAGAAACGATATCCAAGTCTTCTCAAAAAATAGTAACAACCCACGCATATGAAGGTTAACGAGTGAATATAAATAATGGTCGAAAATGGGAATGATCAATAGAGGGATTTATCCCAACAAACCCCAAACATCGCATTCCAAATATTATGGGTCCATCTGGAAACTCATCTCATTGCACAGCAATGTATACCAATCTGCTGAAGCAATAGACCAGAACAAATTCATCTCAGATTATCATAAAAACGGAGGACTATTTTCATAGTAGTAAATAGCGCCAGGAAGAGCACCTAGTAATGCAAATATCCTTGACGAGTGAAGAATATCAGTGTTACAAGGGCCTTTATCACGTTCTTAATTCTACCTAATGCAAACCAAATAAGATTTGAATACTTCTCAGGAAAAAGGATGTAGGAGAAAAAATGTCTATTCTACCTTTTCTCGGTCCAATATCAGTCACTCAAAGTCTGCTCACGGTTGACTTTTCTAAACTGCAGGATATTCATTGGTGAATCGCACATCTTCTTGATTGTGTATGTCAGGGAAAAACGCTTGGCAATGTTCAAACTCTATTTACACTTAATTCCATTATCAAGAAACAAGAAACTGATGATGTATCATTCCTATTTATAATGAACATACGTTTTCTTGTTTCACCATCTTCCAAATGTACTAAAGAGATGGACTTTAATTAATCAAAGGTTAGTTCAAAGGGAAAATGATGAAATGTGTAACCATCCAACTCGAAAAAAGGAAGACAACCGTAATCAACGAACCCTAATATTTATACTTGGATTCTATGTACATAATTGGGCTACTTCGGCCCAAACCACTAAATGGGCCGACCCGACTCATACTAGACCAAAAGCATAACTCTAACAAGATGATCCTGCTTTAGATTCCCTATAAAGGCTGAAAGCAACTTTCTAAAGGTAGATTCAGAAACTGAATTGGAAGATAGATACCTAAATAATGATATACATAGGGATGAGAAGATAGATACCTGAACAGGAAGTTCATCAACAAAAAAATTGAATTCCTCTCCCCACATTGGGTTTCTTGAACCTGGAATCATTGAGCTGCATCACCACAGAGGAAAGGAGCAATAATCAAGACCATGCAACTGGACTAAACAGTGTACTAACAATCTAAGAAATGAGGAAAAGCCCTTACAGTTCTATCAGTCAGAGAAAAGATAACATGAATGAGAGCATCCTAAAACAGAATGAAACTCAACTTCTCATTGAGGAGGGAGACTTCTCCCTAATAATAAATGTTTTTTTCCAAAAAATGGATGCCAGCACTGGTTCATCAACGGTAATGGATGAAATGCTCACACATGAAATACTGTTTTTCTCATCAGAGAATAAGCTCTCTCAAAGCAAGCTCGTCATTGTTCTACATTCAGGTTCACAAGATAAAAGAAAAAAGGAGTAATTACTTTCATATAATCAGCAAGCTTATAATATAACAAAGGTTCAATAAAAAATAAAAGAGAGCACACATGGAGACTTCCAAGAAAGAAAAAAGTCGCTTCATAAAAATTAAAAGAGAGTACTTGTGGAGACCGAAATACAATTCACCTAAAACGTTTCTGTTCGCCACACATAATTATTGCATAGGGATCTGAAGTCCCATTCAAATTTGCACCAATAAGGTTCTTAGCAGCCAGTAGCTCCAGCTGAAATAATACAAATTAACACACAGGTTAAAGGAAGAGAACAATTACAGAATAACGAGACAAAACTTGGTCCATAAAAGGAAAGGGCATGCCAGTGATATAGATTGCATTATCAGAAGAACAATGGAAAGCATATGCAGGAGTTTAAATCATGATAAACAAGCACAACTATCTATGTTCATTCCATAAAAGGGAAATACCTTTATCACATAAGCAGAATTGCCTTCTGAATCTCCTTTCATTTGACCCATCTACAAAAATAAGTGCAGGACTGCATGTCAAAAAATATAGATATTATTACATAATACTTCTGGTAAAATATTTTACATAATACTTCTGGTAAAACAGAAACTAAGTACAAAAGGAAAAAGAGGTTCATTAAAAAATGAAACTTATCAATAATTAGGCACTTTAAATGAGAAAAAAATAGACGAAAGATTACTGTAATAAACACATGTGATCCAAGGATTATAAAAATGATGCACACTTGAACACAATAAAATAGTAGCATCGGCAGACTACAGACAAAAAGCATTCTGTCATGTCATTGGTTGGCCATTTTTCCGCAGCTTATCAACTTCAATAGCAAAATAAATGAGAGTACAAAATACCGAAACTATAAGAAGAACGGTGATTCATTTCTAGCTGCAAGGAAAGAGTATTAAAACTACCCTGGATTGTGATGTAGTCTTAATCCTGCCTGCAAGTCTGCCAGTGATGCTGAAATTACCAATGAATACCATCAACAGTGAATACCATCAACTGTTTCCTTGCGTTAAAACATAGCACAAAGGATCCATTCCCGCACCATACACCAAGCTGTTTATTACCTCGTTGTTCTTAGTGTATTGTCGTGCCCCATATTCAGTTCCAAACTATGAGGTGCAAAAAGGACGGCACTCGGCCTTTAGGTAATCTTGTGATCATATTATATATAAGCTGACGTAATTCCAGAAAAAAATAGCTTCCCTCAGGATTTTCCTCAAAATAACTTTCCACTATAAATTAGAAAGGCACTGCTCGTCATATCCAGTGATAACTAGTCCAACAATAGTCGTAATTGCCCGCAGCATTTGAGAAAACAAGTTCAATCCGAAGGAATCACATTTCTGGCAAAAACATTAGACTGCTCTTTTCTTTAAAACCTAAAGTGGCAGAAATATGCGAAACACCTTGTGTCCCAGAGGATCTTATCTATTTTAAAACCAGAACACTGCTCTGTTGAAAGCTTCACTTCTTTTCCCATTTTCAACCAAATCTGAAATAAGAGCATTAGATATAAAAAGGGAAATTGCAAGGAGAGAATACCAGGATCAGTGCTTTCGTTTTCACCACTGACACAATGATCTTGAGCGTGATGAATTTTTCTAATCAATGAAGCCATGGACAACAGTTAAGACCTAAAATATTATTATTTATATTTAAAAATATATATTTTATATTATTATCTCCCACTGACAGTCCATAAGTAAGATGCAAATTCCTCACACCGGATTTCTTCAGCATTAAGATTACTAGTGATTTAGTATTGAATGCTTGGGTGAAAGAATATGGTGAAGAGATTAGGCTTCACAATCTTCATAGTGGGTTTCGCTTGCAGCTTATTAGCCTTGAAATTTCCAAAAAAAGTGGTCTAATGGATTTAATTAGAATATGTGGAGAATTCCGCCAGAGAAAAATACACGTAGATGCTTTGCTTAAGGGGTCCTTTTTCTTTTCCTCAGTGGCACGAACTCATCCGCGGTAGATAAAAAGCATCTGAGTCAGCGAAGATATAATTTTTTTCGCACAAAAAACTCAAGTTACGTTGACTTTCTACCCAGAAACTTTTCAATAAGCACAAAATACGTATACATCAACATAAAAGACATCGAGAAATCCTCATTTACTGACCTTGTAATCTCTTTCGCCCAGTTCCCGATTAAGAAATTCTCGTGCCCCAAGCGTGTCATCGTTTATAGCGCGATCGCTGCTGATCCCCCCAGCAACGGCCGAAGAACTTCCCAAAAAAGAGTATACCGCGATTACCAGCAGAGCCCCGGCAACGGCAACCTCGATCTCCCACAGCGACGGTAGGAGGACTCCTAACGAGACTTCTGCCATCACCCAACACGAAGACACACTAAAAGAATTATCGCGGACACCGATCTGTTCTTCCTAGGGTTCCCACAGCAGGGACGAACCAGCGACCGAGGGTTGACGATGGTAGGGAGAACACCATCGGAGGGGAGAGAGAAAGAGAGAGATAGAGAGAGAGAATGTCCCAAAAGAGTCGGTTGGAGGGAAGGCAATGGCGGTGAATTGTACGTGGGTGGAGTCGTTTATTCTACCTCTCATGGAGAAAGCGCACCAGAAGAGCAAGTAACCACTTCGGGGGCTCTTTTTTTCCCTGACAACCCTTACAAAATAATAAATTGTAAAAAAAACCGTTCCAATTTCCCATTTCCTGCGTCCCAAATTTCTAACATAATAATTACATATTGAAATATTTTACATAAATATTTTATTTTTTAAAATTAAAATAATTGCTACGAAATGTAAATCTGCCGGATATGCATCACTGTTTGGGTGGCTTTTCCAGCAGATAATCATCAGGTTTCTTCTCGTTATGAAGAATTGGAGGTTATTCTACACAAACGAGGTTATCCTGTGTACTTTTGCAAAAATATTCGTCTTCAACGGCCCCACCACACCGGTTGAAACGGCTGGGGAGCACGATCTTCTGTCCAAACAGCGCCGTCCCCCCCACGGGCATCGTCAAGTCGCGAGACATCTCCACGTGTCATTGGGCCCCACAAGTCGCCATTGACAGGTCGATAAAAGTGGGCCTTATCCGCCACGTGGCTGGGCCACTGGATCACTTTCCAAACATGCATAGGCCCATCATATGGCCCATAACCAGGCCCAACCGGAAATGCTCCACAAAAAGGGGGGCTTAGTGCCTTCTGGCGGGAAACGTTATTTTGGCGAGATCTGATCTGGACGCTATGTCTTTATCATCGTCCATGAAGTGGGATCTAAAGCAATTGAGGTGTCTCCACCGTTGGATCCGATGCTCTTTGCACGACGGAGGCCCCCGGGATGGCGGGAAAAAGAAGAGGGAAAAGAAGTGGGAGAGGGGGAACAGAGAGAGAGAGGAGGGAGATGGAGAGATAGAGAGAGAGAGCAGCGAGGCGGAGGCGGCGGCGGCAAGCGATGGAGGTCTGCGGCGGAGTGCACCGGCAACGCTGGGTTGTTCCGATCAGGCATTGACTGGGTTTCGTAGGGGATCCTCCGGATCTACTGTACCTGGTCCTATTCAGGGGACGGGATAGGGGTTGGGGGTTGAGAGGGATAGATTTCCGGCAAGATGGCAGTTCTCCTTTGAGGGCCTCATTTTCTGATCCGTCATTGTCAGCTGTCACCTTGAAGCGCGGAGGATTGACTCTTTTCCCTCTCTCATCGTGCTCAGAAATTTTATTTTCTTTGTGGGTTCTGCGCGCTTCTTCATTCTTTCACCCGTTGATCCGCGGAAAACGAAACAAGATTGAGAGCTGTCTTCTACCATTTCTTCTTTGCTGTCTGCTTGATCATTCTTCTGTATTTGGCTTATGGGATTCAGTTCCCATAGATCGGTTTCCACTGGCTTTTTGTTGAAAGCCTAGTGGTTCCCCTACATTGCTTCCCGGCGTTGTCTGTAAACGTTATTGTTTCTTCTCAGAAGTTTTCGAAGAAATTTGTGAATATCACTCTTGTGAAAGTTCCAGGACCCAATCTAGTCTATGCTTGCAAACAGTACAGTGGCAATCGATGGATCGTGAAAGGGCTTCGATGAAACCATTGAAGCGGAAGAGAGTATTTGTTGACCCGGATATTGGCCCAAAAGAGAAAAAAAATCTGATCAATGGATTCTGTGACGAGCTTACTAAGCTATTTGAGTATTTCCACAGTGTTTTAGCTTGGAAGTTAGGTCAAGAAGAAGCTGAGTGTTGCTCTATCAACTCAGCCATTGCTTGCATGCTTGAAGGGAGTCATCTTCCCTTTTCCAAGTTGTCATGTGAGATTTATGAGAAAGTAAAAGAAAGCGATGGGGTTTCTTTAGGATCCGTGCAGCGTGATTTGCATTTCATCGGCTCTAGATTGAATTATGGCATTGACAATGGGAACCCTAATTTACTCGAAGATTTGTCAGAATCATGCCTCTGGTGTTGGGAGGTGATTATTTCATTATGAAATTTATTACCGATGTTAAACTTGGGCAAGTCGGCATTTATTTGGCATTTATCCGCTGACCTTGGTTCGTTGACGGTTGGCAATTATTTTATTTTATCCAGGTAAGAGACTTGAAGTTGCTACCAAAACATAAACGGAAAATCTGCCAAGCTCAGCGGAAAGGACGGGAAAAGGTCCGTGACCGAGTTGTTGCACTTTCTGGTGAGTTACCCTTTTCATTTTTACTTGGTTACCACATAGGTCGAGATTATTCTTTCAGAAGATAATGAAACCTGTAACTGCCTATCTTTTTCTCGTTTTCACTGCTCTGAAGAACTCAAAATATACGATAACCGCCTTATCATACTTGGATTCACATTTTATGGTTTACTTTCAATCAGAATTCCTCTAAAAGGGTGCCCTTTTTTGCTTGGTGTTCAATGCATAGTGTGGCCAAGAAGACACTTAATGAAGTTAATATTGCGCCTTTGCTTATTCTGCTTAACATTTGTGTTATATAATTTTCAGAAATAGTGTCGATTCTAAGGATGCCAGAAAGTGAAGGCAATTACAGGAACCATTTATCACAAGCATCAGAAAAACTTGGCAAAACGTTAAGTCAGGAAGAGATATGTTCTGTATTTGAAAAGTTGGCACAGAAGAGTTTCAGCGAGATGTATGTAAACTTATTTCCCTGGTTGCAGTCTTATCGAGATTCTTTCCTTTTTTTTTTTTTTGGCATATTGAATCATCTCACTGAATAGTACATTTTCTCCTCCATCGTGACAGGGCAGGGAAGGAATGTAATTCCAAAGAAAAAGAGTTACTCAAGGATATAGAGAGGAAGATGCGGGTTGCAGAGAAGGAAAAAAAGAAACATGATCGTCAGCTAAACAGAGAGAGATGTGAAAGTGTGGGTGTTATCCTATCCCTGCCTCATGCCTTTTTTTCCATAATAGGTCCCCTTTTTCTACCCTTTCTCGGGAGTCGATGACTATTCATAGCTATTACCTTGACACCAAAGAAGAGTGGTCTATGTTTGGCCTGTTACTCTGACTGGTCTAACTCGTTCTTTCAGATGTTCTTGCTGCGTAATTATTGAATGTGTCTACATTGTTCAGCCTTTTACGAGCATGTACCACATTTATTATCAAATTCCACAGAAATGTATCTCACCCAAGAAATGCTAAAAAATTCTTCTGCCATGTGAAGCATAAAAAAAACTCGGCAGATATTCTCTTTGTTATTGAGTTTTTACGTTCCCTCTCTCCCTCCCTCTGTATGATTCGTTTTATATGGGCACCAATTGTCATGTCATTCTTTGTTCGTAATTTCATGTAAACATGAAACTCTCCTTTGTGTGCATGGTGATCCATGATCTCTGTAAAACACTTTTCCAGGAAAGAGAAGCCAAGCGGCGTCAGATTGAAGCTGAAAGAGAAGAAAGACGCCGGGAGAAAGAAGAGGCTGAATTGAAGAAACAATTAAGACGGGCAAAAGAGGAGGCAGAGAGGGAGAAAAAGTTCCGGGAGAAAGAAGAGGCTAAGGCGAAGAAAAAAAATTCCGTTCAGAAGCAGGCAACAATCATGGAACGGTTTCTTAAAAGCAAAAAGTCTAGTAACATAGAGAACGAGGTTGACGAGTTTAAAAGTGTCCCCTCTTATGATTCTTCCGTAAACAACGGAAGTTTGGAGTCAACCATATCATTAATGGACTCTAGGCTCTCTCAGCAAAATAACATCACTATTGAAGATCTTCGAAAGTCAGTGGTCTAATTCTTCTCTACCTGTTTGTTGAATTCCTTGCTCATCTTATTTATTGAGTTGTTTGGAATCATGATCTGTAATGGCCCCTCAGGTCCCATATTGCTGCCTGGCATGGGCTACGCCACACAGACGACTCTCAGCGCTGGGGTGTCCGCAGAAAACCAAAAGCTAAGATCTTCAATGAGCTTAAGTTGCAGGGATCCTTGTGTGAAAACGCATCTCTGGTCGAAAGGGAGAATACTTGTAATTCCATGAGAGGGAATGAAACATCCGACCCCAGCGGGTCTCCAAACATTGTTGAAGAAGACTCTGGAGATAATCGACCATTTGACTATTGTGATGATACTGCTATCACCATAAGTCAATTGCCCAGAAGAGTTAGGAAGTTACTTCAGTTTGACAAGAGCCACAGGCCTCCATATTATGGTTCATGGTCCAAGAAAAGGCAAGTTTTTCCCTTGAAAGATTAGCTTGAATACACATGTGTTATCTTTTTTTCTAATCCTGTGCCGAAGTATGAATATTGACTTATACGCATCCTATAGTGCTGCTATTAAGCCGCGCCGTCCTTTTGCCAAGGATTCTTGTTTGGACTATGACGTCGACAGTGACGAGGAATGGGAAGAGGTACATATTCTCTCCTCTCGTTCGTGAGATGCTGCTTCGCTCCAAAATTGACTTTGATTGTTTGACTTTCTCGATATGAAGGAAGAACCAGGTGAAAGCCTTTCAGATTGTGACAAGGATGAGGACGAAATGCTGGAGGAAGATGCAAAAGCAGACGATGAGGATGAAAGCGACGATGGATTCTTTGTTCCTGATGGTTATCTCTCAGAAAATGAGGTACTGTTCCATACTTTCTCCTCACATTGATTTCTAACGTGTTGTGGCGTTCATATCGACACAATTGTAATACATCAGTCAACGCCATTCCGATGCGTTGACATGAACCACCAGAGGTGTCTTGTGATTTCAGCCTCCATGCATTCCGGTCCGAGATCTTTCATAACTGAGAACAATATCCAAAAGCATCATTCTTCCTCCTGAGATCTTTTGTGCTATCCATCCGTAGAATAATCAGATTCCCCTCGGATATGCCTGAGGATCTTCAAAGCGCTTCCATTTGAGGAAGAATCAGGTTTCCATTTAGAATCATTTGATTGTCAAAGGACATTATTTTTTCAGGAGATGACAGCCACATTTTTGTGAGGAAGAACGCAATCCAGAAATTTAGGTCCGGGTGAAAAACCGCAGAAAAAAAAGAAATTGTTTCCCATCAATCTTAAAGCCTACGAGACATGTGTATGCATATATGTAGTTATTCTTGAAGTCAATAGACGTTGACTTTGGACTATGTTTTTCGGGTAACCCAAGGATCTCTCTAAACATTATTTTTGCAAAAAGAAATTGTTCTCCATCAATCTTAAAGTCATACCAGACATGTGTATGAAAATATGTAGCTGTTCTTGAAGTCAATAGACGTTGACTTTGGACTTTGTTTCTTCGTTGACCCAAGGATCTCTCTAAGCATTATTTTTGCAAAAAAAAGTTGTTCTCCCTCAATCTTAAAGTCATATCACACATGTGTATGCAAATACGTAGTTATTCTTGAAGTCAATAGACGTTGACTTTGGACTTTTGTTCTTTGGGTAACCAAAGGATCTCTCTAAACAGTATTTTTTTCCTTTTTGGAAAATTGCTGTGAAGAGGATTTTGTTGAACTAAAGAGAATTGCTTTTGGATAAAATTTTCGAATGATTTAAATTTTTTTTCCGTCTAGATTTTCCTGTCGGTGAAAATAATAGGTCGTCTCGGATTTTATGTCAGGGTGTTCAAGTTGATGATGGGCTGAGACGTGATGCCATTTCCGACGAGGCCCAGATCTCCCCCAGCTGCAGCCCAGAGATGGAAAATGAGGAGTGCAGTGCGATTCTCCAGCAGCAGAAAATTCTCGACCGTCTCACCCAGCAGGCGCTTCGAAAGAATCAGCCGCTGATCATTACAAACTTGCTGCGGGAAGAGTCGGAGATTGCAGCGGTGAAGGCCGAACAGATTTGCCTGCAGGCAGTGTGCCTGGTGGTGTGCGAAGGCGGCTCCACCGTTGGGCAGTCTGCCGAGGACTCAGCTTCTGGCATCTCGTCCACTTCGGCCCTGCCTGATCCAGATCTGCCGGAACATGTAAGTGCAGATGATCCCCTCCCCTTGTGCCATGGTTCTCCTAATGATCCCCCTCTTCTGTCTCATAAGGTTCCAGTCACCACCTTTCTTTCCTACATGGCCTTTGACTTGCCAGAATAAGTAAGTGCAGATCTTGTCTCATAAGGTTCCAGTCCCCACCTTTCTTCCCTACATGGCCTTTGACTCGCCAGAATATGTAAGTGCAGATAATTCCCTCCCTTGTCCCATGGTTTTCCTCCTAGTGATTCCCTTCTCTTGTCTCATAAGGTTCCAGTCACCACCTTTCTTTCCCATATGACCTTTGACTTGCCAAAATCGGTAGTTACAGTAGCTCACCTTGTACCCTGGGACGACTCTGGTTTATTTCCTTTTTCTGCCATCTGAAGATCCAGATCCCTCCCCCTTTTTTTTTTAGAATTTAAATTTTCAATAATTTTCCTTTCAAGCTTGGTGGGCTTTTCTCATATTAGTGCACTCTGTGCTTGACAACCCACACTAGAAGAAATTAATAATTACTGCCCTGCGGTCAACACGCGGGTCAAATCCGATCGCCGCCAGCAGGCTTTTGACTTGGCAGTGGCTTGAAAAGGGTATTTGTCTTTGCCGCAAGAGAGAGGATCGTTGACGGGTTTCGGTTGTTATTCTGTGTACAGGTCAAGGAGGAGGTGCGAGAGAAGCTGGGGGTATCGCCGCCGCCCACCAAAGGTGCCCCCTTGGTGCTTCCGAAATCCGGGTAGCTTGAAAGGTCTCCCCCTCTCTGCCTATTTATAGTAATGGTTGACTTGCAACCTCGACAGGTAAACGAGGACGCCCGAAAGGGAAACGGCGAGCCCCTCCGAGCGGCGGGACGGTGAGCCTGCCGGCACTGCTGGCGGCGGCGGCGGCGGCGAGATCGACGGCCTGCGAGGAGCTCCCCAAGTGCCAGGAGAATACGCAGCCCCCGATCTCTTGAACCTCCCTACATCCTCTCTCTTCCTGTCCTTCTCTTGGGGTTTTCTCAAGGAGCCGTTGGAAGAAGAAGTGGGCTTTCGAGGGGGGCTTTATCTTGTTACTGTGGAGAGTGCTTGGACTGAAGCCTTCCCCCCCGTTAATGAGATGATTGCCTTCGTGTCTCTCCCTGCTCTTGAGAGTGTTGTGTCTGTGGGTGTAGAGGGCGGGATCTTGCTGCTCGGGGGTTGCTAAAGAGATGATAATGGCGGGTTAAGGCCGGTTTCTTCTGGGCTGGGGTCGGATGTGCCTGAAGCGTGTTACAGTTTTCTGAAAGTGGGATTTTTTTCTATTAAGGATTTCATTAAAACATAAATGTCTGTAACATATTCCCCAGTATGGAAATGTTCGAGATGATTTTGGAGGATCAATGGATGTGATAACACCGAAATGATCAACTCAATGTCGGAGGGAGACGGAGGCTACCTCGCGCTGAAGATGGGTTCGGCCTCCGCAGTGGGTTGTGTTCTTCGAGTGTACTTGATGAGCAGAGCTTCCGACGAGAGCCCGGGTATGCGCAAGTCCCTGGTGGGAGAAGAAGATGATGATGAAAAGAAGAATCTTAGGTCTGCAGATTCATAATGTCCCGAGGAAGAATCTGAAGAGGAAGAAGAAGAGATGGGAAGGATGCACAGATTCATCGCTTGAGGAAGAATCTGGGGTTTACCTGATATATGGGTGCAGGTCTTTCCACGCCCACTTCGCCCGTTCTTGAAACAGAGCAGAGAATCGTTCTTCAGGTGTTGATGGAAGTCCGGAGACGCTGAAAGCTCGAATCCAGGTCTCGAGGCCAAGGATTTCGTACAGCACCTCCCCCTCCAGCATCCCCAAGTCAGCGCGCATCCCCTGAGGAAGGGTTGACTTCCACTTCTCCATGAAGGCTTCCAGCTTCATCTTCCCTCCGCGGAGAGCCCGCCTGGCGAAGTGTAGACACACTGGTTTCTCGTTCAGGCTCCAGATGGGACCCCCTGGGTCCTCGCTCTTATGCCCGTAAGTGGCTAGGCAGTGGAGGACAATGGCATGGGGATATCCATCGGACACCAGCATCGGCACGACTTCATGTTCCTTCATGGAGTTTGTTTGCCACTCGTGAATGATGCAGTTGTTCAGCGTCATCTTCAGGATCTCGTCAATGGAATCCTCGGCGACAAGTCTCCAGAATCCGCCAATCTCCACGGCGGATAGAGACCTCAATCCGGCCATCAGTTCCTCGTCGCTGGCCTGGATCAGGTTGACGAGATCTGTCCATCTGTAGAGACCGCTGCGATCAGACCTCGCGCAGCTGTTCTCCGTCTCCATCGCGTAGTCGTCCTCCTCCTCCAGCGTGTAGGGCCTCTCGCTGAGGAGGGATTTCAGCTTCTCCAGCCTTGGGGCGACTGGAACGAGCTCTATATTCCCAGGAGCCACTTTGAACACAGATGCAATCGTTTGCGGGAACTCTGAGCTCTTGCTTGGCTCGCAACGAACCATTCCATTCTCGCGGATCTCTGAATCGCCATCTCCAGGAGGTATGAGGAAGACTGAGTTCGAGGTGCCGACGAACTTCATCGCGTACGTAGCGGAAGCAGTGCAGAGAACTGCGTCTTCGTCTGGTTGCCCTCTTACGGCCACACTACAAGAGTGAAAAGCTACATTGAATTCGATCTACGATACTTGAACATCGTCATCATCATCATCAGTGAACTCCAACTCGTAAGCCGAGAAAATGAATGCGACACGCGAATATGCAACCTGATTTACAAAATAGATCCCCGAGCCAGGAATGTAGAACTCTGCTCAACACCGACGATCATCATCTCCGATTTTCCCAAAGGATCCGTCCCCGAGAATGTAATCCTTGAGAAATCGAACTCCGTCGGGAGAGAGAAAGAGGAAGAGAGAATCGATACCCCTTATGAAGGATCTCGTGGAGGAGGCCGTCGTCCACCTCGAGGAGAACAAGATCGTCGTGAGGACCAAATTGAGAGCCGTATCTGACAGACAGGGACGATCCTGGCGACATGCTGAGCACAGATCCCGCACCTCCCGCCGCCGCCCCCATCCCGCCGCCGTTTGCTCCGCCGGTCGCCGGAGTTTCCATCTCCCGCCGCCACCTCCCCCACTCCAAGCCCGCGTTTTCCAATTGCCCTCAAAACTGACTAAAAGAGGGAAAATATTTGTACAAAAACCTTTAAAATGTAGCCAATAACACTTTTCTGACCTTATAAGTATTTTATTTCTCAAGAAGACTTCTCCCGCGCCTCCCCCCACTCCAAAGCCCGCGCTTTCCATTTGCCCTCAAAACTAAAAAAAAGAGGGAAACTATTTGTACAGAAACCTTTTAAACGATAGTTAATAACCGTAATAGCATTATAATTAGTTTATTTATTAAGTAGTCTTCTCCTTTAAATCACAACTGGATAGTTCGCCAGTTCGTACTGCTGCCGCCAGTTTCTTCCGACATCGGACTTCCTCTGGCTTGTGATAGAGACAGAGAGAGAGAGAGAGAGGGGGGGGAGAGAGGGAGAGAGAGAGGGATAGAGAGTGAGGGAGAGAGAGAGAGAGAGATAGAGAGTGAGGGAGAGAGAGAGAGAGAGATAGAGAGTGAGAGAGAGGGAGGCAGAGGTCTATGCAAGAAGAGGGCTTATTTCCTCTCCCCACGACGCTCAGACTGAGTGTGAGCAAGTTTATTGCAGCATTCCATGGCTTCCGGGGATGATAAGCGGCTGGTTGCTACCCCGGGGACCACCACTTTTCTCTCATGGCAGGTCCATCTGCCTGCTAATGAGATCCGCGGTGGAAGTATTTCTTTCAATCGAAGGTGGGAAAACGATCTGTCCACTCTAAATGCTGACCAAATCAAGAACAGCGTCCCAATGCCATCGCATCGCCGCCATCAAATCTTCCAGACGCTTCATCGCCTCGTTCGCAGCCCCATCTGGATATGAAGAGCCTCGAGGGCCTCTTGGCTTTGGCCTCACCTTCGACCACGCCGCCTACGGCGACCTCCTCCGATCATCCACGAGTAGGAAGAACTTGGCGCACGGGATGCTAATCCACTGCCACATGATCAAGGTATCCTTCAGGACCTCCGTGTTTCTCGACAACACTCTGCTAAACATGTACTGTAAATGCGGAGATCTGGAATCCGCCCACCTCCTGTTTGATAGAATGACCAAAAGAAACCTCGTCTCCTGGAACTCCCTTATTTCTGGCTACTCATTGATTGGGCGCTACCAGCAGACGTTGGGTTTGTTTCTTGAAGGGAGAAGTATGGAAATGGAGCCTGACAGGTTCACCTATGCGGGCGTCTTGAGAGGATCCGCTCACCTGGGAGACTTGAAAATGGGCATAATGATCCATGGCCTAGTAGTAGTCAGTGGGGTGTCCTCCCAAGTCCTTTTGACTAATTCTCTCATAGACATGTATGCAAAATGCGGTCGTATCGATCTGGCGAGACTTGTGCTCGATCATTCACACGAATTGGATGAGGTTTCTTGGAATTCATTGCTGTCTGGTTATGTTCATCTCGGTTTGGTCGAGGAAAGCTTTGGACTTTTTTCCCAGATGCACCAAAGAGGGGTCCAGATCAATGGTTTTGCTCTGGGTAGTATTTTCAAAGCTTGCGCAGGATCTAGTGATTATTCCTCTGATTTTGGTTCGATTGCCCATGGTTTTGCGGTAAAAGTTGGACTGGAGATGGACGTTGTTGTGTGTGGTGCGATGCTAGACAAGTTCTTAAAGCGTGGGGCCGTGAAAAAAGCAATTGAAACCTTCAAACTCATGCCTGAACAGAATGTCATCGTATTTAACACCATGATTGCAGGGTTATGTGGGCCAGATTTAGAAACCTCCGATCAGCCCTACTATGCCTTGAGCCTCTTCTCCGACATGAAAAGAAGGGGAATGAAACCATCAAAGTTCACATTTTCAAGTGTGCTCAAAGCATGTAATGTGATCGTAGGCTTTGAACCTGGAAAGCAGATTCATGCCCAAGTCCTCAAGCATAATCTTCAAAAGGATGAATTCATAGGGAGCGGGCTTATCGATTTATACTCCAATAATGGCTTGATTGAAGACGGACTCAGGTGTTTCGATTCAACCTATAAGCAGGATGTTGTCTCTTGGACTTCCATGATCTCGGGTTTCGTTCAAAGCGAGCAATTTGAACGTGCATGCGACTTGTTCCATAAATTGCTGGTTTCTGGCCAAAAACCTGATGAGTTCACTCTCTCCAGTGTGATGAGTGCCTGTGCTAATCTAGCCATTGCAAGGACTGGAGAGCAAGTTCATAGTCGTTCAATGAAGACTGGATTTAATAACTTCACAGTCTGTGTAAACTCTTTGATTTTTATGTATGCGAAGTCGGGGGATATTGATGCTGCAGCCAAGGCATTTTCAGAAACCTGTGATCATGATGTGGTGACATGGTCTGCTATGATCTCTAGCTATGCTCAGCATGGGTTTGCAGAATATTCCTTGACATTGTTTAGAAAGATGAAGGATTATGGGTTTGTGCCCAACAGCGTGATTTTCCTTGGGGTCCTTACTGCTTGCAGCCATGGTGGACTACTAGACGAAGGACTTAGGTAGATATATTTCTGTTGTCAGACGCGAGCTGGTGATTTCTTTTTTATTTCTAATCTGGGACTGAAAAATCTCAGATTCTTCATATATGTGGAAGTGCCTCGTTGTTTTTCTACTCAGTGCCATCAGTTTTACTGATCATCTTATTATTTAAAAGGAAGCCTGAAACTTTGGTAGATATCTCTCTATTGTTCAATGTGAGTCTGATTTATTTTTTTTGCCATAATTCGGGAGTTAAAAATCTTGGATTCTCCATAGAAGTGAAATTTACTGGTTTATTTTATTTTACATGCGAGTTGGTCTCTCTTTTCAATTTTGATTTGGGAATGCGAGATCTTGGCTTTTTCATAGAACTGAAAGTCCTTGATTTATTTTACTTGGTAGGCATTCATTCTACTGATTATCTCATTCTTAAAGGGGAAGCCAGAAACTGCCCTGTAGTTTATTCGAGCTGGTTTTTCCAATTTGGGACTGAGAAATCTTGGATTCTTAGTAGCATTGTAAGTGATTGCTTTGTTTTACTTGGTGGGCATCCGTTTCAATGGTTACGATTTTATTTAAAAGGAAATTAAAAGCTTTGTGCCATGAACGGAACGAATAGCTCATTCCTGATCACCAAAGGACAGCTAGTGAGTACATTAGACACAATGAGACCATAAAACTTAAACTGAGGGTGCACCACAGCTCTCGCTTTTCATGTCAATTTATTTTCTCTGGTCCGAACCTCCTTAGGTTGACTTTTCAGAGATTATCCACAAATCTTCCATCTTTCTCTATCCTTCGTGTGATTCTCATATAATCTCCCATCTTCTTCTCTCAACTCTCTCATCTGCTCGTTGGCCTTCTCAGGTCCTTTGATAGCATGAAGAGAGATTACAATCTGGAGCCAAACGTGAAGCACTACGCCTCCATTGTCGACCTTCTTGGTCGAGCTGGAAAATTGCCCGCCGCAGAGGACTTGATCCTGAGCTCGGGTTTCGCCTCCGACCCAGTCATCTGGAAGGCTCTTCTGGGTTCCTGCCGGCTCCATGGGGATGTCAACCGAGCTGCCCGCGTGGCAGAGAGAATAACAGAGCTGAAGCCCCATGAATCTTCGTCTTATGTTCTCCTCTACAACATATACTTCGACGCAGGGGAGAGACTGCTGGCAGATAACGTAAGAAACAAGATGAAGAAGCTTGGTGTCAAGAAGGAGCCTGGTCTCAGTTGGATCATCATTGGCCCGATCGTCCATTCTTTCACTGCTTCCGATAAATCTCACCCTCAAAGCCGAGATATTTACTCAAAACTAGAAGAGATGGTCCGCGGTGTGAAGGAAACAGAGGAGCAGGTGGTGCAGAACTTCCACAGCGAAAGGCTGGCAGTGGCGCTGGGGATGATGGTTCTGCCTGAATCAGCCCCCATCAGAGTCATGAAGAACCTGAGAGTCTGCAGGGACTGCCACACGATGATGAAGCTGTTTTCTTACAGCGAGAGGAGGGAGATTGTCCTCAGGGACCCCCTCCGGTTCCATCGCTTCACCGGGGGCTCATGTTCTTGCATGGATTACTGGTAATAAATAGCATGGTTTCTCATGGGTTGATGGCAGAGTTCATCTTGACAAATATGGAATCGCCTGAAGGGGGAGGTGCCGGGAGAGGAAATCTGCTTCTTGGGAAGCTTATTATTCATCTCATTTGTTATTCACTTATATAATTCTTCATATATCTCAAGCTCTTCTATTGAATCAGCTCACTGTCTCTGACATTATTCCAGCCATGTGGGTCATCCAGCTTCTTTGGAAGCGTATTATTCATCTCATTTCTTCATATATCTCAAGCTCGTTTGCTGAATCAGGTCACCGCCTCTTGACATTATTCTGGTCATGTGGTGGGTCATCAGCTTCATGGGAAGCATATTATTCATCTCATTTGTTCTTCACTTATATAATTCTTCGTACATCTCAAGCTCTTCTACTGAATCAGGTCACCGCCTCTGACATTATTCTGGTCATGTGGTGGGTCATCAGATTCTTGGGAAGCATATTATTCATCTCATTTCTTCATATATCTCTAGCTCTTCTAATGTGGGGACAGCTGGAAGGGTCTGAGCTGGCAGCTGGCGGCTGAGGTTTCACTGGAATTTTCTTCCGTCTTTCTGGTTACTGGTGAAAGAAAGTCATTCCTGATTGGACTAAGTATCCCTCGTGGCTCCGACGTCAGCAGCAGCACGTGATGTGCTCGGCCGAGGCGCTGGGAGGATTTATAAAAAACCCAGGATTAGTATCACACTTTGGCGACATGCGGTAGTGTTTTGTCCTGTGAAAAAGGCCTTCCTGAGATTATATATTATTGGAAAAGTACCCTTATTATGCAACCCTCTCTCTCTCTCTCTCTCTCTCTCTCTCTCTCTCTCTCTCTCTCTCTCTTTCTCGCCTATTTCTGGGCCGAATCGCAAACTGGTACCGGCCGGGCCCATTTGGTCGGAGAGTATTTTGCTAATAAGTAATAATTGGAGGCAAATGCGCCTTTCCACCCGAGGGAACGAAGGGTTTTCTCCTTAAACCTCTCCTCTCTTCTGTTCTAGTCTGCTGCGGGAAGGGGGGGCCGCCTTGGCAGAGTGATCGGCTGGTGGCGGTGGTGGTGGTGGTGCTGCTGCTACTGCTGCCGACGAGAGAAGGCGGCGGCGAGGTGAGGGGAGATGTGGAGATCAAAGGCGAGAAATCTTCTGCTCCTTTCATCGATCCGGCGTTTCCCACGTCAAAGCCAGGTTCATCTCAAATCCTTTAACCAAGGTCCTTCGCCGTCGCTGAAATCCTCTGAATGGCCTCCTCCTCCCGTCGGGGTCCGCCCTCGGCACTGCCGCCTCTTCTCCGCTGATTCCGTCACTGGAGGTGTTGGATCTAGTGGAGAGGGTTCTTCTGAAGAAGATGATCATTCGGAGGACGATTCAGTTTCTGAGGGATCGGAGTTCAGGTCGACGGATGTGCTGGAGAGGAAGCAGAAAGAGGATGGTGTCTTCTGTGATAATATAGATGCCGTTTTTGGAGAATCTGTTGGTCCCTTGTCTGGTTCTGACGACGAAGTGAAAGGTCAGATCGGCGGCGAGGAGAGTGAGGCTTCTGAGTGGAAAGAAGACGGCGGGCCTGATGAAGACACGCCAGAGGAAGCATCAAACGTTTTAGAGATCGATGTAGAAAAACTCGAGAATCTTCTGTCGTTCTTACAGAGTACCACGGAAGAGCCACTGGGGTTGACATTTGACAAAATGGATCTGACTTTGAGTGAGGAGTTTGTTGCTAGGGTACTTCAAACCCCTCTTACCATAGCAGAGAAATTGATCGGGTTCTTCAGGTGGGCTTCGGAGAGGCCCGAATATGCAGTGAGTTCAAATTCCCTCGATCTCCTCGTTCGAGCAATTGCCACCTCTCCAGAATGTAACAAGAATGAGGCATACATGCTGTGGGACCTAATTAAGGAGATTGGTGAGAAAGATAAACAGTTACTTACGACTGAGATCCTCAACCAGTTAATATCTTTGTTTGGCATCCTGGAAAAAGCCAAGGCTGGTCTCGAGGTTTTCAATCGGTTCGAGGAGTTTGGATGTAAGACGAATGGTGACTCTTATTACTTGACCATTCATGCTCTCAGCAAGAGGCGTATGCTCGACACTGCATGGTCCGTCTGTGAGAAGATGCTCAATTCAGGAGAATTGCCCGATGCTGAGAAAATTGGTAAAGTCATTGCGTTCCTTTGCAAGGGAAAGAGGGCGAAAGATGCCTATCTTATTTATCTAGAGGCAAAAGAGAAAGGCAAATGCCCACCGGGTTCTTATGTTGACTTCCTCGTGGGTGGCCTTGCAAGAAATGATGATTCAGTCCACACAGCCTTGGAATTACTCAAGGACTATTCAGGAGAATCACGAAAGTATGCTATAAAGCCCTTCACCTCAGTGATTACCGGTCTATGTAGGATTAAGGATGTGCAGGAGGCAAAGAATCTTATAAGCAGGATGATCGATTCTGGGCCACCACCAGGGAATGCAGTTTTCAATCATGTCATTGGCAACCTATCGAAGGCCGGAGAGATGGATGATGCTGTATCTCTACTGAGACAAATGGAGGGTAGAGGTCTCCGACCTGACATCTACACCTACAGTGTTGTTATGAGTGGGTTTGCAAAGGGTGGCATGATGGACGAGGCCCGTAAGATTTTTAATGAGGCCAAGGCAAGGCATCCCAATCTGATTTCCACAACATACCATATACTAATTCGGGGTTATTGCAAGATGGAGGAGTTCGGAACTGCTCTTGAATGCATGAGAGAGATGAAGAACGATGGACTACAACCGAATGCTGATGAGTATAATAAAATGGTGCAGTCCCTGTGTCTCAAAGCTCTGGACTGGCGTGCAGCAGAGAAGCTTCTGGAGGAGGTGAAGGAAACTGGGTTGCATCTGAATCCCATGACCCAAAGTCTGATATCAGCCATCAAGGAATTGGAACAGGAGGAACTGAAATCTGCAGTCGCGACTTAAACAAAGGTAACTCCTGAATCACCAGATTAACCGATATTTAGGTTTCAATGGCAAGCGTGCTGCCTTTCCCACCCTCCTCTTTTGAACTTTCAAGTGAGTCGAACACCTTCTGCAATGCTTGTGATCACTCTCATATCGTCAACGATTGGATTTCTACATGAGTCTCCTTTCTGGTGAAATAATATTTCCATTAAAAGAGCTGTCTTTCTGATTTGCCACAGTCCCAGACATTTAAAAGAGCTATTCTTTAGCGTTTTTCATTGGATACTGCAGGATTGTAACATTTGTATTACCCAAATCATTCCTAGATCACATTGGGTGGGTTAATATCCTCTCCTATTCTCAATGGGACGGTCTTTATATTCCAAGTTGAAAATTATCTCGCATGTAACACATGTCGAAGGTACTTAGTCTCTCTCTATCTTTTGCCTCTTATGACGAGATCTAAAAGCTCTCGAATGCAGAGATGGAGAGATGGGATGTTATATTTTTATGCATATATCGCAGCAAGGAGTTCAATTATTAAGTAAATAAATCATTTCCGTAAATGTGATGAATGGCTCATTGGCCAAAGCATGTTATGCATACCATGTATATCGATATTGTGTAAGTTTCAATGTTGTTTTACTTATTTTCCACATTAATATCTTTGATTTCATCATCTAAAATTGGCATACATCCATGTTTTATGCCTAAATCCCAATTATGCATCAATATCCACTGATGAGTGCTCAAATCATCCATATTTTATTGAGAAATGAAAGCAATCTCCATAACTTTCGTTGATCTTTCTTAGCTGGGTAAGCATTCAGCGTTCTGCGTATAGAACTTAAATGTTTTCTCCTTGAGCTATGCAGGGTGAATCACAGCATTCAACTAACCCTGTTAGAGCCTGCCCTGGGCCCTGCTTTGGCCCATAAAAAGCCCGGAAATTTTTCCTAGGCCTGACTAGCCCAATTTGGCCCGGCCCACCTTAGAAACCTAGATTTCCTTGTAGGTTTTGATACTCATCATCTGGCTGGGGAGGGAATAATGATGACGATTTGGGTTAAGTTTTCATCTGATTTTTCTCTCAGATTGCTATTTTCCGGTCTATTTTTCTTATTTTTTAACTTATTTTCCCCCTTTTTTCTGAGTATATTATGTGTTGGGGCCCCGTCCTGACCCATCGGCGGAGACCCGGCTGGGGCGGCATTTCTCTCTCTGAACTGATTGTGGATTGGGTCGGCCCGGCCCGGCCCACTTGTGAGGTTTATGATTCGATATCGATCTGAGGATTCCGAGACCACCGGGCTCTGTTGGGTTCACATAAACCAGTCCGCTCAGCCTACATGGCTATGTGGGCCCACCTATCTCGGCCTTCTAGAAGTTTCCTGGCCATTGATACTAAGATGAGGAGGGGTAAAACCGAGAGAGGATGACACCTCAACTTGGGTTTATTTATTTATTTATTTTGAGTTCCACTGAAATAAAAAAATTAGTTGGGCCATATTTTATTCAAAGCCGTATTCCTGCGAGATTTATTTTTTTTTGCTCATAATTTTCTTCTATCATATCCACGGACGATGATGTGCGGCCGTTCACTGGAACTTTATTGAATAGTCTGACTTTTGGTTTGTCGTGGCACTGATGATGTCAGCATGAAAACGTCAGAGGACAGGTGTTCCTTTCACTGGCTCTGACTTTTGGGGATGCTCACCTCTGACTGGTTAGGCAATAATGGTATTCAAGGCGAAAAATGATACAATATTCTTGACCGTCTGTTTTCTAACTGAAATCAATTATTTTTTTTCTTGGGTTTTCATATAAAAACGAGTCGAAGAATATTATAATATTCTGAACACATCTGCACGACCTGGGCTGAGTACTTGCCCCGGCCCAACCCCTGCCCGATCATAAATGGGTAAGATCACGGCTCACTTTGACCCATTCCAATAGATATTCCTTTGTTAGAGAGATAGAGAGAGAGAGAGAGAGAGAGTAGAAAATCGGTAGGGTTCAGGGGGTCAACACTGTCTAAGATAGGCTAGACTGTCATTGGCCCGCGACCTATTGGGATCTCGTGTCAGGGTAGTACTTGTCCGGTCTTGAATGTGTTGACTCTAATCTCTCGAGAGAAGAGATGCATAAGAATACAGCTCACTTTGACCCATTCCAATAGATATTATTACCACCTCCGTTGTTAGAGAGAGAGAGAGAGAGAGAGAGAGAGAGAGAGAGAGAGAGGGCAGAAAATTGGTGGGGTCCAGGGGTCAATCCTGTATAAGCTGGGCTAGACCATACTGCTCCGGGACCTATTGAGGTCTCATGTCAACACCCAAGCCATAAAACCGGGCCAGGCTGAGTTCGGGGCCCACTGCAAACTCCCCCCTGGGGGCAATGGCTTTCATGAGCTGGTTCACCACACGTTTCAATAAAGTCTTATTTAGTAATATTATTTGATAAATTCAGATTTTTTTTATTTATGCGGGGAATTAATGGAAACGCACCTCTCCGTTCTATTAGAGGAAAAATAAGATTCCAGTGAGAGTATATACACAAAAAATTATTTCAGGGGTATATATGAGTTTATTGTCAGGAGCATTTTTCTCATGCGTTTAAACGTTGCTTTCACCATTGTTTTGACACGTGCACTTCTGCACAAACTTTTCATGTAACCCAAAAAAGTAATACAATTTAATTTTTCCTTCGAACATAAGAAAATACATTTATGACAAGGTTAGGGACAATTATGAAATAATGTACGGCGATCGCTTGAAGTAGAGAAAACCTCTGCCGATAGAGGCTTTCCGATGTATGTCCATACGAGGGTATATAAATAAATATTTGGTAATTGTGTCATACGTTGTAATTTTATGGGTATTTACGGAATGCGGATTCTGGACGGAATTGTTTCCGAACCTTCATACACGTTGCCTTCTCCGGGGGGAATCGTCTCTCCAGCCGCCGGCCTCTTCGTGCTCTGGCCCGCAAGCGAAGTGTCTTCTTTTCCCACCTCGGCTACTGACTCTCCCCACCGCCTTCCTGAGGAGCTCTCTCTCTCTCTCTCTCTCTCTCTCTCTCTCTCTCTCTCTCTCTGTCTCTTTCTTTCTCTCTCTTCACCGAGGGTGGTGGGATCCATGGCCACTCTCCTCTGCCCCACCACGCCCCTGTAATCTACACCCCGTTCGGCTGCTGCCGCCACCGGTAGTTTCAGGCCCACCGTGATGCGGACAGCAGCAGCCGTCGCAGCCGGCCAGCCCACCTTGCCGTGAATATCGAACTGTGAATCAATCAAGAAAAAAAAATACAGGAGACAAAGGATCAAGGTAAAGGGAACGATGGTGGAGAGAGAGAGAGAGAGAGAGAGAGAGGAGCACTAGAAATGGTAGCATGTAAGTGACGGCAAAAGGGGAGCCGTTCTGAGACTGGCTTTTCGTTCTTTGTTGTCAGACGAGTAGAAGGATATTAGGCTGCCTCTCTCTGTGTCTCTGTGTCTCCGTGAACGAGAAGATTTGGGGGGTGGATTGCGGAGGGCTCATCCTCCTCATATCCCCGCGGTGTCTGTCTCCCTTGGATTCTGAGTTGGCCGAACGAGAGTCAGATTCTTCTCTATTTGGGATGAATTCGCTGGGCGCGGTGGGATTCTGAGCTCCGGGAAGTTCTGTTTCTGGCTGTTTGGACGGCAGGGGAGCGGATTTGAGGTCAGTTCCGCCGATTTCTGTGCTCCGTTCTGGATTGTCTTCCTGTTCTTGTGAGAATCTTAATTTCTTTTTCTTTTTACATTTGGAGATGGCTATTTTGGTCTCTTTTTTTTTTCCTATCGATCCCGCGTGTTGATGATCTCACTGTGATTCTGGTTCCGTAATTTGGGTGTTTAGGGTTCTTGGAGGAAGGCGATCGCGGGTAGAGAACTCTGGCCTTTGTTCTCTATAGACCCAGCGAGGCGAGGACCTCGTCTTCTTCCTCCTCCTCCTCCTCCTTCCCTCCTCAGCACGACTGCTGGACGTCTGCCACCGGATTCAACACCTCCATGGATGGGTATAATCTCAAGGGTCTGATCTTGTGTTAAGGTTTATGGATTGAAACGCCTCTCCATGAATCAGATTTAACTAGTTCGGATCGCGATCTTGAAGAACCCGGAGTCTGGTGAGCAAGTGTGGGACGGTGACGATGGAGAAACAGCTCTTCCGATCGGCGACAATGGACAAGCAGCAGAGCTCCTCCACCCGGGCACTGGAGAGGCATCAGAGCTTCAATGGGATAGAGAGGCCGAGGACTATTCGGTTCGGAGGGATGGAGAAACAGAAGAGCTTCCGAGTCGGGTTGCTGGAGAAGCAGCAGAGCTTCCGGGAGAAGAAGAACAAGGGGATTACTCAGAAGAGAGGGGATTCCCCTCTTCATCTGGCTTCTCGGGCAGGAAACTTGCTCCAAGTCAGGGAGATTCTCTTGGGTGGCGCACATAGCAGCCATCTGAATGCTCTGATATCTGCGCAGAACAACGACGGTGAGACTCCGCTGTATGTTGCGGCAGAGAACGGACACGTGGAGGTTGTTCACGAGATACTGCAGCAGTCTGATGCCCATTCAGCATCTCTCAAGGCGAAGAATGGCCTCGATGCATTCCACATTGCTGCCAAACAGGGCCATGTCGGTAAGGCCCTGGCACCCTGATTGATCTGAATGAAATTTGGCATCTAACACGTTTTGATCCACAGGAATATCTCGTTCCCCCTTTTTATGGGTTTTTTGGTACCCTGTGGAGTAGATTAAGTATTTTCTAATTATTTTTTTTGCTGATCCTTCTCTTTGCCGAAGCAATTCCTTTTTTATTTGACTAATTAATGTCTGTGTTTTATAGCCATTAACTTTTTGGGTTTTTAGCACACTTTTGTTTTGGTTTTTTTTTATAAATATTTTGGAATAGGTCCAGTCCTTTTATTGACTCATTTTTTTTTGGGTTTTTTAGCACACTGTGAAATGTCTTCTCTTTGTCGAAGCAATTCCTTTTTTATTTGACTAATTAATGCCCTGTGTTCAACCGCCGTTGACTCATGATTTTCCGTGTTTCCTGTGTTAACTTTTTTGGGTTTTCAGCTTTTTTTTTTTTTTTTTTGGAGTAGGTCCAGTCCTTTTATCGAGGCATTCCCTTTTTTCCTTGCCTGAGTTTATTGAATGATTCTATATTCGGAAATTGTTTGCTGTTTTCCAGTTTTCTTTTTTAGGCTTTTAGCATCCTTCGGGGGCGACCAATTATTTTTTCTGTTTTGGTCCAAAAATATGATTTTTGGCCCATATTTAATGTATTATTCTTGATTGCTTTCCTTGTTGGGTCTCTTGTCTCTTGGCCTTCAATTCAGTGCTATGCATGCTGTTCTTCCTGATTCATGATCGTATGCTAATCTTTCTCCTGTGGATTTCATGAGAGAATGTTACCTTTTTTTCTTTTTTCTTTTTTCAAATGAGGACTAAAATCAGCTATATTTTTAATTGATTTAATTTCAAACGATAATTGGGACAGTTATCATATCAGCTCCCTTGAAAAGTAAGTAGAAGAACACCCGATCTTCTTGGAAGTCTTCTCGCTGGTGTTGATCATCTTCTAGTCCGGTTTATGTGCGTTTCGATGCAGACCCAGGCTCCTCAGATGGGTTTTCCTTGTTTTGTCTATAATCGGCAAGAGGTTGACTTATTTTAGTCAGAGGTTTTTTTTTTTGGTCTTCTGGGGCTGTCCCAATAATCTGGGCTTCTAAAAAAAGTCAGACATTTGTGGTCGGGCATGCTGGTTATCCTTGTTTTGGTCTGAATCGGTAAAGGGTTGACTTCTTTTAAGCTCAAGATCTCCCATTTTTTTGGCGGTCTTCTAAAAAGGTCTGCATTCTCGAAGAATAAAAATAAAAATCAGCAAGAGGGTTGACTTTAGACTTATGCAGGTTTCCCTGCAGATATGGGGTTCTAAGGTATCAGAAATTTATGATCCGGCATGCAAGTTTTCCTTTGTTTGTCCTTAATAAAATAAGTGGTTGACGTTTTGGGCTTTTGGGCACAGTTTCCTTAATTTGACCTTAATCAAATAAGTGGTTGACTTCTTGGCTCAAAGTATTCCTCTTTTAGCCATATCCTAAGCCGATTGATGTGGGTCTCTCTTTTTTTGACTTGATTGTCGGTTCAAGCTCAAAGTTTCCTGTCTTGGCGATCTCAGATGTGTTAAAGGAGCTGCGCTCGTCATTCCCCGAATTGGCTATGACGGTGGGGCCCTCAAATGCGACGGCATTGGACACGGCTGCCTTCCAAGGCCACGTCGACGTGGTCAACCTCCTCCTGGAGACGGACGCCAGCCTGGCAAAGATCACGAGGAATAAGGGCAAGACAGCGCTCCATGTAGCGGCCCGGATGGGGCATGTGGAGGTCGTGAGGTCCCTCCTGGCCAAAGACGCGGGCATCGCCTTCCGCACTGACAAGAAGGGCCAGGCGGGAATCCACGTGGCGGTCAAAGGGCCGAGTTTGGAGGTGATCGCCGAGCTGCTGAAACTCGACTCCTCGATCATCAGCCTGGAGGACAACAAGGGCAACACCCCTCTTCACATTGCCACCAGCAAAGGCCGTGCCTTGGTTAGTCAACTCTCTCTCTCTTCAGTTCTTGTCTGATCCGGGGTTGACTAGTGATGCATTCAAAATTAGCTCCGCCATTTTGGGTGGGTTGTGAAAAATTGTTTCTTCGAAAGCCTCCGTTGACCTAGTTCTTCTGTTTGTTGTTGTTGTTGCATGCTCTCTCTCTTCAGTTCTTGTTGGATCCGGGGTTGACTAGTGGTGCATTCAAAATCAGCTCCCCCATTTTGGGTGGGTAGTGAGAAAATCGTTTCTTCGACAGCCTCCGTTGACCTGGTTCTTCTGTTTGTTGTTGTTGTTGCTGCATGCTCTCTCTCTCTCTCTCTCTCTCTCTCTCTCTCTCTCTCTCTCTCTTCAGTTCTTGTTGGATCCGGGGTTGACTAATGGTGCATTCAAAATCAGCTCGTCCATTTTGGGTGGGTGGGTAGTAAAAAAAGAAAAAGTGTTTCTTTGACAGCCGCCGTTGACCTGGTTCTGGATGCAGATGGTTCAATGTCTACTGGGCGTGGAGGGGGTCAACGTGAATGCATTCAACAGGGCAGGCGAGACGGCCTTCGACATCTCGCAGAAGTCGTGTGCGGGCAACGGGGAGATCCCCGAGCTGCTGAGGACGGCCGGCGGCGTGGCGGCGGCGGAGCACGAGAACCCGCCGAGCCCCGCCAAGCAGCTGAAGAGGACGGTCAGCGACATCAAGCACGACGTCCAATCCCAGCTGCAGCAGACGCAGAAGACCGGATTTCACGTGCAGAGGATCAAGAAGCGGCTGAAGAAGCTCCACATCGGGGGGCTGAACAACGCGATCAACTCCAACACGGTGGTGGCGGTGCTCATCGCCACCATCGCCTTTGCCGCCATCTTCACCGTCCCCGGCGAGTACGTGGAGTCAGAGACGGAGGGGTACTCGCTCGGAGAAGCCTACATCGCCACCAACGCCGCCTTCGTCATCTTCTTCGTCTCCGATTCGCTGGCGCTGTTCATCTCCCTGGCGGTGGTCGTGGTGCAGACCTCCATCGTTGTCATCGAGCAGAAGGCCAAGAGGCAGATGGTGTTCGTCATCAACAAGCTCATGTGGCTGGCCTGCCTGTTCATCTTCGTGGCCTTCGTCTCCCTCACGTATATTGTGGTCGGTCGCCGGAACTGGTGGCTCACCGTGGCGACCACCGTCGTCGGCGCCATCATCATGCTGACCACCCTCGGATCGATGTGCTACTGCATCATCACGCACAGGCTGGAGCAGAAGAACATGAGGAATCTGAGGAGGAACTCCATGAGCCAGTCTCATTCATTGTCCGCTCATGTCGATTCTGATTCAGACATACTCAACAGTATTTATGCTCTGTAGGGTTCCATGGACGGAGAGAGATCCGTCTGCCCTAACCCATTGCCGTCTCTCGCGGCCGCTTCAAAGTTTTGACTCATCAACGCATCACCTCCCCTCCGCCTGTCATTGATCATGCCGTCGTGTGTCCGTAAAATCTTGTGTAATTTGGTCGAGAATGATGCTCGAGGACAGGGAGAAATGGAAAGATGCACAGGATGCTGCTCTACGACGACGATCAAGGTTAAGTGTTCCTGAATGCTGTGTAATGCCATAGATGTTTGAATCGAAACAGATTGCAGATCCTACCACCTGTTGAAGTTCCTTTGAGTGGACGAACTTTGCTGTGTGATCGAATAATGAATGGAAGATGTATACGACAGATCCGATTGACAGCGTCAGGAACTCCGCCGAGAGAAATCCACCAGATTCCTCGAACAAGAAACGAGGGGAGATCGCACTCCGATAAAAAGGAGGAATGGAGGGAGGGGTAGGTTTTGATCTGTGACGAGGGAGGGGACTGTGGATGGGCCGGAATATCGTGAGCCTATATTAAAATGGGCCACATCGGCCCATTTAGGGAATTCCCCCCCCCGGTCGATCCCGGTTTGTCGACTGTCCGGTTCATCTTTGAAGGAGGATAAAATGGGAAAAGCACATGAGAGGGGGAATTGGAATTGGAATTGGATTAAGAAAAGAGAGGAAAAAAGAAAGCGTCTTTTTGTCTCGCCGTTCGTTCATATCTCCTCCTCCCCATTCCCCTCCCTCTGCTCTCTCTCTCTCTCTCTTCTCGTCTGGTAAAGGGTGCAAAAGAGAAGGAAAACGGGAGAAAAAGGGAGGTGGGAGCTGTGCCAGGATCCTCGAGGCAGCCGCTTATTCGCATAAAAAGGCGGGCGGTGGGAGGAATGGGTTCTCCGCTGAGGCTCCTCTCCATCGGTGGCGGCTTCTGCTCCACCTCCCCCTCCTTCCATGCCTCCTTCTCCTCCACCTTCCCCCGGGAGGACAAGGTGCTCGGGTTACCCGTCGTTTCCCGTCACTACAGGAGATGGGCCGAGACCAGCAGACCACGCGGGCGGCCGCAGAAGAGGCAGACGGTATGCTTCTCTCCTCCGTGAATGCTGTTCTTGGATGTGGGTTTTTCCTTCCTGGGGACCCTCGCCTCTCTCAATTCACCCTTAGTGTTTGGGTTCTCTGTTTCCCGAGAAGCTTGGCTATGAGGTGCCTCGCAGAGTTTGTTCATCTTGGATCTCTGACGGAGGCCATTTCCTTTTCTTGGATGTCGCCCCATGATTATTTCACCTGACTTATCCCCAATTTGATGAGCAGAATCACCCTTGGGTTGACATCTGACGACGAATTCTAGTTGCACTTATATAGGCCTAGTTCTTGTACCTGACATTATACTATGGAATAAAGGGTATAATATTTTCTAAATGATTCTGCCCCACTGCATGCTCTAGTTTCCTCTTCATCTAGAATACCAGCGTTTCTCCCGCTCTGTAACATGAATTTACAATATAGCTTGGTTTCTTCTGTGGGGGAAGAAAATTTACTATATTTAACGAAAATGGCTTCTTGAATCATGCCTTGGAATGATTATACTGTGAGAATGTTTGGTTTTTACTAATGATTTATTACCAGGGATGTTTTTTTTTTATGTGCTGGTGTAGTGGGTATGTGGGCCTGGGGGAGACGCCGAGATGTGCAGAAGTGAAGTAGAGAATGGGATGCGTATGTTTGGGTTCGATGAGGAGAACACTTCCCAGGTTCCTACCCAGGCGCAGTCTCTTGTTGAAGGTTCAAGCACGGTGGTGGTCTCAGAGTACAAGCCAATCCCCGACCTTGAATATTTGCAGGTTCATTGCCTCGGAATGTCCTTTAGAAATTTCTACCTTTGCTTTTCAGATGTGAGAAAATGCTGCATTTTCATAAATATCGATGCCGAATTTACAGCTGACTGCTTGATTACTTATAATGCATCCTTTTTATAATTTTTTTTTTTCCTCTAGTATAATAATAGGTGATCTAATTTCTCTAATGGCTAAATTTGGATTTAATTTATCTAATATATTTTTAGAATATTCATAATTATTTATGGGGTTGGGTTGTACTTGTGTATTTTTGTTTGTTTAAGCAGGAGTTACTGGCCATTCAGCAACAGGGGCCCAGATCGATTGGATTCTTTGGGACACGGAACATGGGTTTCATGCATCAGCAACTTATTGAGATCTTGAGCTACGCCATGGTGATAACTGTATGACGCTCTCACTTCATCTCGCCGTCTTTTGATCTTTTTGTCGCTTGTTTTCTGCCTCAGCAACGCATCATCCCTCACAGTGTGCCCCATATTTTTCTTCAGAAAAATCATATTTATACTTCGGGGGCCTCAGGAACGAATGCAGCTGTTATCAGAGGTGCTCTACGGGCTGAGAAACCGGAGCTTCTCACCGTAATTTTGCCTCAGAGCTTGAAGATGCAATCACCTGAGAGCCAAGAGCTGCTCTCAAAGGTAAGATTAGCTTCGTCAGTTTAGCAGGTCCCATGGTGAAACTTTGCCTGGAACTTGGTTTTCCAAGAAATAGTCGATTATTATGTGGATGTGAAGCTTGGGATAAGGATCCTATCATCACCTCTATTTTTCTCTTTTTTCTCTAAAATTTTAGTCGAAACGAGTGGTGGATTTCTTGATATTTCTCATCTTGGATCTTGGAAGGGTATCTGAACCTGTATGAAAGTTTATTGCTGAAATAGATACTCTTTTTTTTTTTTTTTCATTTGCAGCCCATCACATTTTCTGCCCGAAGCGTGTTTGTATGTAAAGGCTCAATTTTTTAATCCCATTTAGTGTTGATCTTTTTTATTCTAATATATCCGCTAAAAATGTAAATTTCAAACGTTAATAGAAGCATATAATCCTAACATAACATTTGTCATTATAAGCATTTATTGAAGGATGTAAACCTGAAATGCCTGCCGTTCTGCTGCCCTTTCTTCTCTCATTTTGTTTGGCCTAGCATATCTTCTATTTTAAGTATTTCAGAAACAACTGGCATTTATCTTTGGATTTTTATCACTTATTTTTTTTTTTTTTTATGTACACAACGAGATCATTAATATCCTACGAGATTCAGCTTCATCTTACTTCGACCATTCTATAAAAAAGCCAGAAAAAATCCAACGAAATTATAAATTATTCCTAAATTGGATAATCTGTCTTGTCAGAAAATTGCGATTTTTGAACCTTAATAGGCCCTCACTCGGAGTCTTTTTGTTATTTTTTTTTTCTATTGATGAATGGCATACTATCTTTTATATTACTTGATGTCCAGCTTCATCTTGTTTCCACCATTTAATGAAATCCCGTTCGGACCAAGATTTTTTTTTTTAACTCAAATTAGAAGTTATGGAGACCATGAATATCTCCCTTTGACTCAGTTAAGATCCTTCCATTTTCTCAGGTCAAAAATCTGGTGGAGAAGCCCCAGAACGACCATCTGCCATTGATCGAAGCCAGCAGGTTTATTCATATGCATTTCAGTTTCATCAATGCTTTGACCCATCCCTTGTGGGCAGCACGCTGACGGGGTTGGTGGTGAACAACAGGTTGTGCAACATGGACATCATCTCGCACGTGCAGCAGGTGATCTGCTTCGCATTCCATGACAGCAGGCTCCTAATGGAAACGTGCCAGGAAGCGAAGAACCTGAGGAAGATCGTCACCCTCTTCTACCTGGACTGACCACACCCACCCCCCCCCCCCCCTCTCCCTGGCTCTGTTTTCCCCATTTTATTTTATTTTTCCTTTTTTGGTTTAAAAAAGTGTAGTGGTGAATATGATTATTCATTTGATTCTTGATAGGAAGGCGAAGGAACATCGACTGTTCATACTGTTCCCATGTGAACTCCGCGTGTATAAATTTCTGGGCTTCCCCACGGCTACTTTCCAGAATTAGAAGCGTTCTTCTTCATGTCTGAGGGCTCATTGGCTGGTTTCTCTGGGTTAGTTTGCTCTTCAGAGAAGGAAGAACAGAGGCATATGAATGAGAAATGGGCTCCTTATATATGGATTTCCATAGAATAATTCAGGGGGATCCATTCACTTCCGCAAATGGAAGCTGAGAGGGATCGGGGGAGTAGGCAGAGGGTCACATCCTGAAGGCCCAGAAAAGGAAAGAGCCGTTCTATACAGAGAAAATTGTAGATATGTGCAGGAACTCTTGCACAGTGCCGGGCCATATGCTTCAGAGAGCCATCCATTGGAAATGGGAGGGAGAAGCCAAGGCTTGCTGTGCTAGGGCTTTGAAGGGGTCGGAGAAGATGGCGGCTTCAAGTCTGGGTACTGCATCCACCAGATCAAAGATTTACAGGGAAGTAGAGAAATCCCAGTCAGGCAACTTCAGGATCTTGTTCTCAGAAGAAAGCTGATTTAAAAGGGAAATAATCTAGAAACTCTTCACAAAAAGGAGAGCCTTTTTTTTTTTCTTCAGTATTGTACAATCTACCACTTTGATAAGTGTGAAAAAAAAGGGAGTGACCTAGATGCCTCTGGGAAGCTGCCACTTCAGGATCTTGCTCTGAAACCAAAGATAAGTTTTTTTTATGCGCTAAACCTACCATTTTAGTGGGAAATGATATAGAAAAGATTCACAAATCGGAGAGCCTTTGTATATGTTCTTCAGGAAATGTAAAAAAATCTACGATGTAAATAGGTATGACAAAAATTTGAACATCAATACTTCTGGGCAGCTACCGCTTTCAGGATCTTTTGCATGATCACTGATGATCGAGAGACTGATGGAGGCTGATGTGTGTGCTACTAATGCTAGCTATCCATCCCTTTCAGACTACATGCTGAGTTCGTTTCAATGTCTTAGATGCTATTCGGATTCATAAATTCTCACTGGTGGGCCAAATTTTGTCAATGCTTTAAAAAAATGACTAGACTGGGTAGTATTCATTAAAAATATCTAAAAAAGTCAGGCATTCAAAGACTAGTGAGTTTAAATTTTATGAATGCTTGAAGAAAAGGACTAAAATGGGCAGGATTCATTAAAATTTTCAATATATCAAAAAAAATCAGGCATTCAAAGATAATGCTTACATTTGGGTATGGTGATGAAGATCTTGGTGAAGACTGCCCCCTTTCCGAAGCTTCTCCCTGACCCTTCACCTGCCCGTTCTCCCCAACTTGAGGCCTCTCTCTAGAAGTCTTTACCTGGTCATTACTCTCGTAGCCATTGCTCCCCCTTTCGCCACTGATACCACCTTCACCCCAGATCGTCTTCTTTCTGGGATAAACGTGGACAGAAGGTGGAAGAAGGGTTTCTTGTATTGCCTGACAGTTGAACGAAGCAATCAATTAATTTGATCTACCCGGTACAACTGGATTTTGACAAAAAAAGGAAATTTAAATGATAGAAATATTTTTAGTATCTCTCAACCATAAGATCCTTGGATTCATTCCATACTAGAGAACTATCTAACCTGCCATCCTTCTTTGCCTCTTACACCACCTTTGATGGCATATGCTTCTTTGAATCCATTCTTGACCAACAGTTCGGCTACTTTCAGAGAATCATCATCGAAGCTATCTTGCACAAGAGAAATTATACTCAGAGATGAAGAAATAATAAGAAGAAAAAGAGAGCCCATGTGAGGAGAGGAACTGAACTCAGAAGACTAATATGAGTCCGTCGAGTGGGGGGACAGATCCCAATCGATTGCCTCCTACGTGATTTTCAGTACAGATTTATAGTGAATCAGTATGAAGCTCAGAATGAAACAGAGTGTCTTTGATCAGAATTGGTGGAAAGGAAGTGCAGCAATGGATCGTTGAGAGGTCATCGGAGTTTCCCTTACTTGTCAAGAACACACACAACGGTATTGGATGGATCTCGGAGATTCTTCAAGACGTTCTTCACAAAGGCTTCTTCCCGTCCCTCCGAGAATTCGGTCTGAACAGCAATCTTGCTCAGACTCTTCAGATTAGGCGAGTCCAGAAAAGCCCGACTCTGCTCCTTCCGGATGTCGAGCAGCTGGCAATTCGGGTCGTCCTTGAGCTTTCGGAAAGCATCGATGGCAGAAATGCGTTTGTACTTCTTCAGATACTCCCGGGCGAGGGGTACGAGCACGAGCCACAGGAAGGTGACCCCGGCGACGAAGAATGGGTACCGGTTGAAGAAACTATCCACGGATTCAAGAATGGCCTCTACATTAATCTTATCTGAGACCTGTTCAGCATCGGAAGCAAGAGAAGGAAGGGGGAAAGATACTGCTGACATTACAGACAGCTGAAGCTGAAGCTTCAGAAAATTCCTAACGAGTAAATCCCGGTTCGGGATGACCGCGGAGCGACCCGACCTTCTCGTCGAAGCGTGTTCTTGGAGAAGATTGGAACAACTGGTAGCGTTAGAGTTGGGACGTAAATCCGGCATTCGGGTGAGCCGATTCCGGAGGAGATTCGAGCGACTGGAGACGGATTTAGGTGTCTGGAACGGAATGGAGAATACACTGGCATCGGCATAAGCGGCGAAGAAGCGATCTGGAAGGGGAGAGGCAAGACAGCGCGCATGAAGGGGTCTGGACCTTAGGGTTTTGGGCTGCTCTAGGCGTGGCCGAAGAGCGGACGAAGGCTTAGTAGCAGAGAGGAGCTCCATTTGCAGAGGGAGGAGCAAGAGCAGGAGCAAGAGGATAATGGGGCAGAAAAAGGAGTTAATTATCCTGGTAAAAACCTAAATGTTCTTTATACCCCTCTTTTAGAGTTCTGTTATCATATAAAATAGTTTATAGTGTTTTTTTGTTAAAATACTGCCAGTTGAAGAAAAATAAAAAATAAGAAACAGGACTTAAGGGCAAATGACACATTTCACATGGTTCAGTTCTTACGAAGGCCTGACTGAGCTGCTGGTCTTCTCCTCCCTCGTCCGGCCATGGAGTGAGCAGAGACTTGCAGAGGAAGGAAGCCTCTGATGGATGCTCGCTCTCCGGAGAGGTCTTGGCCTCGCTCCAGCGAAGAATTCTTCCTCCTCGAGGGAACGAAGGGAAGGTCTATTTCGTTTATCTGTTTCCCTCTTTGCTTTCTCGGGATGGTCCTCAGCTTGATCTTTGCCGGACATGCGGCCTGATCGCCGCCATGGATAGAAGCGGGAGGCCGAAGAACCGGACCGTCCTGGAGGCGTTTGCTGAGTTCGATCCGTCCAACGGCGCATTTCTCTCCTCTGCTAGTTCCCCTCTTGTTATCTGCTCGCTCACTGTTTCTACCTCGCCCGACGGTTCTGAAAGCCAGATCTACGTGGGAACCCTTGGCGGCTCGATACTCTTGCTTTCGTTGCTATCTTCGTCGGCCGCTGTGCCTTCAAAACAGAATGGACTCCGCCTCGACGGGGATGCCGGCGAAATGGGCCGTTCCGATGCGTCGTCCCCGGCGAATATCGAGGTCGTGCAGTCGGCTTCAGTGGGGAGGTCTCCTGTCGAGGTGATTCAAGTTTTCCCCGAGGTTGGCAGGCTGATCGTGCTCTCGGAGGGTTTCCTTTTCTTGCTGGACGTCCTCTTACTACAACCCGCACATAAACTGGCTATAAGTGGGGCAACTGCACTTTCGAGGAGGTTGGTTTGCAGTGACTTGGCGAGTTCCGATCCACTGGGATATGTCGCGTCGAAGTCGGAAAAGTTTGGGGCCGGGCAAAGGTTCCTTCAGAAACTAGGGGGTGGGAACAGAGCCAATGGTGTGACATCGAAGGTTCATGTGGGGCAGAGAGCAGGAGAAGTCAATTGTTTTCTTGCTGTCGCTGCAGGAAGGAAACTTGTTTTGTTGGAGCTCAGCTTGGGGGAGGGTACGAACAGGGACACAAGGGAGTATGGGGGCGTCTCTGTTTTGTCGAAGGAAATTCTAGGCGTTGAAGGGGTCAGAACCATAGCATGGCTCGACGATTCAATAATTATTGGTACCACTGGTGGCTATGCTCTGTTCTCTACAGCCACAGGACAGAGCACTCCTTTATTTTCACTACCTGAATTCTCTGGACCTCCACAACTGAAACCCTTATTCAAAAGTAAGGAGGCACTTCTTTTTGTGGACAACGTGGGTATTGTCGTTAATTCGTTTGGTCAGCCTGTGGGAGGAAGTTTGGTTTTCCAGCAGTTCCCAGATTCCATCACGGAAGTCCCACCATACATCATCGTTTCTGGAGATGGTTGGATGGATTTGTACCGGAAGAATACTGGTATTTGTGTCCAGTCAGCCTCATATCCAAAGGGTAATGGTAGGCCTTGTCTTGTGGCCGGTGATGATCCGGGTTGTGGACAGCTTGTTGCGGTGGCAACGCCATTTAAGGTCAAACTTTGGTCACGATGTTCTGTTAAGGAACCGTACTCTATGTTAAATTATACATCAAGTATCATTTTACCTTTGCGTTCGAAACATTTTCATGGTTAATACTTCATGTTCTCATATTGTTCTTGAACTTCGAAAGAGGATGACGTGGTTCTGGAAGATGCCTGTTTTTACCCTAAGTGAGAAGTATACCTGCCATTAAATAATCTAAAAGAGTACGCTCTTAGGAAAATGAACGATTCTACTATCTATTGTGTAAGATGTCCCTTACACGAGAAACTATATCTGGATGACATATAAGCCACCCCAAAAATATATCTGGATCTGCTTGAAAAATCTCGCTACTAACTTTTTAAACCCTGTCAAATGTGTCATTAAAATCTTATCTTCAATCTTCCGGAGATCTAGCTCACTTGATTTTGTACCTTATGTTCTGGTTGTCCTCGTGAGTCAGCAATCTGAAGGTAAGGCTTAGTCAGTTTCTAGCTATTATCGTTCCCCAATAAGGCTAGATGCTGCCTGAGACCAGATTTCATTGATCGCCAAGAAGCCTAGTCAATTAACGAAAATATTTTTTGAGAAATTTTATCTTCTTGATCCACATCTCTCGAGTTATTTCAAATGTCATTGGGTTCTCCATTAACCAAAATGGAAATGCAGGGTGTAGTCATACTTCCACATCCCCCTCGTTTATCAGGTTATTGAGTAATTACCTCAGGTAACTACCTTATTTGTTCTCAGATTACGGATAGAGTATCGACTCCAGCATTAGGCTCCAGCGTTTGTCAGTTGCTGCAGTGATGGGATTAGTTCTGACCCTGGAAACGTCAGTCGGCTACACTAGAAAAACTTTTCTTCCATTCATAAACTTTCTGTAGAGCAGTCGTTTTCGTAATGATATTTTCGGCAAAAAAATTAATAAAACTTCGTTGACTGAAAATATTTTCTAAAATTTATCAGCTGGAGCTAAAGATGCCATGATTCTATTATCATTTCTTGACATGATGTTTTTTCCTTTTTAAGTGATTGTGGTTTCGTTCATCCAAGTAAAGAAATTTTATCATAAAACAGATCAAACAGTAGACATTACCTTGCGGATAGAAAATATGAAACAAGTTGAAGTGCTTCTGCTTCTTTTACAGCTTTCGAAGACACCTGGAAGAAGAGGGAATGTTTATCCATTTTATTAATTATGGGGGTGGGGCAGGATGAGGTTATCTTGGATGAAAGTGATTTGAGTGCCGTCATAAGATCTTTGATACCTCTGTTGCACAATTCTGATGGCAATTCAGTGTGTCAAAATAAACTTTTATGTATTCATTAATCCGGAACATTTTATTGCGGAGTGTATTGTTTTGAAATTTACTTATTATCTTTTACAGGTGATCTGCTTTAACATAATTTCTGCGGAAGAACAGATTAAAGAACTTTTGAGAAAGAAATATTTCAAGGAAGCTATCTGTTTGGTTGAAGAATGTGAGTCTGATGGTGAGATGACAAAGGAAATGCTTTCCTTTGTTCATGCTCAAGTGGGCTTCTTATTGCTTTTTGACCTGCATTTTGAGGACGCAGTAAATCATTTCTTGCTTTCGGAGACTATGCAGCCATCTGAGATCTTCCCGTTTATAATGCAAGAGCCTAATCGTTGGTCGACGTTGGTGCGTTTCACATTCACCACACATACATCCATATGCTTTTTGTTTTAGTTTACTTATGGCAAATATGTTGAAATCAGAAGTATCTGAAAATTGAAAGCAGTTGTGCGAATTGTTTGCCTAGATCTTCCAATTTCTTAGCTTTATGGTTCTGCATATAATAAAGCCCAATGACAGGTACTGGCTCCTGTATTGAAGGGCTGTCAGTTTGCTTTATTGAATTCTGGATTAGTAGAGCCGATAGAGACTGATATCAGGCAATCAAATGTTAAATTGGGAACTTGCTATCGATGTGTTGCGATGATTATCCTGCTAGGGTGTGCAAGTATGCTATGACTTGTCTCTTGTGTTCTGTCCACAAAGACAATGTCATATTGACTCAGTTATTCGTTTATTGATTCAGCACGTATAGAACATTGTTATCTCCCCCTGCTTTACTGTTGTTGCGATGTTCTAATGAATGTGAGATAGAATGATATCTTGTAGTAGTTGATACATTAGTTGGCTGTTCAATATTTCATTCGGTGAACAACTTTAATATGAGTTGCATAAATAGTGCGCTGCATGTGTTCGCAGTTTTTCTCACAAGGTTCCGCTAAGAAAAAACCACCTTGATTGTGTTCTTCTTTGTGACTGTTAATCCTCTTCTTTCATTTTCTTTATGTATATATGTTTTAGTTTGTCAAAATATATGAATATACTTCATGTTGTAGGTGCCCAGGAATCGCTATTGGGGATTGCATCCACCTCCAGCACTCCTTGAAAATGTGGTTGACGAAGGTTTGGCAGCAATTCAACGAGCAGTTTATCTGAGAAAAGCGGGTATAGACACCACTGTAGATGAGGATTTTCTTTTAAATCCTCCCAGTAAAGTTGATTTATTGGAATCGGCCATTGAAAATATCATCAGGTTATTATACACATCAGTTTGAGAAATAGTGCAATAGTATTCTGTTTCACAATATCTGATCTTTCTTGAAGTTATTTGATTACATTAAATATTTTGCGTTCTTTCAGAAACCGTCATGCAAACTTTCACCTTTGAAATTTAGGTACTTACTTGTTTCCCGGGACAAAGATATGAATCCTTCAGTTAAGGAGGGTGTCGATACACTTCTTATATACCTTTATAGAGCTCTTAATCATGTCGATGATATGGAGCATCTGGCATCTTCCCAAAACAGCTGTGTTGTGGTACGTGTTGCTTAGCAGTTTCTCTTTATATTTTGGATCATCTGGGTTTGTTGAATTATCTTGGTAATTAAATGCCTCAAGACTTTGGACTGTGTTATGGACAATGACGAACAGACACTATTTTTTCATGTTCTAAAATGAAGCGAATTATTAGAAGCTGCTAGAATAATGATGTTGCAATTTTCTTGGCTGCAGGAGGAATTAGAGACTTTGTTAGTGGACTCTGGGCATTCAAGGACACTTGCCTTCTTATATGCAAGCAAAGGCATGAACTCAAAAGCTCTCACAATCTGGCGCAAATTGGCGAGGACTTACTCAGCTGGCCTGTGGATAGATCCTGCCACAGTGCATCTATTCTCATCTCAAAGAGCTGCAGCCCTTGAAGCATCAAAGCTGCTAGAGGAGTCATCTGACCAGCACCTTATTCTACAACATCTTGGATGGGTCTGTAAGCCTTTTTGAATATGTATGGAGATGCTAATGATCTATTGATTTACCTTGGCTCGGCTGATGGTATAAGCATTGTCAACTTTCCCCCTTGTAGATTGCTGATGAAGACCCAGAACTTGCGGTTAGAATTCTAACGTCAGAAAGAAGATCCTGTCAACCTGCACCTGGTTATTCTCCTTCTTAGTGTGTTGTTCATCTTTGAAAATTAACATCACACACCGTACTCGCTTCAATAATTCTAATAAGAGGTTACTCAGGCTACATAAACCTTGGATTTAATTTAATATACGATATTGGAGTGCTTTCTTGAATGTTTACTAATTTTGAAGATTCTGGATATATAGATATTAGATCTATTTTGATCTGTTCAAGTGTTTTGCAATTAATTTACACGACCTCCTTCTCTGAAAAATAAACAGTATTTTTATATTTCATTAAATACTCTGAGTGGTGACTGCTTCTATTTAAACATCTATCCAATATAGATTGCTTATATACTTTAATGAACAGATGTGGGTGGCAATGTCAAACGGTGTCAGCATGACCACTGATGCACTTCGATTATGGATAGAAAAATCGATTTTAATGTGATTTTCATGTCTGCTGCAGAGGAAGTGCTTGCTGCGATCGATCCCAAAAAGGATGACATTCGCCAGAGGTATTGACTGCTTATCTGTGAGTCCCTTTTTTTTTCCTTCCTGGCAGGGTGTTCAAGTTATTATCAATTTTTTGATAATCCTTCTTTAGTAACGTTTTAGGATACAGTGGTTGCCTCTTCCTTCATACAGTTCCACATTTGCTGTTGATTTTTACATCAGGAGTTTATGTTTCTGAGCTCAGTTTTATAAAGAAGCGGAAATAAATGTCTAATTATAGGTTGGAAAGTGAAAATGGGGATAAAATTAGGGCTTCACTACGGTTTTGGGGGCTCAAAATTAGGAAGTGTTTTTTTTTTGGGAATAACGAAATTGGGTGCAAAATGCTAGTGAGAGACTGAAGATCTGTGATCAATGCATTGAAGCTGCTCGCGTCAAAAGTTCAATGCAGAGATCTTCAACGCTCTGACCATGCTTATATCTAGGGATATGGATAGTCTTCGGGGTCACTTTAGGCCCCTTAGGCCATACCAATATCCATTTTGAGTCGCGGGTTAAAACTTGACGTCAATATCCTTCTGGCAAAAGTTTTACATCCGAAAAAGGAGCCCTATGAAATAAGCTAATAATTCGAAATAAGAAATACAGGGTTGTCGGAAGAGAGCTGTATTTGATCTGGCAGTAGACAAGTCACAAGAGCCAGATGGGTTCCCTCTTATCTTTGCTAGGATTCATGGGTAGTGATGAAATAAGATCTTAAAATATGAAGTTCTGCAAAGGTTGTGATGCATTCCCTTGCAGGCTCTAAATAAGAACTTCTTGGTGTTGATACCAAAGAAGGTAGGAGTAGATTGGCTTCAGACTTCATCCCTGTTTTTGCGTTGGTCAGGGCATATACAATTGTGTAGCAGTGTTTGAGGTTTTTGTTAATGAGATGATTAGCCACAATCAGAATGCCTGTTTGAAGGGATCACAGATTCAAGAGAATTTTGCAGTTGATATGAATGTATACATGCGCGGAAGAGCATAACATAAGAGAGGATTGTTTGCCAAGCTTGGGCATTAGGAGGTTGATGATGAGGTGAGATGGGATTGTGTTAATACATAAGCTACGAGGAGACAATAACTCCTTAAAAGCATGATTTGAAGGATGTGCCTGTTTCGGTGGTAATTAGTGTGGTACACGATCCCATTTCAAGGGGAAAGTTGACCCGGGCTGGAAAATTGGAGAGGCCTCCTTGGTCCTTGCAGGAAGAACCAAAGAAGCAAGGAGAGGAGGAAAAAAAGGTTAAGAGATGAGGAAGGTGCACTCTGCGGGGGGTGGAGAAAGAAGAGACTGTGGGGAGTGTGGGATTATGACAGTTTATGTGTATCTGCATTACTTATTTCAGTAAAAGTATTCATCTCTAGCATGCTCTGCAGGGTTTGCCCATTTCGATTGGATTTGTTGGTGACCAATCCCTGCTCAGGTGGGGAAAGCCTGATTCTCATGAAAATTAACTGAGAAAAAAAACTGAGCTCTATTCCTGGATGCATTTTCGATGCATTAGATTCGCTATATGATGGGCACAGAATCTGAATCATCTCACCTCGTCCAAATACGAAAATTTTAGACATGAATTACTCGGTTTTATTGCATTATTTTTTATGAAGTTTTCACTGCCAGTATTTATTGTTAATTACATACTTTTCAAACTCATGCAGATATCTGCAATGGTTGATTGAGGATCAAGACTTTGATGACCCTCAGCTTCACACTCTCTATGCCCTCTCTCTTGCCAAGTCGGTGATAGGAAGCACTGAAAACGATGGCACAATTGAGACAAGAAGGTTGAGTGAGATGAATGTCATTGATGCCGGAGAGGGGAGCATAAGAGAGAGATTGCAGCTTTTTTTGCACGGGTCAGATTTATATGATGCAGAAAAGGTTCTCTATGTGATCGAAGAAACAGAATTATGGCTGGAAAAGGTTAGGCATAGTCATATTCAAAAACCTTTCCTTCTATGCATGATTAGTGGTCATCGTTTGTATGCATGATTTAAACGATGTCTTGAGCACAACATTATAAACTTGAAATGGAACCCTATAACTAAAAGCTTTAGGCTAAGATTAGCTACACCTGTTCTTCCTTGCAACTATCATAATATTACTTATTTCATGTTAATTTAGAAGTCCCTGGAAGCACTTAGACTATCAGTATCATTACTTATTTCATGTTCATACTTGTTCATGTATTCTTACATTGCAATCTTGTAGAAGTACTTAGACTATCAGTATCATATATGAATCATATTCTTTTTTAGGCATGAGGAAATATAGATTTCTACTATTTCTACTATTTCTTGGTCACTGATCAAGCAATAAATGCCCTGAAATATTATGATGCAATAACTGGTCCACCAGGGGCCTGCTACACATCATCTTTCAGGTCCTAGAATTAAGTAAATTAATAGGGTTTTAGTCGATGTTTTCTTACTACTGCATACCCCTCATTAAAAACATCGTCTAAACATAAATCATAAGAATGTTTATGATAATGTATGTCTGTTTTTGTCGCATATTACTTCCATATCTGTTTGTGTAACTCTGCTTTCCATGGCAGGCGATCCTCTACCGGAAGTTGGGGCAAGAAAACTTAGTTCTGCAGATTCTGGCCCTGTAAGCTTCCTCATCCTCAAAGGCCACGCATGCTTGTTCATATGATTAGGGAGATCAGAAAAGTATATGGAAAACTGATCTGATCAATTAGGCCTAGGCCTAGATTTTTTTTGCTATATAGATCTAAATTTGGGTGTTTCATCTTATTTAGAATAATTGGTCCTAATCAAGCAGCAATAATGGAATTAAATAGAAAACCCTAGATTTGACCCCTACGGAGGGTCCAAATTTAGGGGCTTCATCTTATTCAGAGTAATAGACCCCAATGAATTATAACCCAAACGCTTGATTTGACCCTATAAATGATGATTTATCTTATCCATTGATCTTAGTCAAGCGTCTATAATGCATTTATCGAAAAATTCCCTCAACTAGCAGATATGATATGCTGCCAATCGTGCCGTTGGTTGACTTCTGTCGTGCCACAAATGGGGATGCTCCTAGTTGACTTTCGTACATGCCCTTTCAGGAAGCTAGAGGACAGTGAAGCCGCAGAACAGTACTGCGTGGAGATTGGCAGGGCTGATGCCTTTATGCAGTGAGTTGACCTCTGTTGCGCTCTTTACCATCCATGGACTTGAGATGACAGCTCAGCACGTTCCCCGTCTTCTTCTGTCCACCCCTCAGGCTCCTGAAACTCTACCTGGACCCCGAGAATGGGAAGCAACCCATGTTCAAGGCCGCGGTGCGCCTCCTCCACAGGCATGGCGAATCTCTGGATCCTCTGCAGGTGCTGGAGGTACACATTCCTGCTGAATTTAGAAGGGCCCTTGTTTGGGCAGGATCGGTCAATCAGGGCAATCTGATCCCCGATTTGGAAAGGATCAGACGGCCATCGTTGGGTGAAATTATTTTTGAAGAGTAATAATAATCCCCCAATATTCCACCAAGAATCCGCATCTGGGTTCATCTTCATCGTTGGTTTCCCTGAGATGGGTTGCTTGTTGTGGCAGAGACTTTCTCCAGACATGCCTCTGCATCTGGCCTCCGAGACCATACTGAGAATGCTGAGGGCTCGAGTCCACCACCATCGCCAGGGGCAGGTAAACCCTCCAGAGCTCTTTCTATGGGGGGAAACCCGTCTCGGCAGGGCCAGTTGTAGTAATAATAGAAAGGTGGTGCTGCCATGTGGCATGTGGGCCCCACTTGGTATTTTTTGGCGTTGACTTTGATGCCCGTTGTATGATTTATTTGATTGAATGGTCTATTTTTGGCCTAGTAGGTAGTTTCCAAGGTCTCCCATGCTCTGAAACTGGAGGCGGAGCTGGCGAGGCTGGAAGAGAGGTCCAGGCATGTGCAGATCAATGACGAGAGTATCTGTGACTCCTGTCGGACTCGCCTCGGCACAAAACTCTTTGCAATATATCCTGATGACTCCATCGTATGCTACAAGGTACTCTCTCTCTCTTTCTCTCTCTCTCTCTCTCTCACACACACACACTCTTTACTCTATACATATCTCTATATAAATCAGTATCCTTCTTTTTTCTCCATACATTTCTCCCCTCTCTCTCTCTCTCTATATATATATATATATATATGTATTTCTCTATATGTGCATCTGTCTATCCATCTATTATCTCTCTCTGGAACTTTCGGTCATGAGTTAATCTTCTCGTGTAGTGTTATCGGCGTCTAGGGGAGTCGATCTCAGCAAGGGGCCGGGACTTCACACAGGATATCATATTCAAGCCGGGGTGGCTTGTGAGCAGGAGCCCTTGATGAGAGACTGACTCTTCACCCGAATAACTGAGTACTCCTCCCTGCGCCATAGCCATCACGAGAGCCTCGCTGGTAGCACGCCTAAAAAAGGGCTTTCCTAGAAGAGGGACGGGCATCCTTCTCCTGTATAGAGTGAACGGAACCTCCTCTGATCAGGTTTGCTCCCCCCACCCCACGTTCAACTGTTCTTCTTTCCGATCTAACCTGCTGATTTTTATTTTTATTTATTTTTTTATTATGCCTTTGAGCTTTGCAGTAATGAAACCAGTGATGAGATGCATTGTAAATTCTGGTGTTCTGACTTGTCACTCTCTTGCTCTCTCATTCTATCAATGAAGAAACTTTGGATTTTGAATTTCTCCACCCTCTGTCTGATAACAATCAAAAAATTGCAAGTCAAATCACACCCTTTGAGAGAGAGCGAAACTTAGGGTTTTGAATTTCTCCACCCTCTGTGGCCTGCGTGTGTGTGTGTGTAGAGAGAGAGAGAGAGAGAGAGAGAGAGAGAGAGAGAGAGATGGGTAGATGAATAGAAACCACTTACTGCTTGGAAGGAACAGTCATTGCCTTTTCTTCAGAGTGCCATGAAACAGAAATTGGGACAAGGAGAGGAGGAAGAAGGGGGGGGGTTCAGAAGTCCCACCTTTTCTTGACCCGGAACATGAAGAGAGGGTTTAGGAAATCATCTTGGGGAGCTTGGACCATCAACTGGACCTTCATCTTCATTGGCGCCACCTTCGTCTTCCCGTCCTCATCCCCCACCTGAAACAGCGTTTACTCATCAACACCTACTCCCCAAAGATGAACAAACCTACTGAAATATGAGACAGAAGAGAGAGGGAGAGAGAGAGAGAGATGCATTAAGAACTGGGTCAGACTAATTTTCATTAATTAAGGGAGAGAGAGAGGGAGATGGATTAATTTTGAGTCCAGAGCCTGGAAAAAGAAAGAAGAAGAGCAGCCTGACGGGTGTTGAGGCCTTGTTTACTCTTGCATTTGGGGAAGTTATAACGCAGAAATGAACAAAGAACAGAAGGCAGATAGATAATACTTGCAGTTTATAGAACATTTGGAAGTTTATGACGCCTAGGGGGGCCTACAGTTGTTGATTTTCTCAAGAGTTTGAAACATGGATCCCACAAGCATATTAAATTGAGGAAGAAATAAAGTACTCGGCGGAGATAATCAATCTGACGAGAAACTCAAAATCAATTTTTTTATATATTTTATCCACAGTTAATGATTTTCTCGAGAATCCGGAGAATGGATGCCATATAAGCATAAAAAATTCAGGAAGAAATCAAGAACAATATCATGACATATCTAGGAAATGGAGGGTCGATCTGACAGGAAAGTCAAAATCATATTTTTTTTTTTTTCAAGAACAATTCTAGATCTGACATATCTAGAATGGATGCCATATAAGCGTAACAAATTCAGGAAGAAATCAAGAACAATATCATGAAGTATCTAGGAAATGGAATGTCGATCTGACAGGAAGCTCAAAAACATGTTTTTCATTTGCGTTGACAAAAATTATTAGAGTTTGGGAATCTTCATAGCTCGGTTTGAGGTTCCTCACCCAAAGAGACGCCCACCCAAGTCGCACCTCTGAGTCATAACCAACCTTGAGCTTCACATTCTCGCCAATAGTCCGCTTGTACACGGCATTGAAGTCATTGGAGTGAAAATGATAACAATAGCTGAGAACGCAATGGCCATGTTAGAGAGAGAGAGAGAGAGAGAGAGAGAATTGGAGTGAACCAAAGATTTTATGATCTCCATATCCTTGGGCTCACTCCAACCAGATCAATTTCACAGTGCTCATCAAAGATTTTCTCTGCCATTTTAGTGATTTCTGAGAGCGATACATCTAGATATATCTTTACACTCAAATCAGTCAACTCTAGACGGGCTCTCTGGAAATTTGGGAAGGCCATCAGGTATGCACTCATAGTAGAACAAAAGGGGGTAGCAATCTCAATCTGTTGACTATAAATGTAATTAAACCGTTGAACCCGGAATAGGAAAGCAGGAGCTTCAACCCATCTCCTGGAACAGGGAAGCACAAAGATAGGAATAATGGCTTCCTCTGCAAGATAAAGACTTTTCTGCTATTGTGGACGTGGTCGCTGGGTGATGATGGATCGAGTAATTGATTACTATGAACGTTACAGGAGGAATTCTTGGCGCACCTTAATTTGTCTGAAGGGCTGAACTGTCGTTTGAATGTCATAGAGACCGCATTGTAAGGCAGAGAGATCTCCGGGATGAAAGTCATTTGCTCATCCTGCAAGTGGAGATGTCATTTTTTTTTCTCAAAATATTATATATATATATATCTAGTAAGGTTTTTTGGAGGCCAGAAAATAAAAAATAAAAATAAAAATGAAAAGCTTCAGATCTAACCTTGAAGCAATATCTCAGTTTCAAGTTTTTATCAGAATATCTTTCCTTCAAATTTGTATCCTCATACTGTGCAGTGCACACACCGCTGAGAATTTCACCTTTCAAAATGCCATTCATTGATAAAGCAGTTCTTGCTTGGTCATCCTCTCTTTCTTCTACTGAAACTTCACCAAGTGGGAACTCGAATCTTGCTCTGGGCTGAACAAGAAATTGATCATCCAATTAAAAGCAGAATCATTTCCCCTCTGATCATACTGAAAGATAAAATAGAGGTAAAACATTCTAACCCATGGGCTCAGCAAAAAATAACAGATATATTTGCTCGCAGTGGGTCTGAAATACCTAGTCTTCTCAACCCAACCCATAATTCCAATAAATAAATACATAAATAAAAATATAGTATGTTTAAATAAACACGTTGTTGTCCTTCTCTGCAGTGTTGGCTGTGCTAAGACAATGTAACTGCATATATTTAAACATTTCAGCATCCTTCAATATTTCACTTTACCAGTCCAACGAAGGGGGCTGCAGATGCCAAAGCAAGTTTGTAGGAAGGCTGGACAAGAGTCGTCGTCATCGTCACCTCTCCTCGTTTTTCCTGAAATTAAACAAAAATAATCCATGTCCAAGGAAGCTAAGAATCCCAAGAACTTCGCAATACCCATGTAACACAAGAAAGATTCAATAAGACAACAATAACGAGAGTCGAAGCAAGTAAAAAGATCCAAAGAACTTTGCAATATCAGTGTTAGAGAAGAAAAATTTGACAACCAAAGCGGGCAATGACATTGTATCAAGATCAGCAGAGAAAAATCCAATAATGACACAAAATTATTGTAGGGAGAATCATATATTGCGAGAAAACAAAAAATGAATCAGGCTCCATTATCGGCACTAGGAGAAGGGAAAGGATGGTCAAGGGATGAGAGATTGGGAGGTAATTTAAAAACAAAACTCTTCAAAATATCCACAGCTTAGAAGCCAGCAACCATTTTATTTTTTAAAGAAATATGGCATAGAATTGCATTAAAGAAAGGCTGAAAACAAGCCATAGTGTAAGGCTACTTATCTATTGGCAGATTAATGCGAGATGACTACAGCCTGACAAATTATATCGAGCTTGTCCCTCTCCATAATAGATAAAGTAGTCATTCAACCCATGTCCAAGAACAGAGGTGGAAGAATGTGGGATAGAATCAAACGAAAATGTTTAAACTGTTGAAGAATGCATCAAAGAAAGGCTGAAAACAAGCCATAGTGTAAGGCTACTTATCTATGGGCACATTAATGCGAGATGACTACAGCCTGACAAATTCTATTGAGCTTGTCCATCACTACACTAGATAAAGTAGTCACTTCCAGATGATTATTTGTCAAAAGATTATCACGTGATTCAACTGCCTGTCTCAGCTAAGTGCACATATGTGGTAACCGACTTCTTCATCTTGCAATATCTCATGTGATTTAAGAATTATTATGTGTGAATTTATGTTGAAATTCTAATTCTTTTGCCAAATGGATGGCTATAAAATGTGTATTTTGTTTCTGGCTTTCCAAAAGTGTTGACTCAAGATTATCGGTTCCTCAGCTTCTCTAGGATTACTGGATTTTCTGATAATATGGGGATGTTGTTCCTTGAAACTGCGAGTTCCTGTATAATTCTGGGCATCCATAGTTTCTTCGTCATGTCAAATCTACTTATCTTGAGTTTAGCCAAGAACGGGCCTATGATGCTTAATTAAGAGATGCAACGACCGATCTTGATTCAGTTTTACAGCAGGAAAGCGCAGGCAACTCTAAGCTATTGACGACGGTTTCAACCAGGGAATAGAAAAGATAAAACTAAAGCTAAACTAATAAAATTGTAAGGAGACTTGTCCCATCGATGCAGACTAATTGAAATATGGCAACATACTCCTAAGCTTTTTTTATATGTAACGGTAAATCATGATCGCTTAATGCAAATGCCTTCGAGTTATATCAACAGAGATACAAGAAACTAACATTGGGCTTGTTTCAAACTTTTATCAGAAAATTACAGCTTTGTCAAATCCTTACCACCAAAGAAGGCTCGGTAAAAGGGATTTCTATCAGGCAATTATCATAGGAAAGCAACTCATATATAATACTGATATGTAATATCTTACTAATTATTAGATAATTGACTCGGGGATATCAAGAGGATGTGGTTGGTAGGATCTAGAAGCGTGGATCAACCTAGCAGCATTCTATGTAATTGGGTTGCCGATTGCACTTCTTCTAGGGTAAACCCTAAAGTTCTATGTTAAGATTGTATTCTTAGGCATATCTTGCCAACACAAAACTATTGTTATCAAGATATGGTCTATAGCTCTTTTTGTTTGAAACTGTCGAAGATCTGAAATGACAGAAAAAGGCAGCTTTGAACCAATTCAACAACGTTCTAGGCAAGCCTATTGGAGAAATAGCACTATACCTCTGTCGGAGTACGAGAATTGTCAAAGGCTCGATAATTACTAGATGCTCAAGCTGAAATATAATGGGAGATAAGCTCCTTACCTTCAGATCACGATAAGCCTGAAGTTGCAAGTTCTTGCCAACATCGAAAGATCCCCTGAGAAGCGCATTCTTAGCCTCGACATCATAATCGAGGGAAAGGCGCTTCCCGAGGTCGAGACGCAGCATGGGGCATGAAATCTCGCCATCGCGGTTGTTCATAAACGAAATCCTGAGCTTCGCGAGGCTGTCGACGAGCCTGCACGAGACTCTGTGGAAGAACACCTGGCTGTCGCTGTCGTACTCCGAGGTCACCCGCACGGTGGGCCGGGGGAACGAGAAACCTCCATCGCCAGGGCTTTGCTGCGGAAGCGCCGCCTCTGGCGTCTCCGGAGGCGACGGGAGAGCCGTCAGCGGCGGCGGCGGCGGCGGCGGCGGCGGGCCCATCACAACCTCACCCCGGCGACCGATCTCGTCTGAAGCTGAGAAGAGAGCAGCGATATTCTGGTTTTCCAAATTCCTAATTTCTGCAAAGCAAACGGGACAAAAGGAGGCAAAATCCAGCAGAATTTTCTACAACCACAAGAAATGGCGGGGAATTCTGGATTTTCGACCACTTCTGTCGCGGCTGCGCGTCGTCGTTATTGGAAATATCTTATTGGGCCCACCGGGCCCCTCTTAGTGGATTGTCCATATGAAATGTAGCCCAGTTTTAAGGCCCAGCCCGTTGGGCCTCCACGCTGGCTGCATATATCACCACGTCGGCGCCTCCATGCCACGTCATATACAAAGCCTTCAAAACCTCTTCCCCTCTCAATTTCTCTCTCCCCGCCGTGGCCCTAAACCATTCACGTCCTCCTCTGCTCTTCAGCTAGCTCCCTCGACCATGCTTTCTACGCGTGCTCTGCGGAGGGTCTACTCTCTTCGCAGCGTTCGCGTCCTTTCGCATCCTTCTTCTTCTTATTCTTCTTCTCCGTCCTATGTCCCTCTCCACGGCAGCGGCCACCTCCGGCATTCTCCGACGCTGCCTCTTCTCCGCTTCCCTGGCTCAGTTTGTCGGTGCTTTACGTCTACTGTGGACCGCGTCCGTGAGAGCAGCATTGAACTAGGCGGTAGTGTCGCCCCCTTGATCGTCGAAGAGGAAGGGGAGGTGGTGAGCTATCGTCAGACCAGCGCTTATTCTGCCATCGAGCTCGCCCTCAACTCCGTTGTGAAGATTTTCACCGTCTCGAGTAGCCCGAACTATTTCCTTCCCTGGCAGAACAAGTCTCAGAGGGAGACCTTTGGATCCGGTGAATACCATCATTGTTTCTACTTCGGATTTTTCGTCCTTCTTTCGCTTTGCATTGAGGAGATTTTGTGTGTCACTGTCTCGCTTCAAATATAATATCTTTTATTGGTCATCTCACATTATACGTGCTCGTAGACTTTGATAAGGATAAAAATAGAAAACTGTTTGAGTTCTTCGGAATGAAACCCAAGAACTTAGCTGTTTGAAATTTCATCACTATGTTTCTTTTATATTCTTCTTGGTGATCGAGGAAATGAAGCTACTTAAAGTAAAAAAATCCTTTAGTGTTGAAGTCAACGGGAATTATCATCAAAGTCAGTGGGTGGCGTATCAGGGGGAATTAGAGTAAGTGATACCAGATCCAACAGTACTCAGATATATGTCTCCCACCCAACAATAAATATAAGAGGTTTGTCATTAAAGTGGAGAGTAATGTTCCGTTGAAGGATGCAGAATCGATCTTTACTACTGATGAAGAACATGCTGTGAAAGCTTTTTGTATGATGCAAGACAAGTCAAATGTTTCTCTGTATCAATTTCATGGGCCACATGAAGTTTGTATTGCACAGCCTAACATTGTTAAACGTCCATTGTGTTAATCAACGTTGTGGAAGCATTCATCTTGAAAGTAGTCAGTCTGCCTATTCATTTTTTTATGAGAGATTTTCGGTGGTGTTGCATTTAAATAGTTACTGCACTCGCATGGTTGTCTTACCCTCAAGAGGTTCTTTATTTACGATTGTTGAATATTGATTTTGTCCCAAGTTCAAGAAATAGCTCACAGTTTCTTTTAATGCGCTGAGAAGAGATACATTCAATTGTGAACCTGGGCTGATGCTGGCCATCGTGATTTCAAAATTCACGACATTCGAATGCTTGGACTTGTACCCAACATTGCGAAAAATGAGATCCAAAGTTGCTATTTACGTATATATTTTACTCATTCAAAATTTGACAATGGAACCCATTAAATAACTAAAAGATTGTACGTGCCATTCTGTTTCAGAAGCCAGTGTTCCTTACAGTGTTATGATTAAACAGGTTTTGTCATTCCTGGACGAAGGATATTGACCAATGCTCACGTGGTTGCTGATCATACCTTTGTTCTTCTGAGAAAACATGGCTCCCCTGACAAATATAGGGCAGAAATTCAAGCTGTTGGGCACGAATGTGATTTGGCTATTCTTACGGTTGAAAGTGAAGAATTTTGGGAGGGCATGCACTTTCTGGAGCTTGGTGACATTCCATTTTTGCAGGAAGCAGTCGCTGTCGTCGGCTACCCTCAAGGTATTCTCAGAGTTTCAATCATATGCTCAACTAGTTCATCAGATGTAATTTAGATGATGACTCTGTACCGCTTTATACCAATCCATCATTTTCCTTTTCAGTTCATCTGCTTTCTTTCAGTCCATCTTTTTTTGCTACAAATGAGAACCGTTCTTAAACTGCCGCTAATGGATGTTGCTTCCTGTTCTAGGAATGGATAGTTTTTATTATGACAGGCAAAACGACTGCAGTATCTCATGTCTTGTTCATTTTCTCGAAGCTTTGTTGCTTAAACAACAACTGTGTGTAGGCTTACACATAGCAGTTTCCTGCTTTGGGGTGTTTCTCTCGATGGGAACTTTTGTATTGCTGAATTTCTGGATTATAAGGGGCATTGCTATTCCCATATCATACTTTACGACTGCCTCGACAGTCATTGCCTCTCTAGTCATTATGGAAACACATCATCAAGCAACGAATTAGAAAAATTCTGTCTATTATCTGCACAGATTGATGGAAGTCACGCATTTTATCAAACTTCTTCATCGATGAAATGGCTGCCATTTTCTGAACCAGAAACTGAATAAAACAGATCATTCAGATTAGATTATTATTTCATGAGATGTTGCAAGGTTGGCTTTGGTTTATGACATCGACCAAACTTTAATCCTGTTCTTGGTTGAATGTTAGTCCAACAAGAGAGTATATTTTCTTGTTAGAATAACTTTAATCGGTCATTTTCTGTTCAATATGTCAAATTAGGTTGAAGGAAGAGACCATTCTTGAACCAAGTTAGCCTACGAACAGCCTCTTGTTTTTCTTAACCCTTCCCCCCTCTCCTCCACAGGTGTACAGAGGAAGGGGGAAGGGCGGGGAGCGGACTGTCAACTGGGCCTCGGTCTCTGAGCAATTCCTATTATCTGTTTTTCTTTCCTACTCTATTGAAGATCACAATGGTGAATGGTCTATGGATTATGTTTGGAGGGTTGAGTCAGGAGAAAAAAATCACGTGAATTATCTACTAAAATATCGGCAAATATACCTTTACTACTTCAAATATATTTTTGAACAGCATCTGGATCGGGTGAAGACGAAGGGGATGCTCCAGTTTTTGCATCCCTATTATTTCATAGCATTTGTGACATGGTCAGGACTTTTTCTGTGCTTTCAAGTGATACGTATTTGGTTGACAGATATGTGACAGCCTTTCTCTGAATGTAGGTGGAGACAATATCTCTGTTACAAAGGGAGTTGTCTCCAGAGTCGAACCAACACAATATGTTCATGGCGCTACCCAGCTTATGGCTATTCAAATTGATGCAGCTATTAACCCTGGAAATAGTGGAGGACCTGCAATCATGGGAGATAAGGTTGCTGGTGTCGCATTTCAGAATCTTTCAGGCGCGGAAAATATAGGGTGAGTTCTAAGACATCTTTTGTTTGCTTCACGCATACCCCACTTTTTGGCCTGCACCTGTTCATTTAAATCTCTTTTCATGTTCCATAGTACCAGTTTTTTTTTCTGATGAATTTATAAGATATGAGATGAAATTCTGTCTCAGATCTTCTTTGGGAACCAAAATTTTCTGTTTGGATTCGCTTTTTGACCATAGATTTTATTGTGGAAAGATTTTATCATGTTTTTCCATAAACGAAACTTTCCCAGCTCCAAATGTCGACCTAAATTCCTCAGGTTTCGTGGTGTAGGAAATTAAGAACTATGCAAATATTTTATTTAAATGTTTAGACACGAAGTATCTTTTATATACGGTGCTCTTTTTTTTTTCCTTTTCAGGTATATCATACCTGTCCCTGTTATAAAACATTTTATTGCTGGGGTGGAAGAAAGCGGAAAGTATGTTGGATTCTGCTCCCTGGGACTATCTTGTCAACCTACTGAAAACGCACAACTTAGAGAGCACTTTCGGATGAGCCCAGAAATGACTGGGGTGCTCATCAGCAAAGTCAACCCTCTCTCAGATGCTTACAAGGTCCTGAAGAAGGATGACATCGTTCTGGCATTCGATGGAGTTCCTATAGCAAATGATGGCACAGGTGAATCACCCATTGATGTCACTAGGCTCCACTCTTCCTTTCTTGATTCCCAACACCTTTGCATTCTCATCAATCGCTTTCCGCAGTTCATTTCCGCAATCGAGAAAGAATAACGTTCGATCATCTGGTCTCCATGAAAAAGCCAAACGAAACAGTGATTCTCAGAGTTCTGAGAGATGGAATCGAGCAGGAATTCAGTGTCACCCTCCAACCCGTGAGTTTAGAAACCCTAAGCGCTCATTTGTCTGACTTCATTTTCATGCAGCAGGTTATGATTTTGTCAACTGCATCATCTGATCTCTGCAGTTGCAGCCGCTAGTCCCAGTTCATCAGTTTGATAAGCTGCCCAGCTATTATATATTCGCTGGGCTCGTTTTTGTTCCGTTGACCCAGCCATATCTTCATGAATATGGTGAAGATTGGTACAATTCATCTCCCCGTCGACTGTGTGAGCGTGCGCTTAGAGAACTGCCGAAAAAGGCTGGTGAACAGCTAGTTATCCTTTCTCAGGTACAAAGTTTCTTCCCCCCCCTATAAGGAACTCTAAATGATTCAGTGTTTGTTGCAAATATCTTATTTTCAATATTATAAATATATATATGTATGTATGTATGTAGATATTTACTTATTTATTTATTATTTTTCTGAAAATCTGCTTATAATTAAGTTTATTTGATTATGAAAATAACAGTACCTTGTGTGCTAATGTCTCAGATATTGATGGATGATATCAACGCAGGTTATGAGAGGCTCTCTGAGTTGCAGGTACAATTCATCGTTTTTTTTTTTTCTTACTACTAGTGGGAAAAAAATTACTTCTTTTATATTATCCACGTCTTCTTTCTTCATTAAGATTAAATCTTTGCAGCTATTTTATGAATTTATCAAGCACAATTTTCCTATTTTCTCTGTTTTTTTATACCCATTTCTGGTCAAACTCTGAGCTGAGAACTGAATCGTCCATTTTCTTTCAAAGTATCTCATACGAAGCGCCATAGGTATCTAACATACAGACACAGGTCCATTTGAACGTGGTCAACGCGCGTTGACCTACTGCACATCTAGGAAGATATTTCTCTGCAACTTATATATGACAAAATAAAATGTGTTGATCATTTGGAGAATCTGAAACATCTATCTACATCATGAATTTCATGTGGATCCCCTTCCCCTCTTGGAAAGGACCTTTAACAGAAGATACATTGGCGTTGACCGGGTTCTCAACGGAGACTCTACGGAATGTTTGACCCTCTGATGGAAAAGTCATAGATATAGAAAACCTGAATTATCTACCGCATGGATCTCATTCTTTCCCCGTTGGCCTTCTTCCTCTCAAAATAGAAGCCTTTACCCGGAGATACATTGGCGTTGACCAGGCCTCCAACAGAAACGAACTGGGGTGTTGAGATAACCTGCATCACGAATCTCATTCTTTCCCACATATACATTGGAACGTTGACCAATATGGAGGAGATGGAATATAGATATGAAGAACCCGAAGCATCTGGATCATGAGCCTCATCATCTCTCGTGTGGGACTCCTTTAACAGTAGATACATTGGCGTTGACCAGGTGAAGAAGGTCAACGGGGTGGAGATAGAGAACCTGAAGGACCTCTGTAAGCTGGTTGAAGGGTGCTCCGAGGAGAGAGTGAGATTCGATCTGGACGAGGAGAGGGTGGTTGTCTTGGATTACCGGCGTGCCAAGGTGGCAACAGCCCGGATTCTAAGACGCCACAGAATAGCTTCTCCCATGTCAACTGATCTGTCTGACTGTGTGAAGGTGGACCCCGCGGTCAACGTGGCTAGCTCTAGCTGAGGTGGGCCCTCCCCCCCCCCCAAGAAATACCCATTAATTATTTTTTTAAAATATTATGACCATTTTATTTTTCCACATTTTGATCAGGAAGCCAGATTCACGGACGGCTAAGGACCACCAGATCGGTGTACCTGCAGTCGGTTCTAGGTGGGCCCCGCTCAATCCTGGTTCTCCTGGGCTGCCATGATCATTCATCACTGATGCCACCACCTATCCGGTGTGACTCCTACAGGTTGCAGGCAATATTTATAATTTTTTTTCAATTTTTCATTTAAAATTTTGTTCTCCTGTCCTCATTAAAATACATTTTATTATATATGGGTTTTATAAAATTCGATTTATGCATCTTATGAACTGGTTGACCTGATCCTGATCAAAATTGGATTAGTCATGGCTGACCTGAACGTCCTTTTCGGCCCTCTGTACTCTAATTTAGGTTAAATAGTGTGGTTGTTGTTGTGTGTGTGTGTGTCTCTCTCTCTCTCTCTCTCTCCCTCTCTTTCCCTCTCTCTCTCACTCTCACTCACTCCCTCTCCCTCTCTCTCCCTCTCTCTCCCTCTCTCTCTCCCTCTCTTTCCCTCTCTCTCTCACTCTCTCTCACTCTCTCTCCCTCTCTTTCCCTCTCTCTCACTCTCACTCACTCACTCTCTCTCTCTCTCTCTCTCTCTCCTCTCTCTCTCTCTCTCACTTCTCTCTCTCTCTCTCTCTCTCTCTCTCTCTCTCTCTCTCTCTCTCTCTCTCTCTCTCTCCTCTCTCTCCTCCTCTCGCTCTCTCTCTCTTTCCTCCTCTCTCTCTCTCTCTCCCTCATCTCTCTCTCTCTCTCTCTCTCTCTCTCTCACTCTCGCTCTCTCCCTCTCTTTCCCTCCTCTCTCTCTCTCTCTCCCTCCCCTCTCTCTCTTTCTCTCTCTCTCCCTCCTCTCTCTCTCTTTCTCTCTCACACTTACTCTCTGTCACTCTCTCCCTCTCTTTCCCTCCCACTCTCTCTCTCTCTCCCTCTCTTTCCCTCTCTTTCTCTATCTCTCTTTCTCTGTCTCACTCTCACTCTATCGTTCTCTCTCTCTCACTCACTCACTCTCTTTCCCTCTCTCTCTCTCTTTCTCCCTCTCTCTCTCTCTCACTCACTCTCTCTCCCTCTCTTTCCCTCCCTCTCTCACTCGTTTGAAGTCACTCTGGGGACTCATCGTGGCCCCGGTTGACTTTGGCAAGCTCTGTTATTAGGACGATGACGTCATATAAATTAAGTTCATTAAAGCGGGAAATTCGATTAAAGCAAGTAAAAAATCTATTTTAGTAAAATAACATTCGGGTATCCAGTAATTATCTTTATCAATAAAACAATGTTAATTAAATTGATCCTGGTCGTCTTTTTTTCCGCGTGGGCTGGGACCACGAAGTAGTGGTGTATTCGTAATATGATCTTAAAGAAAGGGACTTTTTGGGTGTTACAGGGGGGCGTCCCTCCATTGGCGATTCAAATAGGAGCCCTCCCCTCTCACGGGGGCAGCCGCAGAGATGGAGAGGGCCGCCATTAACAGACCAGCCAAGCTCGGGAGGAGGAGCTCATCTGAAACCCCCTCCAGGAAATCTGAGGTGAAGACGAAGGCCAGGGGTTCCCGGAATCCTCTAAAGGAGCTCAACGGCGGCTATCTCCCTCCTGTGCACTCCAGAGAAGGAGGCCCGAGGAGGGGTTGCTTCGGCCGTCTCCTCTCCAACTCCTCTTCTTCCTCCTCGTCCTCCTCTTCCAGGGCCAATATCCTCCCCAAGTCCAGGCCTCTTCCTCGAACCCCTACGTCGGCTCCCCCAAACTCGAGAGCCGTCCGATGCCTCAAGAGCTCGGTGGACGCCCGCAAGAACCAATCAAGACCTAGTTTTGAGGTACAGAAGCATTCGGCGTCTGATCGAAACCAGAGACCCGCAGCAGCCGTGACCTTGCAGAGGTGGAACAGGGGGAAGCTTGGAGGGTTAAGTGCGGCTGCCATCGGTAAAGGTAAGCCCACTAATGAGCCGAAATGGGAGCTTTTGCGGCATGGAAGAGAACGTCCGGCGGCCATTTCTCACGTTTGCGCAGGCCTTGGAGCAGATTTGGAGAAGAGCGGGACTCCTATGTCTCTGTGTAAGATTTCTTATGGATCTGGTTCGGATGATCCGGCCGGAGAGGAAGGAGATCAGAGTCAGATCCAGAATTCCCAGACCCCCACGTCCACAAGAACAGCAACACCACCGGTCCAGGCCACCATCTCGCCAGAGTTTGGCGGGCAGTCGATGCTTCCCACTCCCGCGTGCTTCGCTGCCGGCCACCTGCTCACCGGAGTTCAGGACAGGAGGAAGTGTAGGCCCAGAGGAATCCTGAACGGAGGGAGCAGTGGATTGCACATTGCAGACAGTGGAAGTCTGGGATTTCATGTTTGTTCCAGCGCTAAATCTCAAGCCTCCTTGACACCACCGCCTCCCCTGGTGGCCTCTGTACGATGGCTCTCTTCCCCTGGTAATGGCCAGAGTGGGAGACTAGAGGAGGTTTCCTCTTCCAACTCGAGGCTATGTCTTGCTGAAGCTTCTGTCAGCTGGTTCCTCTCCCCGAAAGAAAATCTAGCAGGCAAATCTACTCTTCAAAATTTCTCACCCAATTCAAACAACTTGGGTTCATCAGGAACAACACCCTGGTCTAATCATCATCTATTGGGTGTGTCTCCAGCTTCTCTAACTGAAACTGCCTGCAATTCGCCTGAGCTTAGGGGTTGGTTGACCCCTAGCTCATCGAACTTTGAGAAGACTCCACCTGCTCTGGAAATCTGTCGTTCTCCTGCCAGTAGCAGTGGCCTTAGCCCCTTCTCAATGATTCTGCAGAAGGCATCAGCTATCTCCAAGTTCAAGGACCACAGCCCACAAGATAAAGGAAGATGTCACTACCTCTCATCTGCTGTGAATTCGCCATTCTCAGGGGATTCACACGGCAACAGCAATGTTATGTGCACTCCTTCATCCTGTTCAAGCCCAAGTAGACAGGTCGGGCAACTCGATCCCTTTGGCCTGCATCCCATGGCCGAGGAGGCTGTTGGGAACCTTTGCTCCTCTCCACCACATCAGGAGTTATCCAGCGGTGGCTCAAAGCCTGCTCTCCCATTTTCCACTCAAAGCTTCCACTTTGGATGTCCTCCCACGCCTCTGAACTCTGTCGATCTATCCTGCTTTCAAAGACCTTCATGCCTTCAGAGTTCTGCAAAGGTGAAACCCCAGTTTAGGGGAGAGAATTCATCGCCCTCAGAGATGAGGATTTCATGGAGAGAGGGACTGATCAGTCGGATCTTCGATATGCATGAATTCACCCATAGTTTTTGGTCACCGGAGAAAGAGGACGGTGGCTGCCAGGAAGAAAATCAGCTGACCTCGGAGCTCGACAGAAAGCTTGAATGCACCCCAGGAAGCTCCAAGTTTACAAAGGTCAACGAGCTGAATGCAGCACTTGGCTTTGGGTCCTTTGAATTCTCTGGTTATGAGCAGCAGAGAGAGCAGAACAGTGGCGGGGAGGGTCCTTTTCCCAGTCCAACTCCATGCGCAGAGTCCTTGCAGATTGATGAACATTGCCTTATGGCATCTGATGACTCTGACTGGACTCTCTTCTTCAAGAATCACTTGTTTGAGGTTTGAGTTCCTCTCCCCTTTGATCTAATTCTTAATAATCCATTGTAATCTTATGGGATCGGCCTTCTGGGTAGCCTGTGATCTCTGTTCTTATCATTGGAAATGCTGCAGCTCCTGAGAGTCCCCTGTTTAGCTTCATTTCTCCCATTTCCCAGAGATGATGCAGAACGAAAGTCCCCAGATTCTCATGAGGGAGTCCCCTCCTTTTTCTTGGAAGAACAAGTCAACTGCTTTCAATTAGTCTGGAGTAGTTTCGTCCTGTTTCTTCTGTTTATTCTCCTCTAAATGGACTTATCTTCAATCATAGCTGGCCGATAGCCGCTGTCCAGGCCGGCTCTTTACCTTCTCGGGCTGGTGGCCCATTAAAGAGAGGCACACGTGTAGCAGGTTCGGCACGTGCGGCAGCTCCTCGAACCTCGGGGGCCACTCCATTCAAATCCCTGCCCGTTATATATATTTTAAATGATGTGAAAAAAATCCCTGTTTTGATTTAAGAAGAGGACGAGAAAGTTTAGAGAGAGAGGGAGAGAGAGGGTATGAGAGCGGGAAACCTTCCCGGAGCGCAGCAGTTGTCTATAGCCATGGACGGAGCTCGGGTGGCGGAGAAGAGGAAGAGGGCGCAGACAGGAAGGGGGCGGCGGAGGACCTGCGAGGAGGACGGCGGCGCTGGCCAGACGGTCTCAGACATTGAAGACTTCTCGCCGGAGGAAGCCCGCAAGGTGAGGGCTGCTCTTCTCCGGTGGTACGATGGCAACCAGCGGACGCTTCCATGGCGGACAGCGGCACGCGGCGGCGGTGGCGGCGGCGGCGGCAACGACGGTAGCCGGGCTTACGCCGTGTGGGTCTCGGAGGTGATGCTTCAGCAGACCCAGGTGTCGACGGTGGTGGCTTACTACAACCGATGGATGGAGAAGTGGCCCACCGTCGGGCATCTCGCCGCCGCGTCTCAAGAGGTAAATCCAGCGCATCTCCTCCAGACTCGACATTTGACCTCTTCTCGAAGAAGCATTGATGGAACTCCTTTGTCCTTCGTGCTTGCAGGACGTCAATGACCTCTGGGCTGGCTTGGGCTACTACCGAAGGGCTCGGTTCCTGTTGGAGGTCCTCTCTCTCTCTCTCTCTCTCTCTCTCTCTCTCTCTCTCTCTCGCTCGCTCGCTCGCTGAGTAGGATTCTTATTGATGGGATCAGGGAGCGAAATCGATCGTCGAGGCTGGTGAGTTCCCGAGATCAGCGGCCGATCTTCGGAAAGTAAGAGGAATAGGGGATTACACGGCGGGGGCCATCGCGTCCATAGCTTTCGATGAGGTGAGCATGGAGGATCACCCTTTCGACATTCAACCCTCCAGTTTCCTCCGCCTTGGGTGATCTTCTGATACGATCACCGGTGTCTTCTTGATTCAAGGTGGTGCCAGTGGTGGATGGGAACGTAATTAGGGTTATCTCTCGGATGAAGGCGATCTCATCGAACCCCAAGGAATCTGCGACCATGAAGAGCATATGGTACCCAGTTGGGCAAAATCCTGCTCCTCTCCCGCCATTACTCGAAGTTTGAATGAACTGGGGCTTCTTAAAAATCGATGTGTTTGCTATTTCAGATCATTTGGTTCTTCTTTACATCTGACTTTTTAATAAAAAATTCTCTACTAGATGGGCAACTAGTTGACCCATTGGCGTTTCATAATCATTTAGGCCTTCTTTGACTACTGATTTTGATAAATATTTCGTCTTTGACTACTAGTTGACCCATTTCTTGTTTATGATTATTTGGGCTTTTTGTACAACCAAGTTCTCTTAAACTTTCCTCTTTCAGGAGGCTAGCTGGGCAACTCGTTGACCCTTCCCGGCCAGGGGACTTCAATCAGGCTCTCATGGAGCTCGGGGCGACCCTGTGCAGTCGGAGTAGCCCCAGCTGTTCCTCTTGCCCAGTCTCCGGTCAATGCCTCGCCCTCTCCCTCTCAAAGAAACTTGAATCGGCAGAAGTCACCGATTACCCGAAAAAGGCTCTGAAACCCAAGCAAAGACAGGATTTTGCAGCCGTATGCGTTCTAGAAATAGTACAAGAATCAGACCTAGGAGCCCTAAAGACCAGGAACTATAAAAAACTGAGGGTCAACGACTACAAGAAGTCTCTTCTTCTCATTAAGAGGCCCGAGGAAGGGCTTCTAGCTGGCCTCTGGGAGTTTCCGACAGTTCTTCTGGCGGCAGGGGCAGACCAGGCTGCAAGAAGGGAAGCCGTTGACCGATATCTGACTGAGTCCTTGGGTGTCAATCTAGGCGACGACTATGATGCCATATTTAGACAAGATGTCGGAGATTGTGTTCACGTTTTCAGCCACATTCGGCTTCACATGCATGTGGAGTTGTTGACTATTTCCATTAAAGGTTTAACATTGCCAGGGCTTTGGTCTTCATAGCTTGCTGTTTTCGGACTCCTCTAATGGGTTTGACCTCGCCAGGTGGGTTGGGTGCCTTGGAGGAGAAGGGCCAAGATTTGACCACTTGGAAGGTTGTCAATGATGATTCCATCAGGAGCATGGGGTTGACCTCTGGAGTCCGAAAGGTGAGCAACCCAGTCTTAAATTCTTTGCAAAAATTCAACTTCGCAATTACAGATTTATTTTTCATTTTTTTTTCATGAACATATATACTATATATTCCATACGTCTTGTAGAAAACATGGCATTATGACATCATATGTGGTGAATTTAATCAACTGTGAGTTGACTTGACAAAAACTTTATTGGAAACCTTATCAATTGAGCATATTCTTCCGGGAAAATAGCAAGAAAATGGCAAATTATTAATTTTTTCATGCATTCGATTTTTTTTTCTTTTCCCCTTTTTAGGTTTACACCATGGTGAAGAATTTTAAGCAGAAGACTCTGCCATCTCTTGCAGTAGGTGGGACGAATACCAAGAGCAACAGGCGGCGATGAGCTTGCCCTCGTTGCTCCCATACAGATGGAAACCACTGATTCCATGATTCACGCATCACAGCCGTCGATTGGAAATGAATCTGTTCATTTTTTACCCGACCGGATCGAGATGTAAGGCCAGGATTGAGCCCCCCTTTTGTTGACCTCCTTGAGTCAGTGACCACCCGGTTTGGTTCTCCTCAGGAAGGCTTCTTGTGGGAATCTGAGTTGTGCCGAAATCACTGCCAAACATCTGGATCGGTGGAGGGGTGGGGAGGATGTCCTGGGGGGAATCCGGTGTGTTCCCTTCCGGGAATCTAAATCTGGGTGAAGAGTCTGTGGAATCTGAATGTCGGGAGAAATTATCTCCAAACAGTGGAATGTGGGGGGGAGGTTCCTGAGATTGATGTTGCTGGGAAGAATCTGGGATCCTCCATTCAGGAATTCTGATTCCAGTCGGATAGTCTGTGAAAGCCCAAAGCCTGAGGGTGATCCCATATGCAACTGTTTGGCTGGGTGTCTCCAGGAATCGATTGCAGATTATTGGCCGTTCTTAGTAAATTAAATAAATAGTCTATAATATCCCACTCTCTCTCTAACTATCTCATATAATTTATGTTTAGAGAGAAGATTAAGAGAGCCAGGCAAAATTAGACGTTATCTTCTCTCTCTCTCTCTCTCTCTCTCTCTCCAGCTCCGTCTTATCCGCGTAAAAACGATGGCCGCGGTGCAGTTCACTACCCTGTTTTTCAAGGCGACGCTAGGTGGTGGGCAAGCGGGCCACAGAAACCCCTTGCTCTCTCTCTCTCTCTCTCTCTCTCTCGCGCGCGGGCGCTATCTATCTGCGCACGGTTCCGTGGGTCTTCTCTGCTGGTGTGATCCTTTCGCTCTCTTCTGAGGCCCCATGGAGGGGCTTCTCCACGCAGTTCTACCCCGTGGACGCTCGCAGTGGCTGGGCTCCTCTCCAAACCCTAATCGCGACTTTCCGGCGACGGCGAGGAGGAGCGGCGGCCCGTTGTTGGAGCGGAAGCTCCAACTCCGCTTTCCCCCGGGAGGCGCCCTCCATTGCGGAAGAGGGAGAATCTGTTCTGCGGCGAAGAACGTCGATGAGGAAGCTGAAGAGATTAATCTCGATTGGAAGCTGGAATTCGTCGCCGCGAAGAAGAAGAAGAAGCCAGCGGAGAAGTCGAGGCTTCTGGCGGACACAGAAAGCATGGACTGGTGCGTCAACGCGAGGAAGGTTGCCTTGAGGAGCATCGAATCCAGGGGCCTCGCCCAGTCCATGGAAGCCATGGTCACTGGGAAAAGGAAGAAGGCCAGGAAGCCGAAGAAGGCCAGCAGGGTTACCAACAAGAAGATCCGGAATAAGAACGAGCTCGAAGACGAATTGGAAGAATTAGACATGGAGGAGATGGGCTTTGAGAGCAGTTCCGGCGACCTCGAGCAGAGGGTGAGCATGATTGCCGACGGAATGTTCGAAGAGATGAAGGAGAAGGCCAGGGAGGCCTTCATAGAGAAGCTTTCCCAGTTCTCAGGACCCTCAGACAGGAAGAAGGAGATCTCCTTGAACAGAGAGATAATCGACGGCCAAACTGCGGAGGAGGTTCTGGAGGTCGCCGCAGAGGCGATCTCCGCCGTCGCCAAGGGGCTGAGCCCTTCTCCTCTAAACCCAATCAACATCTCCACCGCCCTCCACAGGATCGCTAGGAACATGGAGAAGGTCTCCATGACGAGAACCAGGAGGTTGGCCTTCGCTCGTCAGAGAGAAATGTGTATGCTCGTGAGCATCGCCATGGTCACCCTGCCCGAGTGCTCCGCACAAGGAATCTCCAACATCTCATGGGCGTTATCCAAGATCGGCGGGGAGCTTCTCTATCTCTCGGAGATGGATCGGGTCGCCGAGATCGCCATCACAAGGGTCGAGGAGTTCAATGCCCAGAATGTCGCCAACATCGCCGGGGCCTTCGCCGCAATGCAGCACTCCTCCCCGGAGCTGTTCTCGCAGCTATCCAGAAGAGCAGCCGACCTGGTTCCCACTTTCCAGGAGCAGGAGCTCGCCCAAACTCTGTGGGCATTCGCCTCCCTCAACGAGCCTGCGGATTCCTTGCTGGACGCCGTCGACGAAGCTCTGAACGCGGGAATCACCATCGATTTCTCCGCGGAAGAGGATGAACCAGCGCAACTGGAGACCCTCCTCAGAATCGAAGGGACCCGGGTCCAGAATGGCCTCAATTTTAGCAGGATCCAGCTCGGGAACCTGGCCTGGTCTTATGCGGTTCTTGGGGGAATGGAGCGCCCGTTCTTCTCTCGCCTGTGGGGGATCTTGAGCTCTGTTGCAGAGACAAGGATCTCGGAGCAGCGCAGGGAGGACATAGTCTTTGCCTCGCAGGTCCACCTAGCGAACCAGTGCCTGAAAGTGGAGTATTCCCATCTGGGCCTGTCGCTGAGGAACGCTCTGGAGGAGAAGATCTCCAGAGTGGGGAAGACGAAAAGGTTCAGCCAGAAGACCACATCTTCGTTCCAGAAGGAGGTCGGTAGGCTCCTGGTAAGCACAGGCCTCGAGTGGGCAAGAGAGTATGCGATCGATGGGTACACCCTGGACGCTGCACTGGTCAACCAGAAGCTAGCCTTTGAGGTTGACGGGCCAACCCACTTCTCGAGAAACACTGGTGCGTTTTCCAACTCGTGAAGCATATCAGATTGCCTCGAGATTTTCAGATTTTATTTATCTGCTTAAATGGGATAATTTTTTTCATGGGTTTGTGTAAAAGGTGCTCCTTTGGGTCACACGGTGCTCAAAAGGCGCTATGTTGCTGCTGCTGGCTGGAGATTGGTCTTTCTGTCTCACCAGGAGGTAGCTCCTTCGAAATTTCTATCAAGTTATTTGGATTAGATGAATTCTCGAATGATCTGGACGTGTTTCTCTAAAATCACGGATTTATTTATTTATTATTTTAAATTTAATTTTTATTTCAAGTGTTCCAGACATTAAACGCGGTTTGTCAGGCTCTCTCGTGTTTCCATCGTCTCTCATCAAAACCATCCAGTTTTTTTCTACTTTGGGAAAAATGAGAATGATTTTAATTGCTCTCGAAATCCACAAAAATGTACTATTTCTGATCCTGATTATGCTCGGATCTCTGCCTTCAGACAAAGAAAAACGAAGGATCGGAATCATGATTGATGGGTGGAAACCATAATGCTTGATCCAAAGCATTTACTCCTCTCTTTTTATATAAAAAAAGGGTCAAATCGAATATATCTAGATATTTATGGGTTACTTATCAAATATCAACCTTTCCATCATATATTGATGCATCCTTTTATTTTCCATGCAGTGGGAAGCCCTTCAAGGTGCTAGTGAGCAGTTGGAGCACCTGAGGAGGATTCTTGGCATCAACCCAAGCGATGATCTCCAAGGAAATATGGCTGCATCAAGAGTAGAATCCTAGAGCTGATGTCGTTGTTCATTGATGGTGATGATAGGTGAGACTTCCTTTATTGGTGTTTACTATTTTTGCCCATTTTAACCCTTTTTGAGAATAAAATCCTGGCGTTGGCATTCTTTTCTCCACCAAGACTTTATGTCCTCATAAATGAGTACAAATATGTAGATAATATGCAAGGCCATGGGCCATCCCAAGCCTAGAAAATGTGTTCTAGAGTAGGTGGACTTATCCAACTCTGATAGGCAAAAGTCAACCCTCTATATATGGCTTACATGTATAAGATTAAGATAACCAACTATATATGGTTTGTAGATATTCCAAAATTTTCCCTTGTGAGATCCAAACCCATGTCAAATGGAGCCATCTCAGCCTAGATATCTTCATATTTCCAATGGAGATACCCCTAGATATATCAGTTCCATTAAACATGTTGAATTTTTTTATTTGGGAGGAAATTTCTGTGGCCATTATCTCTTCTTTGATTATAAAGTTGTGGGCATGTGATATAGAGGGACATTGGGAAAAATACTCATGAAGATCTTCATCTGAGGCTTTAAATGCACTTAGTGTTATTGAGTTCTAATAGGAATATGAATAAATTTGATATTGATATTTGTGAACATTTTAAGGATTATTCTTTTGAATATTTATTTTGCATTATTTTTCTTATGTAGCTTTGATGTCACTTTGCTCATTGTTATCAAAATGATCAAATTTTAAATATTTATAAACTGAATTCAAAAAAAGAACTAAAATTAATTTTTGGCGAATTCAGGTTGTCCACAAAAATTATGGTTAATCTCAATATGAATATTTTGTTCTGAATGTTTTATTGACACAAAATAAAAATAAAATAATCTTCTCACCATTTTGATATCCTTCAATGCCTAATGATGATACCACCGAGCTTTGAGCTTTAATATTTTAGCTTTGATGTGTGCCCACATTTTTTTTAATGAATAAAAAAATAAAGGAAAAATACAGGACGATAAATAAAGCTTATATCAAGAAAATAAGGGAGGAGAGAGAAAATAGAGTTGCTTCATTGACATTGAAGTGTAAAGATAATTTGCTTATAAAATTGAGTAGTATTTCGAAATAAATAGATTATTATGACCATAACAAATTTAGCTCTCACCAAAAAAAACTAAAATTAAGAAAAGAGCTATTGAAAATAAATTAAAACATGAATTATCTACTAGTGGAGTTGCCATATCAACAATGAAATGGGAAGATGAGTTTGATTTGAATACTTTTAAAAAATCAAGTAATCTATCCAACTAAATAAATTCAAGCAATCGTAATCAAGTTAACTTTTGTTTGAAAAATTAAAATTGCTTAAAGAATCATGAAAAAACTGAAACCATTACTTGAACTCGGCTTGTCAATCACTCAAGAATAAAGTATTATCAAGGTACCAAATTTGAATGAGAAATCAATTGAAAAGTGATTAAAATTCAGATTAAAATACTCAATTCCATAGTCTGCTTTTCATTCAAACAATAGAATGAGGAAAAGCAAAATAAAAATAAAAATTCACAAACACCCCTTGCTGCTCTGCTCCTTTGTCACTAGAAAAGAAATGGCATTTTGCCTTGTTTTAACATTTTTCATTCAGTTCTATTACATTTGACATTAGTTAATGCAACATTTATCATCATTTTACCTTGATTATCATCAATAATGATACATTAAGAGGCTCCTATGCCCAAACTTGAGATAGTTATACTCCTACGTTTTTATTTCTAATTTACAACGAATTAATTAGGCAAAAATTCAAGAATACAAGAAATTGCATTACTATATTTTTTAATTCATCACACTAATCTTGTATTTTTGTTCCATGAGTTTTTTTTAATTTTTTCTTAGGATTGATATCAAATTCCACCTAAAGTTTTAAAGATGTAGATTTATTTTCTTTCTAAAGTACACATTAAACTTGGCAATGCCCCCCTAATATGAGTTGGAGATCTTCTTCTCATAGAAGAGAATTTAAATCCCCTAATGTTGACCTTTGAGTCAATAATCATGTTTTAGAATTGACTAAATACACACAAGAATAAAATATTTATTTCGTGCATTTTATATTACTACTATTTTAATATTATTATGCTAATATCCAATAATTACCGTTGAAAGAATCTTACATAATTTAACAGACTTTATTCCTGTCCATTTCATGAAAAATGGATAATTTATAGAGTCAACCCATTGCATGTCAAAACAAACTGAAAATCACATACTTTAATAGAAATATGGATTCTAATCAATTTTTAATTTTATAACATAGAAATCTCCACTCATATAACATGCAAAGCTTCATTCATTATAGGGCTTAGTGTTCCATGACCAAAGATGTACAACCTCAAAAATTTATTAAAATTTATTTTTTCATCCAAAATGAGACAACTACTATGAATCCTACCAAGAAAAATTTGAAGCACATTATCAATGAATAAAAGGTTCATTATAAAGAGATCATATTTGTAGGTGATTGTCATTACTCTAGTGAGTTGACTTTGTATTGGCTCATCATAGAAGCCTAAGTCTACAATCAATTAGTCAACCCTTTGGATAATGTGTCTAGCAGAGGGTTAGCTAGAATCATAAGCTGAAAAAGTAAGCCAATACTATTTTATTCATTAAAAATGGTCGACTCACCCGGATTAAGCTTACTCATGGGCTATGGTTGTGGGAACCCAAAGGGTCCCATGAGAAAGAGGGACATATCCACAATAAGTGACATAATAAGAGTTAAAACTAAAAAATAAAATATAGTCTGTATCCCGTCGGTAGGTCACGTGCGACATCACGTGATCCCGCTCACCTTCCTTCGCGTATAGTTGCAACGTTTCTTTCCTTTTTTGTGAAGCTTTCTAGATTAGATTACTGATAAGGGTAGATTTACAATAACAATATAAACTATGGTTTTAGACAAGTTGACCTTTTTAAACAATTTTCTCGTAGATACGAGAGATCGGGAAGAGTAGTGACGCGGGGGAACGGATTTCACGTATAAATAACGCGGTCCACCTTCCTGATGGAAGCACTTCCCTGCGCCCCCCGCAACTCCCTCCTGGTTCAGTATTGTGGCCGGTTCTCGTCGGGATTCGGAACGAGTCTCCGCCTCCTCCAGGTGATATCTCGAATCTCTGTGCAATGCTCCGTGTTTTTTTCTGTCTCTGCGTCAGATCTGTCTCTACTTCTTCCTTGGATTTTGAGATCTCCGGTGATACTGGGGACGGAGATCTTATCAGTTTGAGAGATTTTAGGTGCGATCTCAAGCTCTGATGCGAGAAACCGAGGGATGTTTTATTTTTCTGGTTCAGTCTTTTTTGTTTCTTCGTTTGCCTGAATGACTGGCTTCAGGTACCAAAATCGCATCGCCACTAGGATAAGAAATGCCCAAGGAATTACAGGCCTTCGCTGATCTTCGATCTGTTCATATCTTCTAACTACCATTTTCGGTCGGGATGGTACTGATCTTCTTACGATCTTCTGTGGTTAATTCATGACTCCATTTATCCTCAAAGGATCAGATGCCGACATAATTATTGAGGATGAAGTGAATGATCTATTTTCATCTAATCGAACCATATTTCTTTATCGACTACTGTGACTCGTTAACATATTACTTTTATCGTTTTATGTTTTTTTGTTTGACGTTTCCCTCCTCTCGTATATGTTCTTTTGAGCAAAAATAGTTAAATATTAACAACGACATATTTTAAGATCTTACGGTGATCGATCAGAGGGTTGGATTACAGTATCTTTTAATCAACTATGATCTCGATCGAACTATGGAGTGATAAATGCGGAGGAGCAAACTGCCTAAATATGTGTTCAAAATATTCTCAAATACACAATGCCGGGACTTTATAATCGTAGATTACCCTTTCCTGTTTGGTTTTTTCTGTTGGTGTAGGAGGCACCTGGGAGAGATTGACATCGATATGATTTGCAACGATTAGTCTAGGATAATTTATTTCGTAGAGTTGTTAAATTAGATCTCAGGCTTTGTTGTAGCATCAGTCGCCGGTTTTCAACTTTAGTTCATCTCTGAAGCTCTAGAAAGCTCCTAAATCAGCGGTTTCTGTGGTATAGTAGGGGTCTTCTTGGACTGAATGTGCTTACTTTCTTATAAATCATATCAGGATGGTCTAATTTGTATGTATCTGAACTGAGTTTTGATATGATTCATATCCAATGCAGTACTGAGATTGGAGATCATGAATGTTTCGAGAAATTTTAACTAAATGAAGTAATGCGTAGGGGTATGCAATGTAGTACAGAAAGGATCTCGTTAGTGATTCCTGTAGAATTGAACGGGGCAACATAAATTCGTGTGTTTAAAGGCGGGCATGTATGCATGACCTGACATTGCATTTTAAACCTTCCCGGATGCGTACAACCAATCCTCGTTTAGGGCATTTCTTTTCAACAGCCCATGGCACTGTCTAAATCAAGACTCCTTAAACCTTGACTATTTACGTTAATAAGACCTCGACTGTCCATGATAGCTTCGTCCCGCCCATCGTTTGATATCTAATAATTCCTGAATCCTCTTGATTAAAATTTATTTTCATATATGTATTTTGGGCTTGGGTCAGGAAGATATGTTCAGTTGCTTTATTTAGGAGCTCCTGTCTCACACAACCGATGACTGCACTTATCACACGAGTCAATGTTTCGTACCTCTGCCTTAATCTTATTTTTCATAGAATGGCTCTTCGAGCTTAATCAGAATGCCGATTGGTGCATTCTGTGTTCATTTTCTTCTTTAATTGAGCTTTCTCAATGTAGGATGTCTACTCTCCACTGGTCTGACCTGTTCTTGTCTACATTCTAGCCATGTCATCTACCGAAAAGGAACACAAGGACAGCAACCCGGAGAAAGAAGGAGAAGAGTCAGGAGGATTCATCGACAAGGTTAAGGATTTTATTCATGATATTGGTGAGAAGATCGAAGGAGCGATAGGATTTGGAAAGCCGACGGCAGATGTGACTGCAATTCACATCCCTACAATCAATCTGGAGAAGGCTGACATTGTCGTGGACGTCCTCGTGACAAACCCTAATCCGATTCCGATCCCTCTTATAGATATCAATTACTTGGTGGAAAGTGATGGGAGGAAGCTGGTCTCAGGATTGATCCCTGATGCAGGCACAATCCAGGCCCATGGCTCAGAGACTGTCAATATTCCTCTCACCCTGGTATATGCCGATATCAAAGACACCTACGACGATATTAAGCCTGGAAGCGTCATTCCTTACAGGATCAAGGTCGATCTAATTGTCGACGTACCCATTTTTGGAAGACTCACTCTGCCGCTCGAGAAGACCGGGGAGATTCCTATCCCTTACAAGCCGGACGTTGACATCGAGAAGATTCAGTTTGAGAAGTTTTCCTTTGAAGAAACTACGGCAATCCTGCATCTGAAACTGGGGAACAAGAACGAGTTCGACCTGGGGCTCAACGCCTTGAAATCTGAGATCTGGCTCTCTGACGAGAGCATTGGGAGCGCGGAGCTCATTGAACCTACCAAGATCGACAAAAATGGGTTCGGCTTCACCAAGATTCCGGTCACCTTCAGGCCCAAAGACTTTGGCTCTGCCCTCTGGGACATGATCAGGGGCAGAGGCACTGGCTATGCCATAAAGGGAATGATCGACGTCGACACCCCGTTCGGCCCCATGAAGCTTCCCATCGTCAAGGAGGGCGGCACCACCAAGCTTAAGAAAGAAGGCGATGACGAAGAAGAGGTACGCTGACCTGTTCCCCTTCTCTGATATCTCTCCTTCTGGACATCTTCTCAAACGGAATGGATAAAAATAGAATTCCTCGTCCCACAAAAATCCCCACTAACTCACGCAACATCAACTCTATTTTGTCGCAGGAGTAGCGGCTCTCTGTGGCTTCTGTGGTGGCCTGGCCTTTGTGCGCGGGGTCCAGACTCCTCTGGTATAGAAGAACCCGTTTGTGCACTACTTATCCCCCATGTGTTTTATGTACTAATCTTCTGGATTGTCTCCTGTTCTTGGTAATAATGCAAACGGCTGCCAAGTGTGACCACCCTATGAACTCATGCCCCCCCTTCTCTCTCTCTCTCTCTCTCACACACACACACACACACTGTCTGTGATGAGGGCTGGGCATGGAAGTTGAGTCTCGGCTTGACCCCACGGTCAAAAGACACGTGAGGGCTCGCAGAAGACCAATAGGCATTGGTCAACAAGGTCAAAAGACACACTGACTGCTCCCTACTGCTCCCTACTGCTCTCTCTCTCTCTCTCTCTCTCTCTCTCTCTCTCTCTCTCTCTTCTCTCTCGCTATATCTCTCCTGGACTGATAGATTTCCATCCTTGAAAATCAGCGGATCGAAGGCTGAGTAAGTGGGCACTCACTTCTGGCGGTGAAATCCGTGGATGGGCACCGCAGCCGCCCTCCGCTGCAGACCGCCGTCTGGATCTCCCATCGGCGTCGGAAGATTCAAGTTCAAGTTTCATCACGCCTCCTCTTCTCCCTCTCTTGCTTTGAGTCCCTCGCCGCATGGAGAGGACAGCGGGGAGTTCAGCCGCATCGGAGCGCCTCAGGCGGCGGTCGAACGCGCCGAGAGCCTCCGCCGACGGCCTCTTCAGCGCCTCCTCCATGGCGGCGTTCCTCTGTCTCACGGCGTCGCTGATCCTGCTCCCTCTCGTCCTGCCAGCTCTTCCCCCCCCGCCGCTGCCGCTCCTTCTCGTGCCGGTGGGCATAATCGCGGTTCTTCTCCTTCTGGCCCTCATGCCCTCCGACGTCCATGACGTCGCCGCGTGTCTCTGACCGGCGGAGGACGAGGGAACGGTCAAACGAAACCCACTGGTGAGCGGCGGGTTGCAGCGTCGGCGGCAAATTTCCACGTGTTGAGGACTGGTCCCTCACTTTCACGTGGTTCCACACCCCCCACCCCATCGATTCCAACTCTATTTTGAAAAGATCCGAAACGACTTGGGCTTGCACGTCGTACTTATGGACACGTGCCGCTGAGTACCGAGTCTAGCCCGACTCAGCTCCAGCTCGAACTCAACAGGCCCTATTTTTCCGGGCTTCAGGTTGTCCAAAACCCGGCCCTATATTTCTGCGCTCTTATCATTATCGGCAAGAACATCAAATCTAAATATTTATTATTAGATTCGAAAAGAAAAAATTAAACTTAAAGTTTGGTGAATCTAGGTCGATCGAAAGGATGAATGCTTGTATTATTGTGTTAATTGATGCTCCCAAACTTTATTAAATTAAAGATAACACAAAAATAAAAATAAAAATTCTTCTATGCTTGAAGCAATCATTCACATGGAAATATGTAGTTATAAGTTATTTGATTCCTTTAATTACTCAATGATTTGTAAGTTGATTATTTGAATCATATATGTTCTGAAAGAGATTCAATTAGATCAATGGCTAAACGATCCAAAGAAGAATCATAAAAGTGGGAGAAAATCACACCAATAGGAGTATGTGTTAGAGAAAGTAAAATAGAAGCATGAACTTGACTAAAACCCTCTTTACTCTCTAGTGAAAATCTACAAAAAATATAGACTTAGACTTGTGGAAAACTTGTCTGTCATCCAATGTAAACATGTCACCGATTGAAAACTTTGAAATGAGATAAATCATAAAGTTATCTTTGCTTGTCACTCATAGATAAAATGATAATAGATGGGAGATAAATGAATGAAGGACTGAAATTGAAGCAATTGAAGTGAGGAATAAGATTTAATCTCTTTATCTACCTATCACCTAGGCAAGAGGATTAAACAAAATGATAAAGCAATTGAAGTGAAGTGGAGAATAAAAATTATTTCAGATATCAAAACAGAATCATAGGCCTTGACTTCCTCCATGTGTCACCTGAAAAACTTTCCATTAAGAGAGAACGGGAAAAAATGGAGAAAAACATGACAAAGAGTGAGTGAGTGAGTGAGAGAGAGAGAGAGAGAGAGAGAGAGAGAGAGAGAGAGAGAGAGAGAGAGAGAGAGAGAGAGAGAGAGAGGAGGTAAGGAGGGGAAAGAACTGAAGAGAAAGAAAAAGGAGAAAATAGGAGAGAGAGGAAGAAATACTCCTCTTCTCCTCTGCTTACCTCCTAACTGTTATTAGTAATTTTTAGGGTCATTGAAATATAAAGTTGAGATTGTGTCCAACAAGTTTCCATGCACTTACTTGTGTGTTGATATGGCTTAGAAAATATACCTTGGATGATGTAGTCTTCTATGATTTGTGTCATCTTTTGTTATGTTAAGAGAGTATATATGTGTCATCTTTCATTTTATTTGATGGAGCATTTTGACGTACATTACATGACTGCAAACTCATCTCAGCAACTCCTACTTCATGACAACACTCACTAATAGGCTTCAGCCTCCTTGCCTCGTCATAATATCAACTTGTGCTCGATGCATCCTCAAATCAGCTTCATTGTGTCAATTTCTCATTCCTCTTCATAATATCAAATGACCTTTTACCCTCAACCTTTATCATAAATGAATCCTCTTGTCTCTATGCTCCCCAAAAAATATATAATAACTCTTTATGAATTATTGTCCTACTAAATCGTTATTTTCTCTTACACCTAAGATATTTAAGTGTGTTTGTTTTATCTATATATTTAAGACAAATAGTATCAAATTAGATCATAAAGTAATTATAAGTCTTTCTTGACTATTCACCCTTATAAGAAAGCTATAAATGTCTTAATCATGTACATATATAGAAGTATATAGTGACGGATGTCACATTCCATGAGTTACATGCTTTCTATCAGGTCACAGTCCAAGAGAAGATACCTCATGATATCTCATATTGTTTGTCTAGTACGTTAATAACCACTACACCTATCTATCAACCTAATCCTCACCCAACTCATTTATCACTACATGAAGAATCATTAAGTGGGTAATGACTATTGAGGAATAAACTAAAGTTGTCAAAAACATCTAAAACATGAGAATTTATAGTTGTTGTAAAACTAAAGTTAATAAGAGTTCATTAACATTTACAATACACCTCAATTGAAATTTGTATCAACTTGACATTAAATTTTAAATAAGGACCTAGATGATGAAGTATACATGAGTCCTCCTCTAGGTGTAAATAATAAAAGTAGAGTAGCTGAATTAAGTCAAATAATTTTCAGATTAAAATAATATTTTAGAGTATGGTTTAGCTGACTTTATCAAGCAATGACTCATTTGCCTATTAACAAGGAAATGTAAACTACATCTTTTTTCAGAAGTAATAAAATTTGTTACTTTATTATGATAATTTATGTTGATGATATGATTCTCACTAGTGATGATGAACATGAAATACAAATGTTAAAATAAAATTTAGTGAAATAATTAAAAAAATTATAAAAATTAAAATACTTCTTAGGTATTGAAGTTGCAAGGTCCAAAAAGGAACATATATACGTGTCAATTTTTTTTTTATAGATCTACTAAATGAAATAGGAATGTTATGATGTAAGCCATCCACTACACTTATATAACAAAGCCTACATCTTATTAATAAGATGGGGAAAGAACTCACAAATAAATCAAAACATATTTATCAATGAATTATTGGAAAGCTTTTATATGTATCACTAACTAGATCAGATTTATCTTTTGCTATAAATATAGTGAGAAAATATGTATATGTCTCATACATCACTCAAATGCATGTCATCTATTGAATCATACAATATCTAAAATGTCCTAGTAAGGTTTTACTCTGGATTATATTAAATTGTCATTTTAATAAAATATTGAAAAATATTTTTTTTTTTCAAGATTATCCACATAGGGCAATCATGTTAGAATATAAATTAGAACACCAAGCAGAAATTTATCAAGAATAATATGAATATTTAAGAAGAAATTTATGAAATTGACTCTAGAATTTTGTTTTAGCATTTTCATTTGATTTTATTATGCTTAACATTGGTTAATGTAACATTTATCATCATTTACCTTAATTAACATATATGGATGATACATGAACACACCCCCAAAATTAATCATTGTTAGTCTATTAGCAATCTTTCAAAAAATTAATTAGGACTAAGAATATTTTAAAATATTATTCAATACATGTATAGTTTCAAATGGAATCACTTGATTTAGGTAGACATCTAGTTCTCATGACAAGATTCAAATATGAACCTTTATCTTTATTGTTTAAACATTTTTTAAAATTACATTCTATATTTTACATCCCTTTTTTTAAACAATCAACACTTGTAGCCAGTAAATATTAGTTACTAGATGTTTGTAAGTTTTTTCCTATCACTTAAAAATATTGAACATTATATAATTCTCAATGATACTATATGGTAGAGACATGTGGCTGTTTCTTTATGATTTTTTCTTTATTTTAAAACAAAAAGAGAGTAGATAATTAATTCTCATGTTCAATGGCCCAACTTTTAAAGTTTTCACATTGTCTTATTTTTTCCACTTAGAGAGATGGTCTTTTCAAATTAGGTTTACTTATTTTTATTCCTTTTTCCACAAGAATAGAGTAGATAAATGTTTCTCATATTTAATTCCTCACTTTTGGGACTGCATACTCTCATTTTTATTTACTTATAAATATGTAACTTGTCATTTGACTTATTCTTATGAGTATTCTAACAAAAAATATATAATTTAAATCATATTTTATGTATTTAATAGAATTCACAATGTCTACTAAATGATACCTACCAGATTATAAAATTGTAGATATATCAAATGAGTTTAATGAATTTTTTTCATACATATGAAGAATATTATAACAATTTTGTTATTGATTTGACCCTCTCATCTTGATTATGATTCCTCTAGTATACTCTTAGTTAAAACATTCTAATTTTTTTTTATTTCATGGATGAAATATAAACCATAAATGCATGTTAGGGTTGTCAAAAGAGCATGTAGTTTTTATCATCGTGTTATAATAAAATCTTATTTACATGAAATTTTCAATAATCTTAACATATTTTAACAAATATTTCACTCACTCACACCTCACCCCCAAACCAAATGGCGTTGTCCTCAAGAGTGTACATAATATGGAATTCAAATTCTTACTTTTAGAGTGGGTATATAGAGCCTAGATCTGTAATGATTTTCTTGATAGATTGACTACTTTTTGGAGTTGAATAAATTCTTAATTTTCTATAATATACTTCTTTCATTGATTACTTATATGTGTAAAGAAAATGGAAGATAAAAAAACTCAAAATAAATATTTTAAAGAAAACATTGTGTTGCCTGCCACTGGTACTAAGTATTAAAGAAAACACAAGTTTGATTAATCATGGATCATTGAAAGGGATAAACCCTTGAAAGTTCATTTGTTCATTTTCTAAATAAGATTTGAGACATTGGTCATTTTCAATTGTGATTCCTCATTTTGTTGATCTATAGTTTTTACAACATTATTATCATAGATGTTCAAAATAATGTATGAATAATCCCAAATTTGATTTCAATTTTCTTGAAAATAATTATAGTTTCAAATTAAACAACTAAACCTTTTATTTGAATGAAGAAATGACTTCCTATAGATATACTTATCATGAAATGCTTTACTTTAATCTTTTTATATTCTAAATTTCTCATGAGCTTGATTCCTTAATTCCTTTAATTTTGTGATTTGTAGGATTCATTATTTTTTAGGTTGACATAGTTCTTTATTAAGTTGTTTAATGGTCTAATATATAATTTGTTATATCTCAACAAGTAGATGACAATCCTTTCTGAAAATAAGTCTATAAGATGATATATTGATGAGTGTTTTATATGTAATTCCACGTGTAA